AGAGAGAGAGAGAGAGAGAGAGAGATCAGCCAGAGTTACGGTGAAGATGGGCAGCAAAGCAGCGTGAGAGTCCATAAAAGAAACCATCATCTCGAATATTTTAGCGCCATAATCGACTTGCACCCGATAGAGATTTCAAAAGTCTAGATCATCGTGGAGGGACTAACTATTGTAAAATTCAAGGGGGGTTTTCTTTAAATATATATATACATATATATGTGATTAGAATAATAATTTAGATCAAGCTACTAGGAGTCTCAACCGAAGCATATACCACAGCAGCCGTGTAAAGCAGAAAGGAACCCTCTCTCGGGAAGGCCATGAAGAAACCTTCTCAACCTAGTTCAGGGCCCATCCGGGTCTCAAAAGCCAGCACGTACGTGAAAAAAAAACCCGGCCCCGATATAGGGAAGGGATACCACCATCCCGCAGGGTACGTAGCCTAGAAATTTCATAAATCCACCTTCAACCCCCAAACAGGATCTCACGTACGTCAAATCGGATCCTGCCTTTACCCGCTCTCCCGTAGAGAAAGCAGAACGCCCCAGAGGAAGTCGCGAGAGAGAGAGAGAGAGAGAAGTCGAGATATCTTTATCGCAAATCCCATCCATCGATCGAATATTCCGTCCTCGAAGCGAGACTGGAACGCCGTCCGAGTTGGATTGTCGATCGATGCGAAAACAGTACCTTTTACAGACCAAGGTCTTTTTTTTATATATATACTTCGTACAGGCTCGGTTTGCTCGGCCGGTTTTCAGCTACATACATACACACTGGCTTTGAAGCAGATGGGCCCTTATCATACTAGGTTAGGCCATGGGGTTGGTGAAGATGCCTAACGTAGCGACGACATTAGCACCATGGACATCCGGAGCCCATGTTATGTAGGTGGCATCAACGTAATCAATCCGTTCCCTTCGCATCGGTGAGTCCAGACCCAGCTATGTTAGCCCCCGTACCAGCTGCTGACCTCCGGAAGTACATCGGAGAGGATCTTCTCGGCTGGTCCATTACATCGCTTGAAATCGCGGTACTTCGTGTCGTTTGGGCTTTGAGTCGTTTAACGGAATATCAAGTGAGAAAGGCAGTCTGCGTGCTGATGGTAAAGCCAGGAGCGACAAAAAGGCAGGCGAAATGGGAGGAGTTGTCCGCTAAGCGAGCCGCTGAATCCACATAGGCTAAAAGCGGTTGATAGATGAAAAATCCAATAGCATAATAAAACGTCGGATAAACTCTCAGATAAATGAGGATAGTTATCCCTGGTAGCGTAAGGATTCTAGACAAAACGTGATGGCTATCTAATGCATTCTATAGCAAACACCATGAATCCGCATCAATAAATCCCAGAACTGAATCACCTCTCTAACAGTAGCATCGGGCATATTCATCGGAAACTCGTGGCCTCCTCCCTGCACGATCCTGAAGTCGACCTTATCACTGCCAATCGCATCTTCCGCATCTTCTCTCAGCTCAGCGGCGAGGATAACGGGATCCTCTTCCCCAGCCAGGATCAAGATCTTCTCATGCCTCTGCCCCAACTTACCCCACAGAGGCCGAGGACTCTCAATCGCCGAGAACATCATTGAGCTAACGAAGCTCCTCACGAAGCCGGCGTGATGTTGAATCTGCCACGAGACGACATCCGCGACCGTGTATCCCGGTCGACTCCTCATCAAGACGGTGCTTTCGAACCTCGGGTCCCGGTTCCCCTTCAGTTCATCGCCTGTACTCGGATCGTCCTCAGAGCCCATCTTCGTAACCGGACGATCGGCCGGACGGCCCCCCAATCTCCCCTTGACGATCCACTCCAACAGCGAAGCGGGGAGGAAACCCGAATACATGAATCGGCTCTGCCACCCGAAGTGATGCGGCTTTATCAAGCCCGAGGGGGCAAGCAGCACAATACTCTTGACGAGGTCCGGGAACGACGCCGCGAAATCAGCGGCTATCCCTCCACCTAACGAGTAGCCGACGAGGCTGAACCCGGCAGGAGTCCAGGCCAGAGGCGAGGACGTGATGGCGAGGAGAATCTGGGTTGCGTAGAGCCGCGAATCGTGGGGCAGTTCTGGGCTGTCGCTGTAACCACGACCGAAGAGGTCGAAGAGCAGAACCCTACACCCCTTCTCTGCGAGTGCGTGCGCCACGTTGCTCAGCGCTATGCAGGGTGTGCTGATCCCGTGAGCGAGCACCACCTTCCTGCCTGCTTCTGGGCCCCACTCATACACCCTCATGGTTCCATACTGTCGTTTGTGGTATCACGGTTAGAGCCCATCTACGTCCCTGCGATCTGAGATTGAAAAGTCGGAATCGGACAGTCGGTCAGGTGACGTACGGGACTTGTGACATCCCGTGCACCCGGGAGGACATCCGGGGGATACGGGAGTGCCTCTTGCTCCTCTCTGGATATGTAGGGAACCTGGGTCTCTCGCGGACTGGGAATCGTCCTCGGCCTCCTGCTGTCAGGCAAGAGCTTGAGAACGGTGACGACGGCGAGGGTTGTGGCCAGTGAAGTGCCGACGATGATTCCGAGACTCGGGGCCAAGATTCGGGATGTCATGATTTTGATCAGTGATGGAGATGTGGGCGGGAGCAAGGTGTTGGTTGTTACGATGGTTCAAAATAGTTGTAGTGGTAACAAGAAATCGTCTATGCACAGTCTGGTCTTGTCGATGTCGCTAGGCGCACGGTTGATCAGTAGAGTTCGTGAGAAGTCCACCGGCTCGCGGTCCGAGGCGGGTACGTAGTAGTAGTATACCGGTATGTGAGATACGTAGTACTACTACTACGTCCCAGGCGTAAGTATTACCCCCTGAGGGTAGGGTAATCAGGGGGTTTATACGTAGTGGAAACTAAACTTTTGAGGCACCCTCAAGGGGTAATAATTACGCCTGTACGGTATGTGGGATATGTGGGACTACCGGTACCGTAATTACTACGTAAGTCGGTTGAGCAAAAGCCCAGGCTTCCAGTTGACTACGGAGCGTTGACCGATGCCTTGAGAGCTCCGTACGGTGTAGGCATTGTGGTAAGCAGCCTTAAACTATCTCTGGGCGCAACTCAACACAATATTCCGGAAACGTGCGAGAGCTTCTGCGCGAACTCATCTCTACTGTAAAGTGGGCGCGAAAATGTGATGAGAATCCTCGTTAGTGATGATGACTACGGTACCGGTATCTCGAAGCTAGATTTCGGAAAAGCTGGTTGGTCTCTAGGAATCGCGACGTTGGCATGCAGCATGCTTGCATTATCAATTTTAACCTGCAGGAGGCAGCAGCAGGTATTACTCCGGTCTATTATTCTTATCGTACATCGGAGAAGCATTAGCGAACGACACGCCAGCCCTGCTACTCTGATTGTTTTTGGATACGAAGCTGAGCGTTGAATGAGTTTGCGGGTAAGAATCAAGTCCAATTACGAAGCTACGGAAGACCGAGAGCGAGCGATCATGTGCTTTACCTGTTAGCCGAGGTTCGATTCTCCTCGTATAATACCGGTACTGGCATGATAGCCATCGGCTGGTGCTTGATCCCCTTCCTTCTACTTTGTATTTGGAATGCATGCGGTTTGGAAAAGCGTGGTTTTGCCAGCTTGCAGCCGTTGAAAAGAGGGTAATACCAAAAAGGGGATCGATTACAGTAATGAAATGCATCCAGGGGTACGGAGAATGAGGTATGAATACTTGGCTTACAAGAATAAGAAGTGCGGATATCCGGGCCACGCTTCCGTCGCTACGTCGCTAGTATATTCCACCTCAAGGCTTGGTTGAAGCTGATCGGACATAACATAGTCAGCCTCGTGAACTTGAGATGGAGCCAGTATACAACTTACAATAAGAGCCACGAGGTAGAAAGAGACGCATTGACGGAGCAGTAAGTAGGTACGGTAGGTACTCGTAAGTACGAAGTAGCCTTATGAAAGAAGTCCTAGTCCTAGGTGATACCGTACTACCGTACCAGTATCGAACTACTACTAGATCGATATCGATCGGGCTCTTCTTTGGCTCGGACGATTGATTCGAGTCCGCGGTCTCCGGGATTCTCCGTAGATGTTCTGTTTCATCATCAAGCAACTAGTAAGTACAGTAGTAGCCTAAGTACCTGTTTACGAACCCAACATCCACGTTCCTGGGAATTAGGCTTGTTATCAACCATGCCAAGATGATCATTTTCCAATCCAATCCAATCCAATCCAATCAAGCCCCCCGACGACACGACGACTCGACACGACGACGACACGACCAAAGTAAAGAATGGCACGTGCCAAAGAGGTGATCCGACAGTCAGGGTCAAGGTCAAGCAAGGTCTTGGGTCAGGGTCCCTGCTGGCAATTAGTCATGAGTGGCGAGTCGAGGCCCGAAGATCCCTGGTAGACGACGGTTGTGCATACAGACAATACTCTGTAGGGAGGTTTCACGTAGATACATTGTATTACGAAGGATATATATATATATACACAGTATAAATATATATATACAGTATAAATATCTACATACTTACTATATACGTATACTATATACATACACATACGACCTACCTACATACATGCATACCTACCTACCCACCTCGGTACCTGCTCCGCTGGCGCAACACCAGACCGACTATCGAGCGCCGGTGTTTGCAACCTCCTCCTGGCGGATGGGCCGGGCCTCCTGGGACCATCGCCGCCATACCGGTCGGTCGTAAGGCGTCCTATGCTTCCGATGCGACTCGACTCGACTCGGCCTGGTCAAACGATTCACTATTGGCGTGGTACTCCGTAATCCGATCACTCGGTGTTGTCAAACTCCTAGTACAACGAACTACCTTCCCTACCCTATACCCAAGCTGATGCCGATGCTAGGTACCCAGGCCTATGCCCACGCCCAGGCCCAAAGCCACCACGGCCATCACGGCCACCACGGCCACCACGGTCCAAGCGTCTGGTGAAGCTGACATTGACATTGACATTCATTGACAAGCATCAAATTGATCCGTCCCCGATAATGCCCAGGGGTTGCGTCTTGGTCTCCACCCTTGGCCTCCACCTTGGCCTCCATCTTGGCCCCATCTTGGCCCCATCTTGCCCACCTTGGCTCCAATCTCGTGGCGTCGGCCCAAAAGTTTCGAGACGCTGATAGCACATCACTACTATACAGAGTGGATATGCTTCTTTTTCTTCATCTTTAAATCCTCCCCCAACGACATCTTTGCCACCCCGCGGATTCCATCTCTTCTCTTCTCCTTTCCTTTTCTTTCTCTTCCTTTCCTTCCCTTTTCTTTCCTTTCCTCCCATCCTATCCTATCCCATCCCATCCCAGGACGCAGCCACTAACACTTGCGGAGCCTCGGCCTCGGTTGGACTAGCTAGCACTCTAGATCCAGTTCCAGTTCCAGATTCAGATCCAGATCCAGATTCATATCCAAATCTAAACCCTTTTTTTGATCCAGCTCCTTACCCAACCGACCGACCGACCCGGCTTACTCTCATCAATTCGCTCCAGTATCAAATATCCAGATCCGCAGGCTCGCGGCCTTTAAACTGGTTCCTTGAGATAATTCTGAACCACCGCTGCAAAGTGGCGTGAAGATTTCGCTCCCATTCGTTATCCGGACTGTTCTGTTCAGTTTCTCCGCGACGGGTTCTGATCCCAAGAGGAGATTCAACTGGCCTTCCTACCGCCCACAACTAGCCCATTCTGCAGTCCTAAGCCACTGACAGGTCCAGTTGTGTCTGCGTGTCTTACCCCCTTTCTCTATTAGAGAGATACCAGGCATCCCGAAAGTCGCCTCGAGACTGGAACCTCTGGTCTCACTGTACTTCTTACCGCCCGTGTTTCCCACTGCCTTCGACACCAGTAAACCTGCGGAAGCCAGCTTGGACCGACGATATACAGCCTTCCTTCTGCCCGTGGCTTTCTTTGGTGAGATTTTCCGCAGGTCATTATCAATAGTTTTGCCAAAGCGAATCCTGAGCGTCTGGAGTCTCCTGATCCCTCCGAAAACTAGAAGGACGGACGTCGAACTTGGGAGAGGAGCATCGTTCCGCAACACGCAGGCAAACATTCTGGGGAACCCATGTGCATGGAAAGTTACCGCAATTAATGGCAGTTGCTGTCCAGGCACCATTGCATTCGAAGTTCGGCATGTGGAATTTGGGCGACGCCAGCAACACATTACCATTCTCGGGGCCAGAAGAAGTTCAGACTTCAATGTCATTCCAGTATCCACTCCCGTCGGAGTCTTCCTCGAATCTGATCCCGGGGTATCACCACCCTTCTCTGAACCACGTACAACCACCATCGCCTGCCCAGGTCAAATCGCCAGGTATCAACGGTCGAGAAGTTGCGCCAGCTTTCGAGTCAGCAAAAGTAAAAAGATCCATGTCGACTCCAAATATCCAAGGTCAGGCATCGGCGGATGCAGCTGCACTTGCATTGTCTGCGGAGAAGAGGAGAAATAAACTTGGCTACCACAGGACTTCTGTGGCTTGCGGTAAGGATTCGATAGAGAGCTCATGGAATGGCTCCCCTCCAGGAGGGCCATGGCTGACATCGGTTGTAGGTCATTGCCGGCGAAGGAAAATCCGGTGCATTGCCGCCCCTGGTGATGCGCATAGTCGATGCTCGAATTGCATCAGATTGAAGAAGGATTGCCAGTTCTTTGCAGTTGACGCGCAGCCGCCGGTCCTTGAATCTCAGCGTAGAGCTTCGAGAACGCAAAGTGGGGCAGAGAGAGCTTCCGAAGAACCTTCCTCTCCATCGACTTCCACTGGCCAAGTACTTGAGATACCACAGACTCTGCCGTATCTCCATCTAGGCATGCCTCCCATCCAGGATCTTGGAGGTCCTCAGATGAAACGCCAGAGGACGGAAAGCTTTTCCCCAGAGTCGACGGGCAAGGGATTTCTTCCTCCGTCCCTGATCAACCCTGTTGTGGTGACCACTTCGCGAAATTTGGAATATACACAACCGTCAGACCATGGTACTACGAACTGGATGGCCACTGAGTTATCACCAAGCACTACAGATCCGAAGATGGAGACGTCCCAATCGTACTGGAGAATCAACACCCACGCATCGCCCATAACACCTGCATTCTCACCCTTCACTCCGAACCTCCAGATTCCGCCTTGGACACCACATGCTGAGGCCAGTCCGCGAGAAGATAATTGGTCGGCTCCCCAGCGATCCATCTCGTATGGCAACCTCGAAGGCCTCCACACCTTACATCAAAGCACCCAGTATGCAGCGTACACGCAACCACCCCCGAGCAACGATCACTATACGACTAAGCCTCGTGTGCTCCAGTCTTCTCCAATGTATCCGCCGCTGATGCAGACATCGTCGAGTATGGTGGCTTCTCATGAACCTCTCTCTGCAACGCCGAGTGAGCCCCATCAGCATCCTCACTCTGCGCAACCTCTTCCACCATCATCGTTCCCGAACTGGCAGCAGCAATTTTATTCCTATCAGAAGTCAGCCAGTGCTGGACCGGACCACTATCCCGGTTGGAACGGACCGCCTGCTGGACCACCACACGAAGGAGGGAATGCACCACTGCCACCTAATTATGGCTACGAAGACCCATCGCATGGGGTATTTTACCAATCACAACATCCCGGGCGTTGAAAGGCTTGGATCTACAGAGAACGCTGTGCCCTCCGCTATCGACATGTGTGGAAAGGTGCGGTTAGAGGCAAAGACTCGGTATCAAGCAGGCGAAGACATTCGAAGCAAGGAGCGCAGGAGGTGGTGCGATACCAAAGATTTGGAATGGCATGTGGGAAGGAAATCAAACGAGAGTGGGAAAGATCACGGCTCCGCAAGTAGAAATACGACAAAGGGAGTAGACAGCAAGGCTACGTATGCCGGGAAGTCTTGAGACGGGGGAATACGGCGCAATATCAGAATCGAGATCTACAGCGTAACTGAACGACAGCATGGCAAGGATCCAGAAATGAGTCTTGGGAAACGGACGGAAAAGGTAAAATAATAAAGAAGACGCGGGCTTCAGGCCACTCAGCACATATTAGCGTGGATTTTCTTGCAGGTTAGATGGGTGGTAAGGCGTCAAGGCGTCAAGATAGCGGCGAAGCCCCCCAAAACGTATTAATCGATGTACAAATAATGCGCATAATGAACGATGAGAACGGGATCAAGGCTGCCAGGAAGAAATGAATGTGAGATGAAGGGACATAGATGGAACGGCGGTCCATAGGAAAAGAGCGAAAGGGCGAGGAATATGTGCATACTATATGTATCGTGTATATGAGTACGACGGATCCTGAGGATGTCTGCTAGTGCCAAAAGAAAGCAAGAGACCTTGGTACCGATAGAAACATACATATAAATAATTTATGTATATATTCAGCTGCCTCGTTTATGTAAGGATGTTGATGTTATTTCTTCTGGAAGAGAATGATGGCCAGCTGCATAAACGAAGGCACTTGAAATACGGGCGGCCGACCACTTGGCTCTGCTCCTTCAACCCCACATCAGGCGGATCCATTCCTCTCGCATCACCAAGACCTACTGCTGCAGTATCACGTCGCCAGTCCACAAACACACAGGATCGCTCCACAGCGAGTACGGCACAGCACAGTACGGTGTGATACGGTAGCACAGGATGGCTCCGTCATGGTCGGGCATGTTCAAGGTGGGTGCAAGCAAGCAAGCAAGCAAGCAATCATGCAAGCAAGCTATTCTATTCTATTCATTCCTACCTACCTACTTAACCTACCTACCTACCTACCTACCTACCTACTCTGCATATTTCTTTCTTTCTTTTTCTTGAATAGACCACCACGGGCAAGAATCCTACGGCTGAAAGGGATGAATGCAATGTGCTGCAGCCCCATCCAGAAGACAGGCTTCATTTGCGCCTTCACCGAGCCAGGAGCGTGGTCCTGACTGCCCAGGAGTGAGTCCCCCCCCCCCCTGACATCTTCTTTCTTTTTTTTCCCATCTATCTTTCTATCTATCTAGCTATCTACTTTTCTATCTACCCATCAAAGCTAACGCAACCCCCCCTCTCCCCTCTTTCCCTCTCCCACAGACTAGTCGAGATCCGCGCCGCCCAGCGCACCTTCGAAGGCGCCTACGTGCGCACCGCGCTCGGGCAGTTCTCCTTCGCGCTCGTCGTGCTCAAGATCTTCACGGCCGAGTTCTACAGCATCGGCGCCCTGTTCGCGACGTACGGCGTCGGCGTGCTGATGGTGAGCCAGTACCGCCGCTACGAGGGCAACCGGCAGTTCTTCAGCGAGAGGGCCGCCGCGGACGGGCTGCCGGGGGATGGCCGGAAGTGCTTCCGCACGAGCGGGAATGTCATCGTGGTGTTGACCGCGCTGAGCGTGGCTGCGTATGCGACTCTGATTGTTTTGACGGCGCGGCTGGAGGATTGAGAAGGGGGGATAGCGGACTGCTTGGAATGCAAATGGGGGTAGAATACAATACATGGAATGTAGTCGTCAGAAGTTCTTGGGGGAGAAATATCATATGGGGCGTCCTTGAGTTGGTTGGAATACAGACATATTGAGGCCGGCGTGACGCGCGAGTGCCGAAGTTTAATACGACTGATGGATATACTCTGACGACGGCATCGCGAAATCGAGGACCAGGACGGCAGACGGTAGATGCATATACATATATACACAAACCCAAGCACCGAAGAAGCAAGGGAAGCACGCCGTCGGCAACGGCAGACCAGGATAGGTACCGGTAGGTTGTAACTAGGTACTCGAATGCAAATGCAATACCTCAAGCTTGCTTTATTTACAAAGTCAATTCGTGCTCAAAATCTCTTAGCATACCTCCCCTTCCCTCCCTCTCTCCCTCCCTCTTCTACACATCCACCCGTCAAGCAAATGGAAGAACTACTACCTACGACAACGTCCATACGGAGCATACATATCTACGAAAAGGCCTGGATCGAAAAGGAGGAGCCCCCAGCCCAGCCCAGCCCAGCCCAGCCATAGCCCTCCCGGCGGGCATGCATGCACGATAAAGTATCTCCCATCCACGTTGAGTTTGCGATGCCTAGTATGTACTCTGCGACTGCGCGAGGTTTGCCAACTGTGTTTGTTGTTGTTGTTGTTGTTGTTGTTGATGATGCGCCCTTTCGACCAGTTGGAATTTGGGACTCGAGAGAGAAAGAAGGGCTCAGTGAGAAGCCGAAGCCCAGGGGGGCGGGGGCCTACCGTACTGTATGTAGCAAGATAGGTTTATCTTATCTTATCTTTTCTTTCCGCCTTGGGGGAGTCGTGACTGACTCTACAGTAAGTAAGTACTACCGGTACCGGTACTACTTACTGTCGATTCTCCGCTCGCTTACGAAACGAAACGGAACGAAAATAAACGGCTGCGGGTAGGGCTTGTTATTATTTTACTTTCTGTAGTGCAGTAGGTACTGTACGTACGAATGTACGGATGTGTAGTAATTTGCTTGTTAGACGAAAAGCTTGAGGGCGCTGGGGGCGCGAGAGACTTGGATGGGGATGGCTTGGCTGGATGGGGTAAGACATGGCATGGCAAGGCAAGGCAAGGTGAGGCAAGGCAAGGCAAGGTGAGGCAAGATGAGGCAAGTAGGCCAAGGGGACGATGGAGAGCTCGAACTGAAAAGTGAAAGAAATGCTACAGTACTGTAGGTATAAGTAATAGCCATCATATGCATCGGATCATCGGTGGGTGTACGTGAGGGACTCGCGGGCGCAGAGCTTGGTTGGTGTTTCGAAGAAGAAGAAGAAGAAGAAACAAAAGAGAAGAAGAAAAATGGGACGAAAAAGGAAGAGAAAAGAAAAAGAAAGAAAAAGAAAAAGAAAGAAAAAGAAAGAAGAAAAGGGGGTAGGAATCGAGATTGAAGAACCGCTTTCTTGCCCCTGCGGTGGGGAGCCCCAACAAGCCGTCAAGCGCGATGGTGGGGCTTGTCCCAGCTCCACAAGGTCTGGCCGCTGGAAGTGACAGCGGGATTGGATTGGTTGCAGAACGAATGAGGCGGTCGAAGGAAGCGGAAGCGGAAGCGGAAGCGGAAGCGGAAGCGGGAAGGGGAAGTGGAAGGCTCGTGATCTGTACAGCTACTGTATTGAGAAGAGGGAACTATTTTCAATGACTAAGGAAGTAGGCTATGCTACTAGGTGTGTGACTTCACGGCTGTATGGAGTATAAGCTGTGTCGTGCTGTCTGAGTGAGGTGTGGATGAAGCTGGACGGGCACCGGCAGGTAGTAGTCGTAGGTAGTACCGGTAGGTAGGTGTTCGGTGGGTGTCTTGTCTAGCGAGCCCCTTGAACTGCTACTGTATCGAGTGTCGCTTCACCAGGTACGGAGATAGTAAAAAAGCCAACTGAAACTTCCGCATCTCCTATAACCTAGGTAGTTGTGACTTGACTTCAGCGGTGCGCTCTCCGCCTATTCCTGGACCAGTCTCACCTTTTCTTCTGCTGCGCGGCTGATATGCTCCACTTTGTCCGCAATGCAATGAAGTTCGCAGTTCGCTTGAGATGTTAGACCCATTCTCATGGGCTAGAAGATAGATACCTCTCTATCCATCGTCGTGCTGCCTAACTAGCTGTAGGTACTCCGTATACCTATCAGGATGCTCAGCCACCACTACCTGGGAATAGGCCTAGACTAGAGACAATACAGTAAGGCTGACTGCCCTGTGGCCCTGTGGCCCTGTGGCCCTGTGGCCGCCCTGTGCCCCACTCCCCTCCCCTCCACTCCCCTCCCACTCCCCTCCGACAGTCCCTGTTGATAAGTGATGGGCTGATGCAGTTGTTGCATTTTCGCTTCTGCCCGTCGCCGGCCGGTCGGTCAGCCTGATCGCTCTGCTCTGCTCTGCTCTGCTCTGCTCTCCTCTGCTCTGCTCTCCTCTCTCCTCGTTGGCTGATATTCTGCACTGTAGTCTGTAGCTGTAATGTCCGCTCAAGAGTCAAGACCTTCTTCCCTGACTTTCTCCTCCTCCTCCTCCTCCTCCTCCTCTTCTTCTTCTTCTTCTCTGCAAATCTCAAACGCCAACTGCTGTGTATCTTACTGTGGCTCTTACTGTCCTGTAGCGGCAACCGTCCTGTACGGGGTAACTTCTCCCTTACTCAACCGCCCACCTACCTACCTACAAACTTCCCTACCTACTTACCTTTCTGACTAAACCCCGTCTTTCACTCATCTATCCTCCTTCGCCGTCGTCTGCATTGCAATTACACTGTCACATCACATTGCGCTCTGGCTCTACACATCTCTCGGTTCAACAAGCGCGTTGAGTAGCTCCGTCCTACCAACAACAATCCCCAAGCCTGTACATCATGACCACTGCCCGGTCTGCTCCCTCTTGACGCAGCCCAGCACGCTCTACCTAGACACCGAGACCTGAAAACAAAGCTTCTACAAGGCTATAAGGCTCATTCCCGAAATCCACTATAGCCTCCCCCCTCCCATCATCTTGATGTCTTCTACATACCAGTCTGCTTCTCCTTCTGTCGACCCCCATAGCTCGAGAGACTTCAACGATGAGCTGCGGCTGAATCACCATATACTCACCAAATCTTTCGACTCCAGTCTTCTGTCCTCTCCCTTCAGCCATGCTCTTACGACCAGCAATTCTGCTAGTCCTTTATACACATCTGGGGAGAGCCTGTCTGAGTATAGCAATTTCCAGTCCGACATAGACGACGTTGACCCTTTCTTCGGCGTAAACTTCGACGACGGGGTACAGCGAATCAACTCCCTTCCTATTACTATCACCCCTATGAACGTCGCCTATCCATCTGCAACTCTCAAACGGGCTTCACCAACACCAGCAAGCAATCAACCTTCGAGTGCGACCTGGGCCATCTCAACCTATCCTCTCAGCCCAAGTCACACTATTATACCCAACACACCCTCACTAAAAAGAGCAGTCAGTGAGACAACGAGGACTACAATATCGCAGCACGAGCTGAACACTGGGCTGCATAACTCGCGACTCCCCCCGGGACCAGATATGAGACCGACACCAGATAGCAGTGGAAGCAGTCATACGAGTGCCGAAGGCCATGAACCGAGCAGCATGCCACGTTCTGGACATAGCCCCAGCCTCATGGGCTTCCACGGGGGCGGCAGGCAACAGAACCGTCAACCCTCTCCGTTTCTACAGTCCAACCGAGGGTACAGTGCAACTAATGCCGATAATTTCGGCGGAGACGTTTCAAGCCAAACACAATACCAACATCCGCATATGGCCACCGAGAGGGACGACGATGGGTTATGGAGAGCGAGTGAAGTGAACGGGCAGAGTGGACTGGATCCCGACTCCCGTAAAGTCATCAACGATGAGGTTCCTACACTGAAAGAGCAAGAAGAATACCGACGCATACAGGAAAAGAACAGCGAGGTGGAAGAATGGAGATCGCAAGCCGGAGAAAATAGCGACGCGGAAAATGAACAGCCCGTCCAATCCTACTTCTCCTTGTACTCGAACAGTTGGTATCCGCGAGGAGACCCTGGAACTGGAACGCCTCGCGATAAAGAAGACAACAACTTAGCGCCACTTGACGACAGTGCTAGCGTGCACGAGAACCGTCTTGCAGAAGGCCAAACTTACTTCGACCTCAACAGCATTTACATCAGCGATGTGGACAAGCAGGAATTGATCAACCATGCGCGGCATTGGCAAGATGCCCCCTCCGTACCTCATATCATGACAAGCGCCTTTCAGCCCCAAACGTCAAACGAGGCCATGAACAGATTCAACCGAGCCGCAGATTCCTTCTCGATCACGTCACGTGCTGCTACATGGGGAACCCGCCGGCGCAGCGAACCGAGCCTGGCAGACTTCGAGGGCATCTCTGATGGAAGCTTTCTTAAAAAGCTGTCGATTAGCAGCAAATCAAGGGAGGAGCGTCCTCGCCAGAACAGTCTCCTTGATCAAGGGCTGAATCGATTAGCAAGCTTCACACGCAAGAGAAGTGACAGCAAGCTCAAGCGTGTACGCAGTACTCAGAACTTCCCAGAAGAGACGCAGGCGCCACCAAATGCAAGGCATTACAGCCAGGATTCGCTGGCACCGCCCACGAGAAGCCTCAGCTCTGCAAAGAAACAAACGGTCAGTATCAATACCGCCTTTGCCGCAATGACAGGTCCTCTTGCCGCTGTTGGGACAGCCCATACGCGCCGTACCACTGTTGGCCACATGGTTACATCGCCTAAGAGCCCAGTCCATCTGGGATTCAAGTCCGTGATAAGGCGTGCAAGAAGCCGAAGCGAATTGACTTCACAAGAGAAGAAGAGGCAGACAGGTCTTGTGAGCCTGTGGAGAGGGCAAGGAGGACCTCCAGTCTTAGCAACTCCACCGACTCCGGCCGAAATGAAGGCAGAGCGGCCTGAGCCCGAAGTGGATGATCACGAGGATGATGACGATGACGATGATGAACAATCAGACGAGAACCACCCCAAGATGGAGTCCGGACATCAAGCAGATGTGATTGTGGCAAACTACGAAGGTTTCAAATCTCACGTACGGCGTTTGAATCCTGACATGGACCCTCAACACAACTGGCTTATCAGCAGGATTGCCCATCAACAGGAGATTCGCTACAAGAACTTGCTTGATCTCAGGGTCAAGCATTTACAGGCCATCAGCTCCCGCAAATGCTCTGCTGGACCCCATTGTTTAGCTTTGGGAGGTTCGATCACTTTGACAGATGTCAAGGGCAATCCGCGCGACCAGGATCGTACTCCAGCTTCACTTCAATTGGTGACAGATTTCTCTGACGACTCCGATCCTATCGAGGGTACTATTACTGCTCAGACATTCCCATCAGGGGTGCCAATGCCACCCACCAATAATCTTCCCGCGGAGTTTGAATGCCAACTGTGCTTCAAGGCCAAGAAATTCCAGAAACCTTCAGACTGGACTAAGCATGTCCACGAAGACGTGCAGCCATTCACTTGCACCTATGCCAATTGCAAGGAGCCCAAGTCCTTCAAGAGGAAAGCAGATTGGGTCCGCCATGAGAATGAGAGACATCGTCATCTGGAGTGGTGGATCTGCCAGGTGGGCGATTGCAGACACCCATGTTATCGAAAAGATAACTTCCTTAAACATCTTGCACGTGAGCACAAGGTGCCGGAGCCGAAGCAGAAGACAAGAGCTGCCATCAAGAAGGTGTGCACAACTGAGCCAGCCTGGGAATGGCTGGAAAAATGTTACCATCAGACGCACAATCGGCCCGAGGATGAGCCGTGCAAATTTTGTGGTAGATCGTTTCCAACCTGGAAGAAGCTGACTGTCCATCTTGCCAAACATATGGAACACATCAGCTTGCCCATTCTCCGCTTGGTTAAGGCAAAAGCTGTCGACGCGAACACGATCATCAGCCCGGTGGAGCAAGTACTCACACCAGTGACACCGATGAGTCGTGCTACAGTGGAATTTCACAGCCCATTGGACATGGAAAGTGTCTCTCCCAATTTCACTACAGGTTCTCAAGTCGCCTCGATAGATTTTGAAGAGCCTGAATATTTCCAGACAGACGGGTCATCCATCGGGTATGGCCTGCAAGCACCATTGCCACAGGAAACTCGCTATTCCAACAACAGCGACAACATGTACTCGACCGCTTTTCATGTTGAGAGCATGGGACAGACCCGTGGATTCGATACTATGAATCCGAACACCATGGTCCATGTTGATCAGACTCGAGCTTTCGGCCCTTTGAATTCGGATTTTTCTCAGCCCCGAGCGGAACCCATCCGTGGGTTTGGATCGAGGGACTATGCATTTTCTCATGTGATGCCCGGCCAGAATTGCAATATGCAGCAGGATTCGGGGTACCCCTTCCCACAGACGTTCTCTGCAGCAGCAGCCCCAATATCCGGCTTTCCAACCTCAAACATGCTGGGTGGCACCGAAGCTGGATTCGCATCCATTGACCCGGTGAACGGAAGAGGAGTCCAGAATTTTTCGCAAGTACCGCGGAGTCACGCTTACGGGAGCGCACCTACATATCGGCATTCCCCTCAGGACATTCCTCGGAATGCGCAATCCTTCTATGGACATCAAGGATGATGATGATGATTTATTATGAATATATACATATATGTGTGTATGTGTGTGTGTGCCATGGCGTTATCGTGTCGTATCCATGGCTATTTATATTCTCATGAATGGTGTCATGTGTTTTTGTTTCTTCCCCCGGCTCTAGATACTATGAGATGTTTATGTTGCTCTTTGTATACCTATATCCTGGGCGTGGTGTTGGGTGTGGTGCGGATACAATTGATACACAATATGATCTGACTTTGGCGGGCTTGCGTCGACCTTATTAGGCTTTTAAAGATAGATATATATATATATATATATATACATATTTCAACTCCGCTTCTGATCTGATTCGTCCAGTTAGAGAGAGCCGTAAAACTCCGTATGATTCAGTTGTATTACAATAAGCCTTGCTTGGCACTGAGGCATGAAGGCCCACGAAATTGCCAGGCCTGAATCTCGCCATCTCTTTCGCTCACAACACGTCGACGTCCATCAGCTTCATCTCATCATATTCATATTGATCACTAGTTCTCTATCAAAGAGTCATCCGCTCTCAAAGATGGGATTAATGACTTACATCTCGAGTCTACTCCTCGCATCCCAGCCCACCACCCAATTTCAATCGTCCACAGCCCAGAACTTCACACTCCAAGTTTGGCTCAACAACTCCCCTCTAAACCAACAATCCGTATCCTGGTTTCCAAATCCAGATTTCGAAAAGCCCGTACTTTGCCGTTCCCTCCTCCTCCTCCTGCTCCACGGCCTACACACTGACGAAAGATCCAGGGCTTCTTCGGCATACCAATCCGGAGTCCAGCGGATCCGCTCCCCGTCGGCGACCGCGCAATCTTCGTGCGCGACAGGGACTTTCCGGATTCGCTCTTCTTCGCGGAGCCTGATAGCCAAATCAACAAGGTTTTCGTGCAGGCGAGCGGTGAGGTCGAGTATGCAGTAGACCTACCGACTGAGTTCTTCAAGCCGTACACGGGCAACTTTTCCACCGTCGATTATACGCACTGGCCGGATCTGGAGACTATTCACGTGTTGGACTTTGAGCCGCCTGGATTTGTTCTAGGTATGCTTTACCTTACTTTACTTTACTTTTTTTTTTTTTTTTTTTTTGTGGTCTCCCTGGGACATCTCACGTGCTTCGTTTTTGCTTGTGACCGGTTGCTGATGATGGGGATAGGCGTGTGGCTGGCTTGTCCGAGGGACTTGGGAGTAGAGAAAGGGTACCAGCTGCTGGCTATGACGCCGATGTTCAAGCACGCTGGTTGCATCACGCTGGACTGGCTGGTGATGAGGGAAATTGAGGCAGAACGGGTTGCGGATCCGGAAGTTGCTGAGAGCAGGCCAGGCTTGTAGCTCCCACGAGTAAGACGCATATTATATATCATAACGCTCTCGGTGAGAATAACGTTTTTTTGCATTGCTAATTATTGACAGCTGGTAATGCCGCTTGTATACTTATTTTGGCTCGCCAGGGCTTTACATGTGCGGGTGCGCAATCTTTTCTTCTGCAGACTATGTATGCAATGGTGCCCCGAATTCCGTGCCACGTTGAATTCACGGTATGTGATTACATCGATTTCCCGTAAGGCGCCTTATTTGTTCCGAGGATGAGGTCGACGCCTATCGACTTTGCGGCTGCAATCTCCAGTCCTGAACTGCATTCATACACATCGGATTCTGTCACCTTATACGTGCTGAGAGATTCTGAAAACGAAACAACGAGCCGACTCTGATATTCACATGAATTAAGGAATGTGCATATTTCGCGATAGAGCTCTCAGCTCTCAGTTCGATGTCCTCGTTGCAAGAATTATGGAGCTATGGAAAGTGATTGGGATGGATTCGTGCGGGGAGGAGAAGAAGATGGGGATAGCGAATCGAAGAGGGAGGAGGAGCTTAATCTGGCTCTTTCAGAAATCCCAATACCGTTGAAACTGCCGTTGGCTGCATACTGCTGGTAAATCTCCTCATCCAATTGGGATACGGATTGCTAATTGTTAAGTGCAGGGACATGAAGCTGCAGATTAATCGCCCCGATCGGACCTGGAAATCCAAATTGTTGCTCGAACGCAGATCTGGAGAACGCTTTGCCGCTGAGTACTTGGATGGGCGAGATAAATCCACCACCAGCTAGCCTTTGTCCAGAGGGTGTGGCCAAGCAATTCGGGGGTGGAGTTTGACGTAGAGTCAGGAATGGCACGGCTTGGTTCGAGAAACCAATTAAGATCGTACAGAGAGCCTGTAAGTTTCCGTCATCTCCTGCGTAGATATCATGTATAGATTATTACGTGAGTACTTGCAACATAAAGCAACCAATTAATTCTAGTCTTTGACGACTTCGAAAACCCCTTGTTTGTTTATCTTTCCCAGCAGTACTTCTCGCTTACTGCGCTACAGATACTATTTGTCTGCACTTCAAAAGTTCTAGCTCTAATCAGATGATGCAGATAACTCACCTGTATGATCACAAGAGAATTTAAGTTGATCTAGCATTCTGTCAACTCAAATCATTCACAGATACTCCGTGCAGACAGAGACGATGGAGTGAAACTGTCACAGTCGCAAAATCAACCGAGCATACATACCATCCCAGCATCGCCTCATCGAGAGGATTCCAAGAACAGTGGCGTGTATTTGACGGATGAATCCTCGATAGAGACTGGTCCAGATGAAGGGTAGTCCTCGAATTGGTCATCGCAGGTCAATCCTCCAGCTCTCTGACCTCTTTCGGGGCATTGCCGCGGCAAATCGGCAAAGCGATTCCTATGTATGTGCTTTAGACCAGAGCTACTCTGGATCCACCACGAAAAATGACGTAGCATATCACGAATTGTCTTACATGTTTTGATGTACATTACGCGTCAGGACTGCTTCTCTTTCTAGATCTTCTTTCTCTTTCATTATATAATCACTTACCACTACTTTTCTCTCTACTCATAGGATTCCATCGCGTTCGAGGGTGTAGGCGGCCTGCTCCTCGCTTATTTCCTCCATCGCCAAGGGCCCCCTTTCAACTTTGTACATCTCGAAGAAAGACGTCGCCATGGCCGGCGTGAGGGCGCCATGGTGGGCGACCATCTACGTCCTGGTCCCCATCTTCTCGGGATTCGTATGGCTCGGGATGCTCCTCGGGATGCTGCTCTGGTGGGCTGTGGGAAAGCACAAGGCACACCTCTCGCCCATGGAACCGAGCCAGCACATCTCATACATCTCGGACATTGGAGCGCTCGAGCTGCAGCCTCTGTTCATCTCCATGGGCACCGTCACCGTCGTGAGCTTCACGTCGGTCTTCGTGACGGAGCGCTGGCTGCGCCACCGAGGAACCATCGCGCGAAACACGTCGTCGTTTCAAAAGCTGCTGAGCGTGCTCGCGACCCTGTTTGCCATAGCGGGCATGATCGGCCTGATCATCCTCACCTGTCGCAACAACGTCGATTACTCGAACGTCCACGACGCATGCCTGGTGGTCTTCATGTCAGTGCCCTCCTCCAGCGTCCCTCCCCGGTCGCACCCCACCACCACCACCCAACTGACGGAGACAGTGCCGGCTACATCATCTCCGCCATCTTCGTCTGCTGGGAGTACCAGCGCCTCGGGTTCCACTACCGCGACCACCGCATCCTCCGGGTCTCCTTCTGGCTCAAACTCGCCTTCATCGTGGTGGAGCTGAGCCTCGCCATCGCCTTCGCCGTGCTCGGCAAGCAGGACCGCTACAACGCCGCCGCCGTGTGCGAGTGGATCGTCGCCTTCATCTACACGTTCTACGTGTGGAGCTACGCCATCGACTTCATCCCGGCGGTGAGAACGGAGCACTACGCGTCCAAGGAGACGGTGGTCGCCATGGCCGAGAGTTCGAAGACCGCGTCGCGGATGGGGGGGTACCCCGACGGAGTAGGTCAGGAAGAGGCAGCTCTCGGAGCGACTGATGGGATTCGTGGCCAGCAGCCGAGATATTTTTGATGAGCTGGTGGGTGTTTGGGAAGGTATAAACTACAGAATTTAGTTACGAGGATATGGTCTCTGTGGCGATGGCGTTCTGGTAGGATACACCCATAGATGTTTTACACTAATATTCCCCGGGTTTTGCCAGCATAGTAAAGCATAGGCATAGCATAGTATAGCATGGTATAACGACAGCATATGTTCGTAACGGTCGAATGGTTGGTTCGTTCGGCCGCTGACGAAATGAACCTTGTATATAAGAGAAGAAACGAGAAAGTTCGAGTCCTTTGCGGAAGATCTTGGGGCATTTTTCACTTGTCTTTTCTCTCCCTCTCTCTCTCCCTCTCTCTCCCTCTCTCTCTCCCTCTCTCTCCCTCCCTCTCCCTCTTTCCTTTTCTGTTCTCGTCTCAGCGACAAGTGGTAACAAGCCCAGATCACTTCCTTACCCATCACAGAGAAACAATTCATGATCAGACTCCTCTCAGACCCGCACATCATATACGCACATAACAAAACCCTTCAGCCCGATCTGTAATGCTCTCCCATCCATCCATCCATCCATCCATCAATCCATCAATCTATTCAAGCCTCAAATCAAACCCAACTCTTCTTCTTCTTCTTCTCCTTCCTCCTCTTCTCCTCCTTCCTCCTCCTCCTCCTCCCCCTCTTCTTTTGAAAAGAGCACATATAATCCTACTTTCAAAAGCAACCAACCAACCAACCAACCAGCACCTCGCTCGCTTCATCCCCAATCCCGAACCTAGCCTTGCCACTCCCCATCTATTCAAGATACCCCTCTACCAAAGTCACCAGATCGATAAGTGCTAGAGAGGGTACTACTGCGTGTCCACTTCAGAATGACCGTATCCAGATTTCACGACTTCCGAATCGAGATGATGATTACCGACGTTCCGAGGTAGCAAGATATGGAGAAGGTATGAAGGCGGGTTGGTGGAAATATGCGCCTTTTTGGAGCTGGAAGGGAGTCAGTCGGGGTGTGATTATACCCCTCCTGCTCTGTGTGTATGTATGTATGTATGATCAAGTTCTCGCGCCACTTCACTTCGCTCGAATATTCTTCTTTATGCAAGTTGCGCATCATCCTTAGATATCTCATAAAAGTCACAAAGGTCACAGTGATGAGATGTCAAAATGGTAACAATATGCATGATTCAACAAAGTATCAATCAGCCTGTTCATTCTACCATCCAAGTTACTCCCGTCCAGACACGTCCCCAAACCCGCCGCCGCCCTCTTCCCGAAAACCCACCACTACCGTCTCCCTTCCCTGGTTCCCATCGAAGATAACCACCGTCGCCCCCTCGTCCTCCACAAACCGCACCCTCTTCACCACCCTTTCCTCACAACAGGCCTCCAACAACGTGTCCCTCTCGCTCGCCACCGCACCATTCCGCAAGATACCCACCGTCACCAGAGCCCCCCTCCCCCTCCCCCTCCCCGTCTGCCTCCGTCTGCGCCCACACCACCACTCCACCATCGGCTCTCTGGACCGCCACATCCCGGCCAGGCCCATCACGCACACGAACACGAGGAGGCCAGCGAAGATGCGGTCCTCGTTCACGACGAGCCACTGCCGGATCTGCTCGCGGTTCTCGGGGCCGAGGCGGTGGAAGATGGGGTGCGGAAGGGGGACTTCGCCGCCGCTGCCGCCGCCGTGGTGGCCGTGGTAGCGGCCAGGGAAGGAGGCGCTGCGCATGGTCGCGGAGAGGTGGTGGTGCTGGTAGTGGTAGTGGTCCACCAGTGCGGGATCCCAGCTACGTGGGTCGGGAGTGCGTGTGGCGGGAGTGGTGTTCCGCGGTAGCAGGGAGGTGGAGAGTTCGATGCCTGCTGGGAGTGCTTGAGCGAGGTGTGGAGCTTGTATAGGAGAGGGAGGAGTCCCGGCATTGAATTGCCAGCTGGCTGCTGGCTGCGGCGATGAACGAGTTGAGGAATGCGGTGGAGTGTGGAATAAGTCTGGGGTATGGATGCTATTGAGGCATGGCGAGGCCGGATCTTGGGACGTCGACCAGAACTGCTGTAAAATGTCAGAGAGAGAGAGAGAGAGAGAGAGAGAGAGAGAGCAGTTGGGGGATTTGGCGGTTGAACGCTAAAATTTGATGAGTGACGACGCGCAGCCTGGATCTTCTAATGACGAACAGGAGGAGTCCGTTTTACTCTTTTGGGCAGGAGCGATGCGGCCCGTTGCGCACCTCGCTTAGCGGTCACTCCCCCCTTTTCCTCCATCTCGCTAAGCCGCCCTGTGTTCCTATTGCCTCTGTTGGCTGAACAAGCCAGTGCTGGTTTCCCCTCGGCCTGTAACCTGAACAAAGACAAGACATGGTCGATTTTCTCTCAAAATTCGAAAGACTGTCTCATATACATTGTTCGTTACTCGAAACATATCGTTTGTCCCATTCTTTACAAACTTGGGTTTGTCTCTTCCTCTTCGATCCTCTTCGAGTGCCAACGAATCAACCAATTCCGAATGCTATGGTTGGTTTGTTCTCCCTGTGTCCAGCACGCATTTCGAGACGGCCGGACACCAGTCCGTACAGGAAACAACGCAAACAAAGAGACAATAGGTATCGCCCGTATAAAGGCGCCAGACATCAACCCCTCTACATAAACACACCGCCAACACTTCCTCACTGCCCAAATTTAACTAGACTAACATCATCCCAACCCAAAAACATCGTTCTCAGAGTTCACTCATCACATCACCATCATGTCCCAACAAACAACACCCCCAAGCGAGCTCGAGCGACCACCCTCCTCCCTCAGCAGCACCAGCACCGACCTCGATTCGCTCACAGCAGCCCACTCTGAGCACAGCACCTTTTCAGTTTCAGCCGAGACCGACGACGACGCACGCTCCACCACCTCCTCAGCCCCAACCCTCACGTCCGAAGACCTCGACAGCGCCGCCCTGACAGACGCATCCTCCTTCCCCGAAACATCCAGAGCGCCATCTCCAGGTCCCCGACTACTACAACAACAACAAGACCCAGACACGGACGGCCACTTCCAGCCCTCCCCCTCGCCACCATCCCCTCCCCCCCCACCAACCGCCGTCGAGGTGACCTCATTCTCGCACCTCGCCTCTGAGCTCTCGCTCTTCGCCTCCTGCCTCTCCGCAACCCCCGAGAAGCCGTGCGACGAGGAGGACGTGCTGGCGCAGGCGAGGCGGAAGGAGATGCTCAAGCGGGACTTGCTGGAGCTGGCGGGGAAAGGGGCCGACGGATCTGAGGTCGGTCGCGAGAGGGAGGCTGAGTTGTTGGGGAAGATTGAGAGCTTGCTTGTGGGTTGGAGGGAGGTGTATGAGGGGGTTGAGGGCTGGCGGCATGAGAGGAAGGGCGAGAGGGCGAGGCGGGAGTTGAGGAGGGCGGCGTGAAGGTAGGCTAGGCTAGGGCTGGGCCCTGGCTAAGAGAGATGAGGAACAGAGGAAGTTCAAATGTTGAGAAATGAAATCGATAGCAAGAAACAAAAACACGGCCTACCATGAAAAGTATAAAAATAGACAGAGCCTGAAAGCAAGAGTGAACAACAATTTATAGATTAGAATAACTCGACAGCTGGGTATAGTGCGAAGCAAGAGAAGAAAACCCTTGGCTTAGGTTGCGTCCTCGCCAAGCCAAACTATGTACAACAACATCCGAATGAGTCTCTGTACAGCAGCATTCGAGTGAGTATCTGGGTCCTCAAACCTGTCTGCCCCTCTCCCCTAATCCTCTTTCGCTTAGACATTACATCCTCAAGGTGAGGTCTTGTAGCCAGTCCCTCTGTAGAATCTCATTAGGCCTTCAATTCCGCACTGATTTCCTCCCTGACTTTGCCACACCACTTCCAAATCGCGTCCTCGAAGCCTTTCAACGCAGCTCTGTCGGTACCGCCAACAACTCCCATCACATCGACCTTGAGAATGACTTCCCAGCGCAGTTCGGCAGCTTTAATCCAATAGCGCAAGTTCTCCGCGCAGCGATACGGCTTCGCGAAATCCGTATGCCATTTATCGATCGCCCCAAAGGGTCTCTTACTTTTCCTCACAACCGCATTATGCAATTTGACCAATCTCAATCCCGTCCTCATATCATCCAAGAAATCTGTAGGTATGCTGTCATCGCCAACTTCGTCGATGGATTTGAACAGTGGGAGAGTTTCAGGGTTGGTATCCATGGACTTGATGAATGCGTACTCCCTGTCTACGATAGATCCGTCCCAAGAGTCATCGAGCCAGGTCCAGCTTGCTCGTTGTTTCCGCTCTGCTTCCTCCATGGCTTCCTCCTGGCTTAGCATATCGTAGACGCTTGCTACCCAATTCTCCATCGTGACCCGTTCTTCCGAGCGCATTCCGGCTGCGAAATTCCTCGTTGCCATCCGCTTTAGCACGTCCATGACGGAAAGTAGTTCTGTCCGTATCTTGCGCTCGGACTTGATTGCTGCAAGTCTTGCGGGTTGATTATGTGCTGTGTAGTACATCTTGGCGGCGCGGATGGCAAGGGTCATGATATCCAATATATGCATGCCTTGCAGCTCGTGCCAGCCCCGATCTTCGTCTACCACCGGAGCTGAAGGGTGCTCCTTCGATCCCTGCGGCGAGGGTGGTGCGGAGGTGGGATTCTGCTTCACGTCATCAAGTAACTTGACCGCGTCGTTGAGAGACTTCTGGAGATCGTCTTTGAGCTCTTCTAGGGTAGGCGGACGTGGTATTGGCTTCACTCGATGTATGTAGGTACTGGCTGTCGGAGGGAGCATGTGTGGGTGATCTGGGTCTTCCTCCTCCTCCTCCTCCTCTTCACTATAGTATTCATCTTCCTGGGTCGGGCTTTCTACCAGCATCCCTCCCAGCTGTGCTTGAAGTTCCGGGCTGCCTCCCATCGACGCATACGATGAATCAATATCTGACCCCGTAAATTTGGGGGTGAGGAACGATGTATCCAGAGCCGACAAGTCCAAAGTGCCACGCTGATTCTCCTTCCTCTTCGCCAGCCGTCCGCCTTTCCCATCCAACAGGCCCGTTCGTGCGAAATAGTATTGTAGGTGTGCTATGCTTCCCAGGCTCAAAACGCTCTCTCTCGATTGTGCTGAGGCAGCGAAATTCGTTCCTTGAGGCCTTACATAGCCACGTCGTTTGGGCTTGTCGGGCCCACCAAAAGAGGACAGTCGATTAGAAGAATAACTCGCAGACGAAGACCGCGAGGCCGAGGTCTCGGCAGAGGTATCACTGCCCAAAGACTCCCTTCCCATGGTGCTAGAATAGAGAGATGGCTCGGAGCCTGTAGAAACACTGCGCGAGAGCTCCGGCAACGCTCTGATGGCCGGAGTCGGGGATGCAGAAGGCGAAGGCGACATTTTGTGGAAAGATGGTTGCTCTCTGAGCTCTTGTGTAGCAGCCATTATGCCGTGTGTATTTCGTACTTTCGATTGATGCGGCTGTGCTGTGTTTGATCTGCTGCGCGTTGGCCGAGCAGTCTATGAGACGCGGAAGATTCTATTAACTGGCTGTTACTTATTATAGTAGACTCCGAATGTCTTGGGACTGCCCGGCAGTGAAGTGACCTCGCTGCCTCTGCTTCTGGAAGAAATAGCTCGGAGACTGGTTGCTGTGCTGTGTAGTGTTGTGCTGTGGGAGTTGGTGATACACGTCGTCGAGTGTGAACGAAGAGGTGCTCGGCAGTGTGCGTTTCCAAAGGAGAGGAGGAGACGACAGGGGTTGTGTCGAAACAACACGGAATTAGTATCAGTGCTATGCCGGCACGTTATCGGGTTTAGTAGGTAGATGGGCATGAAATGAACGTTGCAAAAGAACTCGATGCTGCTACCATATGATATCCAGAGATTGGACGTTGTCGGAACCACAGGCTGCAGTGAGGGCGTAGCAACCAAGGGTTCAAGTTCATTCCATTCCAATTGATCTAATTAGTTAATTTTGTATCCCAGGCAACCTTTGGCATCCAATCTGAATTCAATTCCGTCCCGATCGACTGCTATTCTACAATTAATTTCGAGGTACAACATATTAGCGCACGGATCCGCCCGGCGACGACGACCTTCTACAGTATAAAGGCTTGCAGAATCCGAAAATTCTATGATATCGTCGCTGACTCGAACTGTCCCGAGTCACGTGTGGAATATTCAAAAAGCCCCTTTTCGAATTCCCTCTTTCCCACCGTATGATTGACCACACTTCCACAACGCGGGATGCTATCATTTTTGTCAAACCATTCCCGGCTATTCATTTGGATGTTTTTGTTCCTATGTCAAGTTCTGCGTGCTTGTCGAGAGATCCAGACACCTGGGGCATCTCAGCCCAGATGTAACCCCCGGCATGGGTATCGTTGCACGAATAGCGCGAACTAATTTTCTGCCAGAGGATTCGGAGGATTCGCGATTTGGCTCTGGCGATCGCTGGGAGTCTAAGTAGCTTGTTTTCTTGATACAGTAGCAGTACCGGTAGTAGAGTAGTAGCCCGCGAGTCATCATCATTTTCCGCGTTGAATCCGCTTGCGTTGTCCAGTCGACGTTGGATGGTATCTCAAAAGAATGTTGGTTAGGGAGATGAGGTCCGCAGGTGCAAAAGCGAGAGAACAAACCCAACTCCGTCTCGTCGTTGTCTACAGTTCATGCGGAGGAGAGAAGAGGGAAGACAGAGAAAATTGGTCGCCGGCTCCCGAACATCGATCCAAATTACCCTCCTCTATCTCTCTCTCCCACACTTCCTCCGTTACCTCCCCATCCACCCGCCATCAACAACAAGCACATGACCACTGACATAACTACTCGCCGCGCTGGCAAGATACACCACGCTCCCCTTGAAATCCTCCGGGACCCCCCATCTCCCAGCTGGGATCCTCTCACTGATACTCTTCAGCCTCTCCGGGTTTGCCAACAGCGCAGTGTTCATTTCCGTCTCGATGTAGCCAGGCGCAATAGCATTCACGGTGATGCCCTTCGAAGTCCACTCGTTCGCGAGGGACTTGGTCAGCTGGGCAACGGCGCCCTTGGAAGCGGCGTAGGCGGGCACGGTGAGGCCTCCTTGGAAAGTGAGGAGCGAGGCGAAGTTGATGATGCTGCCGCGGCGGCCGGAGGGAGATGCTGGCAGCGAGAGCATGTGGGCGCCCACGTCGCGGCAGAGGGTGAAGACGGTGGTGAGGTTGACTTGGATGACCTGTGTTGGGGGGGTGGTGTCAGCCCGTCACGCGTTTCTTTCTTCTATTTCACCTCTTCATCTATTCATCTCGCCGTGCGTTGCGTTGCGAAGTACAAGTACGTGCCTCGTTCCAATCGTTGTCTGGGAACTCGGCACAAGGATGCCGGCGCTGGATCCCAGCACAGTTCACCAAGATCTGGATCTCATGTCCATCTCTTAGGATCGTGGGCGTCAGAGCTGCGACATCTGCTTGCGAGGAGAGGTCGGCCGTGTAGATGGTTGCTTTCCTTCCCAGAGCTTCAATTGCTTGCAAGGTAGCCGTGTTGGATCGGTCGCGCTGTCATTACATGTCAGGATTTCCGAAATGCCAAATGCTGGTGAGCGAGGATGGGGGGAGGAATCCAGCATATATACTTGGACCAAAATGATATCTGCGCCGCACTCCGCCAGAGCAACAGCAGCAGCCTGCCCAATACCCCTCGTTCCGCCTGTAATCAGGGCCGTCTGTCCCTCGAGCGAAAACATCTTCATCGCTGCGAAAGCCATTGATTAGTTCTTCACTTTCGTGTTGCTCACTTTGGTATCCGGTGGATTTCGCATCAGCAAGTGACCGACACCGACTCTGCATTGCATGTATAATTAGTAATTGTACGGAGTATTTATTTAACATTCAGGCGGCGGACCGGCTAAAATGGAGGATATTTCTGCTTTTGGCCACTTTTGGTCTGGTGAGGGGTCTAAGTCTAAGTAATGCAGCCGTCAGAGCCCGCTCCACCGGCCATGTCACGAGACGGAAGATATCTGATTTTGTTGAACATATTCTCGATCACGAAGTTCTACACAATTACTGTATTTTCCCACATTCGATTCCCTGAAGTGGGATCTGCGTGAGCAATTGAAGTAGGTAAAGGAACAATGGCAGGCGAAACTCCGAATCAAGCGAGTTCGGAGAAGACCGAGCAAGTCGTTGCCGCGGTCCTCCATGGCATCCAGGATTTGAGGATAGTAAGTCATACATGTATATGCAAACAAATATATAACCTGGGTACCTATATCACATCACAGATTGCTGACAAAGTGTTTTCGGTAGGAACATCGCCAGCTGGGCTTCCCAGAGGCGTCCGAAGTCCAAGTCGCCGTGCAGAGCACAGGTCTCTGCGGCTCCGACCTGCACTACTTCAACCACTACCGCAACGGCGATATCATCGTCCGCGAGCCCTTAACTCTCGGCCATGAATCCTCCGGCGTCGTCACCGCTGTGGGATCCTCGGTCACATCCCTCGCAGTGGGAGATAGAGTAGCGCTCGAAGTAGGAATCCCATGTCTCGAGTGCGACCTATGCAAGACGGGACGGTACAACATATGCAAAGCGCTGAGGTTCAGGAGCTCAGCGAAGAGCTTCCCGCATTTCCAGGGGACGCTGCAAGGGAAGATCAATCACCCGGCTGCGTATTGTCATAAGTACGTCTTCTCTCTCGCTTATCTCCTTTCTCTCCTCACGGACTCTCAGGATCGGACGTTGACAAACCCCCACGCAGACTTCCCTCTAACGTCTCTCTTACAATGGGCGCAATTCTCGAGCCCCTCGGCGTAGCAATCCACGGCCTCCGCCGTGCCGCCCTCCCCAAATCCAGCACCGTGCTCATCTTCGGCGCCGGCGCAGTCGGCCTGCTCTGCGCCGCAATGTGCAAAGTGTACGGCGCCAAACACGTAATTATCGCCGATATCCAAGCCGAGCGCGTCAACTTCGCCGTCTCCAACCAGTTCGCCGACGCCAAGATAGTCGTCCCGATGAAGCGACCGCAGGCCATTGGAGAGAAACTGTCTTTCGCGAAGGAGGTCGCCGAGCTGGTGAAGGGTCAGGCCGGGGGCGAGGAGGTCGATGCCGTGTTCGAGTGTACCGGTGTCGAAAGCTGTCTGCAGGCTGCTATATACGTTCGTGCCCCTTCTCCCTGGAAAAGTCCTAACAGACAAGTGAATGAAGGCTGACGACCCACGCCCAGTCCACCCGCCCAGCCGGCAGAGTAATGCTCATCGGCATGGGCTCGCCCATCCAGACGCTCCCCATCTCCGCCGCGGCCCTCCGCGAGATCGACCTCGTGGGCGTCTTCCGCTACGCCAACACGTACGAGGAAGCCATCACGCTCGTGTCGGGCGGCAACCCGCGCCTCCCCGACCTCTCCAAACTCGTCACGCAGATCTTCACAGGGTTCGCGAGGATCCCCGATGCGTTTGCCATGGCCGGGCGGGTCAAGGACGACGACGGGAGTCTGGTGCTGAAGGTTGTTGTTGATACCACGGAGAACTAACGGGGCGCGGGGATGGGCAAGTTGTAGAGCGCGAGACGAGGTTTCTCTTCAGCCATGGTGAGGAGGATCAGGTCTTTGTTGGCTTGACTTGAGATTTAGGGTCCGTTGGCAATAGCCGAGGACCAGGGAATGTTAGACGAGGGCTCTTCTCTTGTTGCGATTTATTTAGGCATGACGCCATAGTCCACATATTTTTCTCCAGTCGAAATTTCCAGTTCTACGAAATGTCTACACGATGTCGTTTCGGATCGTGTCCTCGCACCAGTAGGCTGCCGAAATCAACTCCGCCCACCTAGGTTATAAGCTCCGCACCTTGCAAGAGCAACCGAACACCTTCTCTGAGCGAGAGTCACCCCTTACTTCACCTACATTCACACGATCGCTGTGTCCCAACTCCCCCTTAAACAATCACGCGAGCACCATTTCCAGCTTGATATCTCGGCAAGTGTATTTCCACATTTGTTTAGCCGAGATCTCGTCTCGTATTTGTCCTAGAGCCACAGGCTCAAAATTTTTCCTACCCTCGCCGCGTTCCAAACGCCAACTTCTCCTATATACAGTTGCGTCTCTCGCCCATTTGTTTTGTGCCAAAATGGCGAGCGAGTGAGTAAGGTATCCATCTCTGCCGTAAAAAACGCCCCGTGCCATGCAAGCAGAAGAACAGGCCCGAGCAACCAAACACCATTTAACAACGCTTCGCACACGCCATGTCGTCTTCACCAATCCACACCCGTCCAGCTAAAGTCCCCGTCGATGTTGACCCACTTCTTCTTTTCCATCGCATTCTCCCACCCCATCATCACTGCCAGCATCTTACAACCCACACTGCTGACGGTGCAGATTATCCTGTCGCTAGCGGTCCCCAAAACTGCTATGTCCAGCAGGTACGCCCTCCCCACAAGCTGCCTTAGCCGCAGCGCCTCATCCGTCGGCGGGAGCTTCGTGGTAGGGGTTTCTATAGCCGTAACCGGAACACTGGTCGGCTTCCCCAAGCTCCAGAACATGCCAGCGAAGAAACCGCCCTCCCAGCCAACATTCTCGTCGACCCACTTACGGATTGCACTTGCGGGCTGTTGAGCCGACTCGCTGCTCTTTTTAGACGCGAGTCTGATCAGCTCTTGCGCTCGTTCCGCATGCGAAAATTCCTCCGAGTCGTAGACGTCCGGGTCGTCGGACGCGAGCACAAAAATTGTATGCCTCTCAGCCATCTGATTCTTCTCGCCATCTTTGCCAGAATCCCTGAGGGCGCTGTCCACGAGTTCGCGGGATATTTTACCGTATACATCGAGAGGTATGTAGGAGTCCTTGTATTGGTACTCAAAGGGGTGGCGGTCGCCGTGGCGGACGTGGACGCCGATTATCATGCCGTTCTCGTCTTCGGGTGGGGGACGGATGGTCTTCTCTAGAAGCGCTGTGGCGCGTTCATCAACGTATTTCTGGTCGACGTGGTTGAGGTGGAACAATGCTTGATAGCCTGCTCGGGCTAGAGCGAAGAGAGCCTTTTGACGATCGACTTCCATCTTCTTGGAATTCTCGAATTCGTCCTTGAAGGAGCTCCCAAAAGTGTAAGCAGCCGTGGCTGCCGATACAACCAGATGGCGTGCTTGATGTGGGCATGGTAGCATCTCATGCCTCGGAGGGGGTCTGCAGGCTGGGATTGGGGGAGGTTTGAAGTAGTCGGTGTACTTGCCATAGGCCCTGATTTTGTTAGTAACGTATCGTAAGACAAGAAAATGAGACAAAAGCCAAAGTATGTTTCTTACCATCTCGAGTCATCGACAAAAAACTGCCTCCTCTCCTTCTGCGCCAACCCATACGCAGTCCAGATCATCATCAGCGTCTTCCCCAAGCTCGCATCTGAAGTCTCCATCAGGAAAGTCAGAGTCTTTTCACAGACGCCCGAATCGATCAGGCCGTCCTGATTGATTCCAACCAGAGATCCGTCCTCTTTCATGGTCGTCTTCGCCTTGAGTCCAGGCAGTAGTCCATAAGCCTCCGCCTCAGCCACATCCATGAAGTTCTTGTCGACATGATAGTATCCCTGGCGGAAATGCTGGCGGTTAAGATGCGCATGCAAGTCGGAAACGCGAGACGCTACCTCAGTATTCTGCTGACAAATCTCGGCGTATTGCTTAGGCTCCAAGGGGAATTCGTGGTCCGGAGGAATCGAAACCGTCCACTTGACTTTCCCCCGCTGGTCTGTTACCACCACGGGCGTCGGGTAATCCGGTAAGACCGACTCTTCGACCATCTCGTATTCCACTCCAGAATATGCTGCCCATCCTACTGGATTCCGGTAGGACTCCAGTTGTAGCCTCATGGAACCATAGTACAATATCAGCACTACCCCTACCATCCAGCAGAACACCCTCATATATCTCCTCGGGGCACGCGTAGGCGTCGGTTTCTTCCCATGTCTCGGTACTAAAGCCGGGAGACCGGGCGAAGGAGGTGGCGAGACCATCAGATGGTTGAAGTTGAATCGAGAAGAAGTGGACGACTTGGGACCTCGATCGAGAGAGTTGAAGCTCCCTGGCCTCAAGCTCAACCGCGGAGACTTGCGTGAAGAGATGATCATGTTCTCGTGTGTGTAGCTCTGCTTTGTCTTTTTCAAGTCGAGATAGAGTGGCATCTGGACAGCAGTCGACGCAGCCCAAGGGAAGAAATGAATTGGTGACTGAACCGAACCAAAAATGAAATCAAATGGACCGAAACGAAATGGAATGTATGGTATGGTATAATATTGAAACGAATTGAACGATGAATCATCGAAGAAGCAAACGCAAAAGCAAACGAATTCCGTCAAAAGGAATCTACAAGGGCGTAAGGTTGTCGGCGTGCCTGCACTTGAAGAATGAATGAAGGGATTCCTTCCGCATTCATCGGCCCCGAGTGCCGTCGGTGGGGTTCAAGGTGCAAACAAGAAGCCGTCGATCTCTTGTCATCAATGTCAGAGATAGATTAAAAATTGCCGTCAGTTGGAGCTTGGCGGGGGCGGCAAGGGGCTCGTGTAGAGCAGATTTTGAGATGATCAAGGTGTCAGTCAAGGTGTGCCGAGGGGGATAAGGGGGGGGGCGGAAATTCCTGGGGAAGAAATGCACAATGCAAAGTATAAAGAAGAATCGAATGGAATGGAGTCAAACGCGCGTCGATCACGGTGGGGAGAAGAGAAGAAGTAGACATGGAGAGAGAAGAGAGGGAGAAGAAGGAAAAGAGGGAAACGAGAGAAACGAGAGGGAGAAGAGAGAGTGGCAGACAGCTGACACGCCAAGACGGGCAACCGAGCACCTGACTATCAGACAACGGGATATCAGACCGTAGACTAGGGAGCACGGGCTGGCAGAATCCCCCCGCTGCCCTTACCCGATCCAATAGCATCAAGGCGACCTGCGCGGCTTTACGTACACATGGGAACTTCCGAAACACGGTCCGTCACAGCGGGAAGCCCCCATAGAGTTGCGGAGTTTAGACGATCTGCTAAAAACAAATAGGGGTACGATCTCCACCGAGTTTCCCTTCTTTCGGTCTTGGCTTTGGCTCGCTTATTTGGAGCTGAGCTTGGAGCTGAGCTTGGTACCGAGCCTCCGTACTTTATAGGTCAATCAAAAACAAACAAAACAAAACCACCGACCAGTCAAGCGACTCAGGAACCAATCGCCTCCCTGCCGCGCCGCACCGCATGAATCGCCTCCTAGCATGACCGTATTGAACCCTCGCCCAGGAATCCAGTACATGCGGAGTACTACTGGTACAAGTACCTTTATGCACGGAGAAACTTTACCTTACTTACGCATTGCTTACTACTACATACCCTGGACCAAAGCAAGGCAAAGGCAGGGGGAAAGGCAAAGCAAAGGCAAAGCAGAGGCAAAGGGAGTACTTACTGTACGTACTACTACCTACTTGCCCTGGACTCAGCGAAGCAACGCAAAAGGCTAGAAGCCAGCTACGACGGTCACCCGCCTAAACAGAAACAGAAACAAAAACCAAGTGCAAATACACCAACCAACAAAATCACATCGCCTTCTCCCTACCTTCCCACCTTACTTCAGCTTATCCGCCCCCCTTCCCCTTTCCCTTCCCCTTCCCCTTCCCCTTCGCAATCTACGCAGACGTAGGTACCTCCTCGTGCTGCCCACATCCAACATATCTGTCCCCATGCGTGGATCATCCTAAGCTTGGGGGGAAAAGGGGCTGTAACGCTCTGTGGTACGGAGTAGGGTTGGCTGCGCCTAAAATTGGTACATGTAACTTTATACTATTTGGGATGATTTTCGACATGGGGACAGATACCGGTACCCAACCCATGCTGGCCGCGCGAGTGAGTGGGTACCGGTATACGGACGGACGGAGGTGCAAAGCCCTTGCGCTCGTCACCGCCTAATTCTGCCACCCAATCCAAAAAATTCGAATCTAGGTGGTGACAAACTATGCGGCCTGCAGGCACCTCCGTACATACGGTATATGTATCTCAACCCTTAAAAGAAAAATATTAACCCAAGAAGAAGAAAACAAAGAAAAGAGTCCAAACATCCATCTCATTTCCCCCTTGCCGTGCGCCCCAAGAGCAATAATTAATAATGCGATGCGGAGGGAAGGGGAGAGGGGGAGCGGCTTCTGGCATAAATAGTAGTAATACACTTCTCTCCCTCGCAGGTTGGACTTCGGCTACCTACCTGCCACCTCCTCACCTAACTACCTAACCCACCTACCCGCCTACCTACATGGGACCAGCAAACGGAGAGAAGCCCGCATAACCACGACAACAGGGAGAAGGAAGACTCATTTCTGACGGATCATCTCATGGTTCATACCATGGCCCTGCGCTATGGACTGACCCGCTTGTAGATCGCTAGCAGCAGCAGCAGCAGCAGCAGCAGCAGCATCACCCCCACCCCTCCCATCTCTACCGACCATGAGATGAACAACAACACTGCTCATCCTTCTACCCATCCATCCATTTGCATCTGTCCCATTGCAGTCCATCGATCCGTGCCCTTGTGAACGCTCAAAACGCCTCGGAGAAATCACAACTGAATCCAGCATGTGCATGCCCAAACCCCCATCAACCGTTTCTGTTAATATAACAACAGGCCTCGCTGCAGCACCCTTTTCCTTTTCAGAGAAAGCCGAACCTATTTGCTGTACCCCTACCCCTTACCCCCTTTCCCCAAAAATCAAACCCCCAAAAGAAAGGTTCCCATGAGTAACGGACGAGAGGAGCAACAAAATGGGGTATAAAGGAAACATGATTGATTAAACGCGTCAAGGCCAGCCGAAACGCCCATATATGTCCAAGTAAAATGCATCGCCAATCATACACTGATCTCTGAGGACCTCTTCCTGCTCGGCACCCTGGGTGGCGCTTCAGTAGGCATCGCTGTGGGAGGAGACGACTTCGAAAGTACGGATTCGACGCCCATGAAGGGTTCGCCAGGCGCGTCGCGTTTCCGCTCGCTGACGATTCGGACATTACCACGAGTGCCCTTGACAAGATGCCCAGATTCGACTCTGTCCTGAATCATTTCGTCCAACATCTTGGACATTTCGTCAACGCTCTTCGTCCGCTTGCGTGTCTTTGGCGATAGAAGCCCAACCGGCCCTATGGCTAGAACCGGGAAAAAGGGACCACTCTCGATGAGTTGTGAAGGACGAGCAGAGACCGGATTGGATGAGCCGCTCTCAGACAACAGTGACGCGTTGGTGGGCGTCCGGGGCACTTCAGCTGTATCTCTGGATCTAGCGGCGCTTCGAAGCGCCGTCAACATCCGATCCTTATCATCTAGTCGAGCTCGGAGATCAGCAATTTCGGAATCCTTTTCCTTGAGCAACGCGGCGACACCATGGTCTTCTCCCACCATGACGCCACTTTTCGAAAATCCAACGGACGCTCTCGAGTGACTTGATCGCCGGGCTTGGATAAGCCGTTTCTCCAACGTTTGACAGTATCGATTCTTGTCGGCCAGATCGGCTTGTAACGCGCGGTTCTGGGCTTGCAAAGATGCGGTGCCATCGCCAAATTCCCCTGTAGAGTCTTCGTCCTCAGCCGAGCCCCCTGATAGCCTTTCACCAGAGAGCCGTTGATTGTTGGGCAGTGCACCTATCGTGGATACCGACTTGATTGAGGCTGTTCTCTCGACGGAACTTCTGCCGGCCGTTGATGGGGTGATAGACGAGCGCATTGACATTTGCGAAAGGTGGCCGTTGGACGCTACGGCAGACAGCCTGGGATGCATACCGAGCGAGGAATACGATCCACTAACATTGACGCCTGTCGACTTGGAACTCAGAATGAGACGGTTGAGGTGTTCAATACGCTCCTTCAACGCTGTTCGAGCTAGCTGCATCTCCAGCATCTGCTCCTCATGTCTTTGGTCAGCTTCCTTTTCACGTTCCTTTTCTTCCTCATAGTCTCTGGTTTTCGCTTGCGCATCTAACTGCCCTCGCAGCTCAAGAATCTCCATGCGGTAACGCTCAAGAAGTACTCTTGCACCACCATCTCCTCCGGCCCCCAAGGCTTCATCAGCTCTCTTGGCATGACTGATTATGTTATTTTTTGCTCTGGAGGCGAACTTCAACGTGTTCAGCGTCTCACCAGTGTGCGTGTTCTGTGCTGAAGCGCTACCGGTAGACCCGATCTGGATCGTGCAAAGGATGCTAACAAGTGAGTCTCCCGATAAAGCTCCTTGCAAGAGCCGGGTAAGCTTGCTGTCTCGATATGGAAGGTGTCTCCCATCCTTGTCAGTGGGTTTTCCATCCTTATCTTTATCCCCGGACAAGCGAGCTATAACTGTTCCGAGCGTCAACAAACTCTTGTTGATATGCGATCCCTCTGTCCGTCGTTCCTTGGTCTCTGCCGCTCTTTCAGACCCAGCCAAATCGATCAAACTCAATGTTGACACACGGACGCCTCCCGGTAGACCCGAGCGTTTGTTGTCAACCATAGCTGTATTACCCGGGATCCTTTCTCTGCTTTCCACCACAATCTGGACAACAGCGTGACTTCGGGAACTCCTGGAGTTGAATTGAGTACTGGAGGTCCTCCTGGCTTGGTCTCCTCGTGCTATCACCCTCAGAAGCTGCGTAGGACTTTGTACTATCTCCTCCTTGAGCGGACTAGCGTAAACCCCCCTCTTGGCATCTTCTCGTAGTTTGATTTCTTCCTGTTGAGGAGCACCTGGTCCGATGGCAGTCCCAGCTGTTGGGGCACTTAAAAGATCATGAATCTTCTCATTATAAATTTCCAAATAACTGACCCGAAGAAGAAATTCGCGCGATGGTGTCTCACGGATGTATGAGAAGATATCTGTGATGGCGAGGGGTATAACACCAGGCGAGGTCGCAGTTCCTTGCATGGAAAATGTCTTTCCTGTTCCAGTCATTCCGTAAGCAAATACAGTTCCATGGTACCCTTCCATTACTCGTCGTACCAGTCGTTTCGCCGAGGAATCGTAAACTTTGGCGTTGTTATCGTGTGTTGCAAAGACATTATCTGTATTCGGGTCAGAATCGCACTAGGAGCATAATACACCTTGACGTACCATAATAATAGTCACCCCCTTCTTTGCCACGATATGCTACTAGGGATCTCCTCCCGTCTACCATCCACTCTCCATCATTTTTGGTGGAAATTGCCCCGGCATCTGGACGAACCCGAACACTGACTAGCACATTTCCTTTCCCTTCGTGAAATCCGCAGTGGCCATTTTCATCGATGGCATCCGCAGGTAGCTCTCGGCCGCGGTATCCTTCGCCGTTTCCCTCGAATGTCGTCGCCGAAGTCGAATATGAATCTTGTGCTGAAGAGCTTCGGCTTTGTGGGGGGGAGGGCAGACTCAGCAGACCATCTGATCCTCGAGCACCTGGTCCGCTGGAAATGGATCTACTGTCACCGCTCCCGTTGAGCAAGCTGGGGTTCGTACTGATATAGCTTTGGCTCTGGCTTTTCGGGCTGGGTGCGGTCTTCCGTTTCCTAGCCTTGCTGCCCCCAGGACTCGTAAGCCCCGACTCCGACCCGCTGAATATTGCACTACTGGGCTCGATTCCGCCAGAGAGCGGGCTAGGTGGAAGGCTGGTTGTTCGTACGCCTCTAGGTGGCTGTGGAAATGCATTAATGCTAATGGTCTTTCTTATGGTCTTCCCAGCACTATTCACTCCCGGCGTGGACTTCGACGAATTTGTTTGACTCGGCAGGTATGATGAAGAAGGCGCACGAAGGCTGCTTCTGGGTATCGTTGGTGAAGAGCTTCCTGCACTCGAAGTAGAGGATGCTGGAAGGTTGCCTGTGCTCTTGCGTGTCTTAGACACAGGCAATGCAGGCAGTGCCGTTGTCGGAGGCCCATGCGATGGCCTTGACGGGCGGGGAATTGAGGCTGACATTGCAATTCAGGAGTGGCACACGATCGGATATATGCAATGAGGCACCAAGGGATAAGGTACAATCGTGTTGTCGTCCTTCAGTACACTACCAAGAGGTGAATTTCTAGACCTCCATGAAACGTTGAATATGCAGATCTGGAGGTGTTAGATCTCGGTGTCTGGTAGAGTAGTTCGACTGCCAGACGAAGAAACAAAACTTACCCACTTAGGCGCCTAGGTAATCTTGGGAGAGGGGCCTTCCAACGAAAGGGTGAGACGCTATAGGCACCTCAATAAGCCTGAGCAGAAGCCAGTATGTTTGATCCTAGTTTGTGTCAGTGCTTTAGCAGGTGAAGAACGATCGGCCTGTAAGCTGATACTAAGACGGAAAGCCTTGAATGTTTCTAGCCAGCTCTGGAGCTATGTAGGTGAATCAAAGAGGGAGAAAATCGTGTGGTAACTCACCAAGTCGAGTCGTACAAAGGGCTCGCAGTCGGCGAAATGTAGTGAGATGTGCCGTACCTGGCACAGTGTGTACCGTGCACTCCCTCTTCGTGGAGTGATTCTTGAACGCAAGAGCCTAGGCAGGCAAAATTGCGATTGTCCAGGCACAGACCGCGGTTGGTAGGCTGTTTGGTATTCCAATGCGCCCTTGAGTATGGAGATATTTGCGATGAAGAAGTTTATCCTGCCCTCCGAATGCCGCTCAAATTACCACCACTCGATTATGCGTTAAGGTTCAAGGTTGTTGTGTAATCCAGATCGTTTGTTCAACAGTCTCCGCAGTGTTCTGAGTGTAATGATCTGGTCGGCGTATACGGGGTTGGAATGATGGTTTCAGCCCGGGGGCCAGCCAAAGTCTGGTATCGAGTGGAGGAACTGACAGATGGGTAGTCGTACGGGGCGTTTTCGAATTTTGAGAGAGGGCACAGAGGTCGTAAATCTTCATCCGGACCGACACAGCAGATGCGATGCTTTAAGGCCACATCAAGATACGGGTTGGTGGGAAGAACGGTCGGAGGTTCACGGTGCGTTGAGGGTAGTGGGTGAGTGACGGGTGGCTTGCATATGCAGGTTTCGTGATGGGGGTCTACACCCTGGATGTGGAAAATGAGACAGGATGGTACGGTAAATGGTAAATGAGTGTTGTGCGCGTACAGGTGTAGTGTGGGCTGTGCCGGCGTGGCCTCTATCGGTCGAGTGAGAGTACCGAGGCGCGTTGGTTGTGATATAGGACGTAGGACGTAGGACGGTAGGACTTAGGACTTCGGACGGTCGAGGCGTTGAGGCGTCGAGGCGTCGAGGGAAACAGGAGCCCGAGGCCGAAGCGGACGGGGGGGGGAGGGGAAATAATAAGGAGCGGAATGCCAATGCGATATGCAAGATGCTTGATATGGTCAAGGGCGAGCGGCGGCGAGAGAAGGGACGAGAGAGAGAAAGGAAAGCTTGGACGACGAGTCGATGAGGCACGACTACGGGTAGTGCTACCGGTACCGGTACACCACGACCGTACAACACCACAACACCACAACACCACAACACCACAACACCACAACACCACAACACCGCAACACCACAACATCACAGCCAATCCTACCTACTACTCCCTCCTCTTGACCACTGGTAGAAGGGGAAAGGGGTGTGTAGGGTAGTCCGGATATAGTTGCTCCGTACACTATCACCTCCCGGTACCGGTATCTATGCGAAATGGTCTCTTCAATTAAACTTTCGCCCCCCCCCGCCGCCCAGATAAAGGAAATTGGCGATCTCTGGCGGCCAAACTGGCTGGTTGTCCACTATTTTTGGTTGTGGTGGAAAGGAGCCGAGCTTGTCCCTCACCATGGTCTACAGTACAGCGTGAGCGAGCACTCTCTGTACCTCTTGATTTCGAACCCCAAAATAGCCAGCCAGAATTGGATCTACATATCTTCGGCGAGGCACGATTCAGATCTTCCTTTCCTCATTCCGCTCCGCTCTGCTCTGCTCCCACCACTCTACCATCTGTTGTACGTACAGTACTAGTACTTACCGGTACTTGTACCTACTACGGTATCGGTACCCAATCGTCGGCTCGATTAGGTGGGCCTCCATTCATACTTTAAGACTATTAGCAGTCCGACCGTCGACGACCACGCCCGGGTTGTCGTCGGTCTCTCATGAGCTTATTTCTCGGGACTGATCAGCGGCTGATCAGAGCCCATCATTGCACTTCCTTTTTTCTTTTTTCTGTTTTCTGTTTTCTGTTTTCTGTTTTCTGTTTTCTGTTTTCTGTTTTGGCTGCTGATTAAACACAGCTGATGCTTGTATATCTATCTAGGTACTCTCGACATCCGGGGGGAAAAGGTAACAGGACCTTTTCCAGAAACACCCGAGTCGGTGATGGCCGCGCCGTTTGAATATCTTGCCCGACCCCAAAGTGCCTAGTACTGTCTGTACTCGAGTACCGGTGCTGCCGGTACATACGAGTAGAGGGAAAGATACGGTAGGTATTCAATCCGCGCACGTCCCCCGAAAGAGATTCGGCTTAGCGATCTCATCCGTACTACCGTATTCGCTCTGACTTCGGGCTCAAAGCTCCGCATGATAATACCTACCTAGTACCTAGTACTACTACATTCAAGCAATCGACCGGTTCAGGGAAAAAACCCCCCCCCATCCCCCAGTCATACATCCTTCTGCTCGAACTCTAATTCTCGAAATAACCATGCTAAGTCGGATTTGAGGTATGCACATATTATGATCGGCATGCTGCAGACCCCCGAAAGAAGAGAAGAAAGGAATTCGCGAACGTTGAACGCTGAACATGCACAAGTGCTTGTTTCTCACCGAGCCAGCGAGTCGTTCTAGATCTAGCGGGCTGGCTGTACCTTAATATCCATTTCCTTATTGTAGCGACTGCAGCCCGGGGTTTCTATATTTCCTAGTTATGCCCAAATTACCGTTATCTCCTCGCTCATCGTCTGATCTTGGGTGGCTGTCAAGCCTTGATGTACTGTCGTCCCATCACTATATCATAATTCATTGCCTTGTGCATCGAGGTGCGCTTTGCTGCCTGGCCCACGCTCAACCCCGCCCGATAGTCACAGACAACGGACGCCTCTGCCAATGCTTCTTGTATCAAACACTTCCACCATCCCAGCTCCAACGCACTCCCCAAGGATCCAGTCGAACGACATACCGTAAAACTGTTTCCATTTCCTCGTTTTCCCTGGCGGCACGCCTGCGAATTCTCCCCTGCTGTACTTGGCAGCACTGACCGCGTCATCTGTAGCGATCCCACCGTCCCAGCGCTGCCGTAGAATACTTTCAGGGGCTTCTCTAAACTTGGATTTCGAGAGGAGGGAGATAAGATGAGCCCGAGCATTGGCTAAGAGCTTGAGGAAAGGGCCTGTAGCTGGGAGCGCCAAGGTGTATTCTCCAGCGACAGGACCCTTGAAACATCCCCCAGTCCCTCCAGCAGCATGAACTGCCCCTTCCCCACCCACTGCTGCTAAAGATCCGGATGCCGCCTTCGAGATGTTATGCAGGGACGTCATGGTCCCTCTCGATCCAGCTCCCGGTCTAGAGAACACTTCGGTGGACGTCCAGGTCGCCGTCGAAGACGTCAAGTAACCAGCCATCATCAGTGCTTTCGCATCCTCCTCAGTAATCTGGCTCCTCGACACCTTCAACGCCGTCGGAACCTCCTTCAACAGTCCCAAAAACCTTTGCCCGACCCCCTCCTCTAATCCACTTTTCCCAATCATCTCCTCCAAATCCCTAACCATTATCAGCGCCTCTCCCATGCTCCCTCTCCCCCCAACCACAATCTTCCTCAGAACCCCTCCCTTGACCAGCTGCGCAATCTCCCTCTCAACCGTCGTCGGCGAGTTGAGCAAAGCCTGAATATGCGCCACCGTGACAATCAGTGGTAACCCTCTCCGAAAATTGAGCACCTCTGCAATCTTCGTCGAGTTCATGCCAGCCCTGTGCTCCGGGATCGAGGTCCACATCTTGCCCCTCACGTAGAGCAGTGCTTGCGCGACATCCCTGAGCGTCAAATCTGTAGCCAGCGCTTTGACGAGGCCTACATCATCCAGCCTGTCCCCGAAAAAATCCTCGTCGTCGTTGTCGTCGTCGTTGTCGGGTTTTGCCTTCGAGTTCGCGCGCTGGATGGGCTTGCTCCGAGGCAAGGAGGAGAAGGGCGAGGAGAAGCCGCGGTTCAAGGATGTTGGTTTGCCGGATTTCTTGATGCGGGAGGAATGGGCGGCGGAGAACCTGAGACTCATCGCGCGCTGGCTATGCTTTGTTCATGTGGCCTTAAGAACTGCTATCGTCGCGTGAAAACAAAAGGAGAGACAAGATGTGTTGTAGTGACTCAAAGTCCACCGCCACACAGGTCGGTCTGCTTACGGCTAGCCTATCGCTTATCCACTAGCTCCCGTGCGGGATACATGGCGTTTTGCAGTCACGGCCGTCTTCCCAAAATAATATTTAAATGGCCGATGGCCCATCACTCGTCATATATAATTCCTAACATTCACCTTCCATCCTTTCTCACCAGATCTACAATAGAAAAATCGGCAAAAATGCCGCCGACACTGATTCTCATCAGACACGCGCAAGCAGAGCATAGTATGTTTCCTGCCATACCTTTCCGAGAAACCGGTAGACATGCTGACGAAAACTGGAGATGCTACCAGGGTGAATTCCCCCCACCCCCCCCAACCGTCGAGGTTTTTCCAAAATATATATAGATATATATATATTCTTCTTGAATCGAGATCACTGTCACCCTCAATATGTAAACTTTTATGCTAACTTAACCAGGATTGTATGTCTTTCTCTATCCAAGATCTGTCATTTTGTGACATACCGTTACATCTCCACCTTGAATGTTTCGCTCCTGATTAGGAAATACAAGCCCGTCCATGAAAGGACTATCCACATCACTGTCTTTCCTGTTGTTTTTTGGCACCTTAATGAATCAGGCATCCTTGAAGAGCTTCCGAAGCTTCTAGCAGCTCTATTCCGAAGTCAAAAATGCCAGGTTGGCAATGCTAATCAGTCATCTAGACACCATACGTGATCCAGCTCTCACCAAGCTCGGATTCGGGGAGCAATGCGACACACTCGCAAAACACTTGCAGAGCGAGCTGCCTCTAGCCCAGAAAATCGAACTCATCGTCGTGTCCCCCATGATGAGAACCATTCAAACTGCCCAGAACAGTCTCGGATGGTTAATGGAGAAAGGCATCCCCGTGATTCTGAAAGCTGAGTTTCAGGAAAACTCTGACAAGCCGTGTGATACTGGATCAGCAATCTCAGTAATGGAGAAAAAATGGCCCCAGTTCGACTGGTCCAGCGTCGACTCCATCTACCCTGAGAACTCTGGTCTGTTTGAGTTCTCAATGGAGGGCCTGAGGAAGCGTGGAGTCGCAGCACGGAAGTTCCTGAGGGACAGGCCGGAGAAAGTCATCGCTGTGGTATCGCATGCTGGGTTCTTGCGTACCGGTCTCTGTCAAAGAGAATTCGATAATGCCGACTATCGGATCTTCGACTTCAAACAAGATAACGATGATCTGGAACTTGTCGAATGGGAGATGACAGAGCAGAAAGGTGGTGGGCTTGGAAAGAGCAAGAAAGGACATTTTCCTCTAAAGGAGGGAGACGCCCCCGAACTCTCTGCGCGCGGGCCTGGAGAGGTTATCAACGAGAGGCCAGTGAGCAAGCACTGAGTCTTCTCTACCGTAGAACTGAGATGATACCGTTGGATACTTTTGGAGGGCTGTGCATGGATAGAAGTGGATAGAGTTGCCAGTTGGAGACGGATAGCAGATTAATTTGGCATGCCACATGCGCAGGATTGCCATGAGTTTCTTCATCCAACTGCAAACCGGACAACGTGTCACGTGAATCCGCGCGTGCCCGTGCAGTTTACAAGCCCAGAAAAAAGGCCAGCTTATGGATTAGCCTTGTGATAGCTAGCACGCAGACGTCCGAGATACGTATGGACAGACAGATGTGATACCATGTGTTTGACCTATTTTTACCCTTCATCGAAGAGACCCGGGGGCGCAAGTCACTCCTTGGGTGCTGGCTTGTTCAGTTTCGAATCTCGCCTTGCCGTTAGATTCTCGCGTCTTACCAAGTCACCAGGCCTGGTGGCCCTGATAATAAATCAGGCTCGGATGAACACAGGCACTGAAGGGAGAGCGGCGACCATTAGGTCATAGGTACAAATATAGCCGTACCCTCACTTCGCTTAGGGTAAATGGCCTTGCCTTGCCCTCAAGTTGCCCGAAAGATGTTAGCGAAGAATGACTCGCCTTCAAAGTTCAGATGGGACGGTGGCTGTGGCTTGGTTCAAGGGGACTTGGCCCGATAAATAGCGCTTGTCGGAAGGATTTTTGGCTTGGAGATGAGCGGCCGAGATCATAGGTACTTTTTGCTCTTTCTCGTGATGATCTTGACAGCCATGCTCGAAGTCAATGTGGACGTATCGGAGCTGTCTCCGTCGACCCATCCATACATGAGGTCTGCCTTTATCCGTAAGGCTTTTGGAAATCATGTGGCGTTGCAGACGGGATGACGATGGTCGAGGAAGAGACGCCCCCTTTATTGTAGCGATGGGCACGCGTCTTAGGCCGTAGTAGGGATTTACCGCACCCCAATCGCCCGTTTCTCCAACGCTTTTCTTGATGATCGAGGCGGCGGCAGCAGTGGATCAAAGCGATAGCCGAGATACTATTGCTGGAATAGGACGCGGTCAAATACCGGTACTTACTACCTACCTGACTGGCGTACCTAGGCCTCAAGATATCAGCACAGTGAGAGGCTGCTTCAGAGACAGAGATGACTGACGACTGACGACTGACTACCATTCAACCGACTGAGCTGAGGAAGAACAGGACTTGACTTGCGGGGAGTTCCTGAGGTCGGGTCGGGGCGGTCAATAATCATTGGCGGATGCATGTCACACTGACAAGCTTTTAGCTGATCGGATCTGGTCTGGTCTGGTCTGGCCTGGTTTGACCTAGTCTGGCCTGGTCTGGCCTAGTCTCCAATGTGGAGTGACGAAAGCCACGAGCGGGATTGATTGTACGGAACGGACTGCGCCGCCGGGTTGTTGATATCATGGAAGTGAAGAAGGTGTTGAGGTAAGTAGGTCGGTCAGTCGGTCAGTCGGTCGGTCGGTCGGTCGGTCGGTCGGTCGGTAGGTTCGGTAAGTAGGTAGGTAGGTAGGTAGGTAGGGATAGTAGCAGATGGAAGAGAGGAAGAGAGTGAGTACCTACCTACCTACCTACTATACCTACCTTGCCGGACGAACTCTTTTTTTTTTTGTTTACGGAGCTTCGCACACTTTTCGCTTTCCACTTTGAGAGCCTACGAGGTGGGTCCCCGGACTAGCGTCATGCGCCCACGAGCCACTTCGATTGAGGCTGTGCAATAACTACCTCGTAGAGTACCGTAGCTGCCCTGCCCTGCCCTGCCCTGCCCTGCCCTGCTCTACGGAACGGAAACAAAACGTTACCCTCCATTGCCGATTTCCTTCCTGTCTTCTCGCCTTTCTGTCTTTCTGTCTTCCTGTCTTCCTGTCTTCCTGTTTTCCTGTCTTCCTGTCTTCCTGTCTTCCTGTCCATTTGCTCCTCCTGCCTTCGCTACCGCCCCGACTCCGACTCCGACGGCTTGTCCTGCACAATCCAGCGCATTGCACCGAAAACTCGCTTCGCGAATCAATCATTGCCGGCCTGCCGTCGTACCGAGTATGTCCATCGAGGCCGCGAGCAAATTCAAACTTCTTGACCGACATTCGGAGACGCGCGCGATCTGTCCAACTGCGAGGCACTTGGAGCGCATCTTGGTAGGTTAGAATTCTCCATTGCTATATCGTGGCCCGGAGAGGTTCTGACGCCTTGAGCAGCCTTGCGACGCAAATTGAAGCTCTTACCCCTCCACCCAAAACCCGTCCTGTCGATGGGACTCGAGATGCCATTTTGACCCCAGGCGGATGTGAGATCTCGAATTTGCGAAAGCGCAAACGGAAATTGGATGAGGAGCACGCGATAGATACACTGGGAACCTTGCACTTCAAGCCCATGGCATCCGAGCAGACTGGAGTATCCGCTCCTTTCAGTACGAACTCGACGGAACCCACCACTTCGGACCTAGATCCGGCGCGGGCAAAATCATTGCAGCGTGGTCGGTTGGATCAAATTCCAGCAAGTTTATCATCGATTGCGGATGCTGGACTGGAAGGATCGCCGTCCTCAAAACCGTCACGAACGAAGGAAATGTTTTCTCCGGGACCAGGATACGTTCCCATCGCTCTCACCGGAGAGGCAGCCTTGGTGGAGGAAAGAAGGAGAGTGGAGGATTATCAACGGAGACAGCAGCCTGCAATGAGTGAAAACCCAGGGCATAGGGCCATGTCGGCACTTATTGGTGGTGGAGTTGGAATGAGCAAGCCACAGGACGCGCCGGTTGCGACGACCAGCATGAGTGAAGGAATGGCCTCAGCTGCAAGTGTGATCTCCATCCCTAGTCCTTCGCATCATGGAGAAAGGCACGACACCAGCCCATCAAGTGTGACGAGCCTCGCCAGCTTGGGCAGTTCGGCTCAAACAGCAACAGCAAGCTCAGCAATTGTCGCTAGTCCTGGGGCCATGACAAGTGCCATTGATGCTGAAGCACGAGATTATAGGCCCGGAAACAACAATCAATTACAGATACCTGTTGATGAGCAGCACTCCAACCGTGCATTGACATTTCCAGATAATCTACTTGGACAACTGGATCCTTCACGAACACCTTCTAGAGGAATGAGTCTTCCTGCGCCAAGTCAACACCTGGCTCCGAGATCGCCGTCACACAAGAAGCACAAATGTCCATATTGTGAGACTGAGTTCACGCGTCACCACAATCTTAAGAGCCATCTTTTGACACATAGCCAAGAAAAGCCGTATGTCTGCCAGACATGCCAAATGAGATTTCGACGATTGCATGATCTCAAGCGGCATATGAAATTACATACTGGAGAACGACCGCACGTCTGCCCAAAGTGTGACCGGAAATTTGCTCGGGGGGACGCACTTGCTCGACATGCCAAAGGGCAAGGTGGTTGTGCTGGCAGGCGTGCCAGTATGGAAAGTTTTGGTGGGGATGATGATTACGAGGGCTCGAATGCTGGTGATGGTGATGAAAGTGTGATGGACGGCGTTCTATATGCAAATGGTTCATCACAACCAAACGAAAATGAGATGACTGAAGAGGAGCGTCGGCGCTTCAGCCTCCCGAGTATCAAAGCACAGCACGTATCTGGACCTGCTAGCGGAGACAGCTATGGCTCTCACTCTCGCGCACCTAGTACATATCCCCCTGTAGGGCCGAGACCAGGACAGCTCTATCCACCAAATGCTGACCGAGGCGGACCTCCGACTTCGACTACTCCTAGCATGCAGAGCAGTGCGGCTAATGGGCACACACCTAACACAAGCACAACCTCTACCATGCCACCGAGTACAGGAGGCTCTATGTTTTCACAGAGTGGAATGACAGAAAGTCCCAAACCGCTCAGTCCAGCTGGCACGCACTCACACCAGCTTGGACATGACCCCTCCATCAACAGACAAAGGTCCCCAAGTCTGACTGCACAATTCCAACAACAACATTTCGGACGTCGACAGTCGGGCATATCATCTCCTCCAGTCATGTCCCCTGGGATGTCACTCCCATCTCTCCATGGTACTTCACATGCTCCTAAACTACCTGGTCTCGCCGGCTTGGCACCACCAGACCCGAGATATACTCTTTCCAGTCAGGCACAAACCCAGCAAGTATCGACTAATGGTCCTCACGGTGGTCACTTAGGTCAACCCGCTGGTGGCCCTGCGTCTCCCAGTGCGATGTTTCAGGCCCAAGGTGGTCATACATCTAGTCGAGGTCAGTCTACCGGCCTAATGCACCAAGGCAGTGGTGATAGCAGTAACAATCTGTTCGCATCCGGAGACAGAGGCATGTGGAACTATGTCCAGCAACTAGAGGGGCAGGTCAAACAGTTGTCAGAAAAGGTTCAGGCTATGGAAAGCAATGAGAAAAGCCAGGAGGACAAGATTGGTCAGCTGTGTGAGGAAGTCATGCGATTAAGACGCTTGCTGGACTCCCCGAGCCAGCCCCAGCAGTCAATCCTACATGGACACTCGCAGCAATAATGTCCGTCTACGGGTGTACGACCTCGTACTATGTTAGTAGTATTTCATAACTGGCGTCATGGCGTAAGGCGGCGAATTTTTGATGTAAGATAGACATCAGGCTCTATTTTGGGGGCAAAATACCGGTAGGAAGCTAGGGGGAGGCGTTGGGGAGAATTCTGATCCCGTCGCAAAGTTTCAATTTTTTGCTTCATCTGGAGAGGCTCCAGGCTTCTCTCGCTGCCTATTTCGCCCAATGATTACTTTTTATTGATTTATGATCCGAAGAGGTTCGCGGAAACTTCACGTGGCAATCGGATTCCGGTCTCTCGAACCGAGAGACGTGTAATATAAAAAAATTTCGACCGTCGAGCCAAGCAGGTCAGGCTTGCCAGGTGGTATCCGAAAGGCCAATTGTCTTATGCAGGTTCGCCGGTACTAAAGTAACAGCCTTGGTGATCCACATCGGGAGCCCTGAACGGCATTCGACCCTAGTTTTAGATTTTACACGTAGATCCCAACGTTAAACGAAGCGTCGGTTCAAGTGAAAAAATGAATGAGTGATGGCACGATGATGTGCTTGCCTGTTGCGGGAGCAGCCCCCGAGCTCCATAAAATGCCGCCAAGCTTCCGCTCAACAAACGTCATCCTGAAGCTCATCCAAGCGCATCCACCTCATCAGGGAAACCGGATTTGGACCTGATCAGCCAGCTCGCCTTCCCCCTCTGCGGGAATCCGTACCGTACTTTCATAACAGCACCCCGTATCCTGCCCATACCTGAGTATCACTTCGATATTTCCGGCATACTCGGCGATACCATTCCGCCTGCTCTTTGATTTACGGTATTCGTACTCGATGGCTGCACCGATCAGCGCTCCGCTCAACGCTGAGCCTGCGAATCCCGAGGAACGCAAGGGGAACAACCTCCCGGAAAAGAGCTATGCGGATGCGGTGCAAGAGGAGTCTCCAACAGAAGAAACGGCGAATGCATCCCGGGGTACAAATGGGATTAACGGCGCGAGTCCAACTGTTGCTACCGACGCAAGTAATGGGTCAAATGGTACGGGAGAGGTGAAACATAAAGCTTCGGTCCTGAGGATTGTAGATACTGGTGCGCCGGGACCAAAGAAGAAATCAGAAAATAGGCCGGCCGTTGAAAAGCAAGGCTCGCAGCAGGAACACGCTGCTCCAGTAAGCATCGTGATTCCCATTCAAGCATTGGATAGTCGCTCACTGCGTAAGGGCCTTGATGATTCCCCACGAACCACACCTCGGAAAAAGCATAGGAAGGCTGGGTCCAAAGGCGGCAATAGCTCCCAGGACCAAGGCAGCTCTGAATTGGACAATCCCAAGACTAATGGAAAACATTCTAAAAAGGATCAGAAGGTGAAGGATCACAACCAAGACACTACAGTATTTGAGAAGTTTCGAGGGGAAAAGAATGGCTCCAATCTTGTCAGTATCAAGCCAGCCCGTGGCTACGAGAAGGACTTGCATGCCAACCAAGATACTCTCAATCGCCGGAAAGAAGACGGCCTTGCGAGCGGCCGGAAAGCTGGCCAAAGATGGGAGAGGAGCGCTATTAGATGGGCACCCATGAACGTTCCCTTGCAAAGGAGACTCCAGACACTCGTTGTGCTCTGGCATACGCTGTGCATGGCTCTCTGCATATCGGCCTTCTTTTTCCTTTGCGCAATACCTCTTTTCTGGCCACTACTGATTCCATACATGGTTTATTGTATGTCTTCAAAAGCATCGACTTCTGGAACCTTAAGCCATCGCTCGGAATTTCTACGTTCATCGCCAGTCTGGTCGCTGTTTGCATCGTACTTCCCGGCCAGGCTACACCGGACCCAGGAGCTTCCTCCTACAAGGAAATACATCTTTGGGTACCATCCTCATGGTATAATTTCTTTGGGGGCCTTTGCGGCTTTTGCCACAGAGTCGCTGGGGTTCGGGCAACTGTTCCCAGGCATTAAGAACACTCTTTTGACTCTCGATTCAAACTTCAGAATTCCAATCTACAGGGATTACGCTCTGGCTATGGGCATAGGTTCCGTGTCCAGAGAGTCCTGCGAGAACCTGCTTTCCAAAGGCGGTCCAAACAAAGTAAGTTTTCATCGTAGTCGCCTATCAACAACTTTCTGACTAGTCTTCAGGAGGGAATGGGACGCGCTATCACCATCGTCATAGGCGGCGCCCGCGAGTCTCTCGACGCTCAGCCCCACCAGCTCCGCCTCGTTCTCAAGCGCCGCAAGGGATTTGTCAAGATGGCCATCCGTACCGGCGCAGATCTTGTGCCCGTGTTGGCTTTTGGAGAGAACGACCTCTATGATCAGGTGCAGCCTGACTCACATCCCACGATCCACAAGTTCCAGCTTCTGGTCAAGAAGCTGCTAGGCTTCACTATTCCTTTGTTCCATGCACGAGGAATCTTTAATTATGACGTAGGGATGATGCCGTATCGCAGGCCGCTGAATATTGTGGTCGGGAGACCGATTAAGGTGCTACAGAGCGCGCAGCCACAGCAAGAGGATATCGATCGTGTGCATGCGGAGTATGTTCAGGAATTGGAAACTATTTGGCATACGTGGAAGGACACTTTTGCTAAGGATAGGAAGGAGGAGCTGGTGTTTGCGGAGTAGACCTGGGCTGACGAGTAGAATACGGGCTAAAAGACTGGACAACGAGTTGTAGGAAGGTGGCTTAGGAGATGAAGAATGGGCAATGAGAAGAGGAACACAGGTCTGTTCGTTGTATATTATGGGCCTTTGGTGCTGGCATGGGGTATTGAGCTAACTGGAGTAATCGCTATGCACATTTGGAACGTATAGAATGGTCGGGGATAGAGGGATGGTGAGTCCTCGATCCCTAATTATTTTGACGCCAATTACGTGTATTTTCTAAGCGCACCTGCTTGCTATCGAGTACTTCTTTTTGTTGCACGTCGCAGGCTATTTCGAATTCAAAAAGGATACTTAGCCCGGCGGCTGGAGCAGGTTGACAGCCGGGAAAATATTCTTTTCCTTTTTTCTCCCCTACACTTCACGTCCATTATTAAAGTCGGTTTCGGACATTGAGGACGGTTGAGAGTTTCGGAAAATCTTACTCTTGGAAATTTTGACTACAGTCTACGCTTCGCACTCATTATCGATTTATGGTCTAGAATATTGAGAAGGATCTGGAGTTCCTGGGTTTGGGGTTTCTGGGGAAATTGTAATAGAGAAGAAATTCGCGAAGGCTTATTATTACAGACGTTTTTCACTGGTCGATCATTTGAGCGGATACTTGATTCTTTATAAATGGATGCTAAATGAGTATTCCTATTCACCTACCTATCTATCTTGCGATACGTACTGCGCCATGATAGGTAGTGATAACGCGGAGAGATACTTTGCGATTAGTTTCGTGTAATCTTTGTTTATACCGGAGCTTCCAGATCTGATCTGGACAGAGTTATTTGATAGCAAGCTTTGGATGATCTTCACTTACTTGAAATAGATATATACCCTTCTTCTAATATATTTTTAATGATGTTGCTTTGTACCTCCTGGAGAGTAACTGTGCCTCATTAATTGCGTCTCCTATACGCCACTTTCCTCAAAATTCCATATGTCTACGAAAAGTAGAAAACTGTACGGTTTTCGGCCCTCCGTCATCTATGCTAATAGCGAATCAGCACGTCTCTGTTCCATACAACCGTTATCCACGATAATCTTAGTGGACTCACATCTGCAAGTAAGGGGCGGGTACTGTATGCGAATCCAGGGACGAGCCAATCAGCGGAGACAGGATTGCGCATTGATATCGACCTCAAAAAATATTATTGGGGACCAGCTCTATCTAATAAGAGCTCCTACCAAACACCTTTCTCCACAACCACCTCCTTTTTCTCCAAAGCCCCCAGGACACCGAGAACTGTGTCGCGTCTGCAAGATGGGAATCCTCGATGCAATTTCGGCGCCGCTGAGCCAGCAGATCTCGCAGTTCGGGTTGGGCGTTGTGGTTGCGGCGGCCTTTGGAGCCTTCTTGGCCGTGTCTGTCGTCCTTAATGTGCTGAGCCAGTTGCTGCTCAAGAACCCCAATGAGCCCCCTGTGGTGTTCCACTGGTTTCCTATTATCGGATCTACGATCACGTATGGTATCGACCCTTACACATTCTTCTTTGATAACAAGGCAAAGGTCGGTCACTCTTTCTCTCTCTCTCTGATGCGTTCATGGCGTCGTGCTAACTGAACTGCAGTACGGCGATTGCTTTACCTTTATCCTGCTCGGCAAGAAGACGACTGTGTATCTTGGGACGAATGGTAACGAGTTCATCTTGAATGGGAAGATCAAGGATGTAAATGCGGAGGAGATCTACACGGTCTTGACAACACCAGTATTTGGAAAGGATGTGGTATACGACTGCCCGAACTCCAAGCTGATGGAGCAGAAGAAGGTTCGTGAGGAATGATGCAGGACTATCGAGATAGGTCGGGCTGACTACTTTCATCCACAGTTCATGAAGATTGGACTTACCACTGACGCCTTCAAATCCTACGTCCCTATCATTCAAGACGAAGTCGAGACCTTCATCAAGCGCTCTGCAGCATTCAAAGGCCAGGCAGGAACTGTGGACATCCCCGCTCAAATGGCTGAGATTACTATCTATACCGCTTCTCACTCTCTCCAAGGAAAGGACGTACGCGACCAATTCGACTCTACATTCGCCTCTCTCTACCACGACCTCGATATGGGCTTCAGCCCAATCAATTTCATGCTTCACTGGGCACCTCTTCCTCACAACCGTGCTCGCGATCATGCCCAACGGACAGTTGCAAAGAAATATATGGAAATCATGGAACTGCGCCGCAAGGATAAGAAGAGTCTTGAGAATATGGATATCATGTCGCAACTCATGCGTTCAACCTACAAGAACGGAATCCCGGTCCCCGATATGGAAATTGCGCATATGATGATTGCGCTTCTGATGGCTGGACAACATTCTTCTTCTTCCTCGAGCTCCTGGATCATGTTGCGACTTGCTGCCAGACCAGATATTATGGAAGCGCTTTACCGAGAACAAGTTGAGGTATTGGGAGCAGATCTTCCTCCTCTCAGGTATGAGGATCTCGCTAAGCTTACGCTGCATCAAAATGTCTTGAAGGAGGTCCTAAGACTCCACACTCCTATTCACTCTATCATGCGCAAGGTCAAATCCCCGATGCCAGTCCCGGGAACAAAATTCGTCATCCCAACCTCTCACGTCCTTCTCGCATCACCTGGGTGCACCAGCCGTGACGAGAAGCACTTCCCTGATCCACTGTTATGGAACCCGTACAGATGGGATCCTAATTCTGGTGGAGTCTTGAATACCGAAGTCGAGGAAGAGACCTACGACTACGGATATGGTCTCATCAGCAAGGGTGCTAAGAGTCCATACCTTCCCTTCGGTGCAGGCAGACATAGATGTATTGGTGAACAATTTGCCAACGTGCAGCTGATCACCATCACGGCGGTTATGGTACGGTACTTCAAGTTCAAGAATGTCGACAAGAGTGCAAAGGTGGTTGAAACCGACTACACGAGTCTATTCTCGAGACCTTTGGCCCCTGCGGTTGTCGAGTGGGAGAGGCGCAACTGAGGATCTGATGGAAGTGAGGGAAATAATTAGCGATGTGCATTGGCAGGCGTCTGGGCGAAGGGACTTTTCTATTTACTTATCAGTAGGTGGCTCTATCTACCGGTACTCCATAGATTCCGTATTTGTGGGGGGGGAGGGGGGTCGAGCTGCTGCATTGTATCAACAAAGTCTATAGCATACCGGTATATCGTAGTAGTAGTAATAAGGTTCCTTGAAGGGAAAATCCCAAACACATGTCGCCTCACCTCATTGGTGCTGCCAACTAAACACAAGCTGTGGGCTTTGATGCAGTGGCGGTCATGCCGAGGAACGCAATGCAAGACCACGGACAAAGGGTCCTCCGTAAGAGAGGGTCCTGTATGAAAATGACGACGAGAGGAATCCCGGTACTGTACTGTGCTATACCTACTGTATCTTGGAGCTACATCAATCTCACATAGACGATCCCATCGACAATATACTGAAAGGTCCCGTTGTGTATTCATTCAAGTCTTCTTTTTCTACACTTTTCACAAGGAAGCAATCCACGCCAAGACATTGCCGGGACCCCAAGAATAGTGGATCCAGATCCTAAAATCGCCCGAAATCCAATTCAAACCGCCTGGACGACTTACCGCCTGGACGAATTGCCGCGCAGTTCAGCCCTCCATGCGAGCGGGATTGCTTAAGAGCAACCTCCCGCCCATTTCATCCTATGATACATCGTCATTCACTATCGTTTTCTGTTCCACGCGTGTAATCAACCCCGTCAATCCTGTTCTCGCATCTACTTTGGGTCTAAAACAGCGTCAGACTCACACACTGCTCCCCGCTACAACCCCTCTCTTTCATACTCGACACCGCTGCTCGCGCCGGAAGGAATCTTCATAATGGTGTGTACAGGGCCCTCGTTGACTGTCGAGTCGTGCGAGGAGAGGAGCACAGCTGCGATCGCGACGGGCAAAGATGACGAGGAGAACAAGCCCACTTACAGGAGACGACACTCTTCCTTCCACCCCCGACGGAACAGTACAGAGTCCGGGATTGAAGGGGATGACCGATTGCTTCTCAAGGTATGGGCGAACCACTTCTGGCAGTCTGCAGGGCGCTCATTGACGGTTTCAAGGTCGACATCTTCCTGTCCGAGCTGGAGCGCCGGCTGGATTTCTTGGAGAACTACGGCAACCTCAACTTCGATGCTGGGATCTCGAGGGCGTATGTGACGTTGCAGGCTGTACGGGCGAGATGCTCACAAGTCTCTGGGGAGGTAATTGGGGCTGGGAGACGGAGAGCGAAGGTTATGGTTGAGACGGTGGAATCCCGATACAAAGATGCGCTGGCTGCGAAGGGGACGATGAGTGACAAGGTACATACCGGCATCTTACTATTGGAGACCATTCTGTCGGAATTCGAGACAAGGGCGTACAAGATGAAGGATCAGGGTTTTGCTGGTGCTGCGGGCTCTCTGATGGATGAGGGGAGGAGGGTCGTGGATGAGGGGATCGAACGAGCCCGGGAGGTCGTGGACGGAGGCATCGGGAGGGCTCTGAAAGCTGCGGAAACAATGGAGGAGCACATCCAGAGGGCCATCGTTCGGGCCCGGGAGCACGGGCTTATCAGATATGAAGATCTCCCAGTCCCTTGGCGAGTCAATCCCCATATCGTGAAAGGCTACCGGTTCAAGGAATCCAAGGTTGACTGCGTACGATCCATGTTCGGTCTCTCTAACGAACTCGTCAACATCTGGTCTCACGCCATCGGCCTCTTTATTGTCCTGGCCATCGCATTCTACTTCTACCCTACCAGCGTCAACTTCTCGGTCAGCACCAAGACCGACGTCTTTATTGCCGCCGTCTTCTTCTTCGCCGCCTGCAAATGTCTCGTCTGCAGTTGTATGTGGCATACGATGAACAGCGTTGCGGACCAAACCGTGATGGAACGATTCGCCTGTGTCGACTACACTGGAATATCCTTCCTGATCGCTGCATCGATCATGACGACAGAGTACACGGCGTTCTACTGCGAGCCTGTGAGCTGTTGGATCTATATTACTCTCACCGCTACCCTCGGCATCGGAGGTGTCATCCTCCCCTGGCATCCAACATTCAACCGGAGTGATATGGCTTGGGCACGAGTAGCTTTCTACGTTACGTTAGGGGCGACCGGCTTCGCTCCCGTCTTGCAGCTGAACCTCGACCGAGGCGGAGCTTGGGCGTGGGAATTCTATGCGCCTATAGCAAAGAGCATCAGTGTGTACCTCGTCGGGGCTGTCGTGTACGCCAGCCAGATCCCCGAGAGATGGTGTCCGGGTGCCTTTGACTATATCGGAGGTAGCCACAACCTGTGGCACTTCGCCGTCTTGGGCGGCATCCTGTTCCACTACATGGCTATGCAAGAATTCTTCACGGGGGCCTTTGCACGAGCGCAGAATGGGTGTGCGTTGTATTGAAATCCTACCAGCTCTTCTACCCCCTCCCTAGTGTTTATAATTTAGTGAAGCGCGGAATCTTTCTTGGCATGGCGGCGGCGCAGGCGCAGGCAGGCGAACACTCGTTTTGGATAACGCGTTGTGTTGTGTCTAGATGAGGATGACCATCTTCCTCAATTCAAAGCCCAAGTGGTCTGGCCATTGGCGAGTTGTTCTTGTGCAGTAGAGTAGGTAGGTAGGTAGGTAGGTAGGTATCCATGACCACATTCTCTTTCTTTTCCCTCCTTCCTACAAGCACACATGTCTTTTAGCGGGCAGCCAGTCCCCATTTCATGTACGGGGCCTCGCTAAACGACATGCTGGCTGTACAACATGTAATTTTTTCTGTCGCACGTCGCCTCTCAACTATGCACCCTCACCCTCCTTGTTTAGTTTAGTTTGGTTTTTTTTTTCCCATATGTTTTTGCATTTGCTATTCTTCGTACGTGGTGGGGGTGGGGGAGGGTAAAGGGGTGGCGTTGTCAACCACTTTTGCATGTGCTTTTTTTCCCCCGCAGACACTCTGTACCTCCTGTAGAGAGACAGGCTTCCCTCACGTCGGATTCGGCCTCTTCCCCCGTGCAGCAGTACCCATGTCAGCCCTGAGCGCCGAGACCCACGAGGGAGGAAGAGAGCCGGAAACAGCCACTCAGCCACGAGCCGCATAACCTTGCTTCTGTGGTCTCTACAGTCCGTACGTAGTAGCACCAGCAGCATCATCATCATCATCATCATCATCATCATCATCATCATCAGCGCTCTCACCGAGATCCCTGCAGCGACTACGCAATACACGGCTCGGGTCGGAATCAATGAAAACGATCCCCGCAGTACGACTTTATCCGCTGCTACGTCACAGACCGCCAGTGGCAATGGCACTTTTATGCTGGGGTGGGGGTACACAGCTGCTGCGCCGGTCGCCAAACTGTCGGCAAGAGGATCGCTGAAACGGGGACCGTTTTGGGACACCACTGTGACCCAAGTTGTCTTCGAGGCAAAGTGCTGACCATACTGGCTGGTAAGGAGGCAACTAACAGTCAAGTGTCATTTTTAATTCGAGTCTGAACCATGACAAATGTTCAGTTCATTCGATGTCACAGCAGCGACTTAAGAAGCACTCCATTCCACGCGCAGCGCCTGCAAGCGAATTCGACCAGTTATCCGACAAAGCACAGCAGTACTCAAAACCCACGGCCGGTCGAGCGAGATGCCTCCGAAGCTTAGGCATCACCACGGTCCATCGGAGGAGAGCGAGGATAAGCGCAGCCCAGTGAATCCCGGGCAATGTCAAGGAACAAGACAGGTAGCGTGGGAGATGGGATGCCCTCTGATCTCCTGTTATAGCCGGCGCTGCTTTCAGATGGGCCCCGTCCTTCAGACGAGGCAGCGGATGATACTTGGTAGCATTCAATAACAGTCCAGTCATGTCGAGGCTCGCCGGCCGACAAAGGGCTACTCCGGACGATCCTCGCTGCCTTGCGCTGGGAGTTGCCCGAAAACTTGAAGTAATCCGTCGTCAGTTTGACTCTCTTACTTTCGAGACCAGGTTCAAGGTCATCACTTGGGCTAGTTGAAGATTCCCAGTTCTCGTCGTAGTCATAGTCAATTCCTGGGGGTGTTGGAGGCAAGCCGTTCGAAGACGTGGACGTGATTTTAACCTTTCGCTTACTACCTGCCGTATGATGGTTGTGGATCTGGAATCCAGATGTCTCCCTGGAGGATGGCATCATTTGAGCCGTGTCTTGCTTGTTACATTCATGATGCAAATCGAGCTTCAAAAATGCAGAGGATTTGGCCTCCTGGGTAAAGTAGGGTCAGCAGTTGAAAGTGATCAGACGTCGTGGGAAATGCGAAAGCCAGAGAGAACTTGCATCCTTGATCCGCACAGCGGCATGCCTCTCCCTCATCCCAGCGCCAAAGCTGTCCGCGCAAAAGCCCGTCACTCCCTCTCCGGGCGCTCTCGGCTCTCTGACCGAAACGTACTGTTCCAGCACTTGTGTACAGACGCCGTACCTGGCTCTATAAGCACTGCTACGCTGATAATCAGCACGTGCTATCACTACAAGATCGGGTGTCTTGAATTTACCGTTGTTTCCGCTTCAGTGCGAGGTCAGCACTGCAGATTTCAGCTGGCTGGAGACAGTGAGCGGCTACGTCGGCGATCATGGCGAGCCGGATTAAGCTGGTCTCCGCCTGGTTGGGTACGGTGGTATTGGCCAGCAGTGTGGTGTTCGAGTGCGCTGTCTGGGACGTTTTCCTTTGTAATGAATAATGCGTAGCGTACGCGTAGTGAATTATCGTATGCGCGGCTATAACCAGATGATTTCCATGAATGTAAGGAATGTACGGAGGATTCTTCAGATCAGAGAAAGCTGAGAAGTTTTTCAAGGCAGTCAGTCAGTCGCTAAGAGTCAGAGTGGCATGGGAAAGAGCGACGACCCGTTCCAGCAAGCAAGAGCAGAGGACGGATTCTTCGAGATATGTACCCAAGGGCCGCCCTACACTTCCCTGTAGACGATACAAGACAGAAAAGATGAGCATAGATATCTAGAAATTGTGAACGCCCCAACGTCCCAATGAGTCGGATTTATTAGCTGGAGGTGTTAACCTGAAGACCGGCCAGCACAATACCAATGTGCCATTTATTTACCAAGAATTCTATACAATCCCCATACAAACATCAGACTCACCACTCATCCCCAAACCCCGCCGCGGCCTCCAAATCATCCACATTGATCAAGTCCACACCCTCCGTCCTAAACTGCCTCCAGAGCCCGTTCCGTGTCGAGATCGGCCAGCCAGGCTGATCCCAATACCTCACTTTGATGCCCTTGCTATGCGCCACCGCAACCTGACTCCGCAGGATAGCAAGCTGGGTGTCGTTCAGACTCGGTCCGAGGACGGTGCCGCCGAAGGCAGAGCCCACGGATGCAGAAGCAATAGGCGAGACGAGGGAGCTAATGTTGGAGAATGTTGAGCTGAGGGCCGGGAGGGGCCCATCCCAAAAGTAATCTCGAGAGGCGATGGGCTGGATGAGGTTCAGGGGCGTATCACCGGTGCCGATGACTGTTACGGCGCCGCTGGTGAAGGTCGTGCCGTCTGTGGAGGAGAGATAGCCGGCGGAGCGTCTGTTTTTCTTGTCAGAAAATACTCCAAGTTGTATGCTGAACTGAATGGGGAAGTTTGTTGATATCACGTGGCAGCAAAGAAAGGGGTATTTTGGTAGGTTACTCACAGGGGCTCCAGCGCCTTAACAACCACCGGCCAAGTCTCCGGCCCACTCGTCTTTAAATCAACAAACAGATACAACGTTTGTCCCGAATCGGTGTCGAAGACCCCGTTGTAGGTCTTCTGTGTGACAAATGGCGTGCTAGGATTTTGACGCTTGATAACATCGAGAATTGGATTGATATACAACGACTCGAACGTACGTTGTTTGGTGAGGGCAGAGATCTCGTGGCCGACGAACAGCGTGCCGTTATACAGCCAGACGTCGACTTCGATGGAGATGGCGCCTACAGAAAGGGCGCTGTAAAAGGGGACATCCCTCCAATCTGATACTCCTACATCAGCTCCTCTACCCACGCATAGGAATCTGGAACTCCGGAACACCCACAGTCATTATGCGAATGTATCCCCTTCTACAGACAGCACAGAAATCAGCCTCCTAATATTCCCCTTCCCCCCAACCCACCCCCTTCTCCAACAAAGCAAGATCACCTACTGGTAGAATTCCCTGCGTCAAGCTCGTGGGATACGTATACAACGGCCCCTTATGGGCCTGATCCAATATCTCCTGTAGACTCGGACTCACGTCTGGCTGGCCCGACACCTCCGCCTGCACCCGTTGGATGCCAACCCCCAAATCGAAGCTGCTGAAACCCAGAAACGCATACGCGAGCAACAAACACGTCGACACAGACGCCATGGGCAGTAACAGGCTCAGGCTCGCCGAATGTGCGGTCTGGGTGTAGCAGGAGCTCGCGAGTGTAGTTGATGCATGGCGGACTAGTAACATGAAGGGTGGTTTACTTCATATGAAAGGGGATGGGGGCAGGGGAGTGGAGTGGAGGGGAGTGGAGGGGAGTTGAGTGGGGTGGAGTGGAGTGGAGCGGAGTGGAGCGGAGTGGAGGGGAGTGGAGGGGAGTTGAGTGGAGTGGAGTCGATTGCAATTGCAATTGCCGCCGTGTGAGTACGAAGCTCAAATGTATTGGATATGTTGGTTGAATATCTTGTTGACTAGACTTGACGCGGCAACGTTTGTTTGTTTCTGGGGTGCAAATGTTACGGCAGGCCGGACCTTGCATGGCGATCGCTTAGCCAATAGGAGAGGCACGTGCTGATGTCTATTATGAATGAGTGTTGAGAAGGCGGCGACAAATTCGGGGACCCTCGGTATTTTCACCGAGAGCTCGCTGAGTTCTGCTGCTGGGGAGTGGGAGGAAGGAAGGCCGTGATTTGATAAGGTGTTTTGGAATACGTTGTGACAAACAAAGAACTTCCAGTCACTACCTAGCCTAGCCCGAGGAGACGATTGATATGAGTTAGAATCAGACTCTGAAGATGTTTTGCTATCCTATGATCGGAGGAGAAGTCGTTATTCGTTGCCATTATAGTCCTTGATGTTACACTTTTGTACAAACTTTCCCCGATTCCTCATAACATCGCATGCTACTCATATCCCATGCCTATGCAAATCCTTTTGGCTCTAAAATTCCCAACCAGAACGCCTTACAATGCTCAACCCAAGATCAAATATCACATTGCATGTGAAACAATCTCGGCGTATACATCGTCGGGTATCTTCTTGATAAGAGTCAAAGTGACCTCTTTGATAATCTCAGCTTGGAGAGGCGGGAACGAGCGTAGTATCTTTGTAGGACTGTAAATGTGTTAGCAGTGCAAAGCTTAGTTAGAAATGATTGAATTACCTTGGTGAACTCAAAATCGACGTTCTGAGCATGACCAATTGGGCCACAATACACAAAATATTGAGATGAGCTCCGTAAGCGAATAGAAAGTCCCATAGCCTCAAGACTTCCGGCAACGGTGGCGTACAGGCGCAAAGCGTCAGTACTGACGGGAAAGCATAGAGCTCTGCATTCATGCCTTTCCCAATCAGATACAGACTGAGTTTCGGGTCCACGATAGCAAGCACTTTATCAACAAGAGCCAGCCCCTTATGTACACCATCCATAGCACCCCTCACATAGCCCGGACACTCCGTCGTGATGAATCGATGAAATGCAACGAACGCTTCTGCCTCGCTCCTCGCCGCGTATAGAAACGGAGCAGCCAGCACATTCATACCCTGAACATACGTACCCGGCTCGCTCGTCCCGACCTCTGAGCCTTCAGTCGTCAACGTCAACGCGCGCGCTCTACTCTTCATGGCCAGCGTCGAGTTATGCAGTTCGGGACTGCCGTGTGAATTTGCCGTGTTTGTGATTCTAGTCAGGCTTGTCGACCTCGCGAGGCTCTCTGCGCGCTCCTCCTTCGCATCATGGAGTTTCCAGGCTACGGCGTTGAGTAAACGGATGAGGGAGGCCTCGCTGACGCGCCGCCGGAAGAGCGGATCGGTGGCAAGCGTGCGGAAGGTATCGTTGCGGATTTTAGAATAGGCAGGGGAGGCGCCGCGGTGGATGAGGGTGAGATACGAGTCGGTTTCGAGGACGGGGGCATTGAGCAGGATGAGCCAGACATAAATTCGCAACGAGGACTACCCGAAATCAGATTTTGCTTGCCTGGTAGAGTCCGCCGCGCAAAGGACTTACCATGCCATCGGTATCGCTCTTGATGCCCTGATCTAGTATCTTCAGCCTCACGCTATCCAGAGATCCAATGAGATCCTTATCAGGCGGCCCTTCTCGTATGAGCCTGTCCAGAGACAGCGCATCTGCTGCAGGGGATTTCTTGATCACAGGCCTTCTGCCCCCCGCCAACCCTGGAGGAACCGTCATGCTGTTTGCATCGCTGTGCGATCTCCCTCGGGTGTGTTGGTGCGACGCTGCGGCACCTTTCACTGGCGATGTATTTCTCTGGACTTGGTTATGCTGCTGCGAGATCAAAGAGGGCTGATTCGATTGCCCTAACGTATGCGCAGATTGCAGTCGGCGAAGGGCGCGATCTGGACCACAGGGAAGTCAGTGTTCGCCATGAGTAAATGTCTGAGGATGATCCTGGACGATTTCTTACGTGTTCGTGGACTGGGCGGGTTGGAGAGCGAGGGCGGTTGCGCAGGAGGGTGTAACCTGGGTATAAGGGTACTTTCTTTTATCATTGAAGACATTTTACTATGTACTCCGTTTTGGCCGAGGCACAATAGGCGATCAGGCGATAGATAGGTAGGGACGTAGAGAGGTATTACGACGAAAGGTAAATAATAATCACAGGGTGGTAATAGAGCTCTTGACCGATCAGAGCTGAGTTGAGCTGGACGGACCGTGGTGGGTGGTACGCGCAAACGCGTCGGCAGCCGCGCTCATTTGGGTGTTTACTCCGTACGGACAGCAAAACGTGATACGGAGTGCCAATGGAGGGCAGTTGGGTAGGTAGGTAATACCGGTAGATGAAAGCATGATTATTGAGTCGGCCATCCCAAAACACCGACGCGTTGATGGGGTAGGTTACCTCCCCTAGTTATTCCAGTGTTGTGGATGAAGGAAGGATTTATACGTAAAGCCATCATTACAGTTGCGTGCCCTTCCGGCTCTTCCGGAGAGTGGCACTACATGTAGGTAGTGCAACTCCACCAGGCATCACAGCAAAACAAACTTGAGGTTCCCCTTGGCCCTCGAGAAGAGAAGAAATGAGCGAAAGAGAGCGCGAGAGAGAGCGAGAGAGAGAGCGAGAGAGGGGCTTTTTCCGACTCTGTCTTTGTTGTTGAGGCCTGTTTGTTGTTTACCATGCTCAGCTATGACGCCCATTCCTGACAAAGGCTTCGGAGACGGGAGAACCAAGATCGGCTTCTAGAAACTCGTATGCACGCACGCCTTACTTACAGTAGCTCGTCCGACGTTGATGGTGTGCTTTCAGGCCTTTTACACTGCAGATGATGCAATAAACCCGGGCTTTCATTGGCTTGTCCAACGTCTACTCGTCTACGGACTCGTCCACTCGGGCACTCGCTCACTGGCATTTATTTGTCTCTATTTGTCTCTATTTCTTTATTTCTTTATTTATTTCTCTCTTTATTATCTACCAACCTTAAGCTGAGCTGGCCTCTGCATTAACTCTACCGTACCTACCTGTCTTTATCCATTAACACCGGCTTTTATAATTAGTTGTACATCCATAGTTGGGGGCGCTGGTCCTTCCGCCTTCCCGCTGGTCCTTCTGACTCGGACCCGTAGCTTAGCTTCAATGGCGGATGGCGTGCTCACTCTGGGCCATATCATGTTCTGGCCTCTCAACATTTTTATACCTATCTCAAAGTCCAGCAGGCTCAGAGCCCCTGTCAACAGTCTGCCAGAAGGAAGCAACATCCTTCCGAAAATCTGTGGAGATAGTTTTGGGTACAACCGAACCTTTGTTTACTAAGCTCACTTATTAGCGATAGTACTACTTACTATTTCAGCTAGAGTATCCTCCTCCTCCTCCTCCTCCTCCTCTCCCCAGACTTTGTCGACTTCGACCATCCTCAAGTCTCTCAAAGGGAAGCGCAACCGACTAATAAAACGATTTGGGGCCGTACGGAGTGTACCAGCAGAGCGGTACTGCTCGTAGTTCTGTCTTCATTGAGCCTATCCATCTTTACTCAAGCTCAACCTCGACGCATCATATGACTGCACGGGAAGTACGCCATTAATGGCGGCTGCTTCGTAATCTTCCCACCGAAAATCCTCGGACTCTCTCATATATGTCCATTCTCAAGGACAAAACCCCTCTACTCGTAGCACTCGACTCATCCGCCGTACCTGTACTGGACTATTAAGAAAGCTTCCTGCAGGTAAACAGTCTCAAGCTTAAGCTTGCCCTTCTATCCCAGATCTTTGTAGATCTCCTGTCCTGCTGCCAATCGGCTTGACAGTCTTGGAAGCTTGTCCTCCCTTCTTCGACCCGAGTCAACGTCGACCGTCGACTTCGAATTCAATCTTCGACAGTCACCATGGCTGCCACCAAAGTTGGACATGCCTTAGCCAAGGGCCTCGGTATCAAGCTCAATTATCGGAACGAGTTGGATGAAGATATTCGCCGTGGCGAATCTGTATTCTCTACTCAGACCGCCGATACGTACGTTGAGGAAGAACCTACCAGTGCCGAATGGCTAAGAGAAACAATCCCAAGCGGATCGGATCTCAAGTCATATGTGTGGTCTCTATTTCCCTTCCTTCACTGGATCACTCGCTACAATGCTCAGTGGCTGGCTGGTGATATGGTTGCCGGTAAGTACTCCTCGAAATGACATACACATGGCCACTGACTCTCGCTCAGGTATTACTATTGGTGCCGTTGTAGTTCCCCAGGGTATGGCTTACGCTGTTCTCGCCGAGCTGAAGCCCCAGATCGGGCTCTATTCATCGTTCATGGGTGTGTTGATCTATTGGTTTTTCGCAACATCCAAGGATATCACTATTGGTGTAAGCTTCAACGACGTCGTACAATTGACCATATTCTAACTCTCTCATAGCCCGTCGCCGTCATGTCAACACTCGTTGGCAAAATCGTCAAGCAGGCGGAACAAACCGACCCCGACATTCCAGGAAATGTCATTGCTTCAGCGTTAGCTGTCGTCTGCGGAGCAATTATTGTTTTCATTGGTCTCATTCGATGTGGCTGGATAGTTGACCTCATCCCTCTGGTCGCCATTTCAGCCTTCATGACAGGTTCGGCGATCAACATTGCCGCTGGTCAATTCCCTACGATGATGGGATACTCCAAATTGTTCAACACACGAGCCGAGACCTACAGAGTCATTATCAACTCGTTCAAGCATTTGCCAGATACGACATTGGACGCCGCGATGGGGCTCACTGCCCTTTTCCTCCTCTATTTTATCCGATCGGTTTGCAGCCTGGCTGCAAAGAAGTGGCCGAGAAGGCAGAAGGCGATCTTCTTCGTTGCAACCCTCAGAACCGCTTTTGTTATCCTCCTCTACACAATGATCAGTTGGCTCGTCAATAGGCATCACCGTGAAAGGCCTTTGTTCAAGATCCTAGGAAATGTTCCGAGAGGGTTCACTGCAGCCGCCGTCCCAACTGTCAATACCAGGATTATCAAGATCTTCGCAGGCGAGCTTCCATCTGCCGTCATTGTTCTTTTGATCGAGCACATTGCAATCTCCAAGTCTTTCGGCCGGATCAACAACTACATCATCAATCCATCTCAAGAGATGGTTGCTATTGGTGTAAGCAACCTTCTTGGACCATTCCTCGGAGGCTATCCCGTAACTGGATCCTTCTCTCGAACTGCTATCAAGTCCAAGGCCGGAGTTCGCACTCCATTTGCAGGTGTGATCACCGCGGTCGTCGTACTGCTGGCCATCTACGCTCTCACAGCTGTTTTCTTCTACATCCCAAGCGCCAGTCTCTCAGCAGTCATCATTCACGCTGTCGGAGATCTCATTACCCCACCCAACACAATCTACCAATTCTGGCGAGTTTCTCCCCTCGAAGTCCCTATTTTCTTCGCTGGAGTCTTGGTTACGATCTTCTCCTCTATCGAAAACGGCATCTACACCACCATCAGCGTCTCCCTCGCCCTCCTCCTCTTCCGCATCCTGAAAGCCAAGGGAAGGTTCCTCGGAAAAGTCAAGATCCACTCTGTCATTGGTGAATCCGTCATTGGCAATGACAGCAGACCCTTCCTCGCCCCAGACAACGGTACCTTCACCAAGTCTGGGGGGACGCATGATGTTGCTTCGTCACGAAACATCTTCCTTCCGCTCGACCACGGCGATGGCTCCAACCCCGATATTGAGGTCCAAACCCCATACCCCGGAATCCTAATTTACCGCTTCTCGGAGGGCTTCAACTACCCCAACGCCAACCACTACCTCGACCAACTTACCAACCACGTCTTCGCCACCACGCGTCGAACGGACCTCGAGCACTACCCGCGTCCTGGTGATCGTCCTTGGTAAGCTCCCCTCCCCTCCCCTTCGCTTCCCACCTCGAACCAAAACCTAAACCCCCAAAAAAAGAGAAGATAATCTAACAAGAACTTACAGGAACGATCCGGGCCCCCGCCGCGGCAAAGCGCCCGAGCTGCACACCGACCGCCCAACCCTCAACGCCATAATCCTCGACCTCTCTTCCGTCAACAACGTCGACATTACCTCCGTGCAGCAACTAATCGACGTTCGCAACCAGCTCGACAAGTACGCCTCCCCCTCGACGGTGGATTGGCACTTCGCCTCCATCAACAACCGGTGGACGAAACGAGCGCTCGTAGCGGCCGGCTTTGGCTTCCCCACGCCCGACACGAGCGCTCGGCACCGCTGGAAGCCGATCTTCAGCGTCGCGGAGCTGGGCGGCCGCGACAGCGCAGCGCAGGCGGCCGAGATGCGGGAGATCCGGAGTGCGGACGAGAAGGCGGTGCGGGTGCGGGAGGCGAGGAGCGGCCTCCAGGGCGACGGCATCGACAGTCTGGACAGCGATAGCGGCATGAGCGGGAGCGATCTGAAGCTCCATCTGGCGACGAAGACGGGGGCTCGGACCGCGGTCGTGAATGGCTTGAATAGGCCGCTGTTCCACATCGACCTGACGAGCGCGCTGCAGAGCGCTATTGCGAATGTGGAGGCCAAGGCGGCGTATGAGAGGCAGGGCGGCAGTGGCATTGGGGAGGTGCCGTGAGCGGGCGGCCATGGAGTTTAGGATGGATCTATTGGCGTGAAGGAGTGACAGCAGCTGGAGGCGATCTGCTTTGGTCAGAACACATGATACCTTTGTAGCTTGTTTTGATGTTGCGTTTCAAGTTAAGTGCATGTGTCGATTCCCCTTTCTAGGTTTTTCGCTTAGCGATCTTGTCTGCCTTGCATCCATTTTGGACAACCAACCACCACCTTGTGAGCCTTCTTATATCAACAGTTATTCAGTAGCCATCTAGCAACCCATTTAGCTAGCAAGTAATGAGGAATCACACATAATGCAAGAGACCGATCGAGCCTCGTTTTATAACACTTTGTACCTATATTCCTGTCTCGGCTAAAGATGATCATTCTCACTCGAATTTGCTGCCGGCAAACCAACAGTTTGTATGCCTGTCCATTCCAAGGGTTTGCTAGCTTGGGGAAGAACCATTATCTGATTTGGATAATTTCAATTTCTTGAGCTTGGACCCAGGCATGATATCTCTCGATGTATGTATGACTTCAGGTTCCACGTTCCCTCCTCTTTCATCTCTCATCCGAGGAATCATCGGCACAATCCAGATTCTATTCCCCACAGTTAAGTAAAGTACCGGTGGGTGGGGGATGGGGCTCACCCTCCGATTATCCTCTAGAACTTGTCGATTTCCCTCTTGGGCCTTGGCATGTCACAATGTATCACAGCAACAAATAGAACGACACGCAAAATATGAGAAGTCGCTCAAAACCTCATGGGTATTTGTTTTAGACGCTATGTACGCTACGTAATTCCACGTGAGAACGCTTGCGAGTGCTTCCTGTAACTCTCCCGTCCAGCATGAATGGTGCGCAAGCAAATCATGTTCCCTCCCAACTCCATGCTTGCAGAGAAAACTCCATCCCAACCCGCATTGCACAATTCCATCCCAGTGCAACGCATGCATGCGATATATTCAAATTTGTCCAGACATTCCAATGGAAAACAATTTGTGTGCCGTAGCATCAAGTCTATCGATGCGGAGAAATTGGTGATCATCCCTTGGAAAAATTCACCCTCGTAGAAAAAGAAATTCCCTTCATCTCATCATGTCTTTTGCACAATTTAGCGGGCGATGCCTCCAATCCATGCTTCTTGTGGTAGGTTGGCCTATGATTTGTTAGTTGCGAGCGCGTGTGGGAGGAGGTGATGAAGCTTACCTTGTTTGCCATGAACATGTTGTAGGCGGTTTCGAGGTTCCATCCGGCGTTCTCCAAGCACATTCCCGAATACTCCATAGTCATGCCAGTCTGCTCCGTCAGTTGCGTGGCCATGTAGGTCTTCTGCTCTAGCTCTGTTTGCTCCGCGGTGACGAGGGCTGGTTGTAGCAGTTGGGGGGTTTCGGAGACGGCTGCTGAGGGAGCATGGATTGGAAGAGGGGCCCAGCCTCTGAGAGCCAACATGTCACTGATGACTCTAATTGGTGGACCACCAGGAGCTCCAGGGCCCAAGACGAAGGTTCGAGAGAAGCTGCGCAGGGACTGCTCGGCGTTCTTACTAGTGTTATCCTCGAATTCGCCGTGCATAGTGATCATTAAACCATCGACTCCTACGACAGATTGGCCGGTAGGGTCTTGAAGGCTTGATACGGGCTCGCATTCGATCAGGTATTTGTCGGTGTGAGTGTGAAGGTTTGGGTGTCGAGTCGCAGGAAGGCCGGCCCAGATGGGTTGAATGGCTTGAATGCCAGTGTACTGACGGTTGATTCTGGTGTTCAAGTGGCTAATCTTGTCCAGGTTGCGAGAGTGCTTTGTGTATGCAGCCCATGGCTGAACAGCAACGGACGGTTTCTCGCCCCTGTAAGCACTCATGTTGATGGAGAGAGAGTAGACGGATTGCGAATCGTAGTATTGAGCGAGTAGGGTAGAGCGATCGGTGTCATAGAGGTTGAGAAACTGGGTGACAAAGTTCTTGCCTACGTCCCCTCTATCATCGAAGGAAGGGCCCACATTTGGGAAAGGGAGCTTGGACGCCACAGCGACAACAGCGGCAACCTCCTCTGCGGTTCTGACCTCAACGCCATTGAGAGTCCGAAGCTTGAGATAGCGGCGCAAGAAGTCGTCCTTAAGGTTCGGCAGTTGTGGCTCGATTGGGTTGTTGTTGAGGATAAGGTTCTCCAAGTCGTGAAACCCGAGGAACGCATCCATTGACTTCATGGTGCTGAGACTGTTGCGAGAAAGGTCGATATTCTTGATGTCTGGGAAATTGTAGGCAAGGAAGACGACCTCCTTGGTGTCCGCAAGACCGTTGTCCGTAAGAGTGACACTGACAATGGCTTCCCGCTTTTCCTCCTTGGTCTTGAACATATCGGCGGCAACGACCATCATGGCTGGGAAGATCTTGTGAGGATCCTTGGCGCTGAAGGCACCCATCTGTTGAAGGAGAGGGTCGGTAGCAAGGGCGCTCAAGTTCAAGCACTTTGTAGAGGCATCGTATCTGGTGGCCAGAACTGATGCAAATTGTGCCCGAACCTCTGCGGTCTTTGGCTCCTCAGGCTTCTGCTCAGATGGGTCGACAGTTCTGATCGAGAGAGTCGCACCAGCAAATGTGAAATTGTTCAACTTCTTGATGGCTTCGATATCATCTGGGCTGGCGGTGATAAAGACGGAATTGCCGACCATCGATGACTGTATTCGAGGTTAGCAAGGCATGAAACCTTGAAAACGATCGTGAGAACACAGCTTGGTAGGAATTGGGATGCCTTTCAATTCTCGACTCGATGTTGGTGGGAATATCAATAACGAGTGTAAAGACGGCGACATTGTGTAAACATCCTTGACCCACGATCAAAGCACAAGACATACCTTCTTGATCTTGACGGCGGCGTCGTTCGAATCAGAATCTCGAAATACGCTGGCTTTTCGTTCCAGGAATCCGAGTAGGGATGCGAGTCCTCCATCGGGGTTTTTGGCAGCCTTACTCTCGCTCAATCCGCCGATTTGTAGTCTGCTTGACGGAACGGTGAGGCGCGACTCACACAGATTTCCCTGTTGAGCTCCAAGACCCCGGACAATGGATCTCTCAGATATCGATACCCGACCTCCTCTGCCAGCTGCACCGTGTCTGCCCGACTGCGCGAGTCTAACCCCAGATGTTCTGTTCGACTGTGCTGATCTAGCGCCGGGTGTTCTGGTTGAAGGTCCTGTTGGGGTACGTGCGGAACGACCGGGCTCCATTCTACCTCTGCCAGATCTAGATTGGCCGGCAGAAGCAGCAGCATCCATGTTCAGGTCTCCATCTCTGTCGACTCGTGCTGGTCCATCGGCTCTGCGTTTCTGAATGCCACCTCGACCTCTACCACGCGCATGCGGGGCAGAAGCTCGCGGTCCTCGCGGAGGGGGAGGGGGTGCCGAGAGCATCTTGTTGGGTGAGAAGCTTCGGCGGGAGGGTGTATTCAATGTATGTGAGGGGTGGGGTAGGGTGGTCGTGGTTAGGGTGATTGATCTTGATCTGTATCGAACTCGCTGGTCCGTACCTATTGCGAGGGGTGACCTGGTGAGCCCAAGGCGTCGCAGGTTTGGGGGCAGTATTTGCAGACAAAAGGACAGTGGTAGAGGTGATTCCTCGAGGGTGATTGTGAACAAGAATCTCAAGTAGAATGGGAGACGCTGTTGATGGTTGAGTCGTGGAAAACGAAGTAACGCTGGTGGTGGGGGAGAAGGTAGCAACAAAGAAAGTTGGGAGAGAAGAGGAAGGGAGTCTGGGACAAGGCTGAACTAAATTTAGATTAGCTTCAACTAAATTTAGCGTCATACTCATATTTTCACGTGATCCGTGACGAGAGAGGGTTGAGTCATACAGTACAGTAGCCGGGGCGGGGGGTGAATCATACGGATCTAGGTACCGGTAGGTCGTCGAATTTCAGCGGTTCGGATTCACTTTTCGAGTATCATTTTGCTGTTAGTCTCAAGAACGATTGGCGGAAGGTTGACACTCGTGAATTTTTCTTTGTATAGTACTTCTTAGTACAACGAGCACCAGCACCTTAGCACCTACGCAGTCACTCTTGGCACGACCGGACCTGCATCAACGTTCTAGAACTCGTGGCCCTCATGGACTTTCGGAACTTGTCCGCACCGTTGAGGCTCCATCGCTTGACTACCGCTACCGTACTGATTACGGCTCCACGCAAGCAATTGCGAAGGGCAAAAGCACCTTTATCGGTAACCCTCATATCACTCCATTCTCCTTGAATGTTGATAACTACCTACAATTAGTCGAGACTGAAAAGCAGTTACCAACCTTGTTTATGGAGCGATGATATGGTACCTAGATCAGTGAAGCTCCGTGTTGTTGGGCGGGCGCCCGAGGCCTCCGGTCACAAACAATTCAAATTCATTCAACCTTTGCTGAGAGCCCCAGGGAAAAAAGTTGAGAAAAAGACCTAGTGTTGTTACTGACAAGTACCGGCATCTCATGCATCAATTTTACAGGTACATTGTGATTGTCGCGTTTTTGGGAATTGTAAAGGCTGGCCCTGCAGACACCTCTTACAACACTTGATCGATGTACCTCTCCCTCCGTATTGGTTGACTACGGTACCTAGCCAAAGTATTTACACTTGGAGCGGTTGACCAAGATACAATCAATTATATATATTCTCATCTGCTCTACACATGAACATTCCAGGTACGCGGCTTTGCAAGCTTTATGCACAAGGATCCGTGAGTTGTCCGGACGGGGCTGTGATAGGTTCTGGTAGCCGAGCCCGAAGTTCGTGAAAGCTACCGTGTCTTTCTTGAACAGACTGTCTTTCTGCGGCGCAACTCGATTTCCGACCTTACTTCACTCCTATTTAACTTCAATTCAATCCAATCCATCAAATCCAATCCAACTCTTTCTCTTCATGTACTCCGGCTAGCTAACGGACTCCTTCTATTCTGATTTATGCATCTCTAAACACCTCGCTCCCAATCCTGCCGCGAGGCTACTCGAGATCGATCCCCTGCATTCCTCGAGTCCACCACAAAAGAAACAACCATGCCTGCGAAATCGAGATTTACGCGGCTTGATGCCTTCACCAAGACCGTCGACGAGGCCCGGGTCCGCACGACCTCGGGAGGAATTGTGACGATAGCTTCATTGCTGATAGTGCTATACTTGGCGTTTGGGGAATGGACGGATTACAGGCGGATAGCCGTCCACCCAGAACTGATTGTGGACAAGGGAAGAGGTAAGCCTGTATGCGCAATTGAATATAGAAACGCTTTACTGACCCTGTGGAGGTGAAAAAATGGAAATACATCTGAACATTTCCTTCCCCAGAATTCCTTGTGAGCTCCTAACACTGGACGTAATGGACGTTTCCGGAGAGCAACAGACGGGGGTTATGCATGGAGTCAAGAAAGTCAGACTTGGGCCAGAAGCAGAGGGTGGGAAAGAGATCAGCATTGAGTCTCTGGATTTGTGAGTAGGATAACGCCGCATGATTCCAGTTGTTAACAATCTCAGGCACGGCGACGATCAAGCTACTCATCTGGATCCCGACTACTGCGGTGGCTGCTACGGCGCGACTGCTCCCCCAAATGCAAAGAAGGCTGGTTGCTGTAACACCTGCGAGGAGGTTCGAGAGGCCTACGCTAGTGTCTCCTGGGCCTTTGGACGAGGCGAGAACGTCGAGCAGTGCGAGCGCGAACACTACGGGGAAAAATTAGACGCTCAAAGGAAAGAGGGGTGCCGAATTGAGGGAGGGATACGTGTCAACAAGGTCGTAGGAAACTTCCACATTGCGCCAGGAAGGAGTTTCAGCAACGGAAACATGCATGTCCACGACTTGAACAACTACTTCGACACGCCCGTACCTGGTGGCCACGTTTTCACTCATCACATCCACTCTCTCCGTTTTGGACCGCAACTCCCTGAAAGTGTCACCAAGAAGCTAGGAAACAAGGCTTTGCCATGGACTAATCATCACATTAACCCGTTAGACGATACGCGGCAAGTCGCTCCCGAGACTGCTTACAATTTCATGTACTTCGTAAAGGTTGTGCCCACCTCGTACCTTCCCCTAGGATGGGATAACTCAGTCACTAGTGAGCAACGCATCGACCATGTTGATATTGGATCTTACGGCCATTTGGACGACGGCAGCGTCGAGACACACCAATTCTCCGTCACCAGCCACAAAAGAAGCTTAAGCGGCGGTGATGACGGAGCTGAGGGCCATAAGGAGAAGCTCCACTCCCGTGGTGGTATCCCCGGAGTCTTCTTCTCATATGTAAGTTCCCACTTCTATCCCCAAAAGATCTCGACCAACAAGACCCAGGATATCTCCCCCATGAAAGTCATCAACCGCGAGGAGCGCGCCAAGAGCCTGGCAGGTTTCCTCACAGGCCTCTGCGCCATCATCGGAGGAACTTTGACCGTAGCGGCAGCCGTCGACCGTGGCGTGTATGAGGGCACCACGAGGCTGAAGAAGATGCAATCGAAGAACATGTAAAGAATGAGAGTATGTATCGCATAAGGGTCTGGCATGGTATCGGCGTTCAGAAGGTTTGGATCTTTAAGTGCACATATTTGCTAGGCAATTCAGTCTTTGATTTCTCATAATCTTTGATTTCGTGGCCTCCGGGTTTGACCTGATGAATCCAAACGCAAGCCATCGAAACCATTGAACGATCCAACCAACCCATCATAGCCTGATCCTCAACTCATTCAAGCAGTCACCACCCCCCTCCCGCACGACAGGCAAGCATACCTACCTACCTACTTCGATACCTACGTAGCTCACTCACGCGCATAGATGCGCGTAAATGGTAAACACTTGAAGAAGAAAAAGAAGAACAGAATTTAAAACTCAATTTGAGCTCAGCTGAGTATTCAAGGGAGGGGACTCGCTATCTGTTTGGCTGGAAAGACAGGCAGCCTAGTTAGGACGTCAGGTGGTGTTGGCGGCGGCATTTTATAGGGGGCCGTATTTGAGAGCAGTTTGTTGACCCTTTGGTCTGTGTTGTTCAACTTTCCTTCACTTCGAGTTACCATTAATGATCAGCGTCAATTGAAGTTTCAGCAATGTGTCTTCACAACGTTCTTGAGTGGGAGCCAACAGAAAACGAAAAAGGCGGGTAGGTATCTAGAAGAGAATCATGGCTTGTGGAAAGATGCCAGGCTGGACGAAGCAATGACAAGGGAACCGCTCAGACCTATTGTGCTCGTGCTCACTCACAAAAGTATCGTCTTAATTCATAATTTGGAATGAGCGTGCGCTATCTATCCATCCCTCCGTCCAGCCGTCCCTTTTGCTCCGCGACGCATGCGCATCGACAAGCCAAGCTGAGCCGAGCCACAGGCAACATGAACGAAATACTCAGGTGGCTCGGCCGCAAATCACAAGATTCGCCCAGACCTTTTTCGTATTTGTACCAGACCACATGAAATGATTTTGGTGAAAGAGTCGATAGATCGGGTACGGCCTCTGCTGAAAAGAGAAAGAGCCCGGGAGGATGAGATGATCCAGTTGAAAGGTGTCTTGCAATTGGTCTACCTGTCCTGTCCCCGTCTACAGCTTGTTTGGCGCGGTCTGAGTGGTTGGCCATTGGTAGCCAGCTGCATCGGAGAACTTGTAGCCGTAAGAAGAGGTGAAATCGTCAAGAACAGCAGGGCCGCGGGATCCTAATCAACGTTAGTATGTCGTTGGGCAGCCTTCGAAGTATTTATCTTACCGTATGGGTACTCCATGGGAATGATCTCCTTGTTGTTCTCGAGGTAGTGCAGAAGAGGGGTGAAGACTCTCCAGCTAGCATCTAGCTCGTCGTCACGTACAAAGTTGGAGTGGTCACCCTTCAAGGCATCAAGGATGAGAGATTCATACGCTTCGGGGATCTTCAGATCTGAGAAACGGCGTCTGTAGGTCAAGTCGAGTTCCGTAACAACGGTCTGCATGCTCAGACCTGGAAGCTTGGAGTTCATCTTGATGTAGACACTCTCATTGGGTTGGATGCGCATAACCAGCTCATTTCTCGGAATATCTTTGAAGATACCGGATGTTACATCCTTGAATTGGATTCTGATCTCGGTCTTTTGCTCGTTGAGTGCCTTTCCTGCCTTCAAGATGAATGGTACACCGTCCCAGCGCTCGTTCTTGATGAATGCAACCATCGCACAGAAAGTCGGACATCTCGAGTCTTTTGGTACAGTATCATCCTCCTTGTAAGATGGCTTATTTCCGTCAAGGGATTTGCCATACTGACCGATGATGACGTTCTTTGGCTCAATCGCTGGTATACCTCTCAGAACACGGACCTTCTCGTCTCGAACGTCTTCTGCGGAGAATGAGATGGGCCTCTCCATAGCCAAAAGAGTCAAAACCTGGAGCAAATGGTTCTGCATGACATCTCGGATGATACCAAACTCGTCGAAGTATCCACCACGGCCCTCAGTGCCAAATGGCTCCTTGAAGGAGATCTGCACGTTGTCGATGTGATTTCGGTTCCAGGTAGCGCCAAAGAACTCGTTGCCAAATCGCAAGATCAAGATATTCTTGACCATTTCCTTTCCAAGGTAGTGATCGATGCGGAAGATTTCCTCCTCGTTCCAGTTTGGCTCCAGAGCCTTCTGCAACTCTCTTGAGCTACCCAGGTCCTTTCCGAAAGGCTTCTCTACCTGCAATATGTTGTTAGCTTGAGACCAAGGTCGAGTTTGAAAGTGTACACACAATAATTCTCGCAATCCCACTCTTGGGGTAACAGCACTTCTTTAGATGTTGGGACACGGTTGTGAAGACACTGGGAGGCAGCGCCATGTAGAATACTCGGTTGGTCTCCTTTTGTCCCTGCTCAAGCTCCTCAAGTTTCTTGTTCAGTTCCTCGAATGACTCGTCCTTGTCGTATTGTCCAGATACATAGGTGCAGACATCGCAGAATTCCTGGAGTTGTTGCTCCATGTCCTTCGTAGGAGTTTTGATGTAGGACTTGACCCGCTTGAGGAATTCCTCGTGGTCCATCTTTGTGCGTGCATATCCGACGATTTTGATATCTTTAGGGAGAAATTGGTTACGGTACTGCACTTCACGTTAGAGAGAGAGAGGGGGCAGGAGGGGGGGTTAGCTTGAGGGTTGAGGCGGGGTACGAACAAGGCCAAAGAGGGCTGGGAACTATTTCCACAGAATTAGCTGATGTATGGCGTTGAAGGGATTCCTAATTTCTTACGGTCTTCTTCTTTGCGAGATCACCAGAGGCACCGAGGACAATGATGACAGTGTTGTCCTTCAACTCAATGGACCTAGTGGGGCAAAATAAGATCAGTAAAAAACCCTTGGAGCAGCAGATGTAATTGAATCCCACAAAAACCCAAGGGGAACCTCGTGGACTCGGCGGAGGTTCATGCCAAGTTCCCAAGTATTCTGGTGATTGACGTTGTAATGTAGTGCCACGGCTTTGTGGTTGACGGGCTCTCGCGGCATGGCTGCATGGATTCAAGGTGACGTAGTCCGGGCGAAATAACTGATCACTCACCCAGCATTGTGATGCTCTTCTGGCTTGATCAACGTTTCTGCCATCTTGTCGATGCGCAGTATTCACTCGAGGGGCGAATTGAAAGAAGAGTCGGCGAACAGGTTGGTGCAGGAGAAGATGGTGGTAGGAAGGAGTGGGCGAGCAGAGTAAAGAGGAGAAGGAAGAGGAGCCTTTTGTTGGTTGGGTCGGGGATAAATTCCAAGCTACGCGGGGTCACGGCCTGCCACGGAATGATTACGGACTTCACTTATTCACTGCACGAAGATAGCCCACTTCCAGCATTGCATAAGGTAGTTAGGTAAGTACCACAACGCTGCCATAACATGACCATTCCATGGACATACATTTATTCCTCCAGGACCTTCGATCTGCTAAGGAGAAGGGGGTCTGTTGTCATGGATAGCATCCTACCTACGAATTACATTTACCTGTCTCTACCCTAACCTTCCTGACCAAACCTAACACCCAGGTACCGGTACCTACCGGTACCTACCTACCTACCGACCTACCTACCTACCGACCTACCGACCTACCGACCTACCTACGGAGAGTACCTTATCATATCTATGGCAGAACTGTGGATGCAAGCAACACCTCGAACTTAAACAAAGGCTCTATGTCCTCGGCGGCTGGGTTGGATTATCAAGCAGCTGTCGTCTACCGGTAATCAATAGGGGCAGTCTGACTGTTTGACCCTCAGCCTTGCTCAGCTCAGCAGCTTAGTGATGTCAGCTAGCAGAAGCGGGAAAATGCCAACTAATTCGGATCCGGATTCGGACCGGTCTCGGACCCGAACCTCGAGTCCTCCATACCGGTACTCTAGGTACCTAGGTACCTAGGTATCTGCTCAGAAACCCAGGAGTTGACTTGAGCGACTTGGAGGAATTCCGTAGGAATGCTAGGTACAGGTAGTTAGTTGTACCGGTATGTGCGTCATGGCTATTGCTGGGTTGATGTCGGATGTCTGAAGAAAGGTCTTATCATTAAGTTCGTCTTCCGTAGAAGTGTCATCATAAGTTTGAGTTGACGGAAGAGTGGATGGAAGAGTATCCGCCCCCTTCGAGCCATTACGGGATTCACATTCATTTAGTTATTCCATCGTGCCACCTGCTTGCCCCAGTACTGGTTGGTCTCACGTACCACAACTGTGCTGACAAAACAGCCCAGAATGCCACTGAAAAGGGTAGTGCATCACATCACTGTAAGTCTTAGCCTCGGATATTCATTTCAAGAAGGCATGAATGAGAAAAAGCTCGAAATTTAATTTGGACTCCGTTCAATTCTTTCTCCTTATTCAGTGACTTTTCCATGTCCTAAACGTCGGTCGGTCCATTGTTAACAGTGATCCAACCCAGGCATCATCGCACGTGATCCGCTAAGAAGCGAAGCGGGCTCCCCACACATTGGCGCACTTCCACAATCACAAGAATTTCGAGCGACAACGCCAACGACAACTACGACAAACCGCCGCAACGAAGTCTGATCCAGGACGAGTCGTTGATCAAATTCCTCTGCCTCTCGAATAGCACGAGAGACCCCAGCCAAAATGGTATCAGAAGCCGGTCATCGCCGTAAGTTCAATGTCCCCCCCCCCTCTACGACAGCGAGGTGGACATCTTCCTTCCAGCGCAACCGTCTGCCTTTGCGGAGCAAAAAAATCAGCTCAGAGCTTTAGATTTTTCAGAACAATGGATGCTAACTTGAATTTCCAGTCTATGTCAAGTGAGTAACACCACCGCAGCCAAGCAAGCGCGTCAACATCGAGAAATTGGAGGAGAGCTTGGGAAGAACGCAGCAGGGGCGATTGGACATAGGATAACCACGCGAGCATTGAAAGGCAAGAGCTGACTCGGACATCCTAGGGGTCGTCACATCAGCCATGCCCGTGGCAAGCGCAACAGCACCCCAAGCGTCAGCTTGATCCAGATCGAGGGTGTTTCTGATACTGCCGGAGCAAAGTAGGTGGAGTTCTGCTTCCGGTCATGGTGTATTACTAACCGTCGCAGCTTCTACCTCGGAAAGAAGGTTGCGTTCGTGTACCGTGCGTCGAAGGAGATTAGAGGATCGAAGATCAGAGTCATCTGGGGCACAATCGCCAGAACACACGGTGGGTTTTTGGAAAATGGGAGACAGAAGCTGGAGAGCCTTGCTAACAATGCTTGAAGGCAACTCCGGCGTGGTACGAGCCAAGTTCCGCAACAACCTCCCCCCTAAGTCTTTCGGTGCCTCGGTCAGAATTATGTTGTACCCATCTTCGATATAAGAATATTGGCTTGGAGTTGGTCGCATGGGAAGCTGGTTGATGAACCGCTGCATTCGATCACTGGGTTGGTGCGCAACGCGAATGTGCTTGGCCCTTGCTCGTAGAGAACGAATAAAGCAAATTACAATCAACAACAATAACGGCTGGGATTTCGGACAGTGATTTGAGCCTCAGACAGGCGATGGAACACCTTCAAGACCTGGTTATTAAGGACACCGAAAGTACCCAATGTTAACCTCTCGTTGTACAAAGCAAGTTGTTGTTCCGCTCTGCTCAGTGATGTTGGTCTCATTTACCAATTGAGAACTGTCATTTGAAGACATTCATCTCAACTCGGCTCGGTGTCTTCAACTCGGGCTGGGTTCGGCACCGGAGAGTTTCGTTTCCACGGCAATGGACTTGAGGAAATAGCAAGACTCCCAGGACACGACACTGCTTTGCATCACAGTCAAGTGACCGTGATGGAGACATGCGATCTCGGATAGAGCGTATTGCTAGGTGTGTAAGAGACCGATATGCCCTTTTATATAATAACACCGTGGTTCCATGAATATTTGCCGAACGGCTGTCCATATTACGTTCCCGGTGCCTGTGCCGAAAACCGAGGACCAGGCGTAGGTCTAGGCATAGGTGATATGGACTCTCGGTACAAGGAATATATGTAGTTTCAGTCTCAAGCTCTCAAGAATCTCTCGTAGAGAATCGTATTCGGCCAGTCCATAAGATCGGAGGGCGAGACCGAGAGCCGATATCAAGACCCTCGAACCCGAGGGAGCAATTCGACGTGAGGTGGCAACTACGCCTCTGACTTGTTGACTTTTCATGAGAACGAAGAGGCGGAACTGACTCCGCGAAAAAGTTTTCCGCATGCAACCACTACGGAGTAGATAGTCAAGAACAGCCTTCAGCAATGCTGTGACAACCTCCCTCTTCGCCCACGAGCGTAGTCGCTCGCGAGGTGCGAGGTTCTCCAACTTGAATGACAAACCGAACGAACGCACGTTACCTTACTTCTATGACATTCCTATCGATCATTATGTACGAGGTGCCTCCTACGAACCTTCAGCTCTTTCCTGCGGCAAAGAGTCTGAAGAGCTGAAATTGAATCATTGATACGCGGCGTCTCCTCGAAGAGATTTTCCTTTGCCGGCGGTTCCGGACCTCCCTCCCTATCTTGACCACCATGCCGACTACGATCTATAGCTGACGGGCATACTGACTGAAATACCAGGAGGATTTGCGATAGAAGCAGAACGGTTGCGAGAGATGGGAAGGGCTCAATTCGATAGATCGAAAACACGATATCACGCCTTCGCCCAAAGCGCTCTATACAAACACACCGACACACCGACACACCGACTCGACACAAGGGCTACGAACATGAGCCTTTATAGCTCTACGATTGAGGCCGCCCGTAGAGCCACGCGTATTCGATGGTTATGGAGAGAAAACCCGAGGCAAAGCCTTTAAAATGATTTTGGAGGGATTGACAGAGAGTCTGCGGTACCGCGAGATCAGAAGCCCGAGGCTATTTGAAAGAGAGCTTTCCCCAACGTGCTTTTTACTCTCGATTCGGTAGTATTTTGTATATGATTCCTATACTTAGCACGTCGCAGTATCCCATGGGAGGCCCTAGGTAGGGTCCAAGCATTGCGTTTTGGATACCCGCCCGACGTAGTAGTAAATACTACTACGTAAATGCTACTACGACAACGTACGATACTTACCCTTCTCAAAATAGAGATGGCATTTCCGAAGATCCCGATACCCCACCAAGTGGATCGAGGTACCTAGGTACTGCAGCCACACCGTGAATAGTTGTACATAAATACAACTCAAGTATCTGAACAGAAAATAGCGGCAGGTTTCCCATTTGGACTCTGTCGTCTCCAGTCCAAAGAGTCCAGGATCCCATTCCTACCGCTTGAGACATGGCGGGAAGGAGATGCGCCTCAAAATAAAGCCTTGGACGTCAGTACCGGTATCTCTACGGAGTAGGGCCAGGCAACTAACCACTTTATTACCTACTCCGTACTTACTAGTTATTAGTAGAGTATTATTCGCATCCAGTAGTAATACAAGTACGTACTGTCCGTGTATGGAACCATAGAAATCCCAAAATAACAACAGCTCTCAAGCATTCTCATAGTCGTCCGTAAACAAGGAACGTCATCACTCGGTGCTCTAAGACTTTCTCTAGCTCCAGGGCTTGGTCGATTGGCTAGCTCCGCATCAGCTTGCGTGTCCGAACTTGCTTCGCTGTGGTGTGATACAAAACCAGATACCAATAGCGAGCACAGAGGAGGGTCTATCCAATGAGAAAGTCTGAAGTCTACCGCATGTCGCAGAATCTTCGCGTGCGAGCCCTTGGTGCCCCCCCCCGCGTCATGTGTACGAGTCCATTGATATGGATTCCGCCTCTCCTCTCTTGCAAATGCAAAACCTACCTCCCTCCCTAAAATGCGAACATCTGCGCCATCAATTGATCACCGAGGCCCCTCTTTCCTGTATCTTCTATTATTACATGTTACAGCAAACAATCATTACAAACAAGACGGCCTTTGACCTTGGTCTCCTTGACTCAACCACTCAACCACCCAACCTCCCTAGATGAGTCGGATTTGAGACACTCGTTCATCTCAGCTCGGAGCCCCAACGAGTTCTACTGAAACCACAGGCCTTTCAGTACCATCCCAATCAAAGCACAAGTACCGGTACAAGCACAACAACACACGATTCCGACCATAGCCTATTCAATTGGGTTTCCGTCTTTGCTACACCGCGTACGGCATCCGGAGTTCTATCCTATTTTAAACACATTGAAGGTCCAGGATCTGGTCCAACCTGGCTCCGGCTCCACACCGCGACGATAAAGGATCGTAATTACAGATACTACCGGTATCACACACAACACCTAGGTACCGAGAGACCCACTATCAACTACAGATATCAAGACCGTGGCCCCAGCGTCAAGATGTCATCTGCAAGAAACTATCAGACACCTGCTGCCGCAGAGCAACAGGGCAGGCCGCGAGCAAAGTCGAATTTCAGTTTCCATTCCCGCAAGAGCAGTGGCAGCAACGGCCAGAACAGATTTGATCTTCACGAATCGCACGACGAGAAGGAAGCGAAACGTCTCCAGACTAAGGCAGATCCCCAGTACGTACATCTGTGGGAATTCCTCATATTCTTGGGAGGAAGGAGAGGAGAGGCCAGAGGATTTTCCCCTCCCTCTGATGTACCGAGGTGCTCTCGAACCTCATACTGATTTGGTATATAGGATGGCGCTTACGGAGGCAGAACCTTGTAAGTATCACAATCCTTTGTAGTTGAATCCATTCTTCGGAATACACAAGTCGCAATTTCATATCCGATTGTCAACTATATCGGGGTTCATATAACACTCTAACTGATCTGAAAAGCTATGGTTGCAAGAGAACAGTCCTCACTAGCATCTATTCGAGCAATTCAACATTTGGACAATTACGGAAACCCAATAGGTTGGTCCAAAAATTTGTGGAGTCTGCAAGCGTAAACTGACATTTCACTAGCTGATCCTGATCGATCGAATCCTACACGAAGCCGATGGGAGAGACCTCTTGATACCATTCGTGCGTTTGAAGCTGCCATCGATGGTAACCATTCACGTAGATCATACGCCCGCACAGGTCAGAACTTCACAAACTACATCGTGGAAACAAATCGCAGGCAGCATTGATTCTGACTGAACTTGTTATACAGAGTCGGACAGACACTCAACTTACGACCGTCGAACCAGTCACTATGGAGGTAGGTCTACATTTCTCTTCTTCGTACACCTGGATCGGTGGACTTGTACTTTGCAACGACGACGATCACAATTTATTCTGTGGGAAACGTCAACCACCGAAAGTTGGGAATCGCCAGGGGAGAGACAGCTCTTCCTTGGAAGTAAGGTCTATGGCAAAGTCAACATCCCACTGAGGAGGAGAATTCGCCAGCCGTAACGCCAAGATCTTCGCGGGAAACCCACGAGCCACTCTTGGGAAATCCCGGGGGGCCACTAGCTCTAGTTTCTCCTGCTACTTTTCTTGAACCAGTGAGCTAATGAACTGACAGGAACCCAAGTCACCACAGACGGCCGTCCTAGGAATAGCTATGGTGGACGTTCACCGTCGCACAGACCGGACAATAATGCAGATGGGAGGATCAACGGGATGACCAGACCTGACAGTTACTATCAAGATAGGGGCTACACCGGACCTGCTAACGGTTATCAACCCAACTATGCTCGGTATCCCCGGACAGCCTCTGAGCCGCATTTCATCAACAACAACAACCACAACAACCACAATAACGGTGTTTACCCAATTCCAGGAACTCAACCGTCTTACGAGACTGTTGCAACCGTTTCAGGAAGTGGCATGTCAGATCCAGAAGGCTATCTGACCGAGAATAGCTCAGTGGATCGCATTTCACCAATGTCCGCGAAGGAGCCAGTTGAAACATATAGTTCCTACGCACCCCCAGGCAGTGGCCTGCAAGAGCAGCAACATGGCGCCAGTGGATTCCCGCCTCAAGACCGTCCAGTACCTCCTCGGAAGGAGAGCGTGAGGAGATCGCCTATCAAGCTCGGAAAGTCTAACGCCAATGTCAATGCCAGCCCACCTCCATCGAATAACCCCCAGCGACCTGCAGCAGAGAAGAGAAGATCATGGTTTGGGAAAAGGTTCAGCAAAGGTTAGAATTTGCGGCATATAAGGGTAGTCACAGAGAGCATTGGTGTGGGTCGTTGCAGTCTTCCCGGTGGTAGCATTTGAGGCGGCATGCGGTAGACATTAATATTAGGTCGGGCTATAATAGGGATGGATTTCATGACTGGGTTGGATGTTTGCATCTATGGCATTGGTAGCATTTCTGACCCTACTTCTCCTTGGAACGCTCCTCGCTCAATTTTCGGGGGCGGTACGTTAAACAACATAATAAATGCTTGTACGTTAAGTTGCCCAGGGGCGTTGGGGGCACAGGCTTCTCCGAATATCATGACCTTGACGACCATTGCATATTGAATCAGCTTTATTTTTCACATCACGTCTCAAACCATACCGAATCCAAGACTTCATTCGTAGCATACAGAGCAGGAGCTGATAGTAGTACTACAGTGGGTAGAAAGTGAACATCATGAACATCGTACAATCGCCTGCTTAGCGACCCTTTTTCGACTCCTTCTCCACCACTTCCACTTTCTTCTTATCGTCGCGCAAGGCTTCAGACTGGTCCTCGTTGAAGGCTACGATCACGTAGCCTATTAGCACCGCATTCGCGATGATGGCAGCCGTCGCTCCCGCCCACGTCGAGTTGCCTGCAGTATTAGGGTTTTCCGTCAACTTGCTGTTCACGTCCTCATCTCCCCGTTCTTCTTCCTGATCCGACAACACTCAAGAGCAAGGAAGGATGGAGCAGAAAGGAGAATGAAATAAAGAAGCAAAGAAGCCAGTACAGTACCTCCAAACACGGTGTTCAGCGTGAGAAAGTAAGAGCCGATAGGGACGACGACCATGGCGAGGGTGAAGCCTAAGAGTTTGAAGATCACATGACTGTAGTGCAAGAGGTGTATGAATTAGCAGTCGGCTCGTATGGTATTTGACGAGACGTAATGTTGGTTGTCTTAAAGAAGGTGGATGGAGAATAGAGAATGGAATAGAGACCAAACTAACTCACGGTGGGACTGCAGGAGTGATGATGGATTTCTCGCCCAGGGGTTGGGAGAGATGTTTCTCGAGGGAGGTTTTCTCGCCAGGGACGTGGCGGCGGGTTGCCATTGTGATATTATAGAGGGCTTTTCGTGGGTTGCTGGTTAAGGCTCTTCAAGAGCTGGAGGGAACTGCTGATCGCGCGTCGTCTGCCAAGGAAAGGTGCGATCAATGGCGAGCTCGAGTTCTGACTTCCGGATCTGCGTATTTGACTGACTATTTTCAGAAAAAAAAAAAGGCTTCGTGGTCACCAAATTCCTTGCCCTACTGTTGAACTTATTGTCATCGTCTTGGACTTGGATCTATGGAATCTGGACTCCTTCCATATCGCTTACGTAAGTAGTTAGTTTACCAGTCCCTACCGCGACAACGACTCTTTACGCGTTGAGATGAAGGAGATTTTGTCCTCGCCGTTTGCTCTTGATTTGCTCTCAAATTCCTCTCCACGAACCACCTCGATGAGATCGTGATACGACCTTGCTACCTACGGCGAGATCTGTGGTCCTCGATCAGCACTACTAATTGTCATAATCTCAGCGCCGAGGTGGCTGGCAGAGGTGAATTAGAATTGAATTGCTTTTTGAAAGGGACGACTTCACCTTCCCCACACCTCGCTCACCACAAAAATCACGACTTCTTCAACGCCCCTCCAATCCAAACCTCTACATAAACTGACACACCTTTCAACGAACTCCTTGGAATGGCTTCCGACCATTCCTCAAACATAAACATGGCCGACTCCTCGCCACCCCCCAAGAGGCAAAAGACGGCGACGGGCTACAAACCCGCATCAAACCCAGCACACAATACCCAGGCATACAACTCCGACAACGATAGTGGTGACGACTTGCTCGCGGGCTTTATCCCTGGTACCCCCTCTCATGGCTCCTACCAGACTCAGCCTACACAGATACTTGACCGCTCTGTTGTTGGTCCAGGTCGTGGTCCAACTTCGAGCCCCCCGGAGACACCTGCGCAAAAAATCGTACAAGTTCCAGCTTCATCGCCTTTTACAGGGAGAGACTTGGAGGGGTCAGCACCGTCTGTGCAAGGAACTTCAAGCGCATACTTTAACAATGGTCACCCCAAAAAGAACATGAGCTCACTCATGGCCCCCGCTGGTACCTTTTACAAACCCCCCGCTGGCATAGCCACCAAGGCACTTCCCAAAGCAAAGACGCTCATTAACCTTGATGATGACGAGGACGATGGGCCAAAATTCCTCGGGGGAAGTTCAGACGATGATGGGGCGCAGACCGCAAACATCAAACGCACTGCATTCATGCCCAAGAGCACTCAGAGTTCTTCTAGAGCTTCAAATGCTGGAGATATGCCGAGGACAGCCAGTGGTACCGCCCAATTTCACAACATCATTGGGAGTTCAGCTTTTAAGCCCTTGCAGCCAGGTCAGAACAGTAGCTACAAGGGCTTGCCGCAAGCAAGAAAGCCCCAGACGCAAGCCCGGCCTGAAAGAGCAGCTCCTATCCAAGACATGTCTATCGATATGGTTGCGGGTGCTCTACGCAGTAATGTTCAAAGACTCAAGAGCATTTATCCTACGGTTACAATCAGTTTCGCACAGAATGTGCTATTGATTCACGAAAACGACCTGAACACTGCGGCTGCTGTCATTGCCGAGGGTAACTATGCATCTAGCGCCAGTGCCTCTGCTCCTATCCTTATTGACGATGAGGTTGAGGAGGTTGCAAGACCTGAGAATTTGTTCAAGCGCACTCTCAGTGGACCAACGGCGTCTCTCAGAGACCGATATTCATCAACACAAGCCCTTCAAGCAAAGAGCACGCCTGATGTTGCAGCAACACCGCCAAAGCCTAAGAGAAAACTCATGAAAGGTCGTCGGAATCCCTCTTCTCCTTCCCCAGTCCAATCCTCGCCTCTTAAGCAAGACTCCCCTGCACCCGCTGAGTTCGAAGCCTATGACTCGGATTCCGGTGTTGCTTCGGAGGTCGAAGAAGATCCCCATCTTTTGGACCGGGTTCTCAAGTATTTTAACACTTGTAAGGCCTCGGATCTGGTAGAGCTCACTAGCATCACCAAGGAAATTGCTGAGCTTATGCTCGCTGCTCGGCCTTTCAGGAGTCTTGATGCTGCGAGAACTGTGGAGAACACGAAGGCTACAAAGAGTGGCAAGAAGAGCAATCGAGCCCCTATCGGGGACAAGATCGTGGACACGGCTATTGAGATGTTCCAGGGTTATGAGGCTATCGACACTCTCGTGACGAGATGCGGAGACCTGGGTAAACCTCTGGCTGCTGAGATGGCTAAGTGGGGATTTGATGTGTTCGGTGCCTCGAAGACTGGCGAGCTGGAGATGACTTCCCTTGAAGACGATGCAGAGTCGAACCGCGATTCTGGCATTGGCTCTCCGAGTAGCGCAGCTGCCTCCAACAACGGTGATGACGAAGTCAAGATTGTGGGCAGTACGAGAAAGCGAGGCAATGTTCAATTCTTGAAGAAGCCGGAGTTAATGGCCGAGGACTGTGTACTCAAAGACTACCAGGTTGTTGGGCTCAATTGGTTGGCACTAATGTACCGACATAAGCTGAGCTGCATTTTAGCCGATGAGATGGGTCTTGGGAAGACCTGTCAGGTTATCTCGTTTCTGACACATCTTGTAGAAATTGGTCACCCCGGTCCTCATTTGGTTGTCTGCCCTGGATCGACTTTGGAGAACTGGTTGAGAGAATTCCAGAGATTCTCTCCCCAGCTAGAGGTAGAGCCGTATCATGGTATGGTTGCATTTTATCTCCGCGTTAGGGAGTTAGAGCTGACTTGGCTAGGACCTCAAAAGGAGCGAATTGAGATGGCGAATTCGATTATTGATAAGCGCCATCTAATCAATGTTGTCGTTACAACCTACGATATGGCTGCCAAGAAGGAAGACAACAAATTCATGAGAAAATTGAGACCAGATGTAAGCTGTTCGTACTGTTGAAGCTTTGGCCATGGCTAATAGGGACTAGGTATGTGTCTACGATGAAGGTCACATGCTGAAGAACGTCAACTCTCAGCGATATCAGGGCTTGGTGAAGATTCCTGCAGGGTTCCGACTTTTGCTCACTGGAACGCCACTACAAAATAATCTTCAGGAATTGGCTGCTCTGCTGGCTTTCATTCTACCCGAAGTCTTCAGAGAGCTAGAGGAGGAATTGAAATTTATCTTTAAGGCCAAAGCCAGCACGACGGACGCCGACCATGCAGCACTCCTTTCAGCCCAACGAATTGCTCGTGCCAGATCTATGCTGACTCCATTTGTGCTGCGTCGCAAGAAGGCCCAGGTGTTGAAGCATCTTCCCGAAAAGATTTGCCGGGTCCAATATTGTGACCTGCATGATTCCCAAAAGGGGATTTACAACGGCCATCTGGATCAAGCTCGTGAGCGCGCCCGAGCTCGTCTCCAGGGCGCCAAGGCACCTAAATCCGACGAGAACAATCCCTTGATGCAGCTTCGCAAGGCAGCCATCCATCCACTGCTGTTCCGCCGTCATTTCACCGATGAGAAGATTGAGAAGATGGCAGATATTTTGCGCAAGAAGGACCCTACCAACTTCCCTGCCTCTCAGAAGCGCGTTCATCTTATTGAAGAGATGCGCAAGGCTTCGGATTACTGGCTACATCAATGGTGCCGTGACTACCACTGTATTCGCTCATTCGATATCCCGGATCTATCATGGATGGATTCTGGCAAGGTGAAGGCGATGATCGATCTTGTTAAGCAATACAAAGAGAATGGAGACCGAGTACTGATATTCTCGCAATTCGCACTCGTTCTCGATATCTTGGAGGCAGTCCTCAGTACATCTTTGATCCAGTTTACCCGCATTGACGGAAGCACAAAGATCGACGAACGACAGCCTCTCATCGATACCTTCAGAGACGATGAGAGCATCACTGCATTTTTGCTGACAACCAAGGCTGGAGGTACCGGTATCAACTTGATGTATGCCAACAAGGTCATCATCTTCGACGGAAGCTTCAATCCACAAGATGATCGCCAAGCCGAGAACCGAGCACATCGAGTTGGTCAAGTGAGAGAAGTTGAGGTCATTCGACTCGTCACCAAGGGCACGGTTGAAGAGGCCATCTACGCCTTAGGTCAGAGCAAGTTGACACTCGACGGGCGTGTTGCTGGTGAGGGGGAGGACGGAGGCAAGGCAGAAGAGGCCGGCGAGAAGGCCGTTGCACGAATGCTTCTTGAGGGCACATTGAGTGCCGGAGATAACGAAGATACCACCGATTCCAAGAAGGTGGAGACAGAGGATTCGAATGCGAAGAAGGAAGAAAAGCTTTCATCAAAGAAAAAGTCCTCAATCATGGACGCATTGATGAAGTCTAGAAAAAACGGAAATCCCGTCGCCGATGACAATGAGAAAGATGTCAAATGAACCTACAGTCGCGTAGGATACGAGGCTTTTCTTTATGATTGGAAGGCTATTGGACTTGGCTCTGGTTATGACGAACAGGAAAGATGATATTGAGCATGTGTAAATATCGAGTTGAAATGCCGAGGGGGTTGCTCTAGGCGCACTTTCGGCATGATAGGGGAGTGCTTTTCAGGGTCGGTGATGAAGCATAAAACTAGAAATATGAAGGCACGGTAAATCCACAATTTGTTTATGATTGTTTACATATCTCGATTCTAATACATGACCTATGCGGAAGGAAGGGCAATGAATAACAGATTTCCGGATTTTCAAGTCAGTCGATGCACGAGGCGGGCAGCTACGTTTCATTTCATGGACGCCCACTTACTGAACTTCTTCTCGTTGACTTCACTCTCGGGGCTCAGGCTCTCATGTACATCATATTTATTATAAGCCGACTATCCTTTCTAGCGTTAATTTAAACAGTGCTGGGCGGTTCTACTCACCAGCCAATTCTTCCAAGCTTTTTCTCTACTAAAGCATGCACGGTAAAAACGTTTGAACTAGGTAGGTACCTAGGAATGGAAGGGGTACGACTGCGTATGTACAGAGCACATAATGCCGTAAACAAAACGCTGTGTGCGTATTCGTCGTGGTGCAGCCTCCCTTGGTATCTATCGATCGATCCCCGGATCATCTCTCCTCTGGACTAATTTTTCTTCTCTAGATGGTGGTCTCTTTATCACACGTGTACATACAGTACACGCACATACACATCAATGAACATATACAAATACATATTGGCAGGTTTAGATTCAGCTTGAGGTTCGATGGCAGCACGACGCCCGCGACGCCCCTGCAGCTGTCTATTTTTCGGTTTCTTAGCTGCTCATGTACAACGGGTCTGGATAGGTGCAGTCGGGCATTCGAAGATGGTCTTCTTCTTGTAACTCGGGCGGTAGCGGGTTCGTTTTACACGAGAGAGAGAGAGAGCGCTGCTTGCTTACTCGCGTGCCGATTCTATTGACCATGTCTTCGGGTTAGCGGTGGGAATGGGAGCAGAGAGGGACAGAGAGTAGAGATGGTTAGGGCGCTCGAGGGAAGTAGTGGAGGTGCTATTAAGCGAGATTTAGCGATGGGGGCCATTTGTAGTTTTTGTTATACGGCCTCGTTCATATACACAGGAATGATAAATGCGGGTATGATTTCTTATGCTTCTGCGGTTTCTCGGAATCGGAATCACAGGTCAGGGTTTTGAGTCAATTCGAAGTGTTCAGTGTGACTGTTTTGGTTAGTGAGCTGAGTGTTTGTTGACTGTTGCTTGGTCCCGTTTATGTATATAAGCTCAGCTTCCCTCACGAACATTCCACCCCTCAAATCTCTTCATAAACGCAGTACTGAAATATTTTTTACGGCATCAAAGCAGAACGATACGATGTCGCAACCACCGGCCTACTCGGCCCAACCCCCTTCCTCGGACAGTCACGTCCCTAGCAGCCTACCGCCGTATTCACGCCGACCTCCTCCTGGCATGCCACCAGTTCAGCAACCTCATCCTGAGGTTATTGAAAATGGCAGCCAGCCGTTCGTGCATCCCCCGTGGTCACAGATCGCTCCTCACTATTTCCAGATCCCCCAGCCCAACACCACTACCGAAACTCGATTTTCGCCTCCACAGCATTTCTCCCAGCCAGAAAGGCAGTTACCGATGCCTCGGAATGCCACAGTACCCCAGCCGCAGCAGCAGTATGCTGTAGATCCAAATCAGCAACCTTATTTCCCTCCTGTCTATCATCACCATCCCCAAGAGCGTATGCAGCAAAATCAGATACCACCTCCCACTCCCTACCCCTACTATTCCTTCACGCCTCCACCTCCACCTCTTCAGCCCATGTATATGCCCTACCAGCCCCAACCACAATACCAATACCTGCCCCAGCTACAATTCCAACAATACCAACCCAAAATTCCTCCAGCACAAGCGCAGCCCCAAGCCAACCTCCCTATCGAACTCACCACTCACGGCGGCAACATGCAGTACTTCCGTCCTGACCAGATACCTCCGCACCCAGAGGGAGCTCCCGGCTCAAGTAGGCCGCCGAATGCCCCGATCCCGCTCAATGGGCCGCCGAGGACTGTAGAGGTGGTGTTACCGGGGGAGACGGAGGAGAGCACGGTGATTTTGCCGGGCGTCATGCCGGATGGGACGATTGGCCCGTATTATAGGAGTTAGGGAGCCAGCAGGTGCGCGGACACGAGAAGTGACGGACGTATAAGGAATACGCGGGCGAGGAAATTCGTTGGTGTGGTAAGCGAGAATTTTGGTAGAGACGGGTTGTGTAGGCAGTGAGAAGGATAGATAGCTATGAAAGGGAACATGGCAGAAATCTTTTGATTTACCAAACGGTTTTGTAAATCAAAGGAAAGAGAGCGATTAAATCGGGAAAGCACGGAAGGACTCTCTGTAGCAAACTTGCTCCTGGCTGGTGGCTGGAGTGAAAAATTTGACCTTTGAAACTCGCCCTGTTGTTCCACCGAACCTTGCATTAACTTTGTATATTTTGCCTGTCCACTCATCTCGAAAAGCTGCTGTTAACCTACGCATGCTCTATGCAAAGGTATCTAGAACTCCGAATTAGTCTTTCTTCCACCCATACACGCAGACCGAAGGCCCATCAAATCCCTCCCCCTCAGGCCGGTCTCCTCCTCGCAAATTCCTCCAGATCCGTCCTCGTCGCAACACCCAGCACAAACCTCCTCTTCTCATCCGTCACAACTGCAAACTCCTGCTTCCCAGCCTCCCCAGCCTCCCCGCCATTGAAGAACAGCTCTAGCTCCTCCAGCGGCGTGTCCATGGTGATGACCTTGTACACCTTGCCCTTTCTCCGGAACTTGATCATCGCCTGCGAGACCTGGTCTGATTCTTGGACTTTCCCGGCCTTGAGCAGGATCTGAAGGTGCGGGATGGAAAGGTAGCCAAGGAGGGCGCGGTTTGTGGCGTCTACGACGGTGAGATGAGTGTAGTCGCGTTCAAAGGCGGAGAGTAGGGCGTAGGAGATAGGATCTGTGGGGTTGCAGGAGAGGGCCGAAGGAGGGTCGAGATCTTCTACCGTTGCCTGGGAGTTGTCAATATATCGTTGCGCTTGGACGTGGAGGATGCCCATGGGCCGGCCACCGCCCAAAATGACTTACCCCTCTGTACCGGCTTGCATATTTGGATTTCGCAGACTGGGGCGCTGTTGGAATCTCTGCCATTTTAGATGCTACGTCGCGGCTCCTACTGGTATCGAGTCCGCCGTGGTGGTCGTAGTTTTTGTATAGAAGTGTAGGACTCGGAGATCTAGATTTTTGTTGGAGGGGCAGAACTTTATTGTGGGTAGTTTTGGCCTCAGGACACAGTTTCGGTGTGGATTGAGAAAGATTGAGAAAGGTTCCTTTACTGTATGTACATGTGTCAAGCTCTTCAGCAATCTCGGATGCTACGATTCCAAAATATCCAGTGGGCAGTCATTACCCACGAGGTTTATGGCTGTTTACATGTAAGAAATAAGAAATGTTGGGTGAGTGAGCTCCTCAGTATTTGAAAGCCCACCTCTCGCTTCCCCGGATAATAGTCGGGCCTTGCCTTGCACCGCTGACGTCAGCCAGCTCCGTAGAGAAGCTTTGGAGCTCTTCTGAAGCTTGAGCTTATTTCTGTCCCCACACCCACTTCTCATAATACTTCTAGTACAACCTACGGATACAACATATATATCACCCGAATAGTGCCTCCCACTCACTGGGCACAGTTAATTGACCTTTCTGATTTGACTCATTCTCCGTCCATCTCCAGCGAAATACGTCTCTACCAGATACCCTTCCAACCTGTCCGCATTCCTCGTGTTTTATGTGAGTCGGATCTTATCGAATAGCTTCATCACTGTACTTTTCCAACCTTGAGAATCGATGAATTTGCGCTTTGGGTGTCTGACAAAATGTTTTTCCCCATTTAGTTCGCCATGCCTCTTCTCTTCCCTTCCCAAGACACCCTCCACGATGCTTTCCATCCCGCTGTCCCCTTTGGCCGCAGACCTGCTTTTCCAAAAACTCTTCCTCCCGAGCGAACTCTTGTAAAAGCAGTAGAGGCTCGTGCTGAGCTTTACCCTGCATGGAGTGCGATCGATGATGCGAAGGACAAGGCCAAAGCTTTGAGTGCTGAAGCTACAAAAGAGTTCGAGAAAGCTTCTGCTAAGGCGCAGGCCAAGGCAGGTCATATCGAGTTGTACTCCGCCAAGTACTATGCCGCATGCACGTTCGGTGGATTGATGGCTTGCGGCCTCACGCATACGGCTGTCACACCACTTGATCTGGTGAAGTGCCGCCGACAAGTTAGTTCGAAGATGTAAGTATTGGAAGTGTTTTGGTTCGCATGTGAAAATTCAGTTACCAACATTCGGCCCAGGTACACTGGCAACTTCCAAGCCTGGGGTAAGATTGGTCGTGCAGAAGGATTCCGTGGTATCTTCACTGGTTGGAGCCCAACCTTTTTCGGTTATTCGGCTCAAGGTGCCTTCAAATACGGTGGATATGAGTACTTCAAAAAGTTCTACGGAGATCTTGCCGGTCCTGAGAACGCGTCCAAGTACAAGGCCGCTCTATATCTCGCAGCAAGTGCTTCGGCCGAGTTCATTGCGGATGTAGCTCTTTGCCCATTCGAAGCCGTCAAGGTCAGAATGCAGACGACTGTTCCGCCATTTGCGACTGGTACTTTCCACGGAATCAGTACTATCACGAGCAAGGAAGGTTTCGGTGGACTGTACAAGGGGCTCTACCCTCTCTGGGGACGTCAAATACCGTACACCATGATGAAGTTCGCTTCTTTCGAAACGATTGTCGAGATGATCTACGAGCGCCTTCCGGGTCAAAAGTCTGACTACAGTAAAGCTGCTCAAACTGGTGTTTCTTTCACTGGTGGTTATCTTGCTGGTATTCTTTGTGCTATTGTCTCTCATCCTGCCGATGTTATGGTGTCCAAACTCAATGCTAATCGCCAATCCGGTGAAGCTTTCGGTAAGTCACAATACTTGTCTGTATTGTTCACCTGCTCGATAGACCGGGAATGTTGGAATTAAAATGAAATACTGACGACCTCCCAGGTGCTGCCATGGGCCGAATCTACAAGGACATCGGATTTGGTGGTTTATGGAATGGTCTTCCAGTGCGTATTGTTATGATTGGCACATTGACAGGTCTTCAATGGATGATTTACGTATGTCCAGAGTTGAAATTCACCCTGGGGTTTGATATTGACGACCTTTCTAGGATTATTTCAAAATCTTCATGGGCCTCCCTACGACCGGGTCTGCACCACCCGCCAAGAAGAAATAGGTGCGGAGATTAGCCAGCGGTTGGCGCGTAGAATAGACTCTCACATGAATGCTCGGCATCGATTTAAGCAACCTTTGCTCACACGATTAAGGCATGAGTCCGTGCTATTATTGACTTTGATCGAAGCGAAGGAAAAAGAAATGCTCACCTACCTGCAGAAGTGATGTGCTTTTATATTATCCACGAAGATTAGCATGAGGCGTGCACAATGCAGAAAGTTCCATACATAATACAGCACGTACGGTATTCACCCTTGCGGTATCTTCCAAAGTTTCGTACCGGCCAGAACCCACCCGGTTCAGAGTGGTTTGTTGTAACTTACTACCGAGGCTCATCGGTTGTTTACGAGTGGAACAAACAGACGTGGAAAATATACGACATACAAAAGAAACGCTAGATGTACATTTTCACCGGCACCAGCCTTATCCTGAGTGCAAGATCGACGCCCGCACGTGAAGACGTCAAAGTGCAAAAAGTTCTGGAAGCCCACCTAAAGCTTCCCCAGCTGGCGGTCTATTAAACGCCGCAGGGATAAGCGTGGATGTGTGTGACATAGGGCGTTCCTCTTTCAGCGCGAATCACTCCTCGCGATCTTTAGAAGTGTGGGTGTGGGCTGCATGCGTCTATCTTTATTTGCTAATTGTACAGTGCCCGAGTCGGCAGAAGTATTTCTAGTTGCGTCATCGAGGCCGAAGCTGTCCCTTTGTAAACATGGATAGATAGCTTTTCTTTTTATAGTACGAACGCCTCCGGGAATCATCTTTCTTTTGCTTGGTTGCATTTTTCAGCTCCTCCTCATTGTATCTCCGATCTGATCTGATCTGATCTGCCGGTGAAGGTATATAACTCCCTATCATCCTATTTCTCTTTGACACATTTCTACAGCCACCCTGAATCTCTTTACCTCCAGATTTGGTACGTCTTACAGCAGTAGTATTTGGCAAAGTTCATATAGCCCAGCCATGCAAAACCCCTTTTACCTTGCTCTCACAATCTCCCAAGCTCGCCATCTGTGTGTCTCATCATCGGTTGGCGCAAACTTTTTCTCTGACCCTTTACTTAGGTAGATCTCCGCGCTCTCCAGTGCTTGATACCTACCTCCTTCACCAAACAAAAAAAAACATAATCCCGTGATTATGAGTGCCAAAAACAGTGTTGAAGTCAGCCATGGTCGTGGAGGTATGTCTTCATCTCTCAATAGGCCCAGAATCTGACCACTAAAATATCCTGTCAGGAGCCGGTAACATTGGTCCCGATGCCACTGCGTACACTCTCCGCTCAATTACCACCTCACCTTCCGACTCACTAACTTATTTCTTAGCTACACAGACGGTGAGATCGTTCGCGAGGGTGTCATTGGCGATCACGGCGACGGTGCATTCTCAACAGGCCGCGGAGGAGCAGCCAACATCGGCAGCCCGGGCATGGCAGCTACCAAGCGCAAGGACGACATGGCTATTCCCGAAGTCGCCTTGCGACCCAGCATGGAGGACCAAGACTTCCACACTGGTCGAGGAGGTGGTGGAAATGTTCACAAGGCCGATGCGTTTAGGAAGCCCGCGCATCCTATCGGGTTCGCTGATAGGCTGAAGAACAAGCTGTTCAAGAAGAAGAAGGTGCAGCAGGAGAAGCCTGCGCAGACGATGACTACTGCTGTTTAAACATGAGAGGGGGGTATTGGAAGGTAACGGTGGTTTAATAGAATCGTTATAGTATGGGCGGAGCAGAAATGGGAAGATGAAACGAGAGCGAGGTGATTTGGGGGAGTTTCGATAGTTTCGTGATACCAATTTCTACCCTCTCTTTCTTCCCAAACTCAAACTCAAACAGACATAAGTATTCAAGCCTCGCTCAGTCGCGAGTACCCTCTCAGCCACAGCCAGGGTCGATCTCCACTGATGTTTTGATGCCGGTACTTGATTTTGATTTTTATACGGACTTCACAGACGAAGCAAGAAGAAAAGCAAGAAGAGAAGAGAAGAAAATAAGAAGTGCTCATTATTTGATACAATGGGGGAGGAACTCCGAACGCCTGCACTTACCACGGTACAGGCCTAAGTATTACCACTCGAGGGTGCCTCAAAAGTTTAGTTTCCACTTCAAACCGCCTGGTTACCCTACCCTCGAGGGGTAATACTTAAGCCTGGGACGTAGTATGTTATCGTAGTTAATCCGTACCGAGTAACCGTGCGCCAATAAGGCAAGCTGTCGGCTGCTCTCAGTCACTCGTTCCATCGCCACGCTTAATTAGTTCAAGCTGCAGGGAGAATTTCAACGTCAATCCCAAGCGCAAGATTCTTGGCGCGAACTGACGATTCTATCAGTCGCGTTAGTCTGAACTCCCACGCCCGCTCTTCCTCCGACTCAACGACTTCAACTACTGCTCGCAGTTTGATCCTCAGTCGCCTTGTGCCCGTGAGTGCCATCCGAAATACGGAACGGAACGGAACGTCCTTCAACCTTCATTCCGTCCTGGCGCTGCGCAACCCACCCCTCTCAACCCTCCTTCAACCTACCAGTTTCGAGCAAGATCCTAGACCACTTCCTCAACACGCCCTCTCTCGATTAAAACGTCGTCGCAGATCCTCTGCAGCCGCTAATTGACACGAAATATCCGGTACGCAGCACGCAATCGAGTCCCCTTTTGTGCAGAAACCACCCACCAGCCAGCGCAACAGCAATCATGGCTCCCAAACGCCGTCTCGCTGGGTCGCAGCCAGATGAACAGATGACCAAACGTGCAAAGAGCTCAGCTACACCTTCGCGACCAGCAACACCTTCGCGATCAGTAACACCTGCAGATACGAGCCCCAAGATGCCATTCAAGGTCGAATACCCGCCCTCCAGCACTGGCCGGACCCTCACGCAGGCTCAAAGAGATTTGATCCGCTTCGCCGAGTTTCAGGTCAGCCCGTTCAAGGCAAAAGGTGCGAAGAAAGAAGGGGAAATGGATCAGAGCTATCTCGTTACGCCGCATAAAGAGTGGGAGAGCATGAAGAAGTATAGTAACTTCATCAGTAAGTGTTTCCCGGTCTAGTGCATGTGGGCCAGACTGGACTGACTGGGATTTAGTTGAAGGAGAGACGTACAAGAATGTTGATACGGTATTTGTAAGGGGAGAGGGTACACCGAAGGACAATAACACAGAGGGCAAGCCAAAGGATTTCTGGGTTGCTAGGGTGTTAGAAGTAAGAGCCAAGAATGCTCAGCATGTCTATGCGCTGGTAAGGCATCACGTCACGAGTATGGAAAACAAATCTTATTGACCTCACAGGTTACTTGGCTGTACTGGCCTGAAGAACTCCCTCCACCGGCCACTAAATCAGCAGACCAGGTCAACAGAGAGTCAGGCAAACGAACGTACCACGGCCGCAACGAAGTGGTTGCGTCGAACTACATGGAAGTTCTGGATGTGCTCTCGTTCGCTGGCAAGGCAGAAATAACTCAATGGCTGGAAGAAGACGACGCACCCCAAAGTTCGCTCTATTGGCGGCAAACGTACAACCGGAGTACACGCGAGCTTTCTGTGCGTCTTGAGAATTGTAGTTAGAATGTTGCTAACAATTGGAAATAGGCCTTGAAGAAGCGATGCTTATGTGGTGGACACGAGAACCCGGACGTACCAATGATGATCTGCGACAATTCTCAATGCAAAACTTATTTCCACATCAACCATCTAGAAGATGCTGTGGCAAAGGTGATATATGAGCGTGAGATTGATGACAAACCAACCAAGGGAAAGGGCAAGGCACCATGGAAGAGATTCTTCAGTGTGGTGGTAGATGAGCCTCCGAACGACCACCCTAAAGCTGTTGTGAAGAGTCTTCAAGCTGACAAGAAGAACTGGGAGGAGCGGCTTAAGTGTCCAATCTGCGACCATCCGTTTGAGCAAGCGAGCCCTTGAAAAGAAGACTTTCAGTATGGAAAGATCTTACTCTCTAAATAGCAGTTTCCTCGATTAGGCACAACCGTATCTGCGTCGGTGGCATCTAGACTGTCGTTTCAAGCATCCGTATTTGGAAGCGATGGGTAGTTCTGGACTTCCAAGCGAACAGTCACACGGCAATCCTTGGCGCGTTGGGCTACAGGACCCCACTGCACTGGGCGTTAAGGAGTTTTCAGTCTGGTTCGCAGTGTTTCTTCTGCTACATTGTGCTTTAGAGGTTTCTATATGCGCTCCGTTGTGCTACATTGTGCTACAGGATCTTTCGCAAAGGCCTGTAAGGGCCCCATGGAAAGACTGTGCGGGACGACAGAACGAGAGGAGGTGTACTCAGTTGTTGCGGGCTTTTCTATTCGTCAGGCTGTTTGTTGAATTATACCCTTCTTTGTCAATGCTAGGATGGGATCCAGGAGGGTCAGGAGTAAAGTAAAAATGGCTAAGGCAGACAAAGCAACACTAGGTCTGTACACAAGCCAACAGCGCAGCTAATGAAAATCACGATTCCAAACTCGTCTTCTAATTACTCTTGACAACAGCTCTAAAATTTGTCACAAGAAAAGGTAATTCAAAGCTTGGTAGGAATCAATGCAGATCTTTGCGGTAGCCCAAGAAAGCTCCAGAAGAACCTAGATCCTACAGCGTACCGGTATGTAGTAGGGAAGCTAGCCAAGACGAAGGGGAAAAGAATACGAGCTCTCGGCAACAGTCTTCCGACCTCGACTCGCCTGGCCCGATTAATCATCACCTTTCCCTTGTTTTGATATGCGTACTTGATTTTTTATTTCCCCCAACAACGCTTAGCCGCGGCTCAAGGTCGAATCTGAGTGCCCGAGACGGAGAGAGAGAGAGAAGATTACCGTTCCATTCTGCGCCGCTTCGGGTCCCACTGGGCTGTTTAGGGAAAAGGATCCTACTTAAGCACTGGGGCGGCGGAAAGCTATTGTTTAGCTTGAATTTTCTTAACTCCGTGAGAAAAAAATTTAAATTTTGAAGTTTTCCAGATTTCCACTCATTGGCTGCTCCAGTGGGGAAAAAAAAGAGAGAAGCAATGGGTAATGCTGATATTGACACCGCCGCGCCGCCGCCGCGCTCGACAGCCGACATCGAAAATGGGGTGGGCGAGAAGAACATTGATGCGCTTACCAAACCCGAAGCGGATCCTGACAACTGTCACGATGCCCCTTCCTCGGTTCATGAGAGTGTCGCGTCTCAGTTCTCGAATAACGAGATTTGCTTCGTGAAGAGGATCATACGCAAGGCGCTGCAGAAATCGCATGAGGATCCCCTCGTCGACGAAACGCCGCCCGATGGCGGCTTCAAAGCGTGGCTGATTGTGTTCTTCGCGCACCAGGCTGGCTTCAACAGCTTTGGCTTCATCAACGCGTATGGCGTGTTGCAAAGCTACTACGTTTCGGCGCTGGAGCTGCCGCCGTCGACGGTGTCGTGGATCGGGTCACTGTGCGCCTTCTTGATGCTGTGTATGTTATGTCATCCTCTTGCTGGCCTCGCTCTGGCGATCTCCTTCTGGGAAACGAGCTGATTTTCTGTTTTGTGGCCAGTCACGGGTACCTTCTCCGGACGTTTGTCGGACGCCGGGTACTTCCCCCAGATGCTCATGATGGGCACCGTGATCCAGATTGCCGGCTTCCTCGGCGCTTCCTTCTCGACTAAGTACTGGCAGATTCTGCTCGCGCATGGCGTCTGCCTGGGTGTCGGTGGCGGCTTGGTCTTCGTGCCTGCTATGTCTATAGCCGGGACCTACTTTCAGAAGAAGCGCCCTTTGGCGCTCGCCTTTTGCGCCATGGGGAACTCGATCGGTGGATTGGTGTTTGCGGCCATCCTGCAGCAGACTATCCCGAAGCTGGGATATGAGTGGGCGATGAGGATCTGTGGGCTGCTAGTCATGGCTAGTAGCATCCCGTCGAACTTCGTGATGCGGCCGATGAAATTGCGGAGAGTGAAGATCCCAATTATCGAGTGGGGTGCTTTCAGGGAGATTGAGTACTCGTTCTTGTCGACAGCTATGTTTTTGACATATTTGGGCTTGTGGGTGCCGGTGTTTTACGTGTGTTTGCCCCCTCCTTAAACTTGCGAGTGCTTTGGCGACGTTGAGCTGACCAGGTTGCAGCTTGGATCCTTCGGTAAAAACATTATTGGTATTTCCACCGAAAAGGCAGCTTCTCTGATCCTGATCATCAACGGAGGCGGAATAGCAGGGCGCGTGTTGCCTGCCTTGTTGGCCTCGAGATTGGGACCCCTCAATCTCATGATCCCGCTGACTTTTTTGTCGGGTGTGATCTTGTTCTGCTGGGCCTCCGTCCACAGCTACAAGGATATTATAATATTTGACGTTTTCTACGGGTTTATCATGGCTGCGGGGCAAGGCATGCTTCCCCCGTCTTTAGGAAGTATGACCAAAGACCGATCGAAAATGGGAGTTAGGATGGGGATGGTCTTTACGATATGCGGGATTTCCTTGTTGATTGGACAGCCGCTTGCTGGAGCATTGATTGAGGCTAATGGTGGCCAGTATCTATATACGCAGATGTATGGCGGCGCCAGCATGATTTTGGGGGCACTATTTATGTTTGCAGCGAGGGTGCGAGTAGCGGGATGGGATCTAGCTGTGAATGTTTAGGCTTTGTGTGTATATATATATATATCATAATCTATAGAAGAACTGTCGATAGAGAGACGTAATAAAAGGGAATTGTTTCAATAAGAGCCAACATATGCCTGGTTCAAGTTGCCTTCCAGGCAAGCATCAAAGCCATCGAGATCCAAAGCTGAATTGAACACCCAGAACAAGTCAATATCGAACGTGTTGTCAAAAGGCGATGTCTCGAACTCCAGCGACAAATCCTGCAGGTCATTCTCAAACACAGACGCTTGCACCGTACTGTTCTGGGGCTATGTGGTATCTGAATTATCACCAAGGTGCTGTTGTGCTCTCGAAATACCCGAAGCTGAGACAGTTGAAGAGACTCAGTCCATTTCCTTCAGTAGCTTCTTTCCCATCTAAGAGGTTGTCGAAGCAGACCAGAAGATACCTTCTAGCTCTGCTAATGTACCGCAGGTGGTTTGAACTAAACTCAAGATCTCATCCGATGAGTCAAGAGCTTACTGTGTCGCATTTCCGGTAGCGCGAACAGATCGTATCGCAAGCCAGTCTGTTGAATGGAACGCCTTCTTATACTGTAGCAATCCGTGGCTACACTGCTTTGAGATTCGGGCCACTAAACTTCATTGCAGATGTGAACCTCGATCGTCGTCGGCTTTTGCCCCGAAAGAGAGAAATTTTCCGTGAGAGAAGCGGTAAATTTCGCCACCTTCGCTAAAGCTCCCGCCGAATTTGTAAACACCCGCGACTTTCATCTGTCTACGATCATGTATGTGTGAGGAAAAAAGTGTCGCTAAATGAAACCTGGCCATGGAAAGTATCGAAATCATCAAGTGAAGCCACAAGTTACCGACAGGAAAGAGTCCCAACAGTTTGAGCGACTGTGGGATCTCCCAAAATCCTTGTTCTTGGGTATTTCCTATTCATCATTAGCACCAGCGGAGAAGTACAACCTGCGTCCCTTCGCAAATATGTTCTGAGGATTATCATGCATAGATTAGGATTGGCCGCCAGAAGCATAGTGTTCCATATAAGAGCGAGCATACCCCCAAGAATTCTCGGTCCACAGACTCTGTAATCCTCGACTTTTTTCCATCGTCGCATCATGTTCTCAAAAACCTTGACCTCGAGCAGAGCCATGCTCTCCAAACCACCAAGTCTCATCCGTCATATGGCAAATCAGCTACCATCCAAAGCAGCTGGTGACATTTCTTCGGTCTTCCCCTCACTATCTGGTGTAGTCCCACCACCGCTCCCAGAGCGCTTCGCAGAGATAAAACGCAAACTGATCGAAGGTAACGAGGAACGAGTCACCGAAAGCTGGGAACGATTATTGGGGCAGTTGGAAATTGAGACTGAGATCGTGAGGCGAAATGGCCCGGGTATCATTCCGCAAATCGAGTTCGAAGACCTAAAAACTGCCCCAGAGCACTTCGTTAAGGAGACTAAGAAGCGAGGGGTGGCTGTGATCAGAGGCGTTGTCCCAGAAGTCGAAGCGAGGAACTACAAGACAGAGATTGAGGAATATGTCACGAAGAACCCGTCGACAAGTGGTGAGTTTCTGTCGATTCGAAATTAGAGATGTCGTGCGCTTACAACAAATCCTCAGCATTTCCACCCGATAACCCACAGATATTCGAGCTCTACTGGTCGAAACCACAAGTTAAAGCAAGATCACATCCAAATGTCCTCTCAACTCAGACCTCGCTCATGAAAATGTGGCACTCAAAAGACCAAAATGCCCTCATCTCCACCTCGCTACCCCTTACATACGCGGACCGGATCCGCATCCGACAACCAGGTGACAACCAATTCGCTTTAGGCCCACACGTCGACGGCGGCAGTGTAGAACGCTGGGAGCCTAATGGATACGGTCTCGGTGGCGTCTATGACAAAGTCTTTCAAGGACGTTGGGAAGAGTATGATCCATGGGAATCCAGCGCACGAATTCCTGCTGTCACAGATCTCTATCAAGGACCCGGTGGTTGCTCCAGTATGGATAAACAGGCGATAGCCGTCTTCCTTCTTTCCAGTGTCCGATGCGGAAGCACTCAAACAAGAGGGTTTGCTAACCTCTCGAACATGCAGTGTACCGGATGTTCCAAGGCTGGCTAGGGCTTTCTCACACTTCTCCTTGGGAAGGCACCTTGCTAGTTAATCCTCTGCTGCAGCTTGCAACTTCGTACTTTCTGCTTCGACCATTCTTCGATCCTGTACGATCAAAAGTCGGAATCGATCCTGAGGAGGAGTCGAGGTATCTCAGCGCTAAGAACTGGAAGTTGAGATCGGCTAGCGAGATGGACTCGGTTCTCCATGGTGCCAACCCTGGGTCTAGCCAAGAATTTACTCCTGAATTCCATCCGCATCTCAATTTGGAGCATAGCATGGTCCACGTACCAAAAATCAGACCCGGGGATTTCGTCGTTTGGCATTGCGACAGTAAGTCATCCCTTGCCTCTGCCCTCAAGCCGAAGAGACGAACAAGCCACTTATCTATCCGCTTAGCTATCCACGCTGTTGACAGAACGCACGCTGGCGCGAGTGACTCCAGCGTGATGTACATCCCCGTGTGGTACGTAATTGGGGGCCTCTTTTAAGTACTATTTCAGGATACCTCACTCTACTACGTACAGAAACTTCCTTGATCAGAAAATAGCTGACTCGCCGGTGTCGTGCAGCCCCATGACAGAGTTGAACGCAAAGTATGCAGCAGGGCAAAGGGACGCTTTCTTAGCTGGCATCCCTCCTCCTGATTTTCCAGGAGGAGTGGGGGAGTCTGAGCATATTGGTCGGGCTACTGCTCAATATATTGCGGAGAAATCGGACGAGCGCGGCATGAGCTCTATGGGTCTCTCCTCCCCGAGCCAGTTAGACACTGAGAAGTTGCCGCCTGGTGCCAAAAAGATGATTCGGAGGGCGGGCCAGTTGCTCGGCTTTGCTTGAAGATCGCTTACGGCGGGTTCATCGATTTTGAATCATCTGTATGGACGTCGCTGTGTCAGCAGCATTGTGTTTGGCATGACCTCGTCGCCACCGCGTAGCCGGGCCAACGCCGTGTGGCTGAGGAAGGGCTGAGCGGTTCAAATGGAGCTCCGTAGAAGTTTGATTAGTTGACGCGTACTACGTATGTTTCTCCATCGAGAAACGAAACAGCGGTCTACTCCGGATTGGCTGAATCTCTTTGCATCTTTTGCACGCGGCTTCGCTGGCAAGCCTTCGCTGGCAAGTCTTCGCTGCGTCTCCTTTTTTGTCTCTTGGGGTCAATATCAATATTGATTTTGGTCTTGGTGACGCGCAATTGACAAGGGAGCTGGCCAATCATGATTCATGCGGCATACAACACAGATAATGCTCAGGGAAGGCGGCTGGAAAGCCGAGGCTGATAGTATCTGAACATATCGAACTCAAACTCAATATCTGTCCATGTCCAATAAGCTTGCTGCCAATTCCGAGCCGGATCCAGCCAAAATAGCGAAGTGTTGGGTTGAGACTCTTGTGGACGTACGTAGTACTTGGTAGATGTTGCTTAGCTGCTATGGCTTTTGGCGCCGTACTCCGGGATCGCCCAAGAGATTTCCTTTGCCAGCCAAGAATCGATCGATACAGTACTATACCGGTATTTTCTCGCCCCAAGGATTGAAGAGGTGATAAGGTTCGTGATGATGAGCAGATGAGGGGCGCAAGCATCAAGGATAGGCTTTTTCAAAGAAGATTATGGGCCCCAGTAAAAGGGTACCGGTTCATATCCGCCGCCAGTGAAATGTCCAGGATCAATACAAGGTTGAGGTAGAAAGTTAGAGTTAGGTGATAGGCTCAGTGGACCCAGTTGCCGGAGCTCGAGGTGAACGGAAACAATAGGTATATAAAGTCGTTTATGCCCTCACTTACATCCATCTCTTTCTTCTGACCATCCACACTCGTTTCTCCTATCCGCTTTCTCATTGTGTATCAGCCTTCCTAACTCTTCTAATCACCCTCAATAAAATCTACCTATCTCGCATATACTACCAAACCTCCACAATGCAATTCTCTCTCGTCTCTGTCTTCGCCGTCATGGCCTCCGTTGTCGCAGCTGAGAAGTGAGTACCATCGGTCTGCGGTGATGTCGAGTTGCTAACAGGAATCAGCGCCTACGCTGGTGTTGCATACCCCAGCGGTGCCGTTACCACCCCTTCGCCCGTCGCATCAACCGGCGTAGGCTCCGCACCATCTCCTACCGGGTCCCCGATCGTATTCAGTGGTGATGCTTCCTTCAACGGCGTCTCTGCTTTGGGCATGATCGTTGCTGGTGGCTTTGCTCTTGTACGTTGCTCCTTGAATCCGTGGGTAACCTACTAACCATACCTTTAGTTCTTGTAAACTTCCGAGCTTCGAGCTAGAGTAGCATCAGAACGGCGTTCCACCCTTAATTCCATAATGACATCTGGATCCTTTGACGCTACGAGATATCCGAGCATATACACGGTTAGGTAGTAATGGAGCACACTGGTGTTTGGGAGATGGATGATGGGCATTGATACCGGCATCCTCTTGTGCGAAGAGACCAATTACTGCAGCGGCAAATATTATATATAATAATTGAAACTACTTAATATATGACTTCACTTCCAAACATGAAAGCTATGAGCAATTGAGCTGGGAATCAGAGATCAAAAGACAGGAAGTAGAACTACTGAATAGCACATACAAAACCTTCTCTCAAATTCCTGCAGCCCTCTCATATCGCTTCTCGACCGTATGAATTTCTATTGCGTTACGTCCAGAACCATGCTGAACCTACACGGGTTAGGCAATTCCAACTGCCGGCGTGGCTCACATTGATGCTGCCTTGCATGGAAGAAGTTCATATAATTTTTTTTAAAAAAAAATACAGTGCAGTGGTTGTTCAGGTGATGTTGTTAGTGAAGGAGCGAAAGCTGTGATCACTTCTTTTCCGCTTTGCCATGCCAAGACATCTCTCCAAGAGTACGCCATTAGACGTCCCTCCTCCCGACAATCACAACTCGACCACAACGACGACGAACCTTCAAAATGTCCAAGACTATTGAGATCGCGTCTCATAAGCAATTCCAGGACCTTCTTAAGTCCTCCCAAATTGTGGTGACAGACTGTGAGCTCGCCCCCACCAACCCCTCCATCTTACAGATGGGCGCCTCCGCTTGTGTACAGGAGCTTTGAAATGCTTTAGAGCTGGTACTAACCTTGAGAAGTCTACGCAGATTGGTGTGGTCCCTGCCACACAATTGCGCCTCTTTACGAACAGCTCTCGGCTCAACTCTCACGTCCGAATCACATCACATTTACCAAGGTCAATGTCGAAACGCAGACGCAGATTGCGTCCCAGTTCGCTGTGTCTGCGTAGGTAGACCTTCGAGGAATTATTGCTACAGAGATCGCTGATATTGCTATGTAGGATGCCTACGTTTATGATATTCAAGGCCGGTAAAGAGGTAGAGAAGGTGATGGGTGCCGATCCACGAAAACTCCAAGATGTCGTCAAGAAACTTGCTGCAGAAGCTGAAGGTAGCTCCTCTGGATTTGGAGAGGCGACCGGAAGTGGCAGCAACTGGCGTGTGGGAGGCCTGCCAAGAGGATATAGCGATGTGACGGATCAGGTTGATATCAAAGGCATGGAGCTGTTGAATGCAGATAGCGACTTTGGGACGGTCAGAACTCTGATTGAACCTGCAAAGCCTACGGGATTGCAGAAGGGTCAAGCAGCAGCGTCTGCAGGAAAGGACTGGGTCGAGAGTGATACGGATGAGCAGCTCATGTTGTTTATGCCCTTCCAAGCTATGCTCAAGGTCCACACACTCCAGGTAAGCTCGTACTCTGCCACTGGGAAGCCATTCGCTGATTCATCTATAGATCACATCCCTCCCACCTGCCTCTTCTGAAGATGATAAAATCCCCATGAGACCGAAGACCATTCAGCTCTATACGAACCGAGCACACAACCTGGGCTTCGACGAAGCTGATGATATACCTGCCACTCAAAGCATCACCCTCGAGAGCAAGGACTGGGACGAGACCGGGACCGCGACGGTTTCTCTCCGCTTCGTCAAGTTCCAGAATGTCACATCGCTGGTTCTGTTCATTGTGGATGGCGATGGAGAAGGCGAGAAGGTCCGCATTGATAGAGTTAGGATTATCGGTGAGACTGGGGAGAAGCGAGACCAGGGGAAGCTGGAGAAGATCGAGCATTGAGACTTGGGAAAGGAATGGCTGCGCGTAATGCAGAGAATATGCGTTGCCTCTTTTTGTTGCGGAAACGCCAAGAACCGCATTCCTGACTGAAGTGCAAACAAGTCTGGATAGCAGCACATTCGCATGAATACCAACAACATACTTCAATTCTTGATGCTCTATGTTGCTAGATACACGTGGCGTCCTCCCAAAGCGCATGATATTCCACCCATTCTGTGCACCCCTATCCCTCTGAAATGCCAGCCAGCACCTTCCGTAACCTCAGTCTCTCCAGTATAGTATGTTCAAACTCCAATCCAGCACCTAGCCCGGCCACCTATGAGCCCGTCAAGACAAATCGTAGGCGCGAACTCGACTCGGCGCGTCGGAAGGATAAATCGATTGCAATTAGTTTTCTCTATGGGACCTCTGACGCTCGAATTTTTGACTCCACCATGGAGCAGACCTTCCAGTCTGCGGGTGTTTGAGCAACACGGGTTGTAGAAGGCCCCAGCCGCATACTTTCTTTTGCTTGACAGCGCAAGGTTCGAAGATTATATACTGGAAAATCTTTTAGCTCGCTTATTTAACGCTACTGCATCGGACATTTAGTGCCCTGTGGGCCGTCTCCACTTCTTTGACGGAGATTACGTACTCGCTCTTCCAAGCAAGTTCAACGCCCTTCAGTCAAGACTTCAATTCACTAAGTACTACTATGTACTACTATAAAGCACTATTAATTGTGAATCGGCCCGCCGTTCCACCAGATTTTCGCTGATTTAGCGCCTCACAGTTCTCCTCTTGTCTTCTTACGTACCGGTATCTCCCACACTTCTTTCTGCCCCTCCATGTCTTACTTACAAACGGATAATGTCCACGCCTACGCCGCGGACGATCAGATAACCCTCTCTCGAAAAGTTCCAGTCCCACCTCGTCGACGCCATCGCTATCACACGATAAGCCAAACGCAGCGGTGCTCGAGATACTCGAAACTACTGAATAAGGTCATACCAAGCCAGTAGCAAACTCGCTGTTACTAGCAGTCCGTGGGCCGAGCATCATTTAGACGGACAAGGATTTATTGAACTTCAAGAACGTTTGCGTGCCGACGAGTTTCTCTTTGCTTGGGCAGAAGCCAAGTTCAAGTAAGTTTCGTTCTGTCCGGGCTGGCCAAATTGTGGGCAAAATGGAAGAAACAGGAGGATATCTGGTCAGGTCTGGCCTGGCACACGGATAAGATAGACCAGATAGATATGGAATCCCAGCCAGCCGGCAAAGAAATACCGGAACCATTATTAATATCGGCGCGAACGCAGGTCCGATTACTTCCCTAACCCCGGCAAGTTCATTATTCGCATGCCTGTTATACCTACTACTACTATTCGAAGTTTTTCTTTACTCCTTGGTATCAAAGATCCTTTTCAAGTTGCGGGCCGTTCAAGGGCAGTCGGCCAAATTCGCTAGGCAGATTTTATGTTATGGCTCGAGTACGATCAAATCGAGGCACCCGGAGTGTGGAAAACACGACCCAGACGCTTCTTTTAGACATTGCAACGCGAACATGCCGGCGTAGTGGTGGAGGCTCCGTACTCGCAGAAGTAAAAGATTTGCTGCGTCTCGCGGACGAGTACATTCTGGGCTTGGATGGCGAGACCCAGGCCGTAATTGGGCCCAGTATCGAGCATAGACCTAACAGCAAAGCGGCGACCGTGACAGAGCGGATGCCAGCGATAGAGGTAGACGAGGAAGGAGATGATTGTCTAGTTGCTAAGGCAGTCGTGGATCAATACTTATCACACATCTGGTGTCCTTTCTCTTATATCACTAGACAGTAGATGATTAATCTCTGCAGATATTCCGCAGCAGCAACGGTGAAATGATTACCTCTCTTAATAGCAATCTCCGGCTCTCACTACGCACTTTCGTGACAGAAGAAAACTGGGACGGGGCGCCACCGAGCTGAGAAATCGTTATTTCTGCGCGGCAAATGTATGACTTCCTCGAGGCAGCAGAGAAGCAGATGCAGAGAGAGAGAGAGAAATAACGACAATGAACGCGCCGCTACAAAGTATTCGTCAATGAAGAAGCGGTTTAAAAAAAGTCGGAGGAAGAAGTATTGGACGTCAAAGATGAGTAGAGATTCATTCAAGTTGGAAGAGGGTCAATTGGAAGACGGAGATGCAAAGGACACACAAAATACAAGCCTAGCCCTTGAATAATGCAAGACAAATGTCTAGCCTCTGAAAGCTTACACTTACGGCCAGACAGAGAAAGGGAGTGTGGTGGACCTCAACCTACCCTATCAATGCAGCTGGGAGGCAGTATATTGGTCAGGTGAGGTTCGAAAGGGTAGAGCGAGCTTGCGAGCTGGGTTGGATCAAGACTGATTGATTTAAAGTTTTATATGTATTTTTTTTCTTGCCTTTTGATAGAGGTTCAAGGCAGATTTGGAGGTGTGTATTGTCGATACTACTATATCATAGTTTCGGCACCCCGTTTCGGTTTTACTTCATCTCAAGCCGTCTCCACACTTCACACTTTGTTCGTCCGATGTGATGTTCTGCAGGGGCTCTTGAAATTTAACGGTGTGCAGCGATGAGCTGTCTTTGGGACAAATAGAATAAACAAACAAACCAACGTCAGCTACTGCGACCGCCCGCACTCCTTCCATTTATTCTGTTCCAGCTGTGCTTCTAATTATTCCACCAGCTCCTCTGTTCCTTTGCTGCTCTATCCAGTCTTGTCATTTTACTATTCTTAGCTGTCGGTCATCTTCTTCCTCAGAAATCCCTTGCCCTACGACAAATACAAACTGACCTAGAATATCTCGTAGCAATTGCTGATCAAAGTCATTCGCGTGAGAGTATTTGTTAGCAATACCTACCATCTTGTTGCGTCAACGGGCCTAGTCAACAAGCCAAGCCAGTCGGCAACACAAAACTAAACAAAGAACGCCAACGAAGGTTCCAATGTCAACATACAATCCACGAAGATCTCTTGCACGTCCCCGACCTTCAATACTCAACGGCATCAACGCCTCTTCTAGCCCCAATCTCAGCGGACTATACAACGCGCACCAAACAAAGTCACTGGTGGTAAAGCCACACGCGCCTCTCAGGAAAGCATCCGCGAACGCTCTTACATCCAGCTCTCTGGCCTTAATACCCGATGCAAGCGGAGGATACACCCTGAGTTCGGCATTGGATGTGAATTCACAAGCGGTTAAGATGCCGCCCTTGACGCCATCCCGCGCGGGAGGGGAGGATCTTGAAGTCGGAGATATCGTCGATGTCCCGGGAAGCATGTACGGAACCGTAAAGTTCGTCGGGACGGTACAAGGGAAGAAGGGCACATTTGCAGGGGTGGAATTGAGTGAAGAATTCGCAGCGCGGGGAAAGAACAGCGGCGATGTCGATGGGTAAGACATACAAACGCTGAGATTACACTACGCGGAGAGAGACTGACGAGTCACACAGGGTATCATACTTCGATACTGTTATAGCTGGAGCCGGTATCTTTCTTCCGATAAACAGGGCAATCCGACGGGGGTCTCCTTCGTCACAAGAGGGCTCCTTTCCTATCACACCAACGACACCTTCAATAGGCGGGAGCTTCAGGGTAGCTGGTCAGGGATCGAGCGCATACACACCTCCGACACCATCATTGCCTAAGTTTAGCCAGTCTGTGGGGCCCGGGAGAGTTCAAAGTCCTCAGCTCAAGAAATCGCGCCCTTCCTTGCCTCGGCCAGAATCCCCTCTTCGAAAACCACAGCTAGCAGCGAGGCCCTCCATTGGCACTCCGTCCAAGGCGCCCTCACGGTATGGAAGTCCGGCACCAGGGAAGTTCGGGCAGAGCGTTAGAGGTACACAGGACTCGAGAGACCCAAGTAAGAAGCCGGTATTGGCTCCTAGGAATGGTATGAAAATGAGCGTTGGCCCTCGCAGTGCTTCTGCTCTTGGTCAGGTTCAAACGAACTACGGCGATGAGGAAACTACGCCTGTTGGACCTACTCGAACCGCCACCAATGGAAGCATCAGCTCGAACTCTTCGTACAATGTCAAATTGCGTCCAGCTTCTCGCACAGCCTCTCGTAATGCCTCGAGGGCGAATAATGACGACGAGTTGGACAAATTACGAGGACAACTAGAAGAGCGCGATAGACAGCTCCGGGATCAGGCATCTAGCTTGGCTGAGATGGAAAACAGTCTCGTCGAGGTCCAGGCATTGATGAGCTCACCAGAAGTGGGTGGCCGGCAAGATAGAGGCAGCGTCGAGGGCAAAGACGCTTCACAACTACGAGCCATACTTCGGGAGAAGAATGAGAAGATTGCAATGCTGACTGCAGAGTTTGATGCCCATCGAGCCGACTTCAGGAGTACGATCGATACTCTCGAGCTGGCAAGCACGGAGACCGAACGAGTGTACGAGAAACGGGTTGAAGACCTCCTTCAGGAAGTCAGAGAACTTGCAGAACGAAGCGAGGATGTTGACAGCGTCGCACAACAATTGAAGCAGCTGGAGGAGCTTGTTCAAGAATTGGAAGAGGGTCTAGAGGATGCTAGACGTGGTGAAGCTGAAGCTCGAGGGGAGGTTGAATTCCTCCGAGGTGAGGTCGAGAGGACTAGATCAGAGCTTCGCCGTGAACGGGACAAGGCAACTGCTACAATGATCGGGGGGGCTACTGGAGATTCTGGGGACCCACAAAAGATCATCGCGCAGCGTGACGACGAGATTCGAGGCTTGAAAGCCATCATACATTCACTAAGCCGAGATGCCATCCCAGACATGGGAAGCCCGAACGGAGACCCCCAAAAGACACCTACGAACCCGACCCGGCACGGCTCTTCGCAGTGCAAGCCAAGTAACGGTGGCCTAGATTCCCTCGAGGATCGCGTGGTCCGGGAAAGACTGGAGAGAGAGGTAGCGGAGCTGCGAGCTACCGTCGAGGCCAAAGTCAACAGAGAAGATGAGCTCGAGCGCGAAGTAGAACGTCTTCGCAGAGGAAGCGCGAGCAACGGAACCAGCCAGCGAGCAAGCGCTACAAGCACAGGAACAGCCACCCAAGACCAGGCCTCCGCGCAAGATTCTAAGGGTACAATTGTCAGCTGGCGTGACCGGGATACGCGAGCTTCAACAGAAAGCCACAAACGAGGCAACACCCTAGAGACCATGCCAGAGAGTGATACATACTCCTCCGCCAACGAGAGTTTCTGTGAGCTATGTGAAACCGCCGGCCATGACATTCTGACATGCACGAACATGTTCAGTCCCAACGGCGCTACTCCACCCAGGGCTCGCCTCCGAACCGGGAAGGACGTAGTCAAAGTCGGTCTATCCCCCAAGCCATCACATGATGAATACAAACCCGCCCCTCTCTCTCCAATAAAGAGCAGGCCATCTACCAACCTGCTTTCCGAACACTCCCAACCACTACCGGTTGTACAAATCATTCCCAACCCCATGGCATCCGGGCCCGTGGCTGGCAAAGAAAGCGGGGTGGTAAACATGGATAAATGGTGTGGCGTGTGCGAGCGCGACGGCCACGACAGCATCGATTGCCCTTTCGAAGATGCGTTTTAGATCCTTCTCTCTCTCTCTCCCATTTGTCAGTATTTGCGCTCTTCGACTTCGTTCGCATCGCTCATTTTCGCCCTCACGTAGGTTTCTCTCTCAGCGTACGATCGAACAGCCCTCATGTTTCAGCACAGCGGTGATACCATTCTGTTTCTGGAGGGCACTTTTTTTTATGGATGGCTTTTGACTCAACTTGGTCTGACATTGAGTTGGGCTGTAGGAAAAGCGACGCTGTGATGATTGATTGGATTGAGATCACGGGATAGACGGAAGCGACAGGAATGGTCTTGAACGAATAACGTAGGTGGTGTAAGTAATAATACCTAGGTAGTTAATGAACCAGTGCGAATCAAAGTTTTCACTGGATGGCCGGCCATAATCGAGCAGTGTGTGTGGAAAGAAGACATTCTGCTGTTACTATTGAAGCCACATGCATGAGCTACCATCGAATTTGAGTCGAATCGCGAATACCCTCAGGTAGCACATACGCATGGAAACAAAGTGTATTTCTTACCGCTACGCCTCGTTCTACTGTAGAGAACCTCGCGGTAGGATCATCAAATTAAGGTGGAAAAAACTTCATGATATCACAGGGAAGGAAAGCAACCCTGATGCCGCACGCGAACACGCCTGTCTTGGGGTACCAGCCCACCGCACACGGCCAGGCATCATCAACCAGGCTAGGAACAGCGTCGTCGTACATACAGGCGTCCCAGGTTTTTTCGACTCCCATGCATATGTGCGGCTAATCATTGCGGCCAATCTCATGGACAGAGAGAAACGCCGCACCCAAGACTCTCCAACTTTTCTCCCTTGAACAGACGGGTACCATACGTCATGGAGCCTCACATTGCATAGCAACGGGCTTCTCATTGGTACTGCTTTTTAAGTCCAGGTGTTTTTTTGCGTTGAGAGAATAAATTCTCTTTGTTGAAGGGGAAGAAAAGAAGTCTGATGCGGCGGCCGAAGAGTTTTTATACCACGTCGCTTACCTCAGTCGCGCTAGGCTAGCTGCGCCAAGCATTCTCAGAGCTAGTGCTCTCCACCCTCGGACTTACCCCTCCAAAAAATTTCGAGACTCCCGCATTTACTTCCTTCAATCATCCTCTTGAACGAATCGTGAGTGAATCGTATACTTATATCTGCTACCCTCATACTAAATGCAGTCAGCCCACCCGATCTTCAGGAATACAGCAAAATGTCGGTCGATCAAAAATCAGGTATGGAGAGAACGAACTTCCAATATTCTCTGGCTAATGCCAATGCTAATAATGCACTTCGTAGCCATCATCTCTGTCTATGACAAGACGGGCTTGCTTGACCTTGCCAAAGGCCTGATCAAGCAAAATGTGCGCCTCTTGGCTTCTGGGGGAACTGCCAAGATGATCAGAGACTCGGGGTTTTCTGTAGAGTAAGTGAACGCACTCCATTCTCTATAGAGTAGTTCTCTTGCTTACTGTCGCACAGAGACATATCGGCCATTACACACGCACCCGAAATGCTGGCAGGCCGAGTCAAGACCCTCCACCCTGCAGTCCATGCCGGCATCCTCGCTCGCGACCTCGCGTCCGACGAAAAAGACCTGGCAGAGCAGAATATCAACAAGGTGGACTACGTCATCTGCAACCTCTACCCGTTCAAGGATACCGTTGCGAAGATCAATGTTACAATTCCAGAAGCAGTGGAGGAAATCGATGTTGGAGGAGTTACGTTGATTCGAGCTGCAGCAAAGAACCATGGCAGGGTCACAATCTTGACCGACCCCAAGGACTACCCTGAGTTCTTACAAGAGATTGAGAAGGGAGAGGTTACGGAAGGCGCACGAAATCTCTACGCCTTGAAGGCTTTTGAGCATACCGCAGACTATGACGCGTCCATTTCTGATTTCTTCCGAAAGCATTACGCGGGAAATGGTATTCAGCAGATGGCTCTTCGATATGGCGCCAACCCCCACCAGAAGCCCGCCGCAGCTTTCACGAAGATGAGTCCTCTTCCATACAAGATCCTTTGCGGATCTCCTGGTTACATTAACCTTCTCGATGCTCTCAATGCGTGGCCCTTGGTCAAAGAATTGAAGGCCGCCCTCGGACATCCTGCCGCCGCAAGCTTCAAGCATGTCTCCCCTGCCGGAGCTGCTATTGGCGTTCCTCTTACTGCCGATGAGAGAAAAGTCTACATGGTCGATGACATCGAAGGCCTCGAAAACTCCCCACTCGCACAAGCATATGCTCGTGCTCGTGGTGCTGATCGTATGAGCAGCTTCGGTGACATGATTGCTTTGAGCGACATCGTCGATGTGCCCACTGCCAAGATAATTTCTAGAGAGGTTTCAGATGGTGTTATTGCTGCTGGCTACGAAGATGCTGCTCTCGAGATCTTGCAGAAGAAGAAGGGTGGTAAGTACCTGGTTCTTCAAATGGACCCTGAGTACGATCCGGCTCCCCAGGAGTCGAGAACCGTCTATGGTATCACTTTGACCCAACACCGTAACGATATCAAGATATCGCCCAAGTCTTTCGCCTCTATCATCACACCTAAGGAATCGGGCCCACTAGCAGATTCTGCTCTCCGTGACTTGACCGTTGCTACCATTGCTCTCAAGTACACCCAAAGCAACTCAGTCTGTTACGCTCTCAACGGCCAAATAATTGGTCTCGGTGCTGGACAGCAGTCGCGTATCCACTGCACCCGTCTTGCCGGTGATAAGGCCGACAACTGGTGGTTGAGGTTCAACCCAAGAGTCCTGGGCATCAAGTGGAAGAAGGGCACCAAGCGACCAGATAAGAGCAATGCCATCGATCTTCTCGTCAGTGGTCAGCTCCCCACGGACGGTCCCGAAAGGGAGGGATATGAGGCCTTCTTTGATGAGGTTCCAGCAGCATTTACGGAGCAAGAGCGCTCAGAATGGCTTGGCAAGCTCAGCGAGGTTGCGGTCTCCAGTGATGCTTTCGTAAGTAACCCAGGATCGTCGAGTAAGTTTGCTAACATGGATAGTTCCCCTTCATCGACAACGTTTACCGTGCTGGACGATCGGGTGTTAAGTACATTGCTGCTCCGAGTGGGAGCCAGAATGACTCGGCTGTCTTTCAGACTGCTGAGAAACTCGGTATCACTTTCGTTGAGCAGAGCATCCGCCTGTTCCACCATTAGACGAATCTACGTGCCAGGAGTTATGGAATGAGGGAAAACAGGAAGACCAGATAGATACCCCGAATAGATATGATGGTATTGGTTTGGATTGGATTGGAAAAAGGAATCTAAAGGCCGAGGTATCCGTCACGATCCTGCGCGAGTGTGGCAGATAATGGAGGCAAAATGCACAAATATATATATATCTATATGTATGTATGTACTGGCATCGTATGGACTGTCCAAGCCTCGACAGAAATAGATGGGTGGCCTCTCAAGAAAATCACTGGCGGGGGGAACATGCCAAGAAGCGGATCCCATGCGTTCATTCGCTCTCCCTCGAACCGCCCGACCCAACCCAACCCACCGCCGCCAGACTGCAGGTCGGCCAATGGGAGCACCAAGATGCACTGGACTTGCACCGCGCTGCATTGCAGGACGCAAGACGGCAAGAGGGCAAGAAGGCAGGCGCGAAGCTGACGGACCTCATTGGAACATGGACACGGCCAACATCACATGACATACCCACTATAGCTGGGCCTCTTCCACGCCCACCATAGTCACCGTCCATCACCGTCCATCACCGTCTACAGTCTACAGTCCACAGTCCACAGTCCACAGTCCATTGTCCAGTCTGACATCCGCTATTTTTCTGTTCTATTTATTTGCTTGTGTTCGATGCGATACGTGTTGCTCACTCATCCATTGCGCAGTCTGGCATTCTGACTTTCTGACTTCCTGACTTCCTGACTTCCTGACATTCTGACTGTCTATCTGCTGTTACGTTATCCGTATATCAATCATCCTCCATCTTACATGCAGGTCAGGTCTCGCAGATCCGGCGTCTATTTTCGACTCCGGCTACCACGACCACGACCACGACCACGACCACGGTGTGGTGCCGCGGCATGCCCGGTATCCTATCAGCATTGCAGACGGCAACGCCAACATCTGACTTCTGCCAATGCCCATCCCCAGGTCGGTATCCTACCGGCCATATCTGCCCTTCATCCCCTCCCGCCCACTTACTGATGGGGTTAGTAGCCTCGAAGTCTGTCTCAAATTAGAACGCTTGCTGGCGCCCCCCAAGTCGAACATAAGCCCTTTGCCTGCCCGAGTTCTGAAGATCCGTCTCTTCTTTTCTCGGTAGCTGGTCTCTATTCATAATCTTCTTCGTCTTTTGAATCATCTGCACCTTGTTGTCATAGCCTTGTCGCTCTGGTGCTCTGCCTCTTATACTTGTACGGACCTACAATATCTTCTTTCCGCACCGAGATTTCCTCCCCTCAACATGTCAAGTCAGTCCACTCCGCCTGACAGCTGGCCGTACAAACAACTCACTTCCGGGTCAGTTCCAAGCCAAAAGAAACGTCCAGATATTTTATCACGCGAACGTACATCCTCGAGCTCCTCGGACACCTCCCTGAAAGTCCCACGCACACCACGCTTCGCTGAAGCAACAACTGTGCACTCTCCCATAGAAGTCAGCGAAGAGGGCAGGTCACCCTTCGCAGACCCTCCCTCCACCAAGACACAATCGTACATGGCTCAATCACAACCCTCAGATATCGGCTTCGGCTATATCTCGAATAATGACCCTGCACGACACTCAGCAGGGGTTCCGGTCGAGGTCCCTCTCACCCCAGGCTCACCGTTAAAGAGTGCATTGAGAGTGCCGGGTACGCCGGGGCGAAAGATAGACAATCCTCTGAGTCCCACATTCCGGGAAGAGCAGATTTTGGAGAAGCAAGAGGGCCTTACAGAAAAGGAGCAAGCGAAGGACCTGGTAAGTTGAGGAATCCCAAATGGAAATTCCGACGCCGCGCTAACAGCGTCACAGAAAGTCAAGACCAGGGTCCGAGTGGCAAAGTTTCTTTTGCGAGGTGTAAATTTCAGCTGCAGTCTGATCGTTCTTGCCATGATCGCAACCACATTCAGTATCTTCAACGCAACTAAACACTTAGCGCCGCGAAACAACCTCCCTCCGTGGGCTGACAACACCCGAACATGGCCTCAAATACTTCTCCTCGTTGTAGCTTGCATATCTCTTTTCCTTTGCTTGGTCGTATTCTGGAATTTCTTCCGAGGGGCCAGCAAGAGAGCAGACAAGGTCGAAGTCTACTACACGCTCTTCGCCGTCGGCTTCTTCATCTTCAGTGTCATCATGTGGGGTATCGCAGCTGGTGTTCTTCAGGGCTCGAAGGACAATAGCAACAATCGTGATATCTGGGGCTGGTCATGCGTCGACAACAGGAGGAAAGAACTCTTCAAGCAGGAAATCGACTACGAGCTCGTTTGTCGACTGACCGTAAGTTTGGTATCCGAGCATTATTTGAAAACATTCGCTGATCAATCAATAGAACTGGGCTCTGGTCTGCTGTATTATTGAGATCGTCCTGGAGAGCATAACCATTCTCCTCTACGCCGTCGTCTTCTACAGATACTACTCCAAGCAGCGCCTCCGCAAGTCCATGGAAGTCCGTGACCGCGCCCGCTCTGATCTCTACCTCGCTCAATTGCGCTCTCAATCTGCCCCCAACACACCTGGCTTTGGCCCCAAGTCCCCCTCTTTCTCCCAGCACATGAAGTCGCCACGCTTCCCACCCTCCGTCTACCACACGAACTCCTCGTCCGCAGCCGAGGAGGGTTTCGCTGGGCCCGGTACTCAATTTGTGGAAGCTAAGTCAGAAAGCAGCATCGCTGCCAAGCCCTTCGCTCTCCAGCCTCCCCCGATTAAAGTCCACAGCGCCACACCCAAGACGCCGCAAAACGGATTCTTTGCTCCAGCCCCCAAGAAGGAGAGGGTCATCGAGCACGTAGCCGCTGCACCAGGCGAGCAAAAATACGATGCTGTGCCCATCCCCGGCGCTTACGCGAGTCCCTTGAAGAGTCCGGGCATGGCACCACCTCAGCATAGGAGATGTGGGAGCGTCGGGGAGGCCATTACGAGTGATGTGAGGATCGAGAGTCCCCCTGGGAGCCCGAGACGCTGGAACTGAGTAGATTGTGAGCATGTGTATTCTTTTCGTGGCGTGGGGGGGTCTTTGGAGCACCAAACTTATTTTTGGTTAGGAGTTGGGGATTACCTTGGGCGCCATATAGGAAGAAGGAAATATCCAAGTTACTCGCTGGACGTTTTCTAGCAGTTAATATGGGAGGAAAATATGTGGATCATATCTGTGCAGTCACGAAATATTCTCTCATTCCGGGTGTTTCCAGTGCCTATATTTTTCGTGCTCCTCATTCTCTTCCATTCAGCTTGTGCTTTTCTTTCACGCTACCCAATTCTATACTGTTGCAAGATAATGCTCGTGTTCCCGTTAAAGATTAATGGTCCTTCGACTCAAGTTAGCTGCCACGCCAGGCGCATCATGCGTGATCCGTCACTTGTTACGTGGCAGTCGACCGGTGCTCTTGATCCCACAGAAGTGACACGACTAGGAAAAGATCACCTTTATCAAGTATAGGTAGGCGGACTGAATCTCACCTTTGAGAGGCGAGTCGCTACTCGGAAGTGAGGTATCCTTGTTTACTTTCGGTTTCGGACAAAAGTAGGATATTGATCAGAAGAGTACCTTGATATAAAGCTGTATATATTATAGGGAGTTGAACTCCCGCGAGCTTGTATGCTTATTCCAGTTACCAGGTAAGAAAAGTGATCCTGGAAAGGAAGGTCAAAAGCTCTTGGTGTCGACGCCTACCGATCTACACCAAAAGCGTGACCAATATGTTTTTACTTGGTGTTGCAGAAATATGGAATGATAAGTCGAAAGTGATTAAGCACTCAGCTTGAGATTTATCTTAAGCGCCTATCTAGTAAACAGACTCATAATCCCGTAACGCATTCGTGATCTGATAAGGAAAGCATGACCCGAGGTCCCCTAATTTTAGCGCCGTTGAGCACGGACTAGCGACAGCTACTTCATAAGTACCTCTTCGGCGCGCCTCCATCCACTCGCACCCCTCTTTCCCAAAAAAACAACATTTCCAAAAACTTCTCAAAACAAACCAAATTCATCACACCCTCTAATATCTCTACTCCCCGAACAACAAGTTAAGCACTACCTCCGTTCTCCCACCCAAATACATCTACAATGGCTGTCACCAAGGAAGCAAAGGCCGCCATGCAGAAGGGACGCGTCGAGAAGTCGAAGAGCAAGAAGGCCAAGCTGGAGGCTGCGCGCGCCCGCGCTGCCGTCGCGCGCGAGGCCCGCACCGGCAAGAAGGCAGCTGTTACGAAGGCGACACCCAAGAAGTGAGCGCGCGTCGACGCATGCGACGGGGGGGTTCACGCGCTGTGCTGGCGACGGAACACAACAACTCTTGTACGATGGAAAGAAGGGAGGGAGGATTGCATGCCAACTGGGAGATGGTGATGACTTACATCTTCGGATCTGATGGAGAATTTGGCGCTGACGGATGGGCGATGGATCTTCTCACACTTGCGCTCGACCTACTCTGCTTGCTCCGGTGCTCGCGGTCGGTACTTAAACTCGGGTGGAGGGATTCGGATGGGATTTGCGCTTTTGATCACATCGGATTTCTTCTGGGTCTCGTGGGTGGGAAATGCCTTTTCTGAGTGCCTCGCGTGGGATTCATCAATGGAGCATTGAAAAACAGGCGTGTCTTTCGTGATTCGCGTGCTTGGGTGGTGGGTGACCTGAAATGTTTGTTGACATTTGCTCACCCCCATACTGCTCATGCATAGTCGCATGTTGCTGAAGCTCAACTGATGTCTCTCAAGTATTTCAAGTATTCGCCGCTTCCTTCTCGAATGTTGTATGAACGTATCTCCTGCTTCTTGATACGTGCTTGCGACCGGACTGCTTCGCACCTCCATTCCGCAACCCCAATCCATCTTTGCTTCAACTCGCTTCCTATACCACCTTCCCCCAATTCTCCCCCGTCCCCAATCAACACAATACAAAACACGTTCTCACCGCCAAATCATAATCTTATATATTACGATACCTTCCTTCATTATTCCTTCGTTTCTTAATATCACGATACTTCCTTCGTATCACCACTCCTCCTTCTCCCAGCACGAATAGGTACCCCCCGTGCCATATTTAGCAAGTATTTATTGTCTCAACACAACCAAGCAACCTATCAATCATCTACTACCCATCCATACCTCAATTTTCAAGACCTTGCTCTCTGGGAGGTATCCCCCCCCTTCCCCCCCCCCCCCTCATCCATGTCCTCACGAATCAAAGGCAGCGGGGAATCTCGAGCGTTCGAAACAAAAATAAACAAGCAGCAAAGAGTTTTGAAAAGAGAAAAAGAAGAAAATGTCTCAGATGTGGAGGATTGGTATATTTCACCGAGGAAAGGGATGGGGTTTTGGCAGTGTTGGTCGGTGCATGGCTGCTCAACCATAGAATTGTGTGTTTTTCATTCTCGTTTGGAGGCGGTGGTTATGTGTGTATGTGTATGCACATCAAGGCTCAGTGGAGTACATATCTGTCTCAGATCCTTTCTCGTTCATGAGAATCTGAAAATCGACCAAAAGAGAAGGGACAGGGGTTGGAGGGGGAGGAGGGGGGGAACGTTGTCGATTGAAAAGCCATGTTTTTTGTTTTGGTTTTGCTTTGTTTACTTTGGATCTTCGGTAGCTAGCTAGCTAGCGAGCGAGGCCGGCCCGGCCGCTTTGCTTAAACGGGTTGGTTGGCCAGTAGGGGGATTTAGCGTTTCGCAGAGCTGAAAGAGCAACAGCGCCGAATCGTAGAAGGGTTCACGGATGATCGGGAGCCTTTCAGGCGTCGTTAAGGCTTGCATGGATCGATCGGTAGGCGGTGGTAGTGGCAACGTGCGTGAGCCGCTGGGTTCGGTTTGTACGAAAGCACCCTTTTTTAGAAGGGCTGGATTCGCAAGATCTAGTAGATGGTTAGATGTTACTTGAAGACCCTCTGGAATAATCAAGAGCGTACTCGGTGGTATCCATTCCATGCTGCGGGCCCGTCTGGTTCCAAGCTGGTATGTAAAAACCGGCCCGGTTTGTAGAAACCAAAGGGGGGGGGGGGAGGGGGGTGGCTCGGTGTCTATTTCAGAGCGACAATCGACTTTACAACCTGGGTTGTACAAACTGTTTCGCCACCCCGTACCAATCAATCTATACAAACTGTGCAGTCACCTTTTGACCTGACTACCGTATACAGTCAGTCTGTGAGCTTGTACGCTAGCCAAGCCCCGAAATTTACTTAGTCTTGCAATAATAGTCTGGAATTCCGTATCCCTCCCACCTTTACATTCTCTACTCTTGACACCTCGGTAAAGCTCCAGAAGGCGCCCGAAGACACAAGGGATAGCAAATTCCGTATACAAAATCACGACGCATCGAAACCACGAGGAGTACGGGTCGGAATCTTTTGCAGATTCAGTCGGTTTCTTTAATTCAAACGTCGTTTTAAATTATCGATCTATACATACCGTTCTCTGTAACCTGGAGTTTGTACAGACCTAGTTCTTAAGCCAGCTTTCAAGCCGGTTTTTTACATACCGGCTCTGAATTAGATGGGCCCTACCTAATACCTGTAAGTTCCTTATAGACACTTCCGTTTTTTTTTTCTCCACCGCCTCGCCCCCCAAATTTCACTCTTTTCGCAAACATCAATAGTAGGTAGTACTTAGCTTTCAGATCTCAAATGATAAATTATGATCAAAAGTAAAAGATGCTTAATATATATATATATATATCCATGAGCGGATTGGATCTGACAATAATAGTATCCATCTCTGCGCAATACTGTTGACGAGAAATCCGTAAACGACCTGAATGGACTCGAAAACCTCGCAAAGTGATTTCGAGAGCGAGGGTACTACTAACTCAGGTATATTCCGTAGGAACATGCTCCGCGGCTTTGAAAGATACCTACCTACCTGGCTAGCTTTTCGTGCTGGGAAATTGTTGCAGAGTACATTGAAAAAGTCATCTTGTCTGCTAAAACCTCCTTGTGTCCTTGCTCAACTCCCATCTTAACGGACCCGAATTCCCGGGGAGTGGGGAGGGGGGATTGGGTGCTTTGGACTTATTAGGACACAAATAATAAGGAGCAACTCAAACCGTGTGCGGATGAGAGCTCGGACCCGTGGAAGTTGAATTCAAGGTCATTCTGTAAGTACTTCATCCACTATCGTCCAGAAATTAGATAGTCAAAAACGCGAGAATGTCGATTAGATCAAGAAATGATAAGCAATGATGCTGCAAACTCTTGCCGGAACTGTGCACAGTAAGACCTGCCGTGTTAATGCTACCAACGACAGACCAGCATCTGGTTCCTCCAGAGAAGATGAGGATGCTTGTCAGTCTCGTCGTATTGCTTGCCGCGTTGATGATATCCGCAGGCAGAGCTCCTAGGGTACACCTCATGGAAGTCGAGCCCAGTGTTGCCCTCTACCCTTTCCCATTCTAAGCAACAGCAAATTGATCCTCGTCTCTCCTCTGCCCATCCTCATGCCCATCTCCCGTCTGGAGCTCCAGCGAGTCATCCTCGTGATGTGATGCCCTGTTATGACCCTTACTTGCCCACAGCCTTCTTGACCGTGTCAACCGCCTTCTCGGCCCCGCTCTCCACCTTGCCCACCACCCCCTTCAGCCCGCTCTCAGCCTTCTGCTTCATCATCTCCTCCTTGCCACCCCACTTGTGGAACTGCAGCCATCGGTACCCCTGGGTGAGCTGCGCGCTCTCGTTGACGAAGTGGCAGGCGAAGAGGAGGTAGTTCTTGGGCTGCACGGCGAGCGCGTAGCGCATGAAGGTCGCAGAGTAGATGATAAGGGCGCCTGTCATTTGGCCGGAAATCCTGAGGGACTGTGGTTAGTCCTGTATTGGGCTGGGAGTGGAGGGGAATGGGCGCATGTACAGTTCAGGACTCTTCTGCGTATCCATGACGGCCGCAATTGGAATACCGAAATTCGAAGCCGGGCCCCAGAAATCTGTTCACACCCGCAATAAGCCTGTGTATCACAGTCTAGCGTCTCACTCCTTGACCATTGTGTGTTCCAAGAATTCCAGTTCGGACAGCTCAGAGCATTGCAGCTCGGAATGCCTGTAACAATTGGGGAACGTACGTGTAGAACATAGGTAGTTGGTCGTAGGGTTTGAGCGAATCTTCGCGTTAATTGCTTTGATGAAGGCCGCCATTGTGAGAGGTAGGTTTGGTGGGTTGAGGAGGTGACTGACTTGAAAGAAAAACATTTGAGCCCCGTTGGGAGCAAGTTGCAGGTTTACCCGCCGAAAGCTCTCCGAGTCACGTGTAAAAGACAGCCCGTCTTCAGCCCATCTTCAGCCCGTCATTTTGTTTTCCAAGTCAAACAGAGTGTCTCAAGAGCTGGCTAGGGTAAATAAATGGAAATAGACGTCAAAGTTCACTCGATTTAGGTGTGACTGCCTATGCTAAGAATCTGCAGTTTTGGTATGTAAAGCCAAACTCCCCTCAACGCCTGTCCTGTGCACGACTCTTTCTCCCACCAGTGCCCATTTTCCTCATAAATCTCCCTGCATTCATTAACAGAATGACTATCTTCTCGGGGGAGGAGCAAAGCTTCCTGGAGCGAATCCTGGAGGAGGTCCTTGTCCGCCGGGGAATCCACCTGCGAATCCTGGGGGAGGTGCTATAACTTAAATCAGAATCTGCGTAAAGAATATCTCCATCTATCAGGGTTTCTTACCTCCTCTGCCAAACGGAGGGGCACCTGGAAATCCGCCTCCAAATCCAGCTGGGGGTCCACCAACACCAGCAGCAGGACCCTACAAATCGTTAGCACCAGCAACGAGCCGAAGCAGGATAGATCAACATACAGCCAGTCCCACAGGAGCGCCCCGTCCAGCCGGTCGTGCAATTCCAGCACCAGCAGCAAGCGTAGTGGTGATTCCTCCTGGCGCACTAGCTCCTAATCTCGCGGATGCGTCTGCTGGAGGGGGTGACTCGACCGAGAGGGATATGATATGTGCGCCTCGAACGATTGTAAGACCCAGTGTACGTTTTTCCTCGTTTTCGACCACAGCTGCTGCGCTGGCGCCTGGAGCTGCAGATTTGTTCGCCTTCCGCTTAACCCGTCTAAACTCTTCGGTATCGGCGAGGACGAGATTCATATGCTATGCAAGAAGTTAGCATTTCAATTTATGGTATCCAAGCGTCTGAATACCTTGTCAAAGGCCAGCATCTGTCCAACCATCTGCCTGCCATCGTTCATGGTGACCCTCATCCGGTAATTGATCTATATGCACATCAGCACGCGCTCCTCCAGTATGGGATACGCAATAGCTTCAGAGCTTGCGCATATGCTTCAACGTACGAGGCCGGCCTAGGAGGAGGGGTAAAGTCAGCCTATAATGTCAACATAGAGCTTGAAGAGCTGGGGGAGGAGGTCAAACTCACCATCTTTCCTTGCTTGTTTGCCATGTTGAGTTGGAGATGCGCGACGAGCGACTCCTCTGGGGTTTTCAAAGAATGTGAATTTGAAGTTCGGGGACTTCAGTCTTCTCTTGAGCTCTTGCAAGCTTATGGAGACGGCCTAGATATTATGAGGGTAGCAAGGCCACCCGAATCGAGTTTGAATGAATATTGACGCTAGTCTGAACAGGGGCTGGCGTTGGCGGCAATTTTAGCGAGCCGCATCCACACAGATTAATTCTTTTCTATCGCGAACTTCTCTTTTTGATCAACGACCTCACGACCAACCACCCTCTCGACAATCCCCCAGCATCATTCAAAATGGCTGAAGCCGCAAAGACCGAGAATCCCATGAAGGAGCTCCGCATCCAAAAGCTGGTTCTCAACATCTCCGTCGGAGAGTCTGGTGACAGGTCAGTCACCCGCCCCGGGAGTCGACGATTTCGAAGAGCCCCTTGAGAGAGTTATGAAGAGTGCCTGCTAATACTCTGCAGACTTACCCGTGCTGCTAAGGTGCTCGAGCAATTGAGCGGTCAAACTCCCGTCTACAGTACGAATGTTCCCGCCGCCGCGACTTGGCAATATACAATATTTAACTTCTTCTACAGGCAAGGCCCGCTACACCGTCCGAACCTTTGGTATTCGTCGTAACGAAAAAATCGCTGTCCACGTCACCGTCCGCGGACCTAAGGCTGAGGAGATCCTGGAGCGTGGATTGAAGGTCAAGGAATACGAGCTCCGCAAGCGTAACTTCTCTGAGACTGGTAACTTCGGTTTCGGAATCAGCGAGCACATCGATCTCGGTATCAAGTACGACCCCGCGATCGGAATTTACGGAATGGACTTCTTCTGCTGCATGTGAGTACCTAACATCGTCTGGTATAGCCGGGGCTGGAATTGACAACAAGTAGGACCCGTCCTGGAGAGCGTGTTGCCAAGCGCCGCCGTGCGAAGACCCGTGTTGGATCTGCCCACAAGATCAAGCGTGACGAGACCGTCAAGTGGTTCAAGAACCGCTTCGAGGGTATCGTTAGGTAGATGGATTGAGGGAAAAGTGGTAGACAGTGCATGGCTGGATTGGGTTGGGGGCGTGCCGGATTGCACTTCGGACATCTGCATGTACGTTGATTGACCGCCATGAATCGAAGCAGCAGCATCCAGCCAGCTCTCCCGCATGGAGTTGCTACGGCCTCCGAGCCCGACCGGCTACCATACCGGCTTGTAGCAGTCTACATATTCCTTGATCTTGTGAACTGCGTGTGGTGGACTTTTTGCTTTTCCGTTGGCGTCGAGGGCAGCGACTGCGGGATCGTCCTGTTGCTTCTTGGAGAGGAAGCGGAGTACTCCATTGCAACAAATGAACATTACTTCATACAATTTCTCGGTGCAGATGCGTATGTGGTATGGTATACTGTGGTCATGTTTTCGCCGTCACTTCCACGGGAACAGACTCTGGATTGGGTACATCAACATCGGATCAATATCCAGAGGTATAAATGAATTGGGCGATTGAAGAGTTCCACTATCTTTTCCCATCACATCACTCACCTGCTCAGTCCGAGACGATTCGATTACTATACACAAAACCACGTGAGTGAGTTCCCAGGCATGCGCCTCCCCCTCCGTTCTACGATTCAGCATGCCCCAGCTCACGCCTCCTTCTCCAATGATGCCTCGTCCCTGGGTTGGCACCTAGTTGTACGTTGTACGTAGTACTTGTAGTAGTGTACCTACAGTATATACGGCCCGTATACGGACTTTTGTTGCACATCGCACACCTGGCTTGCCCTTTCTGCGGGGCTGCCAATCATCATGCCCGATCCGGCGCCAGGGCCTTCTGTTGCACGTCGCAGCTTCGCGCACTGACTTTCTCCCCCATGAAACCCCAGATCATGGCTGCCATATGGCCTTCCCCGCGATCGCGCTAGGACATGGACCTCGACATCGACATGGACATCGCTCATCGCTCAACGCATATCGCACATCCCCGATTCGTCGTCATGGATGGAGGGTTGGAACCGGACAGACGTTGGTGCTGACTGGTACAACAACTCGGTCGACTTGATTGGTACTTTCCTCGTTAGGCGAGCAAGGGGGGTCAATCAACATGCCACTTCCACGGGGCAGGAGGGCAGGAGGGTTGGAGGGTTGGAGGGTTGGAGGGTAGGACCTTCTTCCCGTGCGCTGGAAACATCACGAGAGTTCGATGGGGGAAGCTGGGTGATGAAGTCATCATCATCACCACCACCATCATCATCATCAACGCATTGGCCATCTGCGCCAGATCCTTTGTCCTGATGTCTATGTATATAAGTATACACATACGAGTACCTCACACTCTCATCTAGTTATCCCAACATCCCAACATCCAAAATCCAAATATCAACAACTTCTCTTCACACTACCAAGTAAACCAACCTACCACCATCGCACCTCTGCACCTATACCTCAAAACATCTCCTCAAACAAACATCATCATGGCCTCGTCGGGAAGAACCTCCGCGATGATGGGCGGCACCGGAACCGACGCATCACCAGCCAACAATGTCGGTATAACCGGCAATGCTCCACGCAGAGTTCGTCTCTCTTCCCCAACCTAGCCATCGAAAATCCAAACGAGTCTTCAGTCACTAACCACTCCTCCCACCTGCCTTACAGAACTCCAACGGCACCAAATTCGCCGGCCTCGTCAATCAGAAGCGCAACAGCAGCGACGCCGGTGCACAAGCGAGACGCCAGTCTTTCGCAGAGATGAAGCCTGCGCCAGGCGTCATTGGGAAGCTGTGGAACAAGTATGTCTACGAGATCTACTCTACGTAATTTCTGTCAACATGGTGGAAATAATGGATGAATCTGAGGAGAGAGAAAGAAGGCGAGAGAGTTTATAAACAGATCATCTTGCTGACTTTTATGACTGCAGCTTCGTATCTGGCTCACCCCCAAAGTAGCTTGGAGATGATGTTAAAATCGGTTGTATGAGAGTGGTCTTATGTGGTTGATCACTGGGCGTCGGGACGGTGACTGTATCACACTTGTCTCTACTATGTGGCCCAGCAAATGAGCGAGCTGGACACGGCGTTATTGATTTGGGGAATGTGGGAATGTATGAGTAACTCTGACTAGAGAAGCCAATCCTTCCTTCACAACATTCCGAGACTGCTCTCAGCGACTCAGACAACAACATGTGATGATAACTCGCTGCCGATCCTGACCCCAAATTCATTCCCCGATCTGATCTCGCTTAAGGCTGAGTGATATAAACACCCCAAAAATGCACTAGCTACTAGAAGATTGTCAAAGACAAAGACCCTGAGCGATAGGCAGTACCTACAGCCTATGACGTGCCCATCACGAGAACGGCCCTTTCGATCTTCTTGAAACATGAGCTGCGTGGCGAGAAAGTGATTATGTAAAGAAGAGATGGTGGATGTGGTTGATGGGAGGCGCTGTTTCCAGATCAGACAAGACCGACTTCTCGCCTCCCCTCACTACTCTCAACCTACACATAAACATAAACATATACAGTAAACACATTTTCCAATCCCAGACATCCTCACCCCACAAGAAGCACTCACCACTCAATCCACACACACACACACACCACCCCCCAGAACATAATAATGTCAGACTCGACAAAAACAACCCCAACCGAGCCCAAGGACGACAGTAGCAACACCGCCAGCAGCACCAGCAGCACCTCCATCCTCGGCGGCCTCCTCTCCGGCAGCAGCCTCAAGACGCCCGGCGTCAAGAACATCGAGGCGGCGTACTCGCGCGCGGGGGCCACGAACCACCACACGCCCGGCGTGGCCAGCAAGCTGGGGAGCCAGGCCCAGGAGAGCGGCGCCGGCAACGGCGAGCACCAGGGCGTCGGGAGCCAGAAGTTCCAGGACGGCATCAGCGACCAGCGGCAGGAGGTGAGCGATAGTTCCCCCCTTCCTTTTTATTTTTAATGAAAAACGAAGAGGAAAATGAAAGGAGAATTGAAAAAAAAAAAAAAAAAAAAAAAATTACCCTCACACAAGACACACATTGTTTCAAATAGCCTCAGAGAAACCGCTTTTGCTGACTCTTACTCCTTCTTTGGGGGGGGGTGTAATTCTACAGCCGTCGACAATCGGAAAGGTGTTTAATAATATGATCAACGGGACCGATCGGACCAAGTGAGTGAGTGAATGAGTGGAGGAATGAGTGGAGGAATGAGTGGATGGATGAGTGGATGGATGGACGGGCGAGAGGAAGGGCCTTGGGGTGTAGTGGGAGGGAAAATGAAGAGGAGGGGGAGAAGGAGAAGAGGAGGAAGAGGAGAAGAAGGATCTCGAGAGTGTTGAGAGGGTAGTGGAAATGATCTTCTTGTTGAGAATGGGGTTGGGAGTGGGTTGTGGAATAGATGGATGGGCATGTGCAGGATGGGAATAGTCTAGCACAGTATATTATTGATTGCACATTGGGCGTTGTGTGGGATGGTTTCGGGACAGCGTAGACGTGTAATCAAATGTCATGCATAACGTCGAACTTGGGAATCCAGAGTCGTATCATAGGGAATCTAGATAGAGATTGATTTCTTGCAACAGCTTCTCCTTCGAGAATCGACCTCAATCATGCTAGAACAAGAAAAAGGATGAAAAAATCAACAATAACAAAGTTCCATGACAATCACAGGCAGCGAAAGTGTTGTAGAGTTATTGAATATCTAGGCCCAACGCCCGAGCTTCACTAATCGTGGCTCGACAACAAACTACAGCCTCCGAGCCAGCGACTTCCAACCTGAATGCCCGACAATCTTGGATCCGTAAAACTGCTTTATCCCACATCATCTATTCATCACCGTCCAATTGGTTGCTTCTCCATTGTACACTGTACACCGCTCCAAAACACATCCTCACTTTTGATCGCCTGGCTTCACAATCCTACAGATGAGGTCCGCGCCTCCAACCGAATCACCCTCCTTGATCTGGAGTGAGCCGACCTTGCCAGCGTGAGGAGCAGAAATAACCATTTCCTAAAGTGCATATTAGCATGTGTTCAAAAATCACTCGACAGTAGAGCTTTACCATCTTCATAGCGCTGAGGACTGCAATCGGATCACCCTTCTTGACCTCACCACCTTCCTTGACACGGATCTCCACAACCACGCCAGACATTGGTGCTCCAACCTGGCTGCTGTCTCCAGCATCGGCCTTGGGTCTGCTGGTATTCTCCACCGCAGCGTTCTTGTCGTCGACGGTGACTTGTCGAACTTCACCGTTCATCTCGTAGAAGACCTCTCTCTGTCCGGTAGTATCGGACAACGGACCAACCGCAAGAAGCTTCAGGATCAGAACCTTACCCTTCTCCAGCTCAACGTGAAATTCCTCGCCAATTTCTGGTCGCGACAAGAAGTATCTGGTAGGGAGAACGCTCAAATCACCGTACTTCTGAACGAAGTCGCGGTAATCGTTGAAGACCTTGGGGTACATGGCATAACTGGAGACATCGCATTCAGTGACGCTGCCATACTTGGTGTGGATATCCTTCTTGATCTTAGCAAGGTCAAGAGGTTCCATGGTCAAACCAGGACGCTTGTCAAGCTTCGTTTTGCCGCGGAGGGCATTGGTTCTGAGAGGCTCGGGGAATCCTCCGTAAGGTTGACCCATGTAGCCCTGGAGAAACTCAATAACAGAGCCTGGGAAGTCGAGCTCGGAAGCTCGCTTCTGTACATCGTCGAAGTTGAGCTTGTTGGAGACCATGAATTGAGCCAGATCTCCAACAACCTTCGACGTTGGTGTGACCTTGACGATGTCCCCAAGCAATTCGTTTGCCTGCACGTAAGCCTTCTTGGTTTCAGCCCATTGAGCACCAAGACCAAGTTGGGATGCCTGAAACATCATGTTTGTCAATTGACCACCGGGGATTTCGTGTTCTGTAGCAAGGCACTTGTCAGCACTACTCAGGAAAGGTCGAGGACAACAGGGGCTTGGAGGATGCTTACCATAAACATCAGGGTCGGGCCCATGGAGGCCAGCTTCAAAGGGAGAGTAGAGCAAACGAAGCTGAGACCAATAGGTATCGATGGCTCTGACGTGGTGGACATTCAATCCCGGGTAGAGATCCGAACCTTCGAGCGAGGCGAGGACGGCACTGACACTTGGTTGAGATGTCATTCCAGACAAGCTGTCGGTGGCGGTATCAACAGCATCAGCGCCAGCGTTTGCGCAAGCAACCATGGATGCAACACCGGTACCAGCCGAATCGTGGGTGTGAACGTGGATTGGGAGGTCGGGATACTTCTTGCGGATGGCTCCGATGAGAAGAGTGGCGGCTTTTGGTTTCAAAAGTCCAGCCATATCCTTCACACCGAGAACGTGTATATTCAAGGCGACCAGCTCATCAACCAACTTCAAGTAGTACTCGAGATTGTACTTCTTCTTGGGGTTCTGGATTGAAAATTAGTAAATGACAGAAAATCGTGTTTGGACGAAATGAAATGCGTATGGGTCATTGCATGAGCTCAACTGCTCTGGGAAATTGAGTTGGGCAGCGTCCAACATGGTAGCTATTGAGTCCAGCTCAAGTAGGGATTTGGCGAAATGTTCCGTCAACTCACAAGTAGGTCTCCCGAAATGCAAACTATGCAGGAATAGGCAGTCAGCGGATGCTTATTGGTACATCTCCCAGAATCCTCTTACCTGTTCCCTCGACAACACCGCCGGCCTTGTGAACGGCCTTGATACCGACCTCAAGTTGATTAATGTCATTCAGGGCATCAAAGACCCTGAAAATGTCGACACCACTATTTTGCATGTCAGCCTATGTTTCGCAAATCGGAGAGTATGGGGCGAGGGAGGTGTAGCTTACTGCTTCTTTGCCTGCTCACAGAAGTGGTAGATGGCGTTATCTGGCAGCGATGAGTATGCAACACCGTTGGCACCACGCAACAACATCTGGAAGGGGATGTTGGGGATCAGTTTGCGCATCTTGCGGAGCCTATCCCAAGGATCCTCGTAGAGGAAGCGCATGGCAACATCGAAAGTAGCCCCACCCCAGCACTCAAGACTGTAGAGGTTGCTGTATGCGTGGCTGGTCTCCTTGGCAATGTTCAAGAGATCGACTGCAAATGTTAGTTCTGAGACTCAAGCAACTTCGAGACATCCATGAAAAAGAACAGGAAGTTGCGCTCACCTGTCCTCACTCGTGTTGCCAACAGCGACTGATGGGCATCACGCCAAGTGGTGTCCATCAGAAGACATCCCTTGTTCTTGCGGACGGCCTTGGCAAATGCCTCTGGGCCTTGCTCAACGAGGATATTTCTCCAGCCGGTCTGGCAAGGAACGGTTGTATCAATCTTCGTGCCGTCGTCATTGAACAGCTCGGGCATGATGATGTCACCTTTGAACTTGGGCTCTCCAATCTGTCCCTTGATCGAGCTGCCTGTTTACAGAGTTAGTTTACCGAACAAACGCTGCGGAAACTAACTAACCATTGACAGCCACGTCTCCCAGGTAGGCCAGCAGCTTCTGAGCACGGTTTTGGGAACCAACAAGATCGAACAACTCCGGAGTGTCGTCAATAAACGTAGTCCAGCAAGTACCTTCGATGAAGGTAGGGTGGGTCAAGAGTGAAGCCAAGAAAGGAATGTTGGTCTTGACACCGCGGATACGGAACTCGACCAGAGCACGAAGCATCTTCCGGCGAGCGATTTCATAGGTCGATCCTTGACAAGTGCATTTTACCAACATGGAGTCGTAACAGGAGGGAGGTTAGCATAGCTTTGCAGGGTTAGGGGTATGGGATGGTTCCCAAGATCGGATATCAAATTACAGGGCCCGGGATAGGGAGTAAGCGAATCGTACTTACTGAGGAGTGATGATCGCACCAGCGAATCCATTACCACCATCCAATCGAACACCATTACCGCCAGCGGATCTGTAAACCTCGATCTTTCCTGTATCCGGTGAGAAGCCCTTGGCCGGATCTTCTGTGGTGATACGGCACTGGATTGCGAACCCTCGGGTAGAGATGCGCTCCTGGGTCAGTCCGAGCTGGGCCAAACTGGCACCTGCAGCAATCTGGATCTGGGCAGCGATGATGTCGATGCCGGTGATCTCCTCGGTGATGGTGTGCTCGACCTGAATACGAGGGTTGATCTCGATGAAGTAGTATCGGTTTTGCTGGTCGACCAAGAACTCGGCAGTTCCAGCATTGCGGTAGTTGACCGATCTGGCAAGCTTAACGGCATCATCCAGAAGGCTGGTTCTGACCTGAGGTGGAAGATCCTTGGCCGGGGCCAGCTCGACCACCTTCTGATGTCTACGTTGAACGGAACAGTCACGCTCGTAAAGGTGGACGATGTTTCCGTGATTATCACCCAGGAGTTGGACTTCGATGTGCTTAGGCTTATCGAGGAAGCGCTCAACGAAAACGGTTCCGTTGCCGAAAGCAGCCTTGGCCTCGGAAGTGGCTCTGTTGAAGGAGTCTTCCAGCTCAGATTGCTCTCGCACAACTCGCATACCACGCCCACCACCTCCGTATGCAGCCTTGATGATAATTGGGAAGCCATATTCGTCCGTGAATTTCTTCACTTCTTCGAATTTGGCAACAGCGCCTTCGGTTCCGGGCACGACTGGTACGCCCGCCTTGATTGCCAGCTTGCGGGCAGAGACCTTGTCGCCAAGAGAGTCGATAACCTCTGGAGAGGGCCCAACGAACTGGAGGCATGCATTAGCGTGATATGGGCAACACTCATGAGGAGGATATTGGGCAACGTACGATAAGGCCAGCCTTCTCGACATTACGAGCAAACTCAGCATTCTCGGAGAGAAACCCATAGCCTGCAGGGAGAGTTAGCACGTCTGTATTCGAGATGCGAGCCGCTTCTTACCAGGATGAATCATCTGAACTCCATGTTGTGTGGCAATCTTGATGATCTCGTCCCCTGCCAGGTATGCACCAACTGGGGTGTATTGTCCACGCTTTCCAATAACATACGCCTCGTCGGCCTCTGGATTTTGAAAGTACGGTCAGCACAGTCTTCAGCGGATGGTACGAGGGATTACTGACTTTGCCTGTGCATACTGAGTCGGTCCTCATAACTGCCAGTCCGTCAGCCCCACGTATGTATCGCCACGTACCAATCGATAGCTACCTGAAGACTGCGACGGTCTGCAGCGAAAGTTCGTGGGCCTGTCCTGCGAGTCAACACATGCATTACGTACGAGCTCAAAGAAGATTTGAACCGTGTCAACTTACGGTACGGAATATCTAGAAGATCAAACTCAGATTAGCAGGCTGCTCAGACCTACCCCGCAAAGCAGCGTACGTACACGGATAGCTACAAAGGGTCAGCTCCTGTCTCGCACAGCGTCCTCCTGTGAAGGGAGAAAGAAGTAACGGAGTTTGGGACTTACGGATCTCTCCTCGATTAGCCACTGTAGAATCCCAAGTCTCGTCGTCAGCATTAGAAACGCACAAGGAGGAGCCACAGAATGCGCCAAGCGATTACGCTGGGGCGGTGCTCACCGAGGATCTTCTTCAGCTGCATGATGCTGGAATTGGCGCGGATGCGGTGTATGGTCTGCGACTGCTGGGTACTGTCGTTACCCTCCTCGAAGACCTCACTGTAGCCGCCATGCTCGCCGTGGACACTCTGGTGTTCGGCCATAATTGGGAAGAGGGAAGGGGTTTAATTGTTTCAGAGATGATGTATGTGGTGGTGTAGAGAGGGAGAAGTAGGAATTGGGGGGGGGGGGGAGGGAAGAGAGCTGGTATTGATATCTCGGTCGCTAATCTAGCTCGGTAGGTAGGATTTGTAGCTATGCGAGCTGTCTTTAGCCGAGCTCGACCGGATCTGCTGAAGGAGGGGTGGGGAGGGGTAGAGTGGGTGGAGGGGAGGGGGTCAAGTAGAGCTGTGGGAGCTTCAGTCGAGAGCGCGTGAACAAAGGTTAAGTTAAGTTAGCTTTAAGGCAAAGGTTAAAGCTGTATGGATCTTGATAAGGAGGCGGTGTGGAGAAGAGGAAGAGGAAGAGGAAGAGGAAGAGGAGTAGGAAGATGAAGAAGTCCGTAGTGAAGAGAGAGAGAGAGAGAGAGATAGAGAGAGAGAGGGAGAGGGAGAGAGCCGCGGGTGGTGGTAGTAGCTGCTTTATCCAGTTTGGACCCTTGGTCGCCTCGGCTCTTGTGAACAAGCAAGAAGTCTTGGCTTTTGACTTGGGCTTGGGAGAAGTCCCTTGTCGACGTCAGCCAGCCCGGCCGTGTTTTTGGTACGAGGGAAGTAGCGTAGGAGGTGGTGGAGATGGTGGTGGTCGTAGCGTAATCAGCGTACCCAAGGGACCTACCTAGTTGCAGTAGTACTAGGTAGTTGCACTAGTTGTACGTAGATACGGACTGTATGTGTCCCGGTAGTGGTAGTAGAGTTGCTCCTCAAGTGCGGGCGGGCGGGGCGGGCGGGGCGGGGCGGGATGTGCAGATCTGAATGTGGAGACTCCATCTGCGGCATGCGGCCGTGTACTTTCGTAATTGAGTTTCAGACCGCCGATAAGCAGTGCCAGAGAGACAGCCATCAATCCCATCAATCCCATCAGTCCCATCAGTCCATCAACGATCAACGAGCAGTGATCACACCTCACACTGCCAAGAGTCATAGCGAAGCTGCTGCTGCTACTGCTGCTGCCTACCACTACTGCTACCACTACTGCCACATCCAACCCTCGGCCGTGGTAGGGAGGGAGGTTGTTGTGTTGTACAGAACAACTACAGACGAAGTTGTAAGGAAAAACAAGTCAAGCAGCAGGACGTCGAGATTCGCGAATCCCTTCTTCTCCTGCTTCGACCCTTTTCGCTCTTCTCTCCGCCAAGCGCCGACTTCTTTCAGCTCGGCCTTTTTGCCAGAGACAGACAGCCAGCCACCACTCATTCCTACGTCGGTTGCTATAGTGAGAGGCTCAGAGGCTCAGAGGCCCAGAGGCCCCGAGGCCCCCTCTCCCTCCCTGGGCCTTCACTCGAGTCGGGGCATGAAAGCGAGCAGATGTGAAGATAAGGACTGAAACCAGCTGGGAGGAAAAAAGAGCCCAGTCTTTCAGGAATCGGAACCTAGTGCAGCTGAGAAACTTCTCGCCTTACATGTGATGTGTGTGTGTGTGTGTGTGTTTGGCCTTGTCCGCCTCCGACCTCTTATCTCTTCGACACCTATGATTATCAATCACTCGGCTTACTAATGCGCGGGCTCGTCCTCTCGAGCTACCCAAAGATGTCATGTCACCGCTGAAGAGGGAGCCAGTTGTAGTACAATCGGGTTCAAAATACATCCGCGAATCTAGAAAAAGCAAAGCACCAGACGCTCCCTATCAGTTACAGGCGTACTCCCTATCAGGTGGACGGACCCCTTTCAGGAATCAACCCAACAGCGTGTACTTCGTTGTGGAGGGCGTACAACTACAGCCATAAGGGAAGGAAATATGAGACATGATCCCCAAAGAAGAACCCCCGCTGTCAGACCCAGAAAAGGTACACCTCAGATGCTCCGTCATTATGTAAATCACTCCGGTCCTCGTCATCTACCTTAGCTACCTTAGAACCCACCGTAACCTGTTGGTTGAGGCGCAAAGCCATTGGTCTGAGCAAAGGGAGCAGGCGATTGTCGTCCACCTGGGCCAGCAGTAATCATCAGTCGGTTGCCTCCAAGGATCGGGGCGTTGCTCTCCTCCTTCTCATTCGACTTCTCACGTAGCTTGCGCTCCTCGTTGTCCTTCTTCAACATCTCAATTGTTGAGCCTTGTTGAGCCAGGTAGTTGATCATGAATGGCATGGTGAAATCGGTGAGACCGTGGCGCCATGAGATCTCCATGACAACGTGGATGGGAATGAGATCGTAGCAAGCGTAAAGCATACCAACGTAACACTCACGGCTGCCGATATCAACGAACTGTGTTTCAAATTAGCCACATCTTCATGTCTCAAGATTTTGTAAACACTCACGTATCTCAGCAACTCCTCAACTACGTCCGACTTGCCAGACATAGCAGCAGTCTCAATGGCATCCTTGAACAGCTTATCTTGCTTCGAAAGAGCAATGGATTTGTCCCAGCGCTTGTTCTTTCGGTAGATGTTAGCGGCAATTTGGCGGAAGAAGACCAGATCGTGACGCTCCAGACGCTGAGCCAACTCGACAGGGTCATAATTGTCATAATTCTCAACGGAATCCCGCAGTGTCTTGTAGTCCTCCTCCTCGATCAACAGATCATTGATCGCACTGTTGACGATCTTCTTGTTCTGGGTCTGAACATTGAGAAGGAATGGCTTAATCAGAGGAATATTGTCTGACTTCTCGAACATCTTGACAACACGATTAACGTCGATGCGAGGCGTAAGGGCTTGAAGAAGGTCAGTCAGGAGAGATGGCTGTTCTTGAAGGTAAAAATTGAGGGCACGGTAATAGATCTCCAAGTTGGCAACCTTAACGACAATGTCCTTGAATGAGTGGTGCTCCCATGCATCGGCAGCACGCTCCATCATGGCAAGAGCGGCATTATCCCACTCGTCGTAATGGCAGTAGAGGAAAACCAGTTCTGGCCAAAGATGGGCATCCTCGGTGGCACGAATCATTTTTGGGATATTGATTCTCGACCAGAAAAGCTTCAGGTGCTCCATCACGCGGTCTGGGTGGTATCTAGACAACGCAATACCGAGTTCAGTGAACATACCCATGTCTGTTTTTAAAGGGTTAGCATTGGAACATGAGGAATCAAAGAATATGAAAGGATGGGACTTACGGGCACGCTCGAGACCCAAGCCTTGCTCAAGTAGAGAAATGAGCTCGTCAAAGTAACCATTGCGCTCATATTGCTTGACAAGGTCCTGCAACTCTTCGGCATCAACAATAAGGTTGAGACCGCAAATTTGGGCGAGTCTAAACTCCTTCTTCTCCACGCATGCAGCGTTGACCTGCTTCCAGACCTTGATATTGTTTGCCTTACGAGCACACTCGACAGCTGCTTGGTATTCCTCGAGGTGGACAAGGGTAGTTGCAAGCTTAGCCCAATTAGACACGCTCGTGAAGAAGATCTTGGCGGCCTGGTGGTAACCTTCGGCGTAAGCTTTGTCACCAGATACCTCAATGTCAGCGACATTAGTACCTCGAAGGAAGTCCTCCAATTCGCTGAGCTGGTCAGTACGGGCATATGCGAAAGCTAGGCCAGTGTCGATCGGTGGCTCTCGGAGAGTCTTTCTTGCCATCCGAAGATATTTGATCAGATCCTCGTCCTTGCCAGCATGAGTAGCGATCTCGATGACTTCGTTGTAATTACTCGGATCTTCGGCACGGATATAGGATGCAATGGCATCACTGACACGGAGACCATCTAGTTGAGCCTTGGCAACTGTGCTCCATACCTCGGGGAGCTCAACACGCTCGGCGTACTCCTGGGCACGATCGATGCTGACAACATGCTCAACGAGAACGTTGGCGGCGCTCTTGTGGTCATTGATCTTCTTGTAAGCTTCAAAGGCTTCCTCGAAGAGACCGACCTCGATACAGATGGCTGCAATATCGGGAGCGTTATAGGCTTCGAGTCTGTGAATGTAATCCATGACTCGGCCCTTGTCTGCTTTTGTCGCCGTGAGAAGGAGCAAATTTTGAAGATTCTCGTTGTCACTGCAATCAGTTAGTGCGACCTCGATGAAGCCGGTGGAGTGGACAAGCTTACCTGAAAGGAGATGGCTCCAACACAATCTTCTCAAGGAGCTCGATCAACTCAAGGGGCAGATCAGCGGCCAAGAAAGAGGAAACCGCAATGGAAACTTTATCAGGCTCCGTAGACTCGGGAACTGCAGTTGAGATGACCTGGTCGACAACAGAACGGCGATGGATGTTATTTGGGCTGAGGACGAAGCTCCAGAGCTCATTGTCAGCTCGCTCGAGGAGGTATCGAGCTTGAGCCTTGAACATGGAGTTTTCGTTGGTGATCGAGACGAGTTCAAGATCATTTTGTCCCTTGCTAAATGCAATCATCGCTTGGATAATGTTAGTAAATACTCAAAATGTACAAATAAAATTCAGATCCATTGGGTCAGGATCCAGATGATAGCGATGTAACCGTAATAGGAGCTGGGTTGGCATCGTGGCGCAAGAACCGGACGGCCTATGATTCGGACATGGTCCACGTGGTAGCAATGCTGTCAAGATCAAGTGCCGATTGATTTCAAGACTGTATTTCTTGTACAGGATAGTGGAGCTCGCCGTTGATCCCAGATACATTTTACAATCGGACTGTTCAAGGGCAAGCAAGTGGCGAATGTATCCCCTGCATCTCTTGTGATATTTCGGCAGACTCTTAGAAAATTCCCGAGAGTGAGGCTTGGTAGTTGGAATTTTGTCCGGTAAGTCCGAAGCGAGCGTTCAGTAAGTGCTGGTTGGGAGTTCTTCCGTACCAATAACAAGGGCCTGGACGCTGTGGAGGTGTCTGAATGTATGCCTCGTATATGGCGGGAACAACTCTCCAAGGAAAGAGGGGGCGTAGCGTGAGGCAAGTTTGGGCGCGTTGTCCAGAGCAAGATATGGTCCAGAGTGTCCAGGATATCTTACCGTATCCGGTGGAAATTAGGGTCTAGGAGGGGGAAAAGAAAAGTGATTAATAACATACCAAGATTCGGATCCCGTTTGCTGCAATAGTTTCCTGTATTTATTAGCGACATGGTAAATAGGGGAAATATCAGGGGCATAACGTACCAACAACGAGAGTATCATACTGGTCATTCTCCTTTAGGAAGCGTTCAGGGTTATTGTTGCTTTCCCGAAGTTAGTATGCTTCCACATTTTCCAAGAATTAAAATGAAATCGTGGAGTTTGAAAACATGATGCAGGTCAGGCGGAGGGAGATTGAAGCATACCTGTCAATGTAGATCTTGGCTAGAGCATTATAGACAGCTTGTTGCTGGTTGCCGGCAGCCAAAGTAGCCTCCAGGAAGGGCAGAAGGATCTTGAGGCGGTTTCTCGATTCGACCTCTGACACGAGCTCATCGATAGGGACGGAAGCCGGATTGACAGTCGTGAGAAGATTCTTGATGATCGACTCGTCGCAGTCAACATCAAGAAGTCCGCCGATGACTGCTGGGGTTCGGGCTGGGTTGACTCGTTGGACGTAGACTTCAATTGATTTGAACTGCTGGTTTTGATAAAGGTACAAAACCAAGTCGTGGATGAAGTTGAAACGGTCACAAACGATGATCAATGGAAGTTGTTCGGTGAGTTTGGCTTCCTTGAGAAAATTACGAACCTTGACAGGATCGTAATAGTCTATTTTAATTATTAGCCAATGCCGTATAGGGGTAAGAAACTACTTCACTTACTGCTATCGCGACAAATCCTCTCGACTTCAGGAAATTGGCCCATCTTGGTTGCGGCCTCGATGTACTTGAAGTTGACGTCTTGGTCTTCGCTAAGATTAACGATACTACCGAGGTAGTAGAACAGACCCTCCGAGGTCTTGTACTTCTCTAGCAGATCGATCAATCGTACGGGTCCGAGAAGATCCGAGTATTTGGTAGCAATTTGTACAACGGCTCCGAGATTTTGACGGATGTTAGTCTTCAGCATGGCATCAAGGCAATCAAGTGACTGCTCGAGAGACAAACGACCGAAAAAGCTATTGAGCCATTCTTGATTGAAGTTGGGAGTGGCTACAATGTTGACGATCACGCGTTTGATAGACTCAGGATCCTGGTAGTGCTCCAGAGCACGTTGGGACAGACCAGCTTGTTCGCAAAGAGTGGCGATGCGGGCTTTGTCGTAGTGGGAGAACATGTCATTGCCCAAGATAGCGTCGGCGACTTGGGGCGCGTTGACCAGGTTCATCTCAAGGAGACGAGTCTGCAAATTGGCTTGCTCTGGCTTATTATCTTTAAGAGCATCAAGGAGGAAAGCTGTCGCGGGCTGGACCATGCCTTGGGACTGGAACACATCGACAACTCTCTCAATGTCGACGAGGGAGCCGCCCTCATTATTTGCCAATTGGGTTGCAAACTCAGATCCTTTCTCTGGCGACAGTCTGATGACTTTTCAACGAATCAGTAGGAACCTCAAAAATTATGAAAGACTGCATGACCACAGAAGATTCCAAAAGAAGAACTTAAAACTCACTGTTCTGGAGAAGGACTACATAATCTGGTTGATATCCGACTTGAGAGGCATATGGCAAGATCTTATCGAATTGACCACTCTCAGCGAAAGCAGCAACGACCTTGGCAGGGACACCAGCACGCAGGTAGATGCTCAAAGCCAAGTTGAGGTCATGAGGCCGCACGATGTCACCTAATTCTTCGGAGCAGTCAAGCTTATTTTCCTTCATCCACTTTTCAAGGAGGTGCTTCCGAGATTGTGCAAGGACCGGTTTGACGAGCTCCAGGGTCTCGTGCTTGTTGAGAGTTCCCTTGTCAAGGAGCATGCCAAAGTACTGAAGGATCACGGATAACTGTCCAGGTGCGGAAGGCAAGGCCTTGAAGCGCTCAATCGTCTACACAAATAAGTTAGTGTATTCATAAAAGTATGAGTTTCTGGAGCGGATGCTCTCACCTGAGGTGTTCGAAGGAAACCGCGAGGGGAATTTGCGGCAATCTTGGCAGCATCCGGGTAGTTTCCGGAGTTCAAGAGCTGATCAAACTGTTGGGCATAGAGATTATCAGCTCCAGGCAAGCCGGCTCGAGAGGCAAGTTTAACCGCCATGCTGGAATTAGCAGGATTTTGGAGAAGGTAAGGGATGATGGTAGTCTCATCAACTGCAACTGAAAGTACTTGACTGCCAGGGGGTTAGCATTTATTCTCGCCAAGTAATTCAACTTCGAGAAAGACAAGTCTCAGCTCCTCCCCTTTTAGAAACGCCGCAGCAGCTGGGATCTACTCACCCCTTTCTGTTGACACCGACTAGAAAGATGTCTTGTTAGCATGTGAACTCCATTGGAAGTGGGAGCATTGTGTGTACATACCAATACCGGCAGATTCATTATCAGGGGCAGTAATGAAGATGGTCTCGCTTGAAATTCGGTTCATGAACATGCACGTTCCTGTCTCCAGATCATACAAGTGAATGAACCCGTATTTTGTCACCAGGTAGATGATGCTGTATTTTTGCGATACTTGCATAGCAACTGGGAAATCATTGACGGCCTCGGTAGGGAAGTAAACATCAACAGCTTTCTTGGCGAAGGTTGGGTTTGATGCTTGGTGGTCGACCTCGACAATGTGCAACTTGGCACCTGTCGCAGTACGAACGGAAAACGTAAAGACCTTGGTATCTGCTGGAGCTCCCTCAAGTCTTAATGTGCCAAACGCCGCCGCATGTCCTTCGATTGCTTGACTGATACCACGATCTCTGGAGTATAGTTGCATCGCACCGACCACTCGTCCTTGCTGTTGAGTGATACCGACTAGGACCATCCACTTTCCATCGTCGCTGACACGGTAGTTGATGATTTGGCATCCCTACAGGGGTTAGATACTGTCAGGGGCAACCGAGATATAAACGTACTGTCAAGTTTTGGTTTCTCTTGAAGACCTCTACCGGCGAAGCCTGGTTTGGATCAAATATATCCCAGTGGTAGACTGTCGTATCAGTTACCAAACCCAGTGTTGTCTCGCTGAACCATTTCCAGAACACGACGTCCTCGTTCATCGTCGCCGACTTCAGCTTTTGCTTCTGGCCAAGGTCAAAGATCTGAAGTGTCCGGGATTGAGCCTTCAGCGCAATGATCTGCTTGGTCCAGTGCATGATAGCACTATCGGCCTTGATAGGTCTGCGAATTACATTGTTGTTGTTCTTGATTTCGATGATGACGACTTCGGGAGAGGCGGCCTCATTCTTCTTTTCGCGGACGCATATGAAGGAGTCGGATTCGAGGGTCTGAGGTTTGAGGTCAGCTGGAGTCGAGCTCAACGCGTAGGGGGTGAATGCTTACACATGAGTTGAATCCGATTGAAGCTTGCTGTAGATGGAGATATCAGTTCGCATTTTGTCAATGACATAGCTGCCTGCCTCTGCACCCAAACAGGGCTCAGTATTCAGGGTCGAATGTACTTACGTCTACGCCAACCGTGGGGTTGGTTAACTGCACAAGTGAGTCAGCGATGCTCCAACACGATTGGAACTTCGGCGGAGATCTTTACGGACCTGGAGGAGCTCCGTAAATCTGATGGGCAGAGCAGGCGCCATGTTGGTTATTTGCGCTGCGCGGAGGGCGCCGAGGACCGGAGACCGTGCTCAAAGCTCAGCAAAAATGGTAGAGTGTGAGGAGAGGAAATGAGCGTATTAATTAAAGCTCCCAGGAAACTTCGGGATGCTGTTCTGATGTGGAGTTGAGAGTGTGACTATGTTGAGTCGATTGCCCAAGGTGTCTTCGCGAACACAGCATGGAATCTAGGAGGCCCAAGCGCCTATTTCCTGAACTGAATTAGCGCTCACGTGCCACGTTGGTCAGGGGCAAGCAGGCGACACTGGAAACAATTTTGATAGGCTTGAAGCAATCAACTTTCTTCCATATTTTCAAGTGCTTGGTTGTTGAGATTGTTTTCGATGTTGTGTGATGTCTCGTTTTTGCCTTCGACTAAGAGAACGACGGATAGATTCATACACTAATTAATTACAATACTGATGTCTGCCTCTTCCTATCTTTAGCCGCCGTTGACTTTCAACCAAGCGTTGGGAGCCAGAATCAATTGCCAAATCAAACTTCTACAATCCACGATAGATTTCATACCCTCTCAGACTTCTAAGGTTGCTTGCTCCGTACTGATTGGTACATTCGTCTCTCTTGAGTTGCAAGCTTTTCTTGCCCCGAATGTGTACTTTCTCTTGAGAAGGAAACTCGAGTTGACTGTTAAGTGTTTGTGTGTAGTCCTGATCTCGGTGCTGTGCACGCAACGTTTCGCGTTCAATGCTTGTTTCCCTCCTAGTACTCCAGCATCTCTTCCTCAAGCTCCTCTTGCATTTGCTTCTCCTTGTCTTAGGTTAGCTGAGATCCGTGAGGTTCTGCGAAAGCAATCTTACCCATATTCTAGTCGCCGAGGCGCAAATCACGTTTGCTTTATTAAGGAGCTTCTCGTGAAATTTGGCTTCATCGTAGTCATGGGTTTTCAACTTCTTTGGCTGTGCCTACGATTTCAACTTAACATCAGACAATAGAAGACTGACGATACAAGGGCTGGAAACTTACCATCAAGAGAATCGGCCATATATCCTTGACATCTGCTGCAGCGAGTGCTGCTACTGTTCTGAAACCGTTCTCCCAGAACACCCTTGCTGTTCGACTTTTCACATAGGTCACTTGAGCAAGTGCAAGAAGATCGGGCTTCGCGCCTAGGGAGGGTTAGTCCTATATCCTGTCGGCTTTGCGGCGGAAAACGAACCTGCTCTCAGTCTATCCGAAAAGTGGTCAAGGACAACGGCGAGAGCTCCCCATTTCATTCTTTCGCAGAATTTGACCATCCCAGCTGCGAAGCCGTGGCAAGTTTGTGCCAGGTTTTGTACCATCCCTCTAGCAATATCGTATTTTCGAGCCACGGCGTGAATAGGCATCTCGTTACAAAGATCTCGGAGCTGTAGAGCAGTGTAGAACCGTCTATATATACGTGCCGTGTCGATTTCTTGTGGAGTGGATTCTTTCATAGTTCCACCTTGGGCCCTTGTCCCAGTTAGCTACCAATTGAGAAGTGCAGGAATTTACTCGCATCTTATTGATGATACTAGGTTTCAATCCGACGAATTCTAGTGCTCTCATATTGCTTTCATCGAAAAATTCCATCTCTTTGCGGAACTTTTGCCAGTTTATGCTCGTCTGAGCGCTCTGAACTGGGGTGAAGGAATATAGGACATGCATTTCGCCATCCATTACGAATGCCTGGAGAGCTTTCTGGAGTTCTTTGTGGACGAAAAGTCCGTCTTCAGGAGTAAGTGAAGAAGATACAATTGCCTGGCCTAGTAAACTGGCTTCGTACCCCGAGTCGGTCCGGTGAAGAAGCTGATCTTCCTCGAGTTCTTTGATAGTCGTCTCGACCAGGGTTGCGAGTTCTTTATGATCAATAGAGTGGTATAAGAGTGTCTTTCTCATGTAGTCGTCCACAGACTCATCGCTTGTCGCCATGTTCGTGGCGATTATTTCGAGCAAGGCTCTAGATCCAAATCAGCACTGAAAAATGTTTCTATTTGTGTATGAGTAACCTTTTAATGCCTTTCTTATCGGGCAAAAGACAGCTTTCGACGCTTGGAAGCTCTGCCTCAATGAGCTCGGCAACATCTTCCAAATCACTTTTTTGACAGCAGAGATAGGTCTCACCTATCTCGTCTTTGCCTTTCCGCCCAGCCCTTCCCCGCATTTGACGCCTGTAGTAACATCAGCCGGAGACGAAGAAATAGATACTCAGACAAGACTTACAACATTGACGGCCCAACCTGGGAGGGCACGGGAAGTCAGTAATAGCTTTCAAAGAAGGCCTCGAGAAAAGACAAAAGAAGAATATGATATATTGAGATCAGAAATACGAGTTTCCTGTGACCTACCAAATCAGCTCCCATCCGAGCCCCGTGAAGAATAACTCTTCGCGCAGGTAAATTGATTCCCGCAGCCAGACTACATGTCGCTACAATAACCTTGATGACTCCTTCATCAAAAGCTGTTGCTATAAGATCTCGCTCCTCGGTAGTCAGCCCGGCATCTGCAGATCTCATTAGCCAAGTGTTTAAAATGTTACAGTAACTTACGATGAAAGGCGACCCCGACCGGTACCGTCTTCTCGAGTACCTGATCTAGACCTGTGTTTGTGCTCCTCAATTCACTGAGCAGTTCCCTACGTCTCTCCATAATGAAAGGCACGACCTCCTCAGGTTGAGGGAGGACTTGGCTTATAAGTTCAGCGTCCCTCTCGCAGCCTGTTCGACTGCTGCAAAAAACCAATGCACCATACCCCGACCGGGCAGTCTCGTTTGCCAGCGCAACCACTGCATTGACCAAAGGGTTCCTTAACTCCTTGCTTTCAGATTGCCGTATCAATCTACAGGCTTCTGGTTTTGGTTGTGTTGGAGCTTGGAGTTGCGTTGCGGCCTGCGTCTGAGGTTGAGCATTCAACTGGGTAGCCGTCTTGTAGAATCGACAGGAGCTTGAAGCTGGGTAGACAGCGTTATCAAAAACGAGATGCTCTTCTACTGGGACAGGCCGATATCTAGAATGGTAGAATTTTGCGTTGTCCAGCCATTTTGCTAGCAGTTCAGCATTCTGCCGAGTCAGTTTGAGGTTCCGTAATGTGTGTGAAAGTACATACATTGAGCGTAGCACTCATTCCGATTAATTGCACATGCTGGTCCAGGCACAGGAGCTTCGTGGCCATAAGTTCCAAAATGTACCCGCGGCCTTCGTCGTCAATCATGTGTAGCTCGTCCATAACAACCACGCCAAGATTCCCAAGGGTGTTTTCTTCAAGAGCGGCATTTATCAGCGAGTTTGCCTCGTTGATGTTAGCACACACCGTATGCTATCTGCCAGATGCATACCTTCTCGATTGTACAAACAGCAATTTCCATATCATGCCATGTGGATTTGGCTTTGCTACCGCCGAAGAAGCCCACTACCCTGATTGTATTCTCATCCCCGCGATTTCGCCACGCATTTGGCCGTGTGTCCGGACTATCTTTTACCTTAGGTATACCCTCCACAACCTTCCTCAGCCATTTCAGCTTCTCTTGGACAAGAGCAACATAGGGAAGAACTAACAGAGCCTTTTTTCCGGAGCTACCGATGACCTTTTTGAGCATCAATATGTCTGCAACGAGGGATTTGCCACCTCCAGTTGGAGCTGTGTAAACGAGGTTGGCTTCCCCTTCCAAAGCGCCGCTTCTCAGTAGGCATTCGGATTGCCACGGGTATATTGATTTGATCCCAAGCGATTGAAGGTTGTGTGTCAATTTTGGAGGAAGTCCGTAGGCTCGATGAGATAGATCCAGCATGGGATTTGCATTTACGGAAGGAGTGAGGGCAAGCACTTTCCTTTGCGAGTATTCGGATGACCCACTTCTATCGAACACATCGTGAACTGTGCCGGCTTGCAAGACTTTGGTCGTGCTGCTCTGAAAAGTAGGACGCCGGAACTCGCGTCCGTCTATGACGTCGGAAAGAGCAAAAGGGTTGCTATTCTTCTGTTTATCCTGAAAATCATCGAAGGTCCGCTTGAGGCCCGCACGGGAAACACTCGTCTGGGCATTTATGGTCGTAGTGTGACGCGTGGTACTGGCGACATAGTTCAGTGTCTTGTTTTTGTTGACATTGGAATTCATGCTGCTAAGCGAGTAGGCAGGCCGCGGCTCCGATTAATCTTTCCGCGATCACCATCTGCATGCGCCTGGGAAGCAGGGGTAAGCAAGTGGTAGCTGCAGCTCAGCCAGAAAAGAGCATTCTCAAAGTTCGATCGATGTCCAAGAGAGCGCAAGGTAGTACTGTATTTTGGATGCTCGACTGCTCTGCTCTAAGGGGCGTGTGATATGAAGTGGTCGCTTCAGTGATGATGATCACCGGTGTCCGATCGATGCTCGACCCAAACCAGACCGGTGCCTCTTAGCGCCATTGATCACGTGTTGATATGATGTGGGGCGCTTATGGTAGGTGGAGTCGTGGATAGACGAGTTCCGGATGTAGCCCTACCTTACGGACACTGAAATCACTTACGGTACAACGTTACCACATCTTTTGAGTCCTGGCCTGGTCTACGGGACGTACGTAGGGAATATCGGATTCCTGTCCGATATTGGTGTATAAAAATACTAAGCGGTCCATACGATGCACATAGTATGTACGGATCTCGGGAAACCAAAGCGCTCCAAGGATGCAGGTAGGTACCGGTACCTCACAAAGTGTTTCACCTCGAAGATAGGTAGGTACCTGTCGGTGTCGGGAATCAATGCTCGGCCCCATTCTCAGAGGCACAGCGTATCTGGTATCACATCATAGAACAGAAGGTTCTTGAGGATACAGCTAAATACTATGCAAAGTAGGTCCAGTCTGTATCCTTCCAAGTCGCGAGTATTGGGAGCTAGCTACCTCTATATTTTCATTTACAAGATGAGCCGACTCATGGATCGTACAATACTGTACATTGTAGAGCTCGTAAGGCATAGGTATATATGTACATGTGTTTATATTTGATATTTGTACATGTACCGGTATATATATCAAATATAGACGTATACCTATTCCCCGGTACCTAGTCGCTAAAATAGTTCACCCCCCTGCTTGGAGTCGGCCCAACTAGCGTCTCCTTCGCTCATCCACCCACCAAGATGCTTCCCGTCAGGGTACCGGTAGTCGTCCACTACGACCATCTCTCCCATACGGCCGACACCTACATCCTACGATACCTACACCAAATTCAAAAACCCCTACTTCGATTCCACACCCATTCCCGCTCTCACTACCGCTACTTAATATCCTCTGTCCGTATACGCCTAATAAAAGAGACTACACGGCAATCATACCGTACCGGCAAACATCGTGTTTGCGCGTCCTGGCGGGATCATAGCCTCGTCCTCTCCTAGTTCCAGCACCGTACATTTTCCTTGAGTCTGGTCCACAACGCATATACCATACCATTGCATCCACCCCACACAACGCCCGTTGTAAAACTCCGAACGCCTCCACCCAACCTCACATTCGAGCGATCCTGACCATCAATTACTCTGATGGGTAGAAGCCTTGTCGCCGTTGTCCGATAGTCTCGTACCTCAGCGCTTCTCGCCCGCCCCTCCTGCGGGAAGCGCTCCCATTGTATCGTAGGAGCGTGGTGGTGGGAACACTGCCTGGAACATTGTCGCCATGGCGAAAGATGGCTCCCGTCGATCAAGTGCCGCACCTTCGACTCATAACGATTCCCCGCGGGCGAACATCCATGAAGCTCCCGCACAAGGACCACAGCAAACTGGCGAAGCTGCCAACAACGCTGCTCAAGATGCCCCATCGAAAGCCGACCCGGTCAAACCATTTACTGCGAACGGTGCAAATTTACGAGCAGCTGAGTCGCAACCCATGACAGCGTCCAACTCGACTTCTTCGAACCCCCCCACAAAAGAGGTACCTTCCAGTGCCGCGGGTCCGGCTGCCGCATATGGAACTCGGTCGCGCAACAGAACAGGGAATTCGCGGCCAAATTATGCCGAAGACAAAGAATTGGACGCGGAACTTGATGCTGTATCGTCTGTCAAGGTGGTAACTGGGCGCAAATCGAGGGTGGTAGACTCGGCAGCTTCGACCGATGATGGGCACCTTCCATCCAAGAGTGCTAGTACCATGGAACTGGAGAGTCATCCTACAACACAGAGCCATAATAAAGACTCAATACCTGGGACATCTACCTTTTCCGCCAACCCAACATCCAACGGTACCCAGTCAAAGAAGAGAAAGGCTGCCACCCAGGCTGCTACACAGCCGCTGCAAGTACCAACACAAAATATGCCACAGGCTGCGACTCGTAGAGCCAGTACGGCCGCACATGTGGCTTATAATGTGGAAGACTCGAATATGCTGAGCTTTGAAAACTGTGGAGGTCGCTTGAGGGATAGCAAGCTCGTGGCCGACGATGGAACTGTTTTCGAAGTCAATGGTAGGGGGATCATTGTGTGTTTGAAAAGCTCGAAAATCGAAATCTAACGTGCCGTAGATCATGCTTACCTTGTCTGTGAGCCTCCGGGTGAGCCATATTATCTGGGGCGTATCATGGAGTTTCTCCATGTTAACAACGACCCCAAGCAGCCCATCGATGCTCTTCGGCTAAACTGGTACTATCGTGCGAAAGACATCGGTAAGAGTATCAGTGATACCCGCCAGATATTTGCATCCATGCACTCCGATGTCAGTCCTTTGACAGCACTCAGAGGGAAGTGTCAAATCAAGCACAAAACCGAAGTTGAGAAACTGGATGATCTCAGGAAAACTAAAGATTGCTTTTGGTACGAAAAACTCTACGACCGTTACATTCATCGTTATTTTGATGTCATCCCGACTGCTCACATAATCAACGTACCTGCCGAGGTCAAAAAGGTCCTGGATGAAAGATGGAAATATATTATCGTTGAACCTGGACGCGGAAAGGAGTTGACAAGTGCTGTTAAAACGTGTAAAACTTGCAGCAAGTACTGCGCGAGGTTTGTCGCTGCACCAAATGATTTGGATCATGCTAACACTGGTGAAGTAACGACTCCGTCGATTGTGCCGTCTGTGGCAATACATATCACATGAGATGTGTAAACCCTCCGTTGCTGAAGAAGCCATCACGAGGATTTGCTTGGGCCTGTGCGCCTTGCAGCAAAGCAGAGGAGAAGAGACTGCAAGCACGCCATACGCCAAACGTCAACGATGTTGAAGAGGAAGAAAATAACGAAGAAGATGGAGAAAGCCACAAAACGGCTGGTGATGAGCTTAATACTGGTGGAACAACCCTGATTTCCAACGAAGGTGACGGATCTCTCCATTCCGGTACAGCTGAGCAGCAGTATCAAGCAAGCCTGTGGCAGTGGCGATATCTTGGCCAGCATTGTAAAGTCGAGGATGCGTTGGACTACGATGATCGGATACACCCCAGAGCGAGTTCGCGCCTAGGTCCGCGGCACCAAGCCAACGTTCTTCCCTGGCCTGGCAGACCAGTGGAATATGTTAAACCTTTGCAAGTCAAGAGGAAGTACATGAAAGGAGGTGGACACAAGAAAGATTCCAAACCTTCAAAAGAAGCTCTTGCCGTCCTGGAGGCTAATAAGGCTGCTCAGGAGAACCGCCCTAAGTGGGTTATGGATGAGCCGGTGGGTTATGTTCACCGCGGAGAAGATCATGAACCAGGTGATCCCAACTGCACAGCTGAGCTGCTCTACAAGCTTCCCGAGACGATGGAAGTCGCTGGAAAGATTATCAGCGATTGTAATCCAGATGATTCCGTTGTTCCTCCGCGAGAGCAAGCGATATTTGATTACATGGGTCGAGCTGCACAGCTTGCAAGACCTAAAGGGCTCCCGTATCTATCGACTAACATGTTGGATGTCGCTCTTCATACGCTACACCTCAATGGCTATAACGTAGAACAAGCCCTCCTCGCTTTGCAGAATACGGATAAAAGAGCTTTCAAGGAACCGGATTTGACCCCCCAGGAGCTCAAAAAGTTCGAAGATGGCGTTGTGAAGTTCGGATCCGAGTGGCATAGTCTCAAAAAACACGTGAAGACTGTCAGTGCCGGTAACATAGTTCGGTTCTATTACACCTGGAAGAAGACCGAGCGAGGGAAGCAGATATGGGGTAATTACAAAGGTCGCAAAGGCAAGAAGGAAGCGAAGCGAGCCGAAGCTACGGTTGGAAAATTGCAGGACGATGTCGCCGACGAGAATGATGATTCTGCGTTTGACAACGAGAAGGCGGCACAAAAGAAGCGGCTATTCCAATGCAAGTTTTGCAATACAAGAGAATCGAGACAATGGCGACGGGCTCCCAACACCGCTGCTGGAACTATGATCTCAGATAATCCGGGTGGTAAAACTTCAGGTAAAGACAAGAGCAACCAGTTCATGGTTGCCTTGTGCAGGAGATGTGCTGAACTCTGGCGACGATATGGCATTCAATGGGAGGACATTGACGAGGCATCTAAGAAGGGGCCATACAAGAGAAAAATCGACGAGGAACTTCTTAAAGAGCTCGTGGCAGCTAATGAAGTCCAGAACCAGGCCGTTCCTGTTGCGCCGGTGGTCCCTGTAACGAATGTACCTCCTGCTCCAGCCATGGTCGTTCAAGCAACTGGTCCTGAACCACCTAGAAAAAAGCTAAAGGGCACATCTGAGCGAGACTCGATAGACACCGCTATGGAGCCAACTGCAAATGCAGGACCAAAAAAGAAGATCGTGCCTGAAAAGCCAGTAGGCCCGCCGCCTCCTCCAGATCCACCGAAAGCCAGGCTACTTCCATGCGCGATCTGCGGTGAGATGGACCCTATGGGTGACCAACATCTTTCATGCAAAGAATGTCGAATGGCAGTGCATAGAAATTGTTATGGTGCTGTCGGGGAGAACCGAAGTCCTAGCAAATGGGTCTGCGATATGTGCTCCAATGACAAGAATCCCCAGGTTTCAATTGTAAGACAGATCCAGCTATCGCGCCTAATATCATGCTAACGAATCACAGCAATATAAGTGCACTCTCTGTCCCATAGAGTTTACAGAGCACGACTTTGTCGAGCCTCCTAAAGTTACACACAAGAAGAAATCGGAGAAGGATCGCGAGCGTGACCGGGTCGAGCGTGAGAGTGCCCAGAAAGCGGCAGACTATTTCCGGAAGAAGCAGGAGGAGATGAACAAACCTGTCAACCCTCGCGAGCCCCTGAAACGAACGGCAAATAACAACTGGGTCCATGTCACTTGCGCCGTCTTCACTCCAGAGGTGAAATTCGGCAATGCCAAGGCTCTAGAGCCATCGGAGGGGATCCCATCGATACCTACAGCGAGATACGATGAGACGTGCAAGGTCTGCAAAAAAAATAAGGGTGCATGTGTGAGTTGTCAGACATGCAAAATACCAGGTCAGTTTCGGTCTCCCTCATCCGTTCAGAGTCAACAACTGATAGGTGACCTCAGTGCACGTCGAATGCGCGCATCAAGCTGGATATATCCTTGGCTTCGACATCACTCCTGTGAAAGGATCTCGTCGCGATCAAGTCACCACTGTTAACATCAACGGAGAAGTTGGAACTATGACTGCAGCCATTTGGTGCAAGGAACACGTTCCCGCCAAATCTGCCGTACACCACATGCATGAGATCGTGGATCAGGAGACCGGCCTGACTGCATTGCAGCTCTACGTCCAGAACTTCAAGCAGGCAGACTTGGCATTGACTGGGACTGTTCGTAAGGCAACACTCGTCAACCAGTCCACAAAGGTTGTCAACCCTCAAGCCACGGCTGCTCCGGCTCCTAATCGACGTACCTCGACGACAACGGGCGCTAACGGGCACGCCGGGAGAGGCTCTGTATCCCACGCAAAGGCAGAAGACGTACCTACGGACCTGTACTCGGTCGCCAAAGGTACCCCACGGAAGATCTGCGTTACCTGTGACATCGATGTCAGCCCGAAGTGGTGGCCATACCTCACACAACAACCAGAGAAAATCTCCGAGCCTCCGATTGAAGTTTCTCCTGAGCTAAATGGCGATCTCGGTCATGCAAGTGACGCGCCATTAACCAATGGCCATACAACGAATGACTCCGGTGAAGAGACTGGTGGTACAAATGTGGCTTTAGCAGCAGCAGCTTTGCATCGAAATCCGAAGACCGTTGCTTTGTCGACAGAGTTCCAATGCCACCAGTGCCATTATGACAGAGTTCGTAAAAACTCGCCCACGCCACTGCCTCCACCTCCCGTGCCCGCAACTCGAGAAACGTCAAGACCTCCACCTAGTATTCCTGCTCCGATTCCAGTCACTGAACCAGACCTATCTCAGCCCGCACCATCCCCACAGGTGTGGCCTCCTCATCCTCCGTCGTACCCACCCAATGGGTCATCCTACAACTGGCCACGACAGTCTCCCGGGCCTCAACCGGTCCAACATGCAAATCTCTTAAACGGCAATCATTCTCCTCGAGGCAATCCTGGACATGTGCTCTCACATACTGATCAGCCTCAATATCGACAGTCGGCTCATGGCCTGCCGCCTTCGCCTCGTCAGACCAATGGGTACCACCCTCATGCCTCGAACGGGTATCGTCCACCTTCGCCACGTCAGAACATGGGATCTCCGACCCTCCACATGCAAAATAGCACATATGCATCATACGTTTCGACAAGGTCCCCACCTCAGCACTTGACTAATGGAGGTCCGCCACCCAGAGCACCAGAGCACCCATTCGTGCATAATAACTCGCCGATGCATCCTCGTCCATCATATGGCCCGCCTCACGGTAGTCCGCCTGTGTCCCGCGATCCTCATTCTCAAGGTCGAGACATGGTGAGCCAACAAAACAACAACGGACGACCAAATGATGGCCGAGTCAATGGTGGGGCGAGTGCAAGTCCATCTTTGCGGAATCTGCTTTCGTAAGAACAGCCTGTGTTAGCTCAACACAGACTTCTTTCTGTTTTCATATTATATGTACGAGTTTAGGGGCGGAAGCTAGCTTCAGGATTTCGCGAGTGGGAGTGGTTATTCAAGCGCGGAGTTAAGTGATGTGACATGGATGTATGAGTAGATACTCTCGAAGGCGCATACATTCGCACTTGCTGCGGAGTGTAAATCAATAGACTCACTCCATTTGCACGTGCTCTTTTCTTGGCATTGCTTACGCGCGATTTGCCGCCTAGACTTTTGCAAACGCCCTGGCTCTGCACATTATCGACAGCAACGTCAGCGTGGTCTGTCTCCTCTGGCTCGAGATTTAATGTTGGGCCTAAGAGATTTTGTGCTGCGGCTTTCGCGAGACTACTGCCATGATTCCGCTTCTGTGCAGTGATGAGTGTGTAGAATAGGCTGTCTGATCAGAGGGTAATTCTCCTCACAGTTCAGAAAGGTCAAGGAACCACTGGGGCCTACAAATTCCCTGGCAATTGGCCCATCGTTTTCGGTGACAGCCAGCCACATTAGACAAAAGGACTACGGCTCGCCTGGCGTCTCTCGTGATCCATCAGCAGACGCAGACGTTTCTTCCATCTCGCTCACTCGACTCAGAATTCTGAGAACTTATTCCTCCGTATTTTTTCCCCCAACAGTCTTCCCATAGACGAGTATACCCACATGTCTGTTTCCGGACCTCAAGAGAAATCGAGATGGACACATGTAAAGGCGTCTGGGGGTTCGAGGATGGTTTACACCCGGCTGTCAGGTGTACGTCCGCCACTGAGCTTCGTCAATTGGTGGCGGCGGATCAGAGCGATGGGGAGGTGGGATTTCAAGGCTGAGAGAACGGGCAGTGAGACTCCAATAGAGTTGTCTATTTTTGACATGATCTTATTTATTTATAATCTCTAAATTTGTACAACGGAAATACGGAGTAGAGAAGTCTCGGAGCCGACTTAAGTCAACCGGCTTAACTTCTCTGTTAATCCCACTATTGTATTAGTTAACCGAGTCAGTTAACTCACTCAGTTATGTGAGTGTATTATATGCAGCTCGAGATCATCAATTTTGTCTGTCATTCAACGAATAGCAACTTCCTAATAGTAGCTATCAATTGGCCTCTTTCAGCGACTCTCAACTCCGCTAATGTAAATATTATACTCAGTATACTGGCGGCGTCGAGCAGTCCTACTTACCTCACTCTCTATGCCAATTCAAGGGCCAGCCAGGGTACGGAGTTAGATTCAATGTAAAAACGGAACGCAGGTCGACAGGTCAGTGATCGTTATCTCTTCAAACCGTGCACCTGACTAACCTCTTGGCTGTGGCGCTGACTCTATATTTAGGATAACTGAGTGACTTAAGTCGGCTCCGAACCTTCTCTAATGGATGCCAAGGTACTTCGTAGTGCCATTAAGTACAGTAGAATGAGAAGTTGGAACCCGCCCACTCCTGGCCCCTCATAATGCTTACGACAATTCGTAGGGGGCGGTGTAACAACTAGTCACTACTTGGAGTACCTAGCTGTTTGATTCTTTTGTAGGATACGAATAGCAAATCCGTAATAATACTCCATCGCTCGCTTTGGACCAAGTCGAAATAAGGTCTCGCTTTGGGCTTGGCTATCGGCTCGGAGAACGCGACCGGAAAAACTGCTAATGCGACGCCGGCCTGCTTTTAAACTCCAGGCCTCCCGACCGGGTGCGGGGATGGATTTATTCTAGGACATTGCAAACTTGCGCGAACCAAATCAAAAAGCTATCCAGCTACCTACATAACGCTATTTAAACTCCCAGCGCTGTCACTGCTCTGGAAGATCCGGATATTTTGTCATCCGTACTCTACAATAACCTCCCCCTTCCCCTCCGATTGTCAACCATCAACCCCTCGATCGAAATGGAGAACGAGCCCAACATCCGCACCGATTTCGGCCGTCCCGTCGTCTTCTTCGATTCTCACCCCGAGGAGCAAGAATCATACCTCTACTCTTACTGGTCGAGCTTCAAGTCCAACCTGAAAATCGCCTGGACCGGTGACGTCCCCAAGTTCCACGAACTCGGCGTCCTGCGCATATACTTCTACACACAGGAGGGCAACATCGGCCACAAGGACTACGAGCTCCGCGAATACGAGAAGGTGAAGGAGGATTGGCAGAAGGTCTTGGAGCTGCCGGAAGTCAGGAGAGCAGTGGTGATGGGCTACTCGGGGCAGAACCCGTATACGCTGGGCCACAACCCGTGGGTAGAGAAGTTCAAGAAGGATAAGCGGAATCAGGAAAGGGCGGAGGCGCAGAGGAAGAAGCAGGATGCGCTGAGGGCGGAAAGAAAGAAGACTTTAGCCGCGGAGAATCTGATTGATTTTGATGATATTATTGCGCAGACTGAGGAAGCGGAGGTGCAGAGGGAGATTAAGGAGAAGGAGAGGCGGCGGGAGAGGGAAGGTTCCGAAGAACATGACCGCTTGCTGTACGATGTCTGAACTCGGAATTGGCATCGGGGGACCGTCATTTTGGCCAGCCTGGAACGACATTCACTTGAGGCGGAAGAATCGGCTACTTCTTGGACGAAAGGGGACTTTGGCGAAAATGAGTAGCTGTGAGCAGTCTTTGGTGTCTGGAGAGCCTTGGTTTTGGATTCGGGGAATAGCAACGAGATCGGACCAAGATTCGCAAGCCGCGATTTGGGATTGCTGGGAAGGGTCAGGGGCGTCAGTGTTCGCCGTGTATTTGAAAATCTACTATCTTGTCTGGGTGTTTATATCAAACCAAATCATATGATAAAAAATTCGCCTATCTAGAAAGTCTAGCATATGATCCTTCAGCTTCAACACCTTTATGCCGAATTAAATATTAGACTATTGTTGGATGCGCAAATCGGAACGGTATCTTGCAGGCACAAGAAAAAGACAGAATTGGTAGCACACCTCTTATCCCTCTCCTTCCACAACTCAACAAGAAAGATGTTCTACTTGAACGCAGTCCCGCTGGCCATAGGAGCCAGGTTCTGCGTGAAGTATGTCTTCCCCTTCACCATCTTAACCACGAACGAGGGGAACTTCATGTTTCCCATATGTCCAGTACCGCCCTTGCGGCCGATGGGAACAGCAAGTAACACTAATCAGATGTCAGGAATCCGTTCGTTCTCGGAAGTGGGGGAACTCACTCTTGCCATCAACCTTGTAAGGAACCAACGGCTTCGACAGGTGCCCCAACCCAATGTTCTTCACAACATGTTTAGATTGATTGTCTGTGAGCACGAACTGCGCTCTTTGCACACCCGAGACATCACCAACAGCCCAGACGTCCTTTGTGCCTTTCACTCGTAAAAATTCATCGACGACCACGAATCCGCTCTGGTCGAGCAGAGATTGGGGAACATAAGAGGAGTTTGGTACAAGACCTGCTGATGGTAGGTAGAGATCAGTGATGATCTTTTCCCCATTTGAGAGAGTCAGTTCGGTCTTGCCGTCTGGTGTCGCGGCGTGACCATCCACCTTCGTGGAGGCGCGGATTTCGACGTTCAGAGACTGGAGTTGCTTTGAAGCTGCTGTGGAGACGCTTGCTGGTGTGCCTTCAAGGACCGTTGCGCCACTGGAGATCTGAGGAGAAATGATGTCAGTATCTGGATTCGCGCAATCAGGTCGCCACAATCTAGCTCTTGACCGAGCGGTTGGAGCACTAACCAAGGTGATCTTCTTGACCTTTCCATACTCGAAACCCAATTCTCCTGCTGTCTCTACACCGGTTGCTCCAGCACCACCAACGACAATCGAACTGGCCGCCTTCACCTTTTCTTGGAAGCTGTGCAGAGCATCGCGGGTAGCTTCATAACTGCCCCGTCCTTTCCAAGGTACATCTCCCTTGGTATTGGAACCCGTAGCTAAGATCAACTCGTCGTACTTGATGGTCTTCTCCACACCACCGGATGATACAGCGACTGTTTTGGTGGCGATATCAAGCTTCTCGGCGGTCCCTTGGATGAACTCAAAGTTGGCTCCGTATTGCTTGAACCCGGGCAGGAATGGCTGGAATAGCTTCTCGTCTGGAAATTGACCTGGTATGATGCCTCTAGGCGTTGCCATGTTCCAAAAAACGTGGGTAGACGGCGAAACTAGTATAATCTTTATGTCACCAGTTTTCGCAGCTTGCTTAAATAGTCTGTGGGCAGTGCTGATTCCGCCGTAGGAGCCACCAAGAATGACAATAGTTTTTGGTGCCATGGTGCAGAGAGAGCGTGGTGATTATGTATGGAATTACAAACAGTATGAGGAATGTGAAGAAGAAGATGAAAATCTCGAGCGTGGTGCCCATGAGGTAGTTATACCTACCTCGCCCGCATGGATTGGTAATACAACATATCGAAAAGTACTACGTACGAATTTCCAAGAACTCTCACCAAGGTTTGAACCAATAAACTTCTACGGTGCAAAAGTATAATTTCGCAAGGGCTCTGACCAGGGCTGAAACCAATTAACTTCCAAGGATTCAGCCTTGGAAGCAAAGTCAAGCAAGTATTTACCTAAGCATCCGTAATGGCTAAACACGGCTTTGAGCCATTCAGAAGCCACCGCTCTACGATTTATGGGGCTAAAGTCAGTCCGACATTGTGTACGGAGCGGAGATGCTGCTACAGTATGTCAGTATCGGGACCTACGTGTATGGCAGGGCGGGTGATATTCCGTAGCAACGGGCTTTTTCGCGTCCGGATATTATCCAGCCTGAGACTGAGACTGAGCACGGGTTACTGTAGGCCAATGGCACGCACTATTGACCAATAGTGAGATTCGACGCAGTGAACGGCAGAATGCACGGGCTCGAGTTCTTGAAGTCCGGGGCTCTGTTGTTGGAAATCGTCAAATCTAGTAGTAGTACCAGTACCGTAGTACTGTACTAGTAGTACTAGACCTTCCGCACACTACAACCTAGTAGTAGATCTGGAGGCTGAACCGTATGTTACGTAGTATTACTGATGGAGTAGGGGGAGCTAGTAGAGCTGACAGCATCAGATTTCCCGCTTGCTTTTTCCCATAAACAATACGGAATAGATCCGTCCACCGCGATGTCAAGGCACCCCCGGGACACCTCTAAGAGGGTTTGCTCCCCTGCTGACATTCTCTTGGACGTACGGAAAAAGTCGAGAAAAAGCAGAAAAAGCAGCGAGGTCTTTGCAGGTTCCCGCCAGATCTTCGCGGGATCACTATTTTCCTTGAAAAATCTCCCTCTTCTCCCAAATATCAATAGTAATACTCAGCTTTCAAATCTCAAATGATGGGTTAACATGAAAAGTTCAGAAGCTTAGAGTTATAGTAGCAGTATATCTGTAATCGGACTAAGTCTTACGATAACAGTTGACATCTCTTTTTTGGATACTCGGTTTTAGCTCTCCATTGTCGTGAATTCCCCCCGAAAGGAAGGGTAGCCCAGGCGGTTTACAACCTAACGAGAATTTGTGAACGACCTGAAGGACTCGGAAACCTCCCGAAATGTTTTTGAAAGCATGGATATACGGTTTGTAAGCTTCACCTTTCTAACTTTACCTAGGTACAGAACAGGCTCTACGGAGGCTGTAAACGACACTTGGCTACCTTTTAGCGCTGGGAAATTGCAAGGTACATTGGAAAAGAAGCTATTTTTTGGATGGGGCTAACACCTCCTAGCCCGGAATTAGCGCAGCGGACTCAACTCAACAGAAGATCCTTCGGCGATACTTTCTCCACTTGCCTTCCCAACCCGACTCTATCTAACACGGCATCTGTCTTCTGCCAGGTGTCTTCCATAAGTGTTGGTTTTTGCTCCGATGGCCCCGTGCAGGATCTAAGAACGGGAGAGGCAAAAATACGCATCCGAAAAACTGCTGGTTTTTGTCGGAATCTCGTATAATGTTCACTAGAGAGAGTCAGCTATTTCCTGTTCTCAAAAATGGCTAGAGCAAGCTCCAAGACGTTTGGCGAGAAGTCGATCAAGAAAAGGAGAGAACAAGCGGAGGGTACTTACATGGAAATAGCACGACGTGCATCAGGTTAGCAGGCATATGCGACTTGAGTACGTATGACCATGGCTTCGCTTGCTTAATGTACATACCTCTCGACCCTACAGTGATAGCACATGTTGCACGCCTGGCCATGACCTGCAAGAAAGCAGCAGAAGAAGAATTGCGAAGACGGTGAAAGCCTATTAGCGATTGATCCATAGCAAATACATGCCATAGAAATGAATTCCTCATACCTCGATGTCATTCCTTGCCTTAGTAGCAACTTCATACCCTTAGAGGAAGGCGCTCTATATAAAGACACACCCTGATACATCGTTAACTCCAGCTCAGCACATGCTCCGCCGTCAAAGGATGCCCGTTCACTCGCCGGAATCTCCCGAGCCTGCACTATCAAAGACTTTCTTCCTGACTATGTCTTCAATCTCTTCATTGAGCAGTTCTCCCACTTCAACGCTATCTGATAATATCTCTCTCGCTTTCTCAGCGTCAACACTCATGTCTTCCTGGATTAATAAAACAGTAGCCTCGGGAACTAGAACAGTCTGCACATAAGCAGTGTATCCCCTCGCAGACATTAACGGGTCCTGAATCATCCTCTTCTTAAGTAGCGGCGTGAATTTGTGGAAGATATTCTCGGAAATTGCTCTCAAGCCACGGGCACCGTAGTACCCAGGTGTTAGATTTGAAGTCATCTTCATCAGGTTCCGGTCCTTGCCTGACTCCACCTTCTCGCCCAAAAGATCTCGGTAATGGGACTCTTGTCCGTTGATCAATTTCTTGATGAAGGAGTGATGCTTCGAGATCCGAGAATCCAGCTTGTCCCAATCGATCTCGGGATAACCTTGTAATGCCCAGTCGTCTTCTGCAGATTTAACTCGATGTGCTCTGCAAAACTTCTCTTGTGTGCGGATGTTCATGCGGCCGGCTTTGGTAAATTCTCTGATCGTGTCAGGGCTGACATGGGCGTTACACATTGGACAGCGAGCTTGCTGAGTCATGGTAAGGAAGTCGTTATCATCCTCAGATAGTGGGTCAAATATATCTCGGTGCTGATCTACGAGGTCCTTGGCCTTGGAGACGATATCGCTATGCTGCCCAATATTCAAAGACTTGAATGCACCTTTCGGCTTCTCTGGAGAATTGTACATAAGAGGCTGCTTCAGACCACGAGACACGAGTGGCTTGCCAGTCTCATGATCGGGGCCGTCCGAGTCCTCGACCTCCCACCTGCTTCTGATAAAGCCCGGCTTGATCACTTCGTCTGTAGCTGAGGGAAGGCTTCGCTTCCCGTCTTCTGATTCGAGAGAGGGGGATCTAGAGAGCCCGTAGGTCTTCATCCCAATTCGTGGTTTTTCAGGGCTGTCGTCCACGATATATTTCTTCAGTGCTATCTCTCATTAGTACGTTAAAATTTGCTCGATGGTGATGGAGTAGCGAACCTGCAGCCTTGCTTTTTGAAACAAAAATCTTCGGATTGCTTGACTTCATTGGCTTCTTTGCTTTGTCGCCATATTTGGGACGTTTAGCAGCAACTTTGGTAAATCCAAGCGCATCAGTCATACCCGCACCAAGTTTCAATTTTCCTTCTTCCATTTTCCTCTTTACACTGCCCGTAGAGACAACTGAAGGACTACTTGAGTTTGATATCAGATTCTGATTCCTTTGGCTCCTTTGGCTCCTTTGCATAGTGGTACGGTTTTCCTTGTTCGAATAGACATCGTTGCCGGTCTTCACTTCCCTGGCAGTAGAAGGGCTAGGCTCTGCTAGCTCTGACTCTTCCTGCCTAGTGGTGAAGTTTGTCCTTCTTATATCCGCAGAGTTCTCTTCTTCATCGGATGAGCTGTCTGGCGGGCGGGTTACGTCGTCTTTTGCTTCCTCCTTCACAGCAGACTTCTGGGCGTCTGTCGGACATTTCGTAGTAGCGCTGGGTGGCATATTTGATGGCGATGGCGATTGCGTCGGTGTCGCAATATTCTGGTGCAAAGACTGATACTTGAAATCGGCTCGATTCATGCCTGTACGCCTGTTCCACTGGCCATTTCCAAGATGCAAGATGTTCACGTCAGAAGGCCGACTCATTAGAAAAGTGTGAATCGTGGTCGCAAGACTTCGCTTCTGCTCATAACATATGTAGTGGGGCAATCAGACGACCTCAATGTCCTGGTTTAGCTTGAGGCGGGTTCAACATCTTGAGATGGAACAGAACTCGTAATCATGATACTTCTAGTGTTGCGTAGAGCGTGAATCGTAACATGAAAAGTGCAAAATAGGAGTCAGGCAAGGAAAGCCATTGGATTTGTCAATTGCTATTCTCTGATCGCGTACTCATGGACCCGTAGAAGTGGCCCGTGCTCGAACTATGCCTGTGCCTGAGGCGCGCCAGAACTTCAACTTGACTTGCCCAAACCCTCGTCATCCATTATGGCCTTGAACAGAAAATACGCGGCATTGCCGGATTTGGTGAGACTTCCAAAGAGAAATCGCCAGTACCTTGTTAATACCTGTCATAGGACTCTGCTCCGGATCTCTACGAGACTCCCGAACTGACCGACGACAATTCGACAGCTCCCGTAGGTGGATTCGTCGCCTCCTCCAAATACTTCTTCTGCTCTCGCAGCCACTTACAAATTTTAGACAGGCAGAGCGCATTCTGAATCCAATGCTTCTTCGTACAAGGATTTCGACGAACATGAAGACGAGGGCCCTGGCATCTCCCGCTCTCGTCTACACCCAGACCAGGCCCGCACACTCTTCTCTCCTGCGCAAATAGATGCCCGGGGTGTAGATTTTTCGGACCGAGTGACTGCGAAGCGGAAGTCCTACAAAGCTTCCACTCGGCGACATCGAAGAAGAGAGGATGGCACAGAAGAATATGGGGACTTCAGCGATGATGAGGATGGAGAGAGTTTGGAAAGGAAACTTGCCAGATTGAAGCGAGAAATTCAGGAAGTCAAAGAGGAATACGGAAAGCGACAAGTTGAAGGCAAAGATGGGGAAGAAGAGGATACTGTTGATTACCCGCAGGATGTAACGGACCTCAACAAAATGCTGGATGGAATGTCTCTCCAAAAAGGTCCAATGGGCAAAAGTGCCGGGGGAAAATTTGCAAAGGATCTGGGAACTGGCATCAGGGCCAATGGACCACCGCAGACGGCACAGGGAAATGGGGAGTCGGCAACCTACACCATTACTTATGCGCCGACATACCAGCAGAGCCATGCTCTTGCAAAAGCGGCTGATTTTGATGGACGGTTAGCACTTCTCGAGAAGGCTCTTGGAATCAGCGCGGCAGAACTACCGTCTTCGACAGCCAATGGCGTCCCCAAAGCCATATTGCCTACCCTTGATACGCTCCAACGCCAGATCTCAGTCATCTCGGAATCTACTCCTTCCTCACTGGACAGCATCAGCCGACGAGTGAGAGCGCTGACTCAAGAAACTGAAAGGTTGGACGAAGCACGGAAAGCCGCGAAGGCTCAGGCTGGATTGCGAGTATCCGGTAGTGATGCAATGTCAGACGACGAAGAGGATTCGGAGCAAATTGCTAAAATCAATGCTTTGTATGGGACTCTCTCGACAATCGAGAGCCTAGCGCCTCTACTTCCATCCCTACTAGATAGACTGCGTTCCCTGAGAGCTATCCATGCAGATGCCGCGACCGCCAGTGCAAGTTTGGATCGGGTAGAAAAGCAGCAAACTGAGATGGCTGGAGACTTGAAAAAATGGAGAGAGGGACTGGGTCAGGTTGAGGAGGCTTTGAGACAGGGCGAAAGCGTGATGAGTGATAATATGAAGGCGGTGGAGGGTTGGGTCAAGGAGTTAGAGCAGAAGATGGAGAATTTGTAAATTCGATAAGCATTATGCTGTGCCGTACTAGATACCCCCAAAGAACTTTTCAATTGCTTTCCCAACTTGGTCCATCCATATAGAGAGCATAGCTCAGACGTGTGTCGTGTACCGGTAGTGCTGACTGTAGTCTCATGCTGACTTGCTATGATGCGACTCAGGGATTACAGTTGTATCTCACAAACGCCGAGTGCGGTCTTGGAAACTCAATCAATTCAACCAGATCGCCACTTCCTCTATGTGTAATGCGTAACTCATACCCTCCAATTGTATGGCATTCCTTGATTCTTCCTACAAGTTAACACTAACTGAGATGCTGGACCAGTTCCCCGCTATCTTACTTTTCGACGAGCACATCGGGTGAGGCTGAAGACAGGGCTGTAGCACAACTCAACGAGCCGGAGAACGTGGAAAGAACGCAGCCGGAATACATTTTCATGAGAGATGTCGTCGCAATGGCAAGGGAAGCCTCATGTGAAAGGCTCTACGGATACGATGCGCATGGCGCTATTGACTTTCTCATTAGTCGGGCTACAGTATGTGTTCTCATCGATGGATGGCAGTGGCATTTACTGATAGGATCCATAGGTTCACTTGGGGCATTGAAATGACCTGTAAGCCATTTCTTCTGCGATTTTGACATTGGAATATCAAAGCTGACTAGTTGGGTCAACAGACTGTACACCGTATCTCCTTTCCCTAGGGCTCACCAAGTCGAAAACCTCCCTTGTCTGGATCGCAGGTCCGATCTCCGGGTTGATAATGCAACCGATAGTTGGCGTGGTAGCTGATCGATCGAAGTCGAAGTACGGCAGAAGAAGGCCGTTCATGGTCGTCGGGTCTTTTGTGGTAGGGGCTTGTCTGATGGCGTTGGGATGGGCAAAGGAGATTGTTGCATACTTCGTAGAGGAAGGCGAATTCAGGAAAACATGTACGGTGACGCTTGCTGTGTTCTCGATATATGCGATCGACTTCGCGATCAATGCTGGTATGTTGGGCTCTGGAGGGACGCTGGGTAAGTGCTGACAGCAACACAGTTCAAGGTTGTTGTAGGAGCTTGATCGCCGATACGTTACCAGCTCCCAAACAACAGGCCGGCAGTGCATGGGGTAAGATACTTCTCTTAACAGCAAGATAATGCCTGACAAATTTCAGCAAGCAGAATGGTCGCCATTGGTCATTTAGTAGGATATATCATAGGCACTATTGACTTAGTCGGCATCTTCGGCCCATCCTATGGGGACACCCAATTCAAGAAGTTGATCCTTCTAGCTGCCTTCGCACTGGTATTCACAGTTGCAGTAACATCTTGGGCCGTCACCGAGCGAGTATTGATCGCTGGAAAGGATGATCAAGGTCCGTCTAAGGGCTTAGTACAGATCATAAGCCACATCTTCCAAGCAGCAACGACTCTCCCACCTCGAATCCAAGCCATCTGCAACATCCAGCTCTGGTCTGGGATCGGATGGTTCCCGTTCATGTTCTACAGTACCACATTTGTCGGCGAAATATACTTCCGTTATGATGTTCCTCAGGACTTCAAGAAGTCAAAAGACGCTCTTGGGGAAATTGGACGTATAGGTAGTTTCTCGCTGGTCTTATTCTCGTTCGTCACATTCGTCGGCGCTCTCGTCATCCCCTTCTTCGTCAAATCCCCCGACGAAGAGAACTTTACAGCTCGACCCCCAGCCTCCATCGCCAAAGTCGTCACCAAAGTATCTAAGTACAAACCCGATCTCCACACAGCTTGGATCTACGGCCACCTCCTGTTCAGCAGCGCCATGATCCTCGCCCCTTTCGCACACTCCTTCCGCTTCGCAACTTTCCTTGTTACCCTCTGCGGCGTTCCTTGGGTATTCGCTTCTTGGGCGCCGAACACGTTTATGGGCATCGAAGTCAACCGCCTAGGCAGCCAATCTCGACGACTTTCATCATTGTCGCCTCTTGAGTCCGGATCGCTGGAGAAAGGTTCTCCGCCGCCCGAGCCGCCTGCTTCTGGCGAGCTCTCTGGGCTTTATTTCGGCATTCTCAACATCTACGCCGTCATCCCACAGTTCATTAGCACCTTCATCAGCATGGTCATTTTTAGCATCCTGGAGCCGGGAAAAAGTCCTGAGTTGGCTCACGACGCAGACCCACTTGAGGTCCATAGCACAGACGGCCCAAACGCTATTGCCGTCTGTCTGTTCATCGGTGCGCTCAGTACGATTGGTGCAGCCTTTGCAACGAAGAAGTTACGGAATCTGCACAGAGAAATGTACGTCAAGGAGTGAAACAGGAGCCAGTGTATGATTATGATGGTTGCAATCCAATTGAGCACGTTTGAGAATTTGGGGGAGTTTTAGCAAGCCTTCTTTGTTCTGTATTTCCCTTTGGTTTGAAACCTGGGTGAGTGATGTAAATGGATAGATTGGGTGGCGTCTTTGCTGGATTGGTTCCAATTGAGAGACTGCCCATCCTGGATCTCAGTTCAGGCATGCTGTGTGGTCATAATACGTATGTAAGTCTGGGGTGTGGCGGTACTGTGGCTAAAGTAGTAAATTTATACTTGGGGTTTAGGATGCACGTCGCGCACTCTCAATCTTCCCCAAGTTCCCCCGGCGGCTTTCCTCTAAATCTCTCATTTCCATTCTCGCTCGGTCTGCCTTTCTTCGGCTTCGACAAGGGTGTTCGCGCTTGGTGGGCATACGGAGAAGGAGTCGAGAGTATCCTCACATATATACTTGCTTCTTCCTGCTCTCGTTCCCCGATGAAAACTGCGCGCCACAATTCGAAAATAGAAGGGGGTAGCGCACCAGAGGCCCAGAGGAAATGTAGCAGCAATGGAGAAGAATGTAGCAGGGGACCAGACTCTAGATATTGCTTCTGGAGTCAAAGTAGTTAGGCAGGCACAGTTTTCTGTACATGTTGTGTCGATCGTAAGGCGGTGCCAGGTAGCTTGGCTATATATGGTGTCACGAAACTGTTCAACGGCTTCTCGCATACAGGTACCGGTATACAGGTAATTTGCACAGACAGCGAGCCGGTCCTATGGGCTACATTATAATACCTACCGGTACCTATACCGGTACTTCGTATATACATACTCACTCGTACACATACATGTCATTGCCAAAGCCGTCTTGATCCGCATTTCCTTACTACTGTACCGTACCTTCAAACGATCCACGAGCCAGGATGTTGGGAAGCTGTCGATCGATCTCTTTCTTCCCCGCCACGTGGACCGATCACGGGTTCTGCGGATTTCATTTCACACGTTTCCTTCGTCCGGCTTTAAACAGACGGAGGTCTGCACTTACGGACTACCACTACTATTACTACTGTTACTACTGTTACTACTGTTACTACTGTTACTACTGTTACTACTGTTACTACTGTTACTACTGTTACTACTGTTACTACTGTTACTACTGTTACTACTGTTACTACTGTTACTACTGTTACTACTATTACTACTGTTACTACGTCCACTACTGCCATGGCTCATATATCAGCCTACTCCGCCTGCGGCGATGCCATCATTCGTGCCGAGTTCTGATCTGAGCCTCGAGCTTCTGCTTCCCGTTCGTTGCTTGATGCATTGCCTCGTCATAAGCGGGGAGAGAGAAAACTATGAATAAGAGAAAACAGGAGAATAAATAATTGTGGAGGCAGGGAATCGGGCTCCGGGGTGTACAATGGGATGGCATGGGATGGCATGGGATGGCATGGGATTCTTTGCAGACGGGCAAGTAAGCATTTCGAGCGGTCTGTACCTTGCGTAACACCGTAGTCACTTGACAGCCCAGCAAGTGCATCATGAGTTGCGAGTGAAACGAAAGACTGGGATTAAACAGGCCTAAATGCCCGAGTATTCACAGCCAACTAGGCTGAAGAGGGTATCAAAATGATCTAGACACTACGGTACCGGTCGTCTACAGAAAGTAGTAGTGCACTTATAATAATAGTACCGGTAATACTGCTACCTATTACAGTACCGGTAAGTATCATATCACCTGGCCATACGGTATGATCAGTTTTGTTGGCCAATGCTCTGCCCACCTCCCGGTAGTACTGTACGTAGGTAGCTGTTCCTTCTCGTACGCCCTGGACCGAACGTATAATAAATAACAAGACACATATATCATGAGTCGCGGTTGCCGATGAAAATATCTTGTATTACTGTATTATCCTTATTGTTGTTGTTGTTATTATTATTCTTGACGGCGAGGCCTTGTCTTCCAGTGTCTTAGACCCCCAGAGTCTTGCGTCGGCCCCATCACTCGCTCCCCCCCTCCCCAGTTAAGTGCCAATTCAACCCAACTCCACCAAGAGGCAGACCCCCAAGTCCGCAGGCCTTGGAAAGCAATCACCAACCAGCCAGGACTTACTCCTCCCCTCCGCATTCCTTTTGACATCCAGCATCTCGGAGCTCTCTGACAAGCATCAATCGATCTGTCCTCGCGACCGAACGCTCCCGACGAGCAATCCGAACCGCACCGGAAAGGCTCCCGTTGGAGCACTTCCACCCCGCGCTGCGCCGTATAGCCGCGTTTCGAGGACCACTCGTCGTTGAAGTCCCAATCTCGACAGAACAGAACTGGGCACGAGTATCTCCGTTAGCCAGGACTGTGGGAATTGCGCCTATCCGCACGGATGACTACAACTTGAGTCGCAACATTTCATAATTGCGCTGCCGCCTTCGCGGCTTGCGAGGCGGGCCGGGCCCTACGGGTCAACCAACAACAAGATGGCTGGACTGTTTAGCAAGCTGAAGAGTTCATCTGTCAGTACTTTCATTTTCCATAGCAATGTATCTGTTACGGACCAAAGGCTAGCTGAAATCTGTCTATTGGGTTGGGCGCGGGGCAAATTCGAGCAGAACAGAGCTGATGTTGGGATGCCCAGGGAACGACGAGTATAGGTGCTTCCTCCATCTCGAGCAAGAACAAGAAAGATGTCGAGCCAGAGCCCGAAACCACACCTCTGATTAAGATGCTGCAACATGCGGGTCCTATACGCAATGACGGAAGTGACAAGTTTTTTGGGTTGGAAAATGTACGTTACCTGGAATTCCCACCCTTCGCCAGCCAGTATTGACCTTTGTGTAGTTCGGAAATACATGGTTTGTTGGGCTCTAGCATCTTTCGATTCGAGGTCCAGAAACTGATACCTGCCAGTTATTGCAACTCAATAGTTCAAGCGCTATACTATTCAGTCCCTTTCAGAGAAAATACTGTTCGATATCCCCACCACTCACCATTGCAAACGCCGAACGGCCAGTTTGAGATAATCACCCCAGTAAGGCCACCGATACGGAATGGCGGTCCTTTGTCACCAGGCAATAAACCGAAGGGGTTGACTGCGGCTGAGGCGATAAAGAGGAGGGCGGCAATCAATTCAGGACAAACAGTACCAGGTACTCCAGGACAGCGTCCAGAGGACAAGCCAGATTCTCCGGAATACAAGAAGAAGCATGCCATGTCTATAGGTCCTGTATTAGACGTCACATACGAGAATGCCAGTCAATATGGCATGGAGGAGTCGACTTTTACGGCACTGAAGGATATATTCATGGCTCTGATCGCAACCAATTCCCGGACGGGCGTGCTAAGCCCCCAGAAGTTCTTGGAGATTTTCAAGCAGGAGAATGAGATGTTTCGAACATCTATGCATCAAGATGCACACGAGTTCTACGGATTGGTGCTGAATGCGGTTATTTCCAACGTGGAGGCAAACGCACAGCGAATGAGGGAGTTGTCAACACCGAAGAGTGAAGAGGGCCTTGCCCAGTCTATGACACAGGCAGGCCCTTCAGCAGCACATGATATGGGTTTGGGAAACGAATCCGGTGCGCGATCACCTGGAGCAGGCTGGGTACACGAAATATTCGAGGGAGTTTTAACGTCGGAGACCAAATGTCTGACCTGCGAGACGGCATCTCAGCGAGATGAGACGTTCTTGGATCTTTCTATCGACTTGGAGGAACATTCCTCTGTTACGTCTTGTCTACGGAAATTCTCCGCCGAAGAAATGCTTTGCGAGAGGAATAAGTTCCACTGCGACAATTGCGGCGGTTTGCAAGAAGCTGAGAAACGTATGAAGATCAAACGTTTACCCAAGATCTTGGCTCTTCACCTCAAAAGGTTCAAGTATACCGAGGATATGACGCGGCTACAGAAACTGTTTCACAGAGTCGTCTATCCCTACCATTTACGGATGTTCAATACCACAGATGACGCCGAGGATCCTGATCGGCTCTACGAACTCTACGCCGTTGTCGTTCACATTGGTGGCAATGCGTATCACGGGCATTACGTGTCGGTCATCAAGACACAGGACCGAGGGTGGCTGCTTTTCGACGATGAGATGGTGGAGCCCGTTGACAAGCACTATGTACGAAATTTCTTCGGCGATAAGCCAGGAATGGCGTGCGCCTACGTCTTGTTCTACCAGGAAACTACTGTTGAAGCCATGCGGAAGGAGCAAGAAGCTGAAGGTCTGGCAGAGGTCGCCCTCGCATCTGTTGAGGCTGATATCGCTCTTGGCCACGCGCAACCCAACGGCACTCACCCTTCGTCCGTGTCCAAGGCTGTCCCTGTTCCTAGTAGTCCTGTTCAGGAAGAAAAGGAGTTCTCTTTAAACCATGCTGTCACTGCTCCTCTACCTACTCCGCCAGGAGCACCAGCTCGAGCCGCCACATCATCCCCCCTACTCTCCAACTTCGAACCCCCAAAGGCCAAGACGAAAGAAGAGAGGGAGCGGGAGAAGAAGGACCTAAAAGAAGCCGATAGGACCCGCAAAGCTGCAGAAAAGGCTGCCGAGAAAGAGCGATTCAAGGAGGCGGAAAGGAAAAGGAAGGAATCGGAGCTCACGAAGAAGAATCAAGCCGAAGAGTCGAAGAGGGCCGTGGCAGCAAGCAAACAGGAAGAGGAAGAGAAGCGTAGAAAGGAGAATGACGCACCCAAAGAGAACGGCAACGAGAAGGGGGGGTTCGGACTGGGCAGCCTAAGCCGCAGCCACAAGGGCAGCAAAAGCATGAGCCGCAAGAGCTTTGCCTTCCTGGGTGGCAAGAACGGGGAAAGTAAATATTCATCCACCGACGAGTCCTATACAGCACTTGACGGGGAACCAGGCCCTCCCACGTCTGAGAAGAGCTCGAAGCCGCAGAAGAACCGGACCAGTTTCGGATTCGGACGAAAGAAAAGCTTCCTGAATCTGTGATGACGCTTTCGGCACTACGAGTTGGGATTGTACATTTGAGCGAGCATAAGGGCCGAGCAGTTACAAAATAATACCCCGAAACATCTTGTGGGTGGGTTTATATGGTCTGTTGGACGATGATCAGACCAATAGGCGTTTTCGTGGGCACTTCTGGGAGGAATGAATGGAAAGCTAGTTTATTGTACAGCTGGCGATGCATATAGTGGTGGTGGTCTGGTAGTATAATAGAGCGAGATGAATAGAAATGAAACTCGATGGCACACGTTGACTAGATGTCCGAAGCTGTTTTCATGGCTTGGCTTGTGCATCGGTCGCTATCAACGTCACATTTTCTATGAGGAACCAAATCATACACGATTGAAATGTGCCGATGGTTTTTCCTGTTCCTGTTCCTGTTCCTGTTCCTGTTTCTCGGGTATGGGTGGGTGTGAATGGCTTCGACCCCGGCTTCGACTGTTGCGAATGCATGCGCACCGAGCCAGCTCGATTTAAAAGCTCAAATCGACAGTGGATGCGATGGGCGCAACAGAAAACAACACTGTTTCATGCCTCAGCAGCTCGAGGTCTCGGAGGGTATTTCATTTGATTTCTGTCTTTCTTTCTTTCCTTCTTTCGTGCATTTATAGCTCTAGCCCACGCGTGATTGAGCCTGCGCAGACAGACTCACAACTATGGCTGAATCTCCTCCTTCGCCTATCCCAAAAACGCCGCGCCAACGCCCTCTTCAACACTTGCTGGCTGTATTTATCTACACAGATCTAGGCCAGCTGGCTCCCGAAAACTTGCGCGCTACTTGCTTTTGATCGTCCACCAACCGCCCCAGCCTTCGCGCTTCCGACTTCTCTGTATCGGAGGAGGGAAAAGTATTAAGAGATGGAAGGACCATCCGTTCATCCAAGGAATAGCTCGTAGACGATTATTACCGTGTTGATCAGGATGAGGGGTACTGTTGTCTTGTAATCAGCCTCTGCTTTGCTTTGCTGCCTTCGAGCAGGTATAGTTTCCTCTTTGAAGTCTGGGCAACGTCCGGCTCAATGGTAGAGAGGGGAGGAAAAGAGAGCACGTACTCCTCATCAGCGTCCGCACGCTGGTCATCAGGTTTATCAACTTGCTCTTAATGCTCGCGTCGCCACCGTTGCTGGTCCCGAAAGCTGGCTCCCCGAGTGTGCTGTTGGACCATCCGACTGTTCTCTTCATTAGCACATTGTCGCTTTGCCGTTACGATATAGGGAATGTGGGAACATAGGTATTTGCGACGAGGGGAGGGGGAATGGAGGAGGCCGGGGGTTCTTTACCGCGCGCCAGGAATCGGTCCTCGGAGAGGATTGCTATGGCGTTCACAAGGAGCACGGAGACTACGACACATTCCCGTCAGCGTATATCCAATAGCACACAATCTAGAGTGGTGCTTGAGCGTTGCGCGCAAGTGAAATGAGTATATAGATAAATAGCTGGGAGAGCTTTCATGACAGATAACCCTCCACATCAAAGAGTTTCTTGTGGCTTGGGAATGGGCGAGATGGCAGACGAACTGTAGATCAGATTTCCAAACGCAAAGAACATCATCTTGGCGGTAATTCGTGCGTGGACGTTGTGCTGGGAGAGCGAAGTTGAGAGATCTTGGAGAGACTGCGAGTTGCTGTGCTGCTTGATGCCAGAACTTGGGCGGGATGCTTCCGCCAAGGGCTCGAGGCTGGGTTGGGCACGGACGAAGCAGGCCGACGAGGCTGTTACATCAATATGGGAACGCGAGGTTGAACAATCTTGAACAATCTCTCCTTTTTAATTTCCGATTCTGGCGATTCTCGTTTAGCTGGCTCAGAGGATTCAGGATGAAGGCCATAGGTGAATTGTCGAATGCTATCTCTTACAATGCCAGAAAGGAAAAGTAACTAAACTTCTGCCACAGATGTTGTCCTTCTCCCCATACTCCCATCCGTCGTCCTCCTCCACCTCCTCGTAGCGCCCTACACGAAGGTCGAGGAATCCTTCAACATCCAAGCGACCCACGATATACTCAAATACGGTGCTCCGTATCCCGGCACAGATAATGCCTTCCTCCAACAAAAGTTCGACCACGTCTCCTTTCCAGGCGCCGTCCCCCGCACCTCGATTGGAGCTCGAACTCTTGCTGCACTGAGCAGTCCTATAATACCCTATGTGGGACAGCAGTATGCGCAATTCGCAGTGAGGGCTGTATTGGGATTCTACAATGCGGCTGCCATGTATAAGTACAGCTCAGGGCTTAGTACAGCATTCGGAAGAAATGTAGGGAGGTGGTATATTGTATTGCAAGCCAGCCAGTTCCATGTCATGTTCTATGCGTCGAGGACGTTGCCGAATATGTTTGCTTTCGGACTCAGTAAGTACCTGATGCACTTCACTGCCTATGTTGACTTGATTGCCTGATTTCCTCGTAGCTACTTTTGCGTTTGCCGCATTTCTGCCATCTCCATCCAAGACTTTGCAACGGGAGCAACGAAAGCAGAGATTCGGAATCATGTTATTTGTACTGGCTGGGATCATCTTCCGTTCAGAGGTCGCCCTATTGCTTGCCTCTCAACTTTTGTTCCTGCTTGTGCAATCGAAAATATCGCTTAAGACTATCATCACGCAAGGACTTATGGCCGCATTTCTTGGGTTGACGGCCACTGTCCTGTTGGATTCCGTGTTTTGGCAAAAAACGAGGCCTTTCTGGCCAGAGCTTGAAAGTTTCTACTTTAATGCCATACAGGGCAAGTCTTCGGACTGGGGAACTTCCCCTCTTCCTTACTATTTCACCAATTCTCTCCCGCGCCTCCTCCTCAACCCTATGATCTTCATCCTTATCCCTGCTGCTTTCGCTCTACCCTCAACATGGTATCATACTCAGGGTCTTGTCATACCCTCTCTCCTCTTCATCTCGATCTTTAGCCTCCAGCCACACAAGGAGTCTCGTTTCATCATTTACGCTGTCCCATCCCTCACAGCAGCTGCCTCCCTCTCCGCATCGTATATCTGGACTAGGCGGACAAAATCATGGCTCTACAGCTTAAGTTCATTCTTCCTCGCAGGATCTGTAGCAGCCAGCTTTCTTGCCTCAACTACCATGCTCCTAATCTCATCCCTCAACTACCCCGGCGGCGACGCTCTCGCCCAACTCCACGATTACATCCACCGCCAGACCCTATCCCCTGTCGGCCCTAACGTCCCCTCAAACACCACGCTCAACATCCACATGGATGTGCTCTCCTGCATGACAGGCGTCACTCGCTTCCAGCAAAGATCCGACATAGACCACGTCCACCTCACCTATGACAAGACCGAGAACGACACCCAGCTCCTCGAGCCGGGCTTCTGGGCCAGATTCGACTACGCGCTGATGGAAGAGCCGGGCAAAGCCATCGGCAAGTGGGAGGTCGTTGGCACGGTATTCGCGTACGGTGGCATCGAGTTCCTGAAGCCCGGGGACGGGAGTTCCTTCGGCGAGAGCCTGGAACGAGTATACGCGGCGAACAACCTGACAAGGGCGGAAGACGACGAGGTGATGAGCAGCGAGGAAGTTATAGAGGAAGTCAACAGTCATAAAGGAGAGGCGGAGAAGGTGAGCTGGGATGAGGAGAAGGCGCGGGAGAATCGGGAGTTAGAGGACTTGAAGGCGCGTCTGATGTTGGAGGAGATGGGCCGTTTTGGGACCTTCAAGCTGGTGAGGGACGCGGTGAGGCTTGTCACGGGGGGATACTGGATAGGGCCGAGGATGGAACCGCGGATTAGGATATTAAAGAGGGTAAAGGATTGAAGATGTTTACTTGCTGTATATCTCTGTACAGATGCACCAATCTGGTGCAAAACCTTGCGAACCACGAGGATTGTAACTGTGCGACATGAACTGGATGGATAGTGCTTTTCATCACAAAAACATCGTAAACAACATCGCGGCAGCTCAAGCGAGGGCGACACACGAACTAGGTAATCCCCAAGTCAGAATCCCTTCTCAAGAAATACTGCAAAGTGCTCCACCCTCCCCCCCCCCCTTCCCCTCTCTCTCAGAGGGAGCCATCGCGATCCAGCTATCCCCCTGTCACCCACGCAGACAAGCAAGCACTAGTTCCAATCTGAACTACGGAATTACAACTGCACTGTAAACAAATACATATACCCAAACAAATTATAAAAAAAAAAAAAAAAAACTAAAAAAATTTATTCTGTGAATCTGAAGGCTTAGAAATTTCAAGGGCTGGTGAGAAGATAGATGCACAGGTAGTACTCCGGGTTGTGTGATATACAGATGTAATGTGTAGAAAGAATGTCTAGAGAGAATGTCTAGAGAGAATGTATAGAGAGAATGTCTAGAAAGAATGTATAGAGAGAATGTATCGAGAGAATTTATAGAGAGAATATCTAGAAAGAATGTATAGAGAGAATGTATAGAGAGAATGTATAGAGAGAATATCTAGAGAGAATGTATAGAGAGAATATCTAGAAAAAATATCTAGAAAGAATATAAAATTGAAAGGCCAAAAGGGTACCCTGCAAATCTCTCTCTCCCTCTCTCCCCCTCTCTGCCTCTCTCTCCCTCTTCCCCCAACCCCCCCCCTCTCCCTCTCTGCCTCTCTCTGCCTCTGCCTCCAACTAACTCACGCAGAGAAATAAATCAATTGGGCATGATGCTTTTAAACAAATTTATTTCCCAAGTCTTTCCTCGACTATAGACGTCAGCGCAAACCATGCATCCACTCAGGTCTTGTGTATGCAAGTCTCCCCTAGCATGCCGTCGACGAGTCGAATATATTATACCAATCAACGAAATAAAACGAAATCCCCTGTACCCAATGCCCCCTACCCGATACCCGACCCAGAGTCAGAACCTAGCCCAAAATTAAACTCATCTTGAAAAGTACCAGACGCCAAGCAGCCTTCTCCGAACGCCGCTCTATCAGTGATATCGAAGAAATGTCGTACCCAGTACTGACTCCTAATACCAGATCGACAAATGAAGGCCCAAGAAATATAATCAGAAAAAACAAAGAAGTGATCATCTAATGTCCAACTGGAATGGTTTGAACCGGCCGCCAACGGTCGCACAGCGAGGGCATTTCCTCCTGGCGCCTTGCTCGGCCATGAGAACATCAACGCACGCCTGGCAGATCCCACATATGCATTCGGTGCACGCATATGATTCTTTCAAAGGAGAAACGCCCTGACAGGCTGCGCAGTATATCTTGATACTTTGGGCTGAAAAGCTGGGCGATGAATCCGAGAGACCACGATTATCGATATGGAACGTGTCACCGCTCTCTCCGCTTTCGACAGAGGGGAAGGGCTCCGGTGCGTCGGGAAGATTAGCGGGTGGAGTGAGTGCTTGCTGGAGGGGCGAGGCTTGATACCCTTGAAATTGGGATGCCGGGAACGGTGGAAGTGATGCTCGATTTACTGAAATTGGTGATGGTGGGACCTGGACGTGTAAGCGTAGGTGAAATCGCTCACGAGATAATACTTACCGGAGTCCGGTCATCAGCATCCTCGGTGGCAGAGGTTGCAGCGTCGATGAGATCTTCCCATCGCTTTCCATATGAAGGTGCAAGCCCACTTGAAGGTTCAGCAGAGTAAGCTTTACGGTCGTAGCTCATTCTTCGCAGATGAGCAGTTTCACCCTTTGATTTCTGTCTTTTGTGTTGCGGTTCTCGGGCACGTTTTGAAACGGATTGTTTTCGTGGGCGGTTGGATCCGAGATTTCTCTGAATGGGCGGTAGTGTTGAAGACCGACCGGGTGGGGACGTGGATAATATGGACGGGAGAAGTTCCCTCCGACGATGGGCATTGAAATGTGAGAAGGGGTCGCTGGTAGGTTCCCTGTGGTGGTTCCCCTGCTGCAGAGGTGGAAGCTCTATCGAGGACCGCATTCCCTGTTTGTGTTGTTCGGTGTCCGACGTCCAATCCTGCGAACATGTCAACAATCCAGGCCCTTTCTGGCATTCGGAACAGATTCCACCGACATTTTCCGACTCCCCTTCTGTCTCAAATTTGTGGTTGTGTAGCTGTGCCAGGGCTGCCGCAGCGCTAGCGGCTGGCGGCATGGACGCAGATTGGTACTCGTCCAGGTTCCTGGGCGTGTTTGGGGTACTCGAGTCGTCGCCATAATGAGATTTTCGGTCGTTACCGTAGCCTGCGACACTGTTAGCCCGTCTGCAGGATGCGCGGAGGTCGTACACACCCTGGGGAACCAGATTCGAGCTGGTGGTTGGAGGCGGCCGTTCGGATGGCGGGGTACTGATCATGAGCTGGAAGCTCTCCTCGGTCGCAGGCAGCTTGGAGATATAATGCTCGGGATGCGCCCGTCTTATATGCTCCTGCATCGAGCGATAACGTTTTTCCTGCTCCCCAAACTCTCCGTTACTATGGTTGTTCAAGACAAAGCAGACAGAGCTTCATGAGGGGTGCAGCAGACACAGCAGAGAGCAGGACACTCACGCCGAGGCAACGTTTGCGACAGCCGGAGCCATCTTGGTTGACCAACGGGCAAACAACCTCATTACTGGCATCGGAAACGGAGAAGGACGATGTCAAGGCGGATCGAGGAGGCATCGTCTTTACGGAGGACGAGGTGGCCAGCATCCCCGAAAAGACGTGGGTGTCGGAGTTGGGGTCGGTGTCGGTGTCGGTGTCGGTGTCGGTGTCGGTCCTGTGTCGTGGGGCGAGGGGTAGATTAGATAGACAGATAGACAGATAGATAGATAGATAGATAGATAGATAGGTGGATATACTCCGTAGGTGCAGTGCGTTACGGCAGTCTATGGCAATGCGGGCAGCGAGCTTCAATTGAATGCGATAGCTGTGCGGCGGTGCACTATCGTGGGGAGGGCTGACGATGCGATGAACAGGAAGCTTATGGTGCGAGGGCAGCGGGTTGAGGTTGAAGGCGAGGGCGAGGACGAGGGCGAGGGCGAGGGCGACGGTTTCGATTATCGGAGTTTCGAGTTTCGAGTTCGAGTCCGAGTTCGAGGACAGGAGGGATCAGGATTGGATATAGGGATAAAGCAGCTAAGGGGGTCAAGTGTGTAGGTCGGTAAGTCGATAGGTTGGTAGGTAGGTAGGGTAAGTACTAGTACGAGTAAGTACCTAGGTTGAGCTCTTCCTCGGTGCTGCGATACAATTGGTGTTCCAAGATGAGTTGGGAGCTTATTAGGCTTCGGTTAATAGGAGCTGGAGCTGGAGCTGGAGCTGGAGTTGGAGTTGGGGACTTGGACTTGGAGCTGACCTGAACCGAATTGACCCGGAGCTCTTGACAACAAAGAAAGCACTACAAAAAAGAGGGAGAGGTCTGGTATCTTTGGTCTGGTCTGGTCTGGTCGGTTGCAGCGCGGAATCTTTGAAAGACTTCCTTCCCTTCACTTCACTTCACTTCACTTCACTTCACCTCAGCTCGATTCAACCAACGCACGCACAATGCGGCCAAACAAGTTCCAGTTTGAAAGCTCGCCTCCAAGATTTGTGCAGCACACACCACCACTACCACCACCACCACGACGGCCGGGAGCTATCGCAGCGGTGAAAACAAAGCCCCCGGCTATACGCTCGTTTCCTCAGCTATGCGTACTAGTTCTTTCTATTAGCGTTAATGAATGTTAATGCGCACTTACACTTGCACTTGCACTTGGACCATGGACTGGCTACCTAGCCCCATCGGCCAAGGTGAAGCTTGGATCCGAGTGGGGTGGACCTTGTCCATTAGTCCCCCCAGTCCAGTCCCATCCAAAGGTCACTCACTGGTAACGGCTTGTTGCAATGCCTAAATCAACCCTTCGTCTTCCAGACTTCCAGACTTCCAGACTTCCAGACGAAGAAAGCGAGTTTGTTTCCAAAAAGAAGAGAAGAGGTTGGGCCAGCCTCGCCTCGCCTTGCCTTGCCTTGCCTTGCCTCCTTGAAGCAGGAGCGGGCATCTGGTTTGAGGGCTTGTGGCCGTGGGTCCGGACTCCGTCGGGATTTGATTCCAGAGAAGATGTCGGGGGCACAGCCACATTTACATCCGTATATAACTTGAGGAGGCATCTCCCGGCGAAGATTCTTGGGTTGCGACCGCAGCCAGCAGGGTCAGGTTGGCATTCAGAATTGAATATGGCCAATGATCGATCGACACGTGATACTGTAAACAAATGGAGGTATGAAGACATGAGCGACGACCGAAACTTGTAATGAAAAGGAGAACAAGGAAGGAAAGCAAGCCACCGAGACATCTCGATTGGGGGCGATGAGGTGGATGCACTTGCAGAACGAGTCGAAGGAAGGATCGAAAGCAGGGCTCAGACACGCTGGCAAGAAAGAGAGGAGTGCTGCTTGATGAGGGAAAAAAGGGAGAAAAAGAAGAGAGAAGAAATGGTGAGGAGCGGAAAGCTGAACACGGCCAGGACGAGGAAATTGCGAGGCCTGTTCACGATGCTAGGAATGCGCGACGGGATGGTCACGTGAGCCGATCTAATGTTCTGAGGATCGAGAATCCGACTCGACGAGTCCAATCATTTGCGGAGATCTATCTACGGAGGTTTATCCCAAGACCACTCCAATCCAAATCAGGAAAGAAGGAAAATAGGAAAAAGAAGCAAAGAAGAAGCAAAAGAAGAAGCAAAAGAAGAAGGAAAAGAAGAAGATGAAGAAGAACAAGAAGAAGAAAACATAAATCCCAAGAAACACAACACCGGGCCTCGGCTCGGCAGCACCTGCACCTACCACCTGCACCTGCACCTGCATCTGCATCTGCACCTGCACCTGCGCCTGCACCTGCCCCTTTCCCTTCGGAGTCGTTCGTTCGTTCGCTTAAGACTGCCCCTGGACTCGACAGTTTGATCAATTGCTGACTTTATACCGAGTATCAAGTGTAAGTGTATATATAGATATATACTTATACATACATTTACTAACAAGACTTTTATCCATTCGACAAGCAAGTCAAGCTTATTTCAAGCAAATTTCAAGCAAAGCAAAAGCTTCTTTCTTCCTTTCCAATCGGCGCCAAGACAACTCGTACCGGTACCGGTACCTACTGTACTGGACAGTACGGTACTGTACTTCCCCCCGTCTCGAACAGCTCCACGTGCCATCGCACAGGCAAGTCGAGCCGGCGCAGATCTCAACTTCATCCCCATCCGCCCACCCCCTCCCCGCCTTAGCTTGCCTTGCCTCGCTTTGCCTTGCTCCTCACTCACTTTACTCACTCCCTCTCACTCACTCACTCACTCACTCACTCACTCACTCACTCACTCACCCATTCACACCACTTCTCAACAGACCATGGACAACGATTCCGTAACTGTGCTTCAACGACGACAACAACATCACCACCACCACCAACAGTATATACCAAAACCACGCTCATGTCTTTGACGATTAAGCATCTCAACTCGGATGCGTCGTTCCTCCTTACCTTCCAGCCGATTCCCTGCTGTCCGCCCTGCCCAGATCAGCAAGCGAATTCCTTCAAGATCCTTCTCGACCCGTGGTTGTCGGGTCCGTCGAAGGTATTAAATTCCAGGTTTTCCATCGTAAGGCACAAATTCGATGCGTGTGTTCGGTCCCTGAACGAGCTCGACGAGGTCGATCTAGTTGTTATATCTCAATCCAAGAGCGACCACTGCCACAAGGAAACTCTCACGCAATTACCACGTACCGGAGGGAAGACTCTCATCCTCGCTGAGCCAGCTGCCGCAAAGCTCATTCGAGGCTGGAATTACTTTGCTCCCGAGAAGGTCATCACTCTTCCCAAGTTCGAAGAATCCAGACCGTGCAAGCGTTCAGCAATCTATCGAATCCCCATTCCTTCGGCCTATCGAGATGGCAGGCCTGGCGAAGTCACCATCGCCTCCCTCGCACAAAAAGCAGATCTCACTCGGCTTCACAGCGCCATTGGTATTACTTACCTCCCTCCCGTTGACGAGCAAGTCCATGAGATGACTCCTCCAGCCGCGCCAAGCTCGAGTATCTCCCATACTACTGGAGATCGAGCACTCTCACTCATCCACGCTCCCCACGGCATCAGCTACAAGACTCTTCGCCCCTACGCACGCTCGCATCTCATCCCTCAAGAGGCTTTCCCTCTCACGGCGCTCCTTCACTGCTTCCACCGGATCCAAAACTCATGGTACCTCGGTGGCAACATCTGCAGCGGCCTCCCAGGGGGAATTGAAGTGGCCCAGAAGCTGCGTGCTCAAGTCTGGATCAGCGCACATGATGGGGAAAAGGATGTCCGAGGCCTAGCAAATCGCAATCTCGTAGTCCAGAGATTCGAGCGCGAGGAGGTCGAAAAAGAGGTCAGCCCTCGCGGCGACAAGTTCCCAAATTCGAGTGGTACCGAAGCAGTTGTCCTGGGGGTTGGGGAGGAGATGTACTTGGTCCATCTGCCGGGGAACGATGATGAGTACAAACGAAGCTATATAGGATGCACCCCGATCCACGTGGGAATTGGCGAAAACGTGGCTGCCGGTTTTAGAAAGAACGTGGCGAGGGCCCAACCTCATAACTTGAAATGCTACAACCCCCGCAACTCCCTCGTCCAGCAGCACTTGCTATGCTGAAAAAACCACTCTCCGGCCCTACATTACGCTGTCTCCCCAACGATCTCGAGCAGAGACGGTATCTGCATCTGCATCGGAGAAATTCCTCGTCTGCTCACCTGCCCCTACGAGCTTCTTGTCAACTTTAGAAGTCACGCAGGGCGTCTGATCGAGACTGTTTTATTATCCTTTTGTCTGGTCTCGAAATTGGTTTGTTGAAAGATGGTGTGGAAGTCGTAAACAGGGCGATTTCGGACAGCGAATGGCGTTCGATTGCTGCTTCGGCTCCTGGGAGTTGCTTGCCCTTCTGTTCCGTTACGATACCCCTGAGGCGTGAATTTGAAGCCGTTAGCCAGTGAGGAAATGATTTATGCGGAAGTAATCTACAATAATCGAGTAATGGAAAGACTGGAAAATATAATTTCAGCTCTTCAAAGATCGAGCGAATGTGAGATGTCAAGCCGACAAACGAATTTCCAGAGCAAGTATGATCCGCGACTCTTTTTCCAATCCTGCAATTCGCGACAGTTGATTCCTACTTCTTCGCCTTGGCGAGCATCGCCTCCCTCATCGCTGCTCTTGCACTCCGACTTCCACCCAGCTTCGGCCCCCTTGATTCCTCTTCCTTCTTCCCACCGGGGCCTCGAGATGCGGCCTGCGCCGCCGCTGGCCTCCTCCTATGCTTCTGCGAAACAGCATCCAGGAAGTCCTTCCTGAACGCTTCTGCGATGCGATCATCCGCTGCCTGGTCATCATTGAGATCTTCCGGCTCCGGTGCTGGCTCTTCGTAGATTTCCACTGTATAACATGTCAGCTCTGATAGGCGCGGGACTTTGGTATAGAGTGTGCTTACGTTTGTTCTCTCGCAACACGGCCTCCACGAGCTGGTCTCTCTTGATATCATCGCTACCCCGTCTTTTTCGGGGCACCCAGACACTTCCATCCCTGTTCAATCTGACCTTCTTCTTCTTCTTTTTCCCTCCCTCGTTCGCCTCCTCCTCCTCCACAATCTCTCCGTTCAGTCTCCGCTGGGCATTAGTCGTCCGCTTGATATTCCGATCCCTCGCCTCATCGCCCAGGTCGATCTCCTGCAACTTCCCAATCGAAGCCGGCTGTCTCTGCGTCTCAGGCAGCTTTCCCTTCTCCCGCATACCACCACCATCACCCACATCACCCATCGGCGCACCACTCCTCGTACTCAATGCAGACTCCAAAGGCTGTGCAAGCGCGCCCTCAGCCGCACGACGTTTCGCCAACTCGGAATCTATGTACGCCATCCTTGCTTCGTCAGTCACCATTCATCAACCCATCATCAACCCGGCGAATACAGCAGCAGCACAAGGGGGCGACTCACATGTGCCGATTCACATCCCCCACCGTCCCTGTCTGGGGCGCGAACACTCTAATCACACCTTTTCCCACCCCTTCCCCATCCACCTTCTCCTCATCACCGCCCCGGACCATCAGCTCCCCTTCCTCATCGCGAGCCACATGTCCCAAAGCCCTGAACTCTACGCCGCCCCCGCGCGCCTTATTCTTCTTGCGCAGCCGCAGGATCTCCGCCACGGACAAAGCTGATGCGCCGTCTTCTTCTACTTCGTCTCTGCCCCTGCCAGACGCCGTCGCACTCGCGGCCGAGATCAGCTCGTCGAGGCTTTGCGCTGGTGTGGGCGTAGGCGCTGGTTGTGAGAGAGCAGAAGGGGTTGTATCAACGTTTTCGGTTGCGATTTCGTCTTCGGTCGTGCGCTGGCGGTAGATCTTGCGCTTTTTGGTGGGCCGGAAGAGGACCGGGTCGGCTTTTATTTGATCGGCTGAGGGTGGTGGAGGGGGGGACATGTTGTCAGTACTAAGGGAGACGGTTTGTTGGTTTGAAGATGTCAGGTCGGTCGTGGTTGTAGACGCGAGCTGCTGTACTACGTATTGTAATTAGCTCTGGTGGGGCGGCCTCTTGGCGAGTTGTCCGTCCGGTTTAGCAAAAGCGGACACTTCAACTCCTGCTCGAATTCCGTCTCTGTAATCATCAGTCCTCCTTCAGTCTCCATGCAATTCGAGAATGTTGGATTATGGGATATCGATTCAAAATCCTCCCGCTTGTGTGAATCTTGCTTCAGTCCGGTGAATCCTATATGGAAGATCTACATTCTGCGCTGGTCACTATGCTATTAGCACACTATTGCTACGAGCACTCCTCTATGCTTGCCGCTCGCTTAACCGACTTTTTATATATTCCCATGCCCGTGGCTGCGACTGCTGTCAATTACTCGGGACGTTCTGCTCTCAGTATTCTTGTTCTTTTCCCCGATCGCGAGAATGATTGCTCAGACAGCATTGTTTTCGCCCTTTGTTTCTCAACCGATCAGTGCGCTGACTGCGCAGAAGGCCAATCGAAGGTATGCTGGAGCTACGATTAACATACTACGTATCGGCACATTTGTCTTTCTGTTCTTCTTACTTATATCGAGAATCATCTGAGAGTAAGTACAAAGTCGAATTTACGCTTAGCTAATTATTTATAGTATTGCAAGTCTCCTTTGCTGGTTATTCAGGTTTGTCCATGTGATGCTTGCCCTAGATAGAGATATCTCATATACACAGCGCGTTTTGCTTTTCTCAACTGTGTCGGCCACCAGCGCGACTCTCCCTCCAGGTTGCTAACATATGGCGAAGGAAAGGGTTTTGGCTCTAGCCGTAAATTCATGCTTATCTCCTGCTTTGATCATTATGCGGGCATAGGAATTTTCGCAACACCCTCAGACCCTCCCATGACTTGTGAAGCCCTTTCCAAAAGCAGCTGGCTTTTCTCTGTCTACTATACACGATAGACTTGACGTGGATACATACACTAGAGCGTCGTATTGCCCCGGATCAACTCCAAGACCCGCTGATCGCTGTCCCAATCTTTGTATGCTTCGTCCGACGAGCCCTTCGGCTTGACGATTTGCAAATCATTTACGATGAAGTCGATCGCGAGTCTGACTCACTGGCTCATCCCGATCCTATCGAGGACCATCAAATATCAAGGACTTGGGATCCTTCCTAGGGATTGAAGCGTGTCTCTCGGGTGGAAAGTATCCCATTCTGGATGTTGTAGATGTGGAGTCAGACTTGACCAGTGGAAATTAAGCATTTTTTCTTTGGAAACAAATAGCCGATCTACGTGAGGAGGAGATGTAGCCAGACATGAGATCACGGCTCTGAACTGTGCTACCATGGGAAGTCGTTATGGCCAAGGGTGGAATGCAGGGGACTGCTCCCGGCAATTTCTAGTAGAAATTGGCCAGAGTGGAGATACAGCCCTCGAGTGTAACGTACATACATCCCTCGGCCAGATAACACTAACGTTCCCGCTATTTTTCGAGAGCTCAAAGCATAATATTCCATAAATCGAGGGCCGTCAATAACCCATGTGTTCGTACGCTAATAGTGGAGCATAAACATCTCGTTACGACTTTCTCATCGTCCCAGTTCTTACGGGGTATTAATCGATATCGAGCTGGCTGATGAAGTATCCAATCGCTCGTCAAAGTGTAAGATGACAACCTCCTGACTGGCGTTTTCCCCTATGAGCCACCGTTCATCCCCATAGATCTTGCCCATGGCAAGTAGCTGTTGCCAGAGGTCGTCTCTAAGGGAAATCTCATAACCTGGTCCTGTCATGTGCACTTTGGGTTTGAGATTGATAGAGATGGTTTCCAGGATGAAGCAGTGTCGGGCTGAGAAAACAACTCCAGCGGCCGAGTCTACTGCCTGCGTGATTGTGAGATAGGGAAATTCCTGTCAAGCTCAGCCTTTGTTATCAGGAGATATATTTTCCACGATGTGGTAAGAGATATCCTTGAATATCACCAAATCAGTAGGGGATCTTACCTCATGTCTCCAGCACGGAGCTGAGTTTGGATATCGAGTATCTGGTTGCCTTTCACAAAAAGACAGATTGGCATCGCCATCTGCTCCACACTCGTCTTGCCATCGAGGACCTACATGGAATGGAATACCAGTGGTCTTAACTAGGTGCAATCTTGGAGGATCGTGACTGGCCTGATGACCTACGATCCAACGATGGTCCTCCTAATGTAGCCGAGAGTAAGCTGCAGCTCGATCAAACTTATCTGGGTGGAAGTCGTCAAGTGAGGAGAAGATCAGTTGCAAATATGTATTATAAAAGTTTCGGGCCTTAGCCTACCTCGACGACGTAAACGTGGTTTTCGTCCAATTCTAGACAACGCAGCATCGGAGTTGAGCGTTGCCGGATTTTGTAGAAATCTAGATGAGCAAACGAAAATCGTCTAACGCTTCGTGGCCCCTCCACATCTTCATCGGGTTTGAGGGTTCCTGAGGGATCTTCACTTGGCTTGTACGAGGAAGGAGACGAGATGTCCCAGATAGCCAAGGACTCTATTGGTTCATCCTCTCCCCAAGCGCTTCGGTTGGGTTGCCAAATGTAAAGAGCGTAATGTTTTGCTGTGTGTGTGCTGAAGAAACGGTCACGAGAATTCAGGGGTATACCCAAGAAGTGTATCTTCCATTCGTTCCTGAAGAATTTTAGAGATTGGCTGCATGAATTACGTTGAATAACTGACCGAAATGTAATGTTCTCTGCGCAGTCTGTAGCTTTCTTCACATCATAAGCCGTCGCAAAGTGCCTGTATACCTCCTCATTCTCGTTCAACTGGTGATATGGTTCATGCTCGCACCACTCAACAACGAGGACATTCTCATTCAGCCGAATCCTCCTAACAATCTTGTTTTCTGATCCGATCTCTATGTTTGATTTGGCCCGTGTACGGAGATCGTACATCACATAGCTCTGTGCCTCGGCTGACGGATAGATCAATATCCCATCATCAAACGTCCATAGCGGGTCTAGATAGTGAAAGGGCGCTGTTTTCTCCTCAAATTGAAGATGTCGATGCCAAGGTGAAACGGGAAAATATCTCGACCAAGCAGGCAGTAGAAATGACTTCCCCAGAGGCAGCGCTTCGATTTTACTTGGAGTGCCTGATCTGAGGTGATAATACCTCCCAGACACTCTGGAAAAGTCCTGAGCCCAGTTTTGCGAGGTAGACTGGTCGACGCATCGCGACTCTCGTGATCTTGGGAAGTGTTGAAGAAGGAGGTGGCGACTCAGGTCTGATTCGATGAACGCTGCATGGAAAGACTTGGATACCCGGCGGCAGAGTATGAGGTCTAGGGGAGACAGGTATTGCACGATGATGCGAAATATATCGTTTGGTAAAGTGGTGATATCCATGGTGAAAGTTATCTGGGTAAGGGGGACATCATACTGAGACATGTGAGTAGCGAGATGTTCGGAAAAGACGGAAGGTCAACCTCAAAATTCCGGCAGAAAGCTAGGTCCAAAACAAAGGGAATGTGATATAGATAATTACTTGGCAAGAGATAAGACGAGCCGATGTCCAACCGTGGATGCTTACTTGCTAGATGTATGAGGTATCGTCTCAGCAGTAATGTGTGTATATGTATATATATATTGGATGCACATTGCCGGCCAAAATTGCCCGCTAGAAACCGACCTTGAGCAATAGCTATACGCACCGTACTATGATAATTGAAATCATGCTCAAGGCTATTTCCTCGCCTTCAAGATTTCTGCAATAGCCAGCAGACCTTCCTCATCCGACATACACAACTTCTCGATACCACAACTCATCATCAAGTTGTCGACCAACCCTCCTTCTTTCGCGCCAAACTCTTCTACCGACATGCCTGCTCTATCTCTCAGATGCCCATCGTCGGCCCTCTTTACAGTTTGAGCCTTGCCAACCTTCTCGGGGTAGCTTTTCCCTCCATCTGTGGTGTAGCCCACAATCACTTTCCCTAGAGCTGCTCCGACTCCCATCTCATAGGCCGTCCCCACGTCCATGGATGGTCCTCTAAATGGGGTCATATTGGCCAAGATAGCGTCACATGAAGAAATGAGTTCCATGTTGGCCGTTCGGATGGCTGCTGCGTGAGCGATGCTTCCAGGTTCGCTTGTAGAGATCGTGTTATCGAGAGGGAAGAGGCCAGTGAGCCCATACTTCGTGCACTTAACTTTGAGTCGCTCGCCTCGCTCGATGGGTTTGGGCTCGAAGACATCCGGACCAGCGAGGTAAACTCTTGGTGAAGTACTCATTTTTTCATTGATAGGGGATGATACAAACTCGAAGGACTGATATCAGGTGTAGTGAAGTTGCAAGAGGAATTTGATCATTTGACTTGGCTTTTCGAAGATATATCCACGTGATGTTCCGGCCCACGATGCAGCTCGTTCTCTTTGAACCACACACTCTCAATTTTGCGGATGAACGTGATATGCACGTGCAGAATGTACATTGGCGTTCGTCTAGTGTTTCCTCCATAGCCTATTTCGACACCAACCCATCTCAGCACCTACTGAATGTCGAAATTTCAGCTCACCCAACAGGTTTAAGGAGGAAGGCCATACAAATGCTCCGCCCGACCTCAGATTGGAGCTGCGGTGGCCACCAGTCATTCGTGCCTATCTAATACACTATTTCCTCCCAGCTATCATCCAGTCAGCAACTATGACTTCAGTTCCGAGAGACGTTCTTAAATTCCCTCTTGCGAGCAGAGCCTTGCTCGAGTCATATCTCCCTCCAGTGGACCAATCCCAGAATGATGGCCATTCATACCCATTTACGACTGTCACATTCGCAAACTCCCTCGATTCTCAACTCGCCCTCTCTCCAGGCACTCAGACCGTCCTCTCAGGACCCCACTCCAAAGCCATGACACACTACCTTCGTTCGCGCCACGATGCAATTCTCATTGGTGTCGGAACTGCAATCGCAGATAATCCTGGCTTGAATTGTCGCATTGAGGGGGTAGGTGGTTACGGCAGTGAGGGACTTGATGGGCAACCCAGGCCGATTATCATCGATCCCCAGGCGCGTTGGGACTTCACCGAGAAACACAAGATATTCCAACTAGCCAGGGAGGGCAAAGGGAGAGCACCATATATCATCACAACCTTGGCAAGTCCTCCCGCCGAGCAAAGAGCTATCCTGGCGAGGGCTGGAGGGAAGTTCATTACACTTGCACCCGCGCAAGACGTTAATCAAAAGCTGCTGTGGACAGAAATCCTCAAGGCCATAAGTATGGAGGGACTACGGAGCGTTATGATCGAGGGCGGCGCAGCTGTCATCAATTCTCTACTAGTCCCGGAATACTTCTCGGTCATAAGCTCTGTCATTATCACAATTGCTCCCACCTGGCTGGGCGAGGGAGGGGTTGTTGTATCACCTCCTAGGCGGACCGAGGATGGTAAGGCAATTAGTGCGGCAAGACTGAAGCATGTCGAATGGCATCCGTTCGGAGAGGACATTGTTTTGTGCGGTGATTTCAAAGAGTAATGGAAGTGTTGTCGGCAGACGATTTGGTCCCCAGCATCGGCTCGCTATCTTCGCTCTCGAAGATGTGCCTCTATTCAACTTGGTCTGTTCCAAGTCATACCAAGAACTGAATCACCGACATGTCTTGCTGGAACCCAAGAATTGAAAACTTGGCCGAAACGTCATTTGAGATTATGGCTTTTCAGGATGGTATGCAGGCTGCCCATGTCTCCTGGACCCAGTAGGTCTTCCAATACTATATAGTATATATTCCTCAATTTCGGCAACCGTTCAGTGTTTGATCTAGTGGAACTGTGCAAAGCTGAAGCTCTGCTAAGGCCTATATTCTACGTCCTGCAGGCAATATATTCTGCGTTGCTGGCACTCACAGCCAAGCATCATCACAACCACCCCTTTCGTATTCTTTGATTGTATAGTCTTCTCATACACGATGTTCCTTATGCCACATCGATGGCTCCTCAAAGGGAGGTATGGATACCTAGCCCTCTCAAATCCAAGAATTCTTCTCACTGTGGTAGTGAACCCGGATTCCCAGCACCGATTCCTAATTATTTACCCCGAATTTGCAATTACGCCACTCGGAACTCTGATATTTTTCTCAAAGACCGAGTGGACAAATTGACTCGAACAAGGAATCAGGCAGGATGAAACGTGCGGTTGGTCGAACTCTTCTAGACCATCAGAAGTGCCTTGGCAGTTGCAAGCCTTACTAATTATAAACAAACGATATTGAGAATGCGAGCCTGGAGATGTAGTGGAAGCGTCCCCAAGGAAAGCCAGGCCACATCGGCTGCAGACGAGACATATTTGAAAAGATCTAAAGCCCTCCGGAGATATACTTGGGCTACTCCGGTGTATATGTAGACGAAACGGGCGGATGGCTTCCAAAGTCTGTCTGAGCTGTTGGCTATGACTGGTTGGGCCTTGGTTACCAATAATAGGAATTTGGAGGAGAGTCGTTCCCTATGGACTTTCTTTTGTCCTGATTGGCAAATTAATATCTTCTTCTGCCTCATAATGAAATCTCCCCAGATCCAGAAGGCCGAGACTGAATCGAAATTCTGAATGACTTTGACGTTGATCTTACTCAGTCCCCGGGGCTCCCCACCTCCCCAGTCTCCCCCACCTCCCCACATCCCCACCTCCCACCCTTCGAGCTTGTGCCCGGCTTGGCCCAACTTATTCGGCTGAGCCGAAGAGCTACAGCTCTCGACCGCCATCTACCGACGTCAACTGTGACCTTTTCAATGTAGGTTTGCATTCCCTCGCATTGCCCTTTCAACTCTCCAAACCCTTTGAAAATGCGCCGAGTACTCACTCGGAGTGTCTCTGCAGCAGCAGCAGCAGCAGCAGCACGCGCTCAAGGTTCAATCTCAGCTTTCAGAATGGCACCCTCGGCATCTCAAAGCCAGAAGATCGCAGCTCGCCGACTCCACGCCACAGCACAACACCTCAAGCCCGTGGCCGCCTCGGCTTTCAGCGCAGACAACTACCCGACCACGCACGAGAAGATCCAGGATGTGCAGGACACACCCTACTTCATTGACAACAAGTTCGTGAAGTCGGAAACTACGCAGTTCATTGAGTTGCACGACCCCGCAACCAACAACTTAGTTACCAGGGTTCCACAAAGTACTGATGCGGAGCTCAAGGCGGCGGTAAAGAGCGCGCAGAAGGCATTCCCAGGATGGAGGGCGACAAGCGTTATGACAAGGCAGCAGATAATGTTCAAGTTCACTCAGTTGGTGAGGGAGAACTGGGATCGGTTGGCTGCTAGCATTACTTTGGAGCAGGGCAAGACTTTTGCTGGTAGGATCGATTGAACGCGATTTTGGCCCAAAGCTAATTATACGCAGATGCTAAGGGAGATGTCCTTCGTGGACTACAGGTTGCAGAGGGCGCATGCAACATTCCTCAGCAGATGATGGGGGAGGTATTGGAGGTAGCCAAGGATATGGAGACAAGAAGCTACAGAGAACCGTTGGGGGTTGTAGCTGCAATCTGCCCATTTAGTGAGTGGCTAGCTCTGTTTATGCTGAGATTGAGATTACTAAACCATCCTAGACTTCCCTGCTATGATTCCTCTCTGGTCGATCCCGATCGCTACCGCCACCGGAAATTGCCTCATACTCAAGCCCTCAGAGCGTGACCCAGGAGCGGCTATGATCCTCGCCGAACTCGCCGAGAAGGCTGGCATGCCACCCGGAGTCCTGAACATTGTTCACGGTGCTGCCAAGACGGTTGATTTCATCATCGACGAGCCATCTATCAAAGCCATCAGTTTCGTCGGAAGCAACAGGGCTGGAGAATACATCTTCTCCCGTGGATCTGCCAACGGAAAGCGTGTCCAAGCCAACTTGGGTGCCAAGAACCACGCTGCTGTCCTACCGGATGCCAACAAGCAACATGCTCTCAACTCGATTGTTGGCGCTGCTTTCGGCGCCGCTGGTCAGCGCTGCATGGCTCTCAGCACCCTTGTTATGGTTGGCGAGACTAAGGAGTGGCTCCCCGAACTCGCAGAGGGCGCAAAGGCCTTGAAGATCAATGGTGGATTCGAAGCTGGTGCCGACTTGGGACCAGTGATCTCCCCTCAAAGCAAGGAAAGAATTGAGCATCTCATCGCCAGTGCCGAGGAGGAGGGCGCGACTATCTTGCTGGACGGCCGCGGATTGAAACCCGAGAAGTACCCTAATGGCAACTGGGTTGGGCCCACCATCATCACAAACGTCAAGCCACACATGAAGTGCTACACAGAAGAGATCTTCGGCCCAGTTTTGGTCTGTCTCAACGTTGAGTCACTAGAAGAGGCTGTTGACCTGATAAACGCTAACGAGTACGGAAACGGCGTGGCAATCTTCACCAAGTCCGGAGCTACGGCGACCGCGTTCCAGAAGAATATCGAGGCTGGCCAGGTTGGTATCAACGTCCCGATCCCAGTCCCGCTCCCCATGTTCTCCTTCACTGGAAACAAGAAGAGTATCGCGGGCGGTGGAGCGAGTTATTTCTATGGGAAGCCGGGATTGCAGTTCTATACGCAGTTGAAGACGGTGACGAGTTTGTGGAGGAGCGAGGATGCTATCTCCAAGGCGGCGGATGTCGCAATGCCTACGCACAGTTAGACGAGAATGGAGGGTGGAGCGAAATGTAAATAACGATAAAATCGACTGATGATGACTTTGCGCTGTTACATGTCTCAATCCTGGCTGTGGACTTCAGCCAAGGGGTTTGGCACCTGTCTGTGTGTTTAGAGCTGCTGGGGACACAGATTTCAAGTGTCCTTCCGCTGGAGTTCGTCTGTGCATCTCGCTTGTTGAATAAGCGAGTCTGAAAAGGGGGAACATCAGGCCCCAAAAAACGAAGTCGCCGGGTTTTTACTTGGCTCAATCGGAGATGACCATTTAAATCTTTCGATGTTCCTCTGTTCAAGATATGCCGTGAGCACCCTCAACCCCATCCCGCCAGCAGCCGCTCTGATCGTTAAACCATACTTTATCTAAAGAACTGCTTCAATTGAAGCCTCAGCCTGTTGTCACATATATCATACATCTCAGTCGTCGCCAATTTTCACTCAGCCCCTCGAAAAGAATCTCCCAATCATGCCACTCGCAAGACTACTCGCGATACCACCTGAGGACATAGCACTACCCGCCATATTCGACGCCTGACCGAACTTATCGCACCTGGAGAACGCAAGCGTGTTCGTGACTGTCAGACTCAGCGCAATGCCTGCCGAACCCAATTAGTCTAACTCGGTCCCCTCTCATTGCGAGATCACCCCTCGAGAGCTCCAGGAAAACATACCAACCAAGGTCAACCAAATAAACTCGAAGCTGAATATAGCCACGAACGCCAGGCCCACCCACAGCAGCGGCTGGCTGTATAGCGCAATCCAGAAAAAGCGGCTGTCTGTCGCGTTGATGACTTTGACGCTGGGATCCGAGGACTCAAACACCCAGTGCGAGTCCCCGGACTGTGGATTGACCTCGTTCCACCAGCGGAGCCCGACGAGGCGGCGGCCGGCGATGTTCTTGAGGTAGTAGAAATCGGCGGCGAGGAGGAGGACGGTGATGATGAAGATCAGGACGCTATAGACAGCATGTCAGCTAGGGTCATTTATTTCAGAGTGCATGTTTTTAGACTGGCGGCCACCGGGATCAAGTCGCACCACTACCAATGCAGTTCGCGCATCCGAGATAGAGAAATGGACGTACAAGTTCTGTGTGAAGAGCAGCCCGAACAGGTATACCAATAAACTCGCTGTATTCCAATCCCGTCAGCTTTGATGCTCCTTCGCCTTATGCCTTCCCTTCCTCCAACACAGGCCACATCTCACAACACTCACAGATGCGGAAACCAAGGAAACACAGCAGAGTAATCGGGTGCGAGCTAAGTCTCCAGCTCAGAGAGCCCTGCGGTTGTGTCTCTTCCATTGTCTGGTTCGTCGTGGTGGTGTTGGAAGCCAGGAACTAGTGTACAGCAGAGAGGCTTGCGCTTGCGAAGTCCAGGTGTTCGAAGCTACGCAGGGCAGCTTGACCCCCGTCCCACCAACAGATCTGCAAGGCTGAGGACTAGCCTTCTGTGCCGAGCCTACTCCCAGGAACCGGGGCGTTACCGAAAGTCAACAGCAGCAACAGCAACTCCCTTTACGCACTTCACTTCGCCGTCTTTATCTTTTCCACATTTAAGTTTATTGTTTTGATGATACCCCGTTGACCAATCGATTGGTTGTAATATGTCTGCGTCTACTATTCTCCGCAGGGCTCTTCTCTATGGTACTAAACTCCCCTCTCCGGATCCCCTCCTCTATACACTCCCCTGGACAACCTCCAATCCGACTAACACCTCCCCCAACAGTCCCAGCATCCTCTCCAAAGTTCCTCCAGAAATCTCTCACGCTACCCCCTCTTGACACAATCTCCTACGACCTAGAAGACAGCGTAACCCCCTCCCAGAAACCCATCGCCCGCAAATCCCTCCTCTCCTTCCTCTCCTCCCCCACAAGACCCAGCAACATAACCGAGCTCTCAGTCCGCATCAATGCCGTCTCCTCCGGCCTCGCCCTCGCAGACCTCACCTCCATCCTGCAAGCGACCCACCTCGACGCCGTCGTCGTGCCCAAGGTCAACCGCGCCTCGGACCTGCACTTCATCACCGACGTCCTGCGGCACCAGCTGCCCTCCCGCCACAGCGGCGTCCCCTCCGCCGCCACCCCCGTAAAGCTCATCGCCCTGATCGAGAGCGCAGAGGCCGTCATGAATCTCCCCGAGATCTGCAAATCCTCGCCCTACCTCTCCGGTCTCGTCTTCGCAGCCGAGGACTTCGCCCTCGACCTCTCGCTGACCCGCACCCCCTCGCTCACCGAGTTCCTCTATGCCCGCAGCGCCATCTCGACTGCGGCCCGCGCCTTTAACCTCCCCTCCACTATCGACCTCGTCTGCACTTCTTTCCGTGGCCCCCAAGGTCTGAAGACGCTGGAGGAAGAGTGTGAGCAGGGGAGAGGCATGGGCTTTAATGGGAAGCAGTGTATACACCCGAGTCAGGTGGGGGTGGTACAGAAGGCCTTTGCGCCGGCGGAGACGGAGGTGGAGTGGGCGGTGAGGGTGCTGGTTGCAGATGAGAAGGCAGATGCAGAAGGTAGGGGGGCTTGGACGCTGGATGGGACGATGATCGATGTGCCCGTCGTGGGGAAGGCGAGGGCGGTTGTGGCGAGGGCGGAGAGGTGTGGGTTTGATTTGGGCGAGATGAGGGAGAAGTGGAAGGGGCAGGAGCCGGAATAGGTGCAGTGAGAAAAGAGGGTGGTCGTTTGTCGTTAGGCCAGGACGAGATGGAATTCTGCCTGTAAAACGAGATTCTCGAATCATGAATATCACGTATTAGGATAGTCAGAGCTTAAAGTATGCCAGATTATAAGTTATGCAACTGAATGGGCTATCTGAAGAATGCATAATAAACTAAACTGTTGGTTGAGGTAACTCAAAATATAACCTCGCTTAGGAATTTTGATCAATATTGACGACGAGGCTGCCAAAAGCCAGTGCCAGGAGCTTCTGGCTGTGTTCCATAACCCCTATAATTACTAGCGTAGTACATCTGGTTGTTGGTATCATTCACTCCTTGTTCTGCGTAGAATACTTCTGCCCCTGGGCCGTTCCCATATGGCCCTTGATCCTCAAATAAGCCATGGCCAGCAAATCCTCCATCAGAACCCTGCGACTGTGTACCCCAGGCTCCAAACTGGTCAGAGTGCTCAGCATCCGCATGGTAGTCCCCAAGGTCGATATTCTCGTAAGATTGGTACGCCGTAGGATCGTGATCCAAAGGACTGTCCCCGTTGGGCTCTAAGTACTGCTGATCTTGATCCTGGCGATCTTCAACAGAAGGATCTATCATGGTATCCATGGGGGCCTCGAATCTCTCGGTCAGTCGAGAAGTTGGTTCATCACAATGAGTGAGATCACTGAGCCCATGCTGTCGTTCCATCTGTTGAACGTAGAGTGACTCTACCTCGAGAATGGGTGACAGGTGCCTGGGCCGAAAAGACGCTGTTGCATGGATGTCGTTGAGCCAAGACTTCCTACGATGCACTGGATTGTCTCCTTCTTGGACACTTCCCGAGGCCATCTGTCCTACGGGCTGGGGACTTAGGTGTGTATGTGATTGCAGAAGTCCATAAGAACGTCGTCCGTCATCAAATATTGCACGACTATTTCCCCCCGAAAGTATATCATCGGGTAGTCGTTCTGGCTGTTTGTTTTCGACAAGATGCCCCGTTGACTGTTCATCACCAGTGCCTTGTGCAACTGGAACACATAGACCTGGCGCGTCCTTAGTGGACATGACGTGGGCTCCATTAGAAATCGTCCTGCTAATTGCATCTTCTGGTTGGTCTTCGGTGATCCGACCATCAGTATTCGAAACGAAGTTCGATCCGCTACTACTCCAAATCTTAAGTCCAATGAGCTTTTCCTCCTGGCTTTCTGTGCCACCAACGATAGGCATACCCGTTGATATTGGCTTTGGAAGCTTGATACGGGCGTGCTTCGCCGTCTCATCTCGGCTAACGGGAGTTGGCTCGGATTTATGGGGCGTCGCCTTTCTCATTGCTGCGGCAGAGGTTTGTTGACTGCGACTGATGGAATTTGGATCCTCAAGCCATCCTAATCGCGGATCGAAGTGCTCGACAATAACACGTTGCCGACTCGTTGCCGTCTGGTCCGTCATTTCGTTCCAGTCACGCGAAAGGTGTTCCTCTGGCTGGTCTTGATATTCACCTCTATATCTGGGAAGAAATAGATCCTCTTGACTGTGGAGGCCGGCTTCAGACCTGTCTATTCCAGTCTCTGATGGAACAGTTGTTTTAGAAGCATTGGTACCACTACATTCGGCCAGACTCTTTGGTCCCTGGGCTGGGTCTCTTGATTGCGGGTTTTGAAACATACCAGAGGGAGGATGTGGCTCTGTGTGTCTTGCACCAGAGGTTCTCTGTATACCAGTGTCTTTGAAAATTCCGGTATTTTCAATAGACCTCCGCATTGAATCAGGGGTAGGACTTGCAGGTACGTGGTCAACAATACTTCGACCTGATGTGAGAGCCGGAGAATACCGGCTCTCCGACCATGATACGTACGTCGTAGCTTTACTGCTCGTGGATTCAGGAGGTTTCATCGAGTGACTGATAGCTGGTGGATGAATTATGGGTCCATAGTCTCCTTCCGAGGATGGGCCTGGTCGTCCGGAACTCTCCATCGGCTCAAATGGGATATCAGATGAATCAGAGCGGATGTAGCTCTTTATGCCTCGCTCTGGATCTAATTGTTTGTTGTATATGGAATGATCGTTCTTGATTTCGAGTGAGGACAGACCAACTTGATTCGACGAAATCTCCTGAAGTGGGATCCGATTTGGCCTGAAGAATGTGGATATTTCTTCCTGTGCTCTGGTGACATGTCGTTTCTCTTTCTCCCGTGATTTTGACTTGAACTTGGTGTCTTTCTCGGAAGGCCCCTTCTCAAGCGAACGTTGCAGGAATGCCATCTCAGAAAAGGCGAGATCAGGCACTGCAGATCATTAGCGGTGAGTTTTCATCAACGTTGCTCTTCTTACACCCTCGACGCTTTGCTGGAGATGAGGCTCGGCCGTTGTTATATAGGCCTGGACCGTGGGAAGGACGCATCTTGGCATGTCAGCAATATCTCGAGCTGATGCCTCTAATGAACTCACTGTCAGCCTCTCCTGGCCAATTCTGTTCGAGCTAAAATTCTGCATCAAATCCTCGCCTGCTCTCTTGGCAGCCTTTCTGCGATCTCCCTTCTTCTCACGCTTCTTCGTCGTTGCCTTGTTCTCGTCATTCTTCCTGGATCGCTTTTCTTTCTTTGGCTCATATCGGTCTTCACGTGTCTTATAGCGCGGCCTCTTCTCGAAGGTCTCTCTAGGTGCAATTAGCGAGGCAGCCTGAATGGAGACTCCCGAATCTGACGAGTCAATTCTCTGTTTCTTTCGAGGAGTGGGAGGACTAGGGTCATTCCTCTTCAAGTGATGCGACTTAGGTCGGACTGTAACTTCCAGAAGCGAGCTATCTGAAGACGAGTTGTGCCTCCTTTTGCCTCGACTCGGTCCAAGGACGTCTTGCGGTATATGAGCGGCAACGCCAGGGCCAAAGTCTGCCTGTGCTAGTCTGTCCTTGTCTTGGTCTGAGCAGTAGAATAAGCAGACTGGTAGGCTTCTAGAGGCTGTGGGTGTTTGGATACTTACTGGAGGTGGCTTGCCGAGCTGCGTTGCTAATTTCAATCTGTGCAAGCCATCTTCGAATGTAGTCATCATCTCCACTCAACGGTCTCTCGAGAGTCTTCTTGGGCATCGTTTTCGGCAGTGCAATTCCATGTTCATGAGGTTAGATTACAGAACTGATGAGCAGTAAAGGCTCGGGCTTTTGAGGAGGACCAGAGGAAAAGTTGACGAAGGACTTCCATCGATCATTTTTCGTGCAGGTAGCAGATGCGGAAGTCACGACAGGCACTTGCATGTACGCGACTTCCATATAAGGCAGGCCCGGCCCCATCCCGCAAGCAAATTACCTAAGCTACTCCGTACAAAGATCAAGATCAGAACAGCAGTGTAGACCGAGGGCTGCACACGTGACACGGCTGTGGAGAGTTGCGCTGGCAGATCGTCCAGTCCAGGACAGTTGAACCGTGGTAAGGGAGCCGGTGAATCAATCGCATTTGCATCTGCGACCTGCCAAGTTTTAACGTGGTGAGAGCTTTATATCACATGATGTAGTAAGCAACCGAGCCGAGAGGAGCGCGGAGGTTTTCAGTCAAGCGCGGTCTGACTTTGCAGGACAAGGCCCGGACAAGGTTGGGAGCGAGCGGCACGGCTCTTTGTGCTCTGCCCACTCCGGGTAACCCGAATTGAAGCGAACTGAAGGTGGCATTGCAGTGGTGCCGCTATACTATTTGTTTTTGTGTATGAAGTAGGTATCTATCCATTTATCTACTTAGACTAGATCCAGACTACCGAGATCTAGATATCGATATTGACTTGCTGCGGGCTAATGTCGGACTAGCGAGTCGAGTCTTATCGATAAGACGGGTCAGGGTCAGGCAGGGACCACGTCCCCACCTACCCTGAGAAATGGAACCCTGAATTTGACCGTACGGAGTATACCAGTACGAAAAGCGAACAGGTGCAGCAAAGCAAGGGCAGAGGGAAAAGAAAGAAAAAGCAGAATGCCAACCAAATACCTACCTATGCAGGTATGGATTCACCTTGCTTGCAGTGCTTGTGGTGCTTGCAGTAGTCAGAGTTGCATTTTGCATTTGCTTGCTAATGCCTGATCTCATCTAGCCGCATATGTATGAAAGCCTGGTGTGATAGCTGCCTTGCCTTGCCTTGCCTTGCCTCCCATTCCCTTCTCTTCCCTTCTCTTCCCTTGCCTTCTCCTCCCGTCTCTTTTCTTCTCTTCTCTTTGCTTCCCCAAAGTCCTCCGTGTGATGACGGACATGCTATGCGAATGTGCGAATGTTTGACTACCCCATTGGAGCTTTCAAAGATGCTTTCAAACGCAGTCATCCCAGATGTGGAGCTTTGCAGCTGTATATGGCCGTATCCCCAGGGTCTGTCGGCTTCCGTACATCCTTACATCCTGAGTCGCTACACGCTGGGTGCTGGGTGCTGGGTATGGAATGTGCATGAGGCCGGCTTTTTCTTGTCCGTCGGATGGTCGAATGCCAGATCTGCACCCTTGCAACTCCTGCAACTCCTGCAACTCCTGCAGACTTGCTTTGCCTAGATAAGTACCAAGCCATATCGTACGTACTCTGTAGTTGCAGGCATACGGAGAGTAGGCATCCAACCTATTACCTGTTACCTGTCCCATGGCAAGAGGGGCGAGGGCATGTGTGCTTTACGCGGCGTGAAAGGCGCAAAGACGAGACCAAGGCCAATGCCAAGGGCAAGGAGGTCGGCGGTTGGAGGAAGAACCTTGTCCCCGCGAATTTGGAGCCCACCCCTTCTCACCTCACCTCACCCCACCTGCCTGGACCTGGACCTGGACCTGGACCTGGACCTGAACCTGGACCTGCTTTCTTTGAAGATTCGTTCGTTCTTTTGTTCGTTTGTTCGTTCGTTCGTTCGTTCGGTCGTTCGGTCGTTCGGTCCCGTTCGTTGGTAAGCGCATCTCAATAACCCTTCCAAGTTGTCATCGTAATCGTAATCGTAGTCGTAATCCAATCAATCACTTCGGCTTGTTTTGAACTCGATTGCGTTCACTTCACCTTTAAGCTGCGGTGCACATCAAATGAATGAGGGAAATGATTGGAAGAACTGAAAGAAGGAAAGACTGAATGAAAGAAGAAAAGACTGAAGGAAAGAAAGAAAGAAAGAAAGAACTTGATAAATTAATATCAACTGGGTGAACTCAGACATAGGATAGAGGAATGAGGAATAGTCGGCAAACAGGGTGAATTGAGAAAAGAGCTGCCTGCGGCCTGCCCCTCTTCTCGCCGCTAGCGCGCTTTGAGCACGGCGCAGAGCCTTCATAAGAAACCCCGCTACTGCACGTTCTTGCTTTCTTCTTTACCTCCGACCCCATCCCCGACCAACCTTTCTCTTCCCAACACAACAACAACATTTGAAGATCCTTTTTCTTGCAATCCATCGGCTCCTTCCTACTTCAACTCTACTCAATTTCTCCCTCTCTTTCGACGACGGCAATCAAACAACATCGTCGTCCAATCGACCAACATCATAATAACAACCGACAACACCCTCAAGTTCGTCTGATTCCCTGCTTGCCTACGCTGACCTTCCTACTCACCCTCATTCCTCCTCGATCCCATCACCTCACCTTCCATGTCATACACATCACAGCTCCTTCTCTCCTCCGCTCAGCGGAGGCCCTGTTCTGCCTCGATGTACTTTCTTTGCGTGATCCGCGATCTGTCCGTTTCAGTCCCTTCAGCACCACTACTACTACGATCAGGCGCTCTGTTGTGTCTGGACGCGCGTGGAAATTGAGACTTTGATTCAGGTTCCCCAGCCACATCTTTCAAGATGTCTAAGCTCTTTATCGGGTAAGTTCGCATTTGCACTCTCTTGCCTTCACTCGACAAAAGCTAACCGTGAAATCAGTGGCCTTGCGTGGCACACAGATGAGAATGCGCTCCGTCAGAAGTTCGAGGAGTTCGGTGCCGTCGAGGAGGCCGTAAGTTACTCTGGCGCCTGATGGGCGCTTCACCTCAGCTTTCGACACAGCTAATTTGAGTGCAATAGGTCGTCGTCAAGGACCGTGATACTGGTCGCTCCCGAGGCTTCGGATTCGTTCGCTATGGATCCGAAGCTGATGCCGAGGCTGCTATTACTGCCATGAACAACATCGAGTGGGTACAAATATATCTCGCGTGATGCGCCAGGGCTGATTCTATAAGGTTCGATGGCCGCACCATCCGAGTCGATAAGGCCAGCGAGCGTGGCTCAGGCGGCGGTGGTGGTGGCGGTGGATTTGGAGGTGGCCGTGGAGGTATTTGAACCATTGATCCTGGCTCTAACCGATACTGATACTCAATAGGCGGTGGCGGCTACGGACGTGGCGGTGGTGGATACGGTGGTGGTAAGCTCCCCTCATTTCGGATATTCTCCCGTCTCTTCACAATAAGTTTTTACCACACCTCATCCTAAGTCTTATGGCTGCCTCTCTGGATTGTGATGTCCAGACAGGCTTCCTTAGAGCCCGCCAACATCTCGTAATCCATATGGATGCCCGTTCTTCATCAGTTGTTTCAAGGCTGACATGCATTCCAGGCGGTGGCGGTTACGGTGATCGTCAACAAGGTGGTGGTGGATATGGCGGCCAGGGTGGATACGGAGGTGGTCAGGGTGGATACGGTGGCGGTGGTGAGTGACTTGCGGTCGATTTCGCCATCGACAAAAAGCTCAAGCAAGCATTTGCTGACTATCAGATAAAGGATATGGCGGCGGTGGCAACCAATCTGGATACGGAGGTGGCGACCAGGGTGGACAAGGTGGCGGCCGATGGTATGATATGATCCCCAGCATCCCGTGAGAAGCTGTATCTGACCTTGAGGACAGGTAATAAGTGTGCCCGGGTATGGCATTCTCTCAGACCTTTGCTTGCGTCGTCGGAACGATATGAGAACAAGAAAAGTCAGCTGGTGCAGCGAAAGTTAATTGTGTGGTGCGGCTTGAGCAACATCTTTGGATGGAACTCTTTTGGTCAGCCTGTGCGGTCTATGGATGCGGAATCTGGCGAGCTTAACGCTCTGCTTGGCGTTTGGGGGGATCTTACTACCTTGCTTGTCACACACAATTTCACGCACTGGTATCGTCGACCGATCATTTTGATCAAGGTCATTTTCTGAAAGACTGCACTTAATGCAGGTCTATGTCTATCGCGAGTTTTTTTTTTCCCGGTTTGGGAATTGAAAAGGCTTCTCCAAAACTACTTGCCCGTCTCCTGTTGCTCATCTGTGCTGCCAGCCACTCTTCTGAGGTTCATGATCCACGGCCTTGATCGTGGCCTAACTGCTGTCGACACGCTGCATGAGCTCTCTGACTCTTAGTGCCAGATCTTTGATATGCTCATCTCTACTCTCCGCACTCAAAGTATTCAGAGCAGTATCAAGGCTTAGAAGGTAGTCTCTATTCAGTCCACTTGGACCGACGCTCCTGTGGATGTGCTCAGCTAACCGCTGTGGATCTTGCGGTCCCATGAACTGGTCATTATCGGGGGTTCCAATGTATACCAACGTCCTGATGGTAGCGGAGCCGTCGGATGGGTGGAACGGCGTATAGTGGATCGTGTATCCGTTGATCTCCCTGATGTCGAGGTACTCTCGCACTTCGGCTTCCTTGCCGGCTTGTATGCGATATGCGGTGCCCCAGACCTTGTCGGATCCGGAATGGGGGTCGTCGAGAGTCTCCCAGAACGAGCGCTCAATCAATGTTACGACTCGACCTGGCGCTTCAGGCGTGCCTCGATGGTCTTCACTTGCCAGTGTGTCAGCGACTACAGCGTTCAAAGCAGCCGCTCGGACGGAGACTTACCTGGCCTGGATAACCCATGAGTCTTTCTATCCTACCTTACGCGAGTATGTATAGCCACCATCAACGGAGCTACCACATACCTGCCAGAACCTCCTCACATATCCCGTCACCCAGCCCGGCACACGGCGGTCTGCTCTGGTGTGAGCAATGGTGCCTTGACGCGAGGTGGCTCAGCGGCTCTCACCGAAATGCGGAGGGGGCTTCCAGATCAAGCTTCTGGAAACATGTCTGTCAACGCCTGCATTTCCATCATGACAGGGTCTGTGGGGAAAAGGGCCTACCCGTAGCCAAACAGCCAAAATTCCGAATCCAATACCTCTGCTTCAGATGGCATGGTGAAACTGGGAAAAGTAAGGGAGATAATGGGGGTACGGTAGGTAGTGGAGTGTGTGTTGTCAGTTCGTGGACCTGTTCGATGAGAGTTGAGTGGTCTGTAATCTTGGCAGCAGATACCTAGATGCCAACATGGCGCAGGACATTTCTTGGTAGGTGTTTACTGTACTTGCATACTACTTGAAGTGTACCGAGGTAGCAACCATTTTTAAACAACTATTATTAAATTCTCCACATGATGTGCCAGAACCTGGATCTGCCCTACCCTGCCCTGCGCATACTCATCGTATCAGATACCGCTGGACAACAATTAGACTGCGTAATACGACGTACTCGCTCTCTGCGCCGCACGGTCTACTCTGTATAGTACAACCACCCTGCCAGAGACAGGAAAGGCCGAGAGGTTGATTAGGTATCCTTTGCAACAACCACCTACCTATACCTATTTCCTGCCAGCCAACACTTCACTTCACCCCGCCGATTATCAGGTTACAATTCACACGTCCCAATCTCATTTCTCACCAAAGAGAAGCTCAAGATGGCCTACAATCGCGCCTTCAACCCGGACTCACTTCCAGCGTAAGTCCTGCTGCGCCCCCGTTACTAGACTTGGACTGATCGCTATTCGCAGATTCGCAGAGCCTGAGAGGGTAGGTACATTGACAATCACCCCGCCGAGAAAACAGTCAGAGGGCTACGTAGCTAATCAGGGCACAGAAAGGGAGCAGTTCAACCACCCCACACACCCAAGCGCAACAACCCCATCCCACCTCATACGCAGCCCTCCAGAAGCAGCAGCAACAACAACAACAACAACACGCACATTACTCGAAGCCAGCCCCTCCTATTCCCGCAGGACATCAACGACGACAGTCTTCAGGCATGCAACCCGCAAACCACGGCTCGTATGGGCCCCCTCCTCCTAAGCAAAGCTACGGCTATAATTCTCCTCCACCAAGCACAAACTACGGAGGACGACCACCTCCAGTCCAAAACAAGCCTCCCCCGATGTCGCGACCTCCACCTACCCCCGCGCCTGCCAACGGCGCCGATCCAGCTCTGTGGCCTCTCTTTAAAGCCGTTGACAAAGATGGTACATTCCCCTCTAACCTCCTCTCCCTCGAGGATCAATCTGATAGCTTTGCACAGGTACTGGCCACCTAACCGAGAGAGAGCTGCGCTCGGCGCTCGTTAATGGCGACTGGACCTCCTTCGACCCTTACACGGTCAAGATGATGATTCGGATGTTCGACACTAACCGCTCAGGCTCGATCGGCTTCGAGGAGTTCTGCGGCCTCTGGGGCTTCCTAGCTGCGTGGCGGTCCCTCTTCGATCGCTTCGACGCCGATAGAAGCGGAAACATCAGTTTGAGGGAGTACACGGATGCGCTCGTTGCGTTTGGATACAGACTCAGTCCGCAGTTCGTCGAAGTCTTGTTCCGGACTTTTGATAAAAATCGTCAGGGAGCCATCAGTTTCGATCTCTTCGTGCAGAGCTGTATCAGCTTGAAGAGGATGACAGACGTGTTCAAGAAGTATGACGATGATAGGGATGGTTACATTACTCTGTCTTTGTAAGTTCTGTCATTTAGACTTCGGGGGAGATGCCACTGACTGTGTTTAGCGAGGACTTCTTGACCGAAATCATCAAGCAAAGATAGGTTGGTCTCTTTTGCTTTGATGCTTAATTTTGCATGGATCTTTCTTGACTTGCGACGTCTTTCTCACCATAAAGGCGTCGATGACCTGGGAAATATCCATAGACACAATACGATACCCATATCCTTCAAGTGCATGTTCATTTTGAGTTTATTAGAATGTCTGATTTGTTCGTTCACTTTACAGGGGGGCTGGATTTCTCTAGTGATATAAAATCCACCGCCAAGAGATTCTGCCTGGATGAGTTGACATGATTCAATAATCGGTGACTTGTCAAATATTCCAATATTGTTGCGCTCCATAACACCGAATAACGCATCGTTATCTTCCATGTAAACGATGTTAGTCGAAGAGGCACATCCGAGCTACCAGATGAAGCATTCAGCCCTAGCGAGCATTCTTCGAATCTCTGCTTCGTGGATCGCATCAAGCGATCATTTCTCCAGTCCGGATGGGTTGTTCGTCCAAAGGCCCCAGACGAGTCACTGATGATCCCCACCACACACATATCATTTCTTTCTCCTAAACTCCTCCAAGTAAGCCAGCCAGCCATCTTACTCCCAACCGTGTCGCATACCTGCAAGTCGAGCGACGGTTGGGATGTGCGTTGCCGAGCAATTGCCATCTCAGCTCAGCTCATGAGGGCCCGAAGAAACCCTTTTAAGGCATCTGCCTATATTCCATGAGCAGCACCCAGCAGCTAAATGGGCTCTTACCAATGATATGCCAGAAGAAACATCTCATACATTCTGTTTCCCGCAATGGGAAGCTCTTCATCTGTTGCTGAGATGAGGCGCCAAGTGGCCCCGGGAGCTGAAATGTAATGTCTGCACCACCACCCGATGTAGCTGGCTGTGCATACCAGGATACCAGGAGAGTATATATGACATCTCCCTCCTGCTCCTATACTTCCCCAACACCCTCTTGGTGTCTGGTCTACTAATGGAGGGATATCTGCTGTCCAAGAAAGAATTGTGTTGCAATTTCTCAAGCGGTCTCCGTTACTTCTTCGCTTCATCTCGCTTCGCCTCGTCTTCATCATGGCATCCCTCTCGCATTCCAAACTCCTCGAGACACTTCTCCCTACACCACCGCGGGAGAACCTCAACACGCACCTCGTCCTCGGTGGAATCACCGACCAGATCAATCTGCACTATTCATGCATCAATCCCGCTACTAAGAATAAATAAGAAAAACATAGGTAGGTACACGCAAACAAGGACTTTCGCCATTCCGGTGGGTCGAAGCGTTTCCAACACCCCCAGATTTAAAGATCAAAAAAATTAAAAACGCTTTTTTTTTTGGGGGGGGGGGGGGAGGGGGTCCTGCACCACAATTCTTTATCTACTTGTACGTACGTAGTACATTCGACAGCTTGAAACCTTCCCTTCAACCATAAGCTCTAAAAAGGTAATATAAATAAAAAAATAAAACATGATCAACATAAACCCTTTCCAGAGTATCAAGAAATAGCCTACGACGGCTATGACACGATCTTAAATCTCCCATCAGGATCTAATCAGAGCTGATCAGAGCATATAATAGAAAAGAAGACCCGTCTCTCGCTCACCTTGAAAAGAAGTCCTTCTTTTTTTTTAAAAAAAGAAAGGCCGAAAGAGAGAGAAGGCAGAGCGATTTGAGCTTCTCATCTTTTGCATCTAGCTAGCTACCTAGCTGTGTCTCTTGGACAGATTTAGATTTTGAAATTTTGAGATTTGACGGGGGGGGATTTCTAAAATCAAGAACTACCGGTACTCCCTCGAAGGATGGGAGTGATAAATACCGGGCTGATAGTGAATTATATATATACATATATACATCGAATTAAATGTTGTTGTTGTTGTTGTTATTGTATTTATTAACGTCGGGCGGGTATCCAAAACGCAATGCTTGGACCCTAAAGACCTCTTATAAAGTACGGCGACGTGCTAAGTAGAGGAATTATATACAAAGTACTATCTAATCGAGAGTAAAAACTACGTTAAGGAAAACCTCTCGTCAAATAGCTGAACACTTATAAGCCCTTTAAAAGCAATTTATAGTGCTATGCGTCGAGTTTTCTTTCGACAACTATCGAATACGTATAGTTCTACGAGCGGCCTCGATCCGTATAGTACAAAACATCGTTCTCTTTCGTCGTAGAGCTAAAAAAGCTCGCGTTCGTAGTAGCCCTTGGATAGAGCCGGTGTATTTGTAGAACGCTTTTTCGAAAGCGCAATACCGTGTTTTCAATTAATCGAACTAAGCCTTTCCCATCCTATCTCTTATACACGTTCCCTTTTTATCGCAAATCCTTTTGGTCTTTTAATCGGTAGGCCCGGTAGGTATAGATCGTAGTCGGCGTGGTATTCGAGAAGAAGAAGGAGGGAGGTTCGGAATCGCCGGTAAAGGGGAATCTTCCAAGAGACGTCGCATGTCGATGATTTAATTTCGGCTCTCCAGACTCTTTATCTCTCTTTCTACCGCAGGAGAAAGAAAGAAAAAGAGCTGAAGGTTCGTAAGGGGCACCTCGTACAGGTAAAGAATCGTAGCCCCCCTTGGTCTTATGCATGATGAGCAGTTTCATCACCTAACTTGACTTAAGCTAGTACCGCTACTTACTTACTTACTGTAGCTAGCTATTCGATTCCGTAGTGAGCCTAATCCAGCCCAACCTAAGCCAATCCAACCGGTCGTCTGTGATTCTGCTGCGTCTCTACTGGGACTGGGGTGGGGAAAGGAGCCCGTGATTCACAGGGTCGCGTGGGTGAAAAGATGGATGGGACGAACCTCTCTCTGGACGTGGTGGCCTCTGTAGGAAGAAAGAAAGAGGTTTTTGAAGTTCAGCGGCCAGTGGCCAGTGGCCAGTTGCGCACGGAGTGATTGTACGACTACCTACGTGGCGGAGGAGGAGGAGGAGGAGCGAGCCACCGCGCCCGACTTCCATGACACACTTATTACCAGTCCGCGGATGGAAATCTGGTTCACTCGATGAAATGTCGATAATCATTACTAAAAAAAACAAAGATACATCGCATACATCACTATCGTATCATCATGCCTTTGAAGAGTCCGTGAATCCATAATCAAAAGAGGGGAAGGGGGCGAAAAACCACAACTGCCATATTCTCGCCGCTCGCGTTGCATTTCCTATAATATCACAGGCGTCACATCTCCAACATCCTCAATCATGAAACATCTTGGTGGAAATTTTTGGGGGTATCAAATCCGTCTGCCGGATTCTATTGCAAGACCCAATCCGATATCGTTGATATCCCTCAAGGATCTTCACTTTCCTGTCCTCATATACACAAGCTGGTCCCTTCCAAGAAGACACTGGAGATTCTCACCGTCTGTAGAAGTTCATCCAAGAATGCGAGGATTTACTCAAAGTTATGGATAGAGCCCCAGCTCTGCTCGCAGTTGAACGCACCCGGCGCCTTCCAGAGGTCATCGACGTAGGAGAACATGACGGACCTGCCACCACAGGCAGCGGAGATACCCTTGATGGCAGTAGCTTGCTCAGAGACACCTGGGCAGGCCTTTCCGTTGCAGGATCCGCTGGATGGCCATCCGGTCTCGAGGTTGACTCCGTACTTGCCAGGGCAAATTTCGTCGACAATCTTGAGTTGCGATGCAGTAAACTCTCCAGCGGAGCCAGCATCGACCTCTGGGTTGAAGAATGGGTGAATGTTGCAGCCAACAACGTCCACGGTGGGGCAGAGACTAGCGGCATTCTTTTGCCAAACATCGAGGGTCTCGGTGGTAGTGATGGGTCCAGTGTATCCTCCAGGACCCATGGCTGCCTTACAGCTCAAGATGAAGGCAGCAAGCTCGGCAGCAGAGCAGTGTCCGTTGAAGATGGCTTCGTTACCAACGACGATAAGCTCAACAAGATTCCACTTACCCCAGCTGACAATGTCGGTGAGTTGCTCGGCGGCTCCCGAGATTCCGGTGCTACTGATAAAGATTCCAAGGATCATTTTGATTCCGTTGGCCTCGCAAGCGGCTCCGATGTTCTCAAGACCGGAGCAGTCAGAGCTGTAGACACGAACGGTGGTGAAACCAGCCTTGGCAATGGTAGCGATATCACTGGAGACGGAGGCGGCATTCTTGCACTCTCCGTTGTTCTGGTATGGCGAATAGGTCATGGCCCATTGGTTTCCAGAGGTTCCGAGTCCGCCAGGGTTCGGAGAGGCAGTAGGGGTGCTCTTGGCAGGAGAAGAGCTGGGGGTTGGCTTGACAACTGGAGGCGCAACGTAGGTCGAGACTGGGACTGGAGCCTCGGAGGTTGAGGGCTTGACAATAACTGGGGGCGCAACGTAGGTGTAGACTGGGACCGGAGCCTCGGGAGTTGAGGGCTTGACGATAACTGGGGGCGCAACGTAGGTCGGGACTGGGACCGGAGCCTCGGGAGTTGAGGGCTTGATGATAACTGGGGGCGCAACGTAGGTCGGGACTGGGACCGGAGCCTCGGAGGAGGTGTACGGGCAAAATACAACAACATTAGTCTCCGTGATAGTAGTTACTACCTCTGACTGTACATAGGTTCCTGGATTGTATACAGCTGGAGTCGGGTAAACCCAGACAATCGGGGTTGGAACTGAAGTAGTGAAGGGGGCAATGGTATAAGTTCCAGCGCTTGGGCAGACGTAAGTGGTAGTCGAAATGGTGCTCGTAACAACACCGCCGGAATTAGTTTCAACTGTCGCATATGGACAGACGACCTGAAAGAACAGAAAGTCAGCAAAAGATTTCTTCAATATATTTGCTTTGATAAAAAGCTTCTCCCGACAAGTTATTGCCCCAGTATGTCAGTGAACTTGGAGCACCTTTACAGCTCCTACTAAGATTTTGAAAAGTAATCGGTTTGGTTTCAGGACGATATCAGAAGGAGTCAAGCTCTCTAGCGAAATGTCTACCCAGTATCCGACGTGAAGGAAGTGGCGAATGCCAGAGCGACTTACAGTTGTATTAGTCTTGACAATCGTAGTAACACCCCCAGCAGTATGGTTGCCGGCTGGGATACGAGTCGAGGTAGCGTCGCAGACAGTCGTCGACTCATTCAGAGTGACGGTCGTAGCTGGAATAGTGTAAACACCTGGGGTGGGGCATATCGTCGCCATAGGGGTTGGGACGACTGGAGAAGGATACTCCGTCGAAACATGGACCTTTGAATTGTTTGGGAGGGTAGCGGTGGCCGGATGTGGAGAAGGAGCTACGCTCGACGTCGAATTGATAGCGTAGATGGTGGGGGCTGGAGGAAAGTAGACTGGAAATAAGTGTAAGTGCATTTTCTGAATCTTTCCCGGGTTATATCGACATACGGACACCCTCTCCCGTGAAGGTCGAGTAGATGGTAGTGCATCCGCACGTCTCCTCAGCAGCCGGGGCGGTTGGAGAGAGTGAGGCAGCGGTCGGGTAGACTGCTCTCTCATGGAATTCAGCGTGCGCATAGCGACGCGCGGCAATTCGTTTGCCAGCGGAGGCACCGATAGCCAAAGCCGCAGCGACAGCGAGTGCTCCAGCCTTCATCTTGAGTGGAAGAAGAAGATGAAGCTGGTGGAGTATTATTGATTTTTGTGGTGTGATGTAATGTGGTGTGGTGTTTGTTTATCGGGCGTCAAGACGAGGATAACGAGCGCCCGCTGAAAGAGTGAAGCGGTGGTGGGATGAAGGGAAGATGAGAAGGTAAAAGGAGGTGGGAATGAAGGAGGGAGGATTAGCGGAGAAGAGAAGATTAAGATACCGATATCGACGACGAGGTGAAAGGAGGATTGAGAGCAGGAGAAGAACGAAATGAAAAGTCGCGAGAGCCGGGGGGGGCATCTAAATGCCAAGTGGATCTTGGCATGCTTGGCAGTGCTTAGTATCCTTGGCGATAACCTGGGGGGAGGGCACGGACACGGGGCAGTTACTACGTAGCGGTAGTAGTCGTTGGTTGACACTCTAGTCCGTAGACGCGATGGAATGATTTGAATGATCCTCCTCTACTCTACGTGGATGGATTTGTACTGTCAGAACATCTACTGTACCGGTACAACCATCTGTACTGGCTTGACTGGTCAGATGCTGCTGCTACCTACGGAGTACAGAGTAGGTACTGTTGTCTGACGGGGCCTCCGGGTAGCTGAGGCTCGGTAGTGTGCCTACCGAACCTTGTTGTTATTTATATTTCCGAATCCTCTTAGCCATTGACCATGGACAATGATTGACATTGGCATTGGCTTTTTCACACGCTTACTTGGAATCAAGCATCAGTTTATCGCATCTCTCTCTCTCCCCCTCTCTTTATCTCCCCCCTTCCGTCCACGATATTGAATCTCACCCTCCAGCCGCCCAGCTCGTCCGTACTCCGTAGTCAGGCACGCTGCATGCGCCGGCGCGCATCGCTAGTTCAGGAACCAGCTGAGCCCGTCCCGCGTCCGACCCAACGACATGAAATTAAGCCTGTCCAAGCGCTCCTCCCAAGCAGATTGCGTGCTTCCATCTCCAATAATATCCATGCTGGAGATGGCTTCCTACAACTACGGTACCTACCTGCCTGCCATGCCATGCGGAGCGCAATCCCTCGAGCGATAAAGCGAAAAGTAAACAAATTAACACACAGTGTGTCTGTCCGTTTGGGGAGGCACAAGAACATTCCCAGGATTGGAAAGCCGTAGGGCTGATGTCATTAAAACGAACAACAACAAACGGCAACGCATCCGTCGCTCATCTCATCTCATCTCATCTCATCTCATCTCATCTCATCTCCACATTCTTCAGCGATAGGATCCCGATCCGATCCGCCTACGGAGTCAATAACACGACACGAATCCGACTCCTTCCGTAGCCCACCAGAGGCGAGGCAATGCAAGCGACAGTGCGATACCGACACAATCAATCGGAAGATAGCAAGAGATGGGGGATATAACATCCAAATACCTAATTACTTAATTCTCGCGGGTCAATTTTCTTCAAGATGCATACCTGCCTATCCTTGTACTTAATTGCCCGCGATGTCGTCATATGCATACTCTATTGAGAGCTGTGTTTACTGCGTACTTCCTCATTTTCCTCACGTCTCGCTCGTGGACATTCCTTCCTTTGCTTATGCACGGGGTAATCAACGTGAGGTGCACGGTGTTATGCCACTCTTCTTCTTAATGATAGCAAAACAGTTCTTTCCTTTGAAAGGGGCCTTCAGGCATACATATCGGCCTCCGTGAATTTTTTTTGCGAAGCGAAAGAGGAGGAAGGTAAACAAACCTCTTTCTTGGGGCGATATCAACTCACCAAGACCGACTTTCAGTTTCACCCTTACTAACAAATCTGACCGTGCCCAAATAGAAGTACCTACCTCTTCGCCTGGAGCACCATCGGGATTGGGCTGATCGTACCCGAAGTCGATCAACACACACACTCACCCAGCCAGCCGCCTACGAGAGGAAATTGGAAACTCCCGTTGGTCTCAGCCAAAATCTCATCATGGTACCCCTGAAAAGCCAGGCAGCCACTCCTTCTCCGGCGTTCCAGCCCGCCGGTACGTAGGCCTCGCCTCCTCATCTGCGACCAGGATTTCCTGGTGGTCACTTGCCGCGCTCGCCGCATCGACCAGCAACCGTGCCTGGCACTTCTGGGCGGGCATTGCGGATTGGCGGTTCCCTCGTTTGGTCTGTGACGATAGAGATCTCTTGGTATCAGTATGGGGGAGTGCTTGCGATCGGAGTGGATGGCGAAGGCGACTGCATTGATGTGCTCGTCGCCGATTGCTACCTCACCGCCCCCGTTCACGAGTATGAGCTCTACCAAGCAGATCCAAGAGAAGTATTAGGAGAGCGGGTTGTGCCAGAAGTGATCCGTGAGAACTTGATCTCGTAATGAACTATGTAAACGTCAGTCAGCGTTTATCTATTTGCACACTTACGATAATGGAAACTCACCTATGTCCTGGGATCCCTTCACCGAAGCCTCGCTTTGTAAATCCGTATGTTGCAAGTCTGTCAGTGGGAGATTCTTCAGGAGAGACCCATCCCGACCCACTCCCACTCGGAAGGCGGCAGCAAAGATGCTGCTTACGATATACGTTGTAGTCTCTCGTCAGCCTCCAGGTTCTCGAACTCGGGATACGCTCATGTCTTGGGTTTTCTTTTCCGGAGATGGTCTTGCCCCATGCGGCGGCGTCGGCGTTACCGGAGACGTTCGTTCGGATCTTGGTCGCTACTGGTGCCTTCGCGTCTCCAGGGTTCTGGGCTGGGTGATGGGTGATGGGTATAAGATATAATGTACGCCAGGCCTGGGGTTGGCTCTGCAACAAAGCAGATGGTGATGTACTACGTACGTACGTAGTATATGAGTAAACCAGCCCTCGGGTCGGATCCCTGGATTCGACTCTACGGAGTACGGAGTACAGTACCAAACATCGCAGAGGAACCCCAGCCTACAAACTGGCGCATGAGCTGAATAATAAAAGAACACTGCGCTCAATAGCAGGTGAACTCAAACCGTCAAACGAGCGAATGGAAGAAGCCTGTCGGCGAATTCCAGAGCGATGCGTTCGATACGATACGTACGAGCAAAAGTATACTACTACTACTATATGCATGGCGCAAGCGCAGGCGCTAATCATACGTTCCTCAAACCTTGGTTTTGGTTTTACCACAACCGAATAGGTAGGTACGTAGTACCTCGCTTTACTGTACAGTATGAGGCCAGGTTACCTTACTCGCTGCGCACCGGATAAACAGGTAGACGAGTGACGGAGACTGCGTGGCGAGGCTTAAGGAACAGAAAGCGACGAGACTTTTGCGTACGGGAGAGCCGAGTACGCAGCGGAGAGTTGGAAAGACCGGTGAGTGAGTGATCCCGGCGATCATAGCGCGGAGGGGATGGATGTGCTGGATAGATGCATCGAGGAGGTACAGTACTAGGAGATCTACAGAGTACGATCGACCTGGATGAGCTGACGTTTGTTTTCTTGGACTCTGGCTGATCGTGGATGGATTGACTCCGTCAAGCCAGCCAACTACTACGTAGGTACCGGTAACTACTACTAGTCGTACCCCTTGGTCGGAGGGAGGACAAGTTAGGGAGAGGCAGGAGCGCGGTTCCTGGTACCCTTCCGCAACACGGTCATTCTGCAGCCATAAGTACGGTCAGCCCTATGGCGATACATTTTACCAACACACATCCCAATAGAAAAACCAACAAGAAAATATGATGTTATTCTTTAACATCGCACCTCCCTCGGGGGAAAAAAAAACCTAAAAAACCAAGAGTTACCAGAGTTTTCGAAACGCAATTACGTAGTAGTAATACTGTGTTACGTACGTAGTAGTATTCTAACCCCGCCGGCGCCCTGTAAAAACTATACGCTCCATTCTAGAAAACAATCAGACAACTTAGACAAGTTACCATAGCAACTACATACATACGTAGTACTACGTACGTAGTAGCAACAACCACATGTAAACCTTCCACAAAATCTTAACTGCCAGCTTCGGATATGTATCAGGCTGTCTACTTGCACTAGCCCCAACGCACACCGACCCATCGATCAACATAAACTCGTAGTTTTTTTTTTTTTTTGAAACAAAAATGCACCGACCAGTTCAAGAGGCTCGCATCTTTGAACCTCCATAAATAGTAGCAGCTGCGCTAACGCATCGTCGCATTCAACTTGTTACAACACCTCATGTGAAACTTCCGTGTCGGATCGTCAATATATTTTATAAAGGGTATGTATCTATATAGGCTGGCGTTTTCTATATATGATATAGCTTCTATCTGAGCCTCGTTTTGCAATTCTATTATTTTTTTCTATATGCGATAATGCTTCTATCTAAGCCTCGTTTTGTAATTCTACAACTTTCGGCCTGTGGATCTCGCACCATATGGACGAGGAGAGATGATGGATTTGATAGCGAGCATAGGCGGTTTGATAAAAAGGATTAGGTCTCTGGGAAACGATAGCTCCCGCGATCTCATGTTCCGTATAGATGTCTAATTCTATTGTCGCGTTGTGAATGAATCGCGTGTGCAAGAAACGTCTCAATAGTTGACGGTATCGCTGAAAGAGTACTAGTAGTACAATCCTGCTTCTGCCTTGTGCTCCGCCTAAAGGGACGGTTACCAACCCGTCGATCGACATTAAAGCCCGAGACTTTCGAATTGACGCGACTCAATGCTAGAGTTGATAATAATAATCAAATGAAAAAGAGACACTAGTTCTTCGGTCCGTACGCAAGTGCGCAAGATAGGGGTAAGAAAAGGTTCAGACTTTTCAAAGCCACACCGACCGCGCGCTTCGACGGGCCAAAAGAAGTGGCCCTCCTCTAGCCAATCAAAAAAAGGGGAAAGATAAGTGGGGGTAGAAAGCATAAAGGGGAGAAAGAGAGAGAGACAGGTGGAAAAAAGAGAGACAAGAAGTCTGATCTCCGAGAAGGTTTCCGTCTTGCACGGCGCATTGTGAAATGCTACCCTTGCAAGTTGCTACCTGGACCGTCTGTATCTGCAACCCGACCAGCTCCCTTTCGAGAAGGGGCTCCCGTAGGAGTGGAGTCGATGTCAAACAAGCGGCCTCCGTACGGCGAGGAATCGGTCCACAGATGCGACCGAGAGAAAAACCTTGTTGGTGAGTACTGTACAGTGCTGTACCGGTACTGTACTGTATCTGCAGGACGGACGGAACGTGCACGTGGGAAGGTAGACTTGACGGGAAGTGAGCAACTGAGTGATGGTACTTACCGGGACGTACGACGTATGTAGTATTTCCGATATCACGGTTGCACGACCGATTTGTAAGCTATATGACATTCCTTCGTCCTTCTTCGTCCTTCGTCGTCCTTCGCCGACGTTACTAGGTAGTTAGTAAGGACGTAGTACTACCGTAGTACGTACCGTATGTCCCGACGGATCGGCGCTCGATGGACTTGACACTGGGTGCACCACACCGGGCACCGTACAACAACGAGGCACTACGACCCTCTGGTACTAGTCCAGGACTGGGAAACTGCCATCCAGCCCGCCAAGGTGTTTTAGTCCCTCCTAGTCCCTACCAGTCCCCACTAGTCTCCTTTAGTCCCTCCCATTCCCCACTACCCCCCCCCCCCCCCGTCCGAAGAATGCCAGCGGGAGATTAATTATGGATCCCGCACCGCACCAATGAGATCATCAACCCATAGAATAGCAGTAAGGGGTCCAATCACGAAATCCCCCCCCCCCCTTCCCCCTCGGCTGGGGGGACGGGCAGGCCGGCACCGTAACTTTTTCATCAGCCCAGGTATCGAATCGAGGACCATCAATACACAATCAATTTCCATTAATCAATGCTATGCATGTCCTTCTCTAATAATAATAAACCCACCGCCAAGCCACCGCCAAGGGGGAGTGGGGCCGCCAATTTGTTTTGGGTCAATGAGTCCCGTATATAGCTTTCAATCTCTCTGATCACCCTCCTCACCCTCTTCTTTACCCTTCTCCTTCATCTCACACTTTCGGTCTTAATCTTTCCCTCCCCAACAACAGCTTTGTATCCTTTTGATACGTGCCATTCTTTTGTTTTAGATACTCTCTATCCAGATAATACCTCTCAACATGCGTTACTCCACCATATCTGCGGCCATTCTGGCCATGGCCTCGTCGGTCATGGCGCAGACGGCCGACTTCGCTGCCATGTACACCCCAACCCAGAACCAACAGGTCGCTGCCGGCTCGGTGCTCGACATCACCTGGCAGACATCGACGGTCTACACTGGACCCGTCACTATCCAGCTCCTCCAAGGAGCTACCCCAAGCACCCTCGAGCTCGGCCTCGTCGTCGCTGGTTCGTAGCATCAGCTCTCTCTCGTGGATTCGAAGCCTGATACTAACCGTGTGCGCAGCTTCTATCGACCAAGCCCTTGGCAAGTTCTCCTGGACTGTGCCCACGGACTTGCAATCGTTCGCAACCTACGGATTCAAGATCACCCTTGATTCCACCGCTTCGCTCCCTGAGCCAACCTTCCAATTTTCCTTCCCTTTCCACATCACCGGACTTGCGGCCGCCGCAGCTTCCTCGTCCTCTTCGCCTCCCTCTGCTCCCGCTGCTACTCCGGTTCCCGCTGTTACTCCGGCTCATGAGGGCTACGTCGCCGTTCCCCCACCTGCTGTCACTCCGGCTCATGAGGGTTACGCCGCCGTTCCCCCACCTGCTGCCACTCCGGCTCCTGAGGGTTACGCCGCCGTTCCCCCACCTGCTGCCGTCCCAGACGTTCCCGTCTACCCAGCCCCTGGTGTCCCAGCTGCGCCAGTCAACCCACCTGCCGCCTACCCAGCACCTCCCGTCCACCCTGCCCCAGCTGCCTACCCTGTTGCCAACACCACTGTTGTCTACATGCCGACCGGCACCGGCGTTCCCCCAATGTCCTCATACACTCCTGCCACCGTCACCGGAAACGCTGGTGTCAACGTGGTCAGCTGTTTCGCCATCCTTGCTGGTCTGGCTGTCGCCCTCACCATCTAAGAGTCTAGTTATACGACCCCGTCATGTCGATATGGATATGCGGAGCTACTTGTGGACCTGATAGTCAATGCTTAGAGACTCTCGGTCCCAACTCTGGGGCCAGTGAGACGCATGGCTCTTGTTCGATCTTTGTTGATGGTATCCTGTTGAGTAAATGTACTGTCATACCCGGGGCGTTTCTTTGGTTCTAGCTCCTGCGAAATGGGAGCTATTAATGAACAATTTCATTGCTCCACCGATTCTTAGACTTGTGAAATGACCTGTGCTTCCCATATCCCGCTCTCATAGAGCACCTCTCCATCATTCCACATGCACCTTCATTGTGATCCAAATCCACAGAATCTCCACCCGAAAATAAGTCCCCAGAATTCATGGCCCTCGGATCTTCACTTCAAAGGCAAAAGTAGCTCACACACAGTTCGGATGCAAGACGAACAGGGCCGCGATCCACTCCTCCATCAGTTGCCCCCAATTGTCGGTACCCTGCCCGTCGGTGACGCGCGCGCAGAGGAGTTCCATCTTGGACGGCGGCGTGGGTAGATGTGGCTGGGCGCCGCCCTCCCGGGGCTTGTCCTGCGTCGTCGCGGCCCGAAGCGTGTTCTTGGCCGGGTAGGCAGGCTATCTTAGTTTGACGTTCCTGAGAAAGATATGTGTGTGTGTGTGTGTGTGTTTGTATGTTTGTGTTGTTCAAGTTGTTTGTGTTGCTTGTGTTGCTTGTGTTGTTTGTGTGTAATAAAAAATGGAAGAGTTGGGAGATATGCTGGGATGTATGAATGAATGAATGCATGCATGCATGTATGCGTGGGAAGGGAGGGCGAAGGGGGAAGGGGGGAAAGAAATACCGAGCTTGGTAGTGAGTCCGGTTCCCAACTCCGAGTCTCCACTCTCATGATCGTCGCGCTTCGCCTTCCACCTCCTCTTCCGCTTCCACCTCCTCCTCCTCCTCCTCCTCCTCCTCCTCCTCCTCCTCCTCCTCCTCCTCCTCTTGCGCCTCGCCCTCCTCTTCCAGCCTGGGGCAGATTCTGATTCTCGCGGCTGCTGCGTCTGGGGTTGCCGCCGAAGCTTCCCAGGTTGTTACTATTGGAGGTGTTCCTATTAAGGTCGAAGTAATCCAACTCCGTTTTTCCACTGTCCCTGCCCATCGCAATCGACTTGTTGTTCTGCCGCTCCGTCGCCGCCGGGCCTCGCGCTTCTCCGTGGGGGTGGTAGAAGGCTAGGTCGTAGTCGTTCTTGCTCTGGGTTATGGTTTGCAAGTTGGGGGGGTGGAGGGAGGAGGAGGAGGAGGAGGAGGCTGTGTTGATGTTTACGTCAATGGTGCTGGGCTTGGAGGAGTTGGAGGGGTTGATGTGGTGGTGGTGATGATGATGGTGGGGGTGGGGGTGTCGTTTCGTCGGTTTCTTGGAGGGGTAGTTGAAATGCAAGTGGGGACTATCGCTAGGGGGTTGTTGGATTGATGTTGCTGCTGTTGTGTTTATTGATGTTGATATTGTTGATGATTTCCTCTTCTTTGGGTTGTGATGGAGAGCCATGCTGTCGTCGTCGAATAGATAGTATCGATATGTACAGTACATCTCGCGCCTGTAAATCCTTTGATGGGGGGGAAAGCTGGCTCTTTTTTTTTTCTTTTTTGAACGGAGGAAAGAAGGATAGAGAATGGAAGAAAGGGAGAAAGGAAGGAAGGGGAAGAGGGGAGAAGGCTCTCTTGTTCTTATGTTCCTGTCGTAACAGATATATATACAGACATACATATCGCTAGTCTTTGTAGGTTCTTCTGTCCACCGTCAATGTCATACTGAGTACGGTAGTTCTGTGTGTCTCTCGGGGCTTTCTCTAGTTTCTATCGGATGATGATGTCTCCGGTCATAGTGTGAAGAAGCTATAGGAGCTACTCAGCTAGTGTGGCTCCGCAATCGTCATGGTTCCAGTTCCGGGACGTGTTTATTTGCAGGCCGGCAGAAAAGAAGCCTTGCTAAAAATGCTTGCTTGCTCTACGGCTTGCTATATATACTCGATTCACTTTGGGATTTACTTCATAGTCAATAGCTCCATCGTCACGCTTCAGCACAGCCCTATCGGGGTCTGATGTAGCACCAGGGCTAGACGTCCAACCCTTTTTGGAAGGGCCATGCATAAATAAGTAAGTAAGCCTTGCCTGCTGCTCTTACCCAGGGACCATCATCATGAGCTATACAAGCAACAACAATCAAAGTCTGGGTGGCTACGTCGCGTCAGGACTAGACGATATCACCAAGGCTTGGCGGGCTGCTAGATAGAGCCTCCAGATCGCGCGCGCCAAAACGTAGCATCTTTTTTACAGCAGACTATTCAAGACAGTGTCTGTGTGCAAAAGGCCCCTCTCATGGCGTGTTGCATGGCGTGTGGTGGAAAGGTAGGAAGCTCCTGTGTTGAATTCCCTCCGGGCCTGTGAAGAGACGACGTCGACATCAAGACACCGGAGGTATTATGTGAGTGCGCCACCAATTTCCACCCGCGGGGTGGCAGGCGGGTGTCATTTTCTGTAGAGGGACATGAGATGCCGTGATTGTACGGAGTAGGTAGGGTGGTCGAGGCCAAATCGGCCGAGTTCCACAGCATGCAGGCTTGCTGCTGCTGCATGCAGGGTTTCCGGAAGTATCTGCAGGTATGTACAGTATATATAGTATATATAGTATATTTATATATATATATATACTATATGCCTCGCATAAGTCAGTGCGCTGAGTTTTGTTGCAGACCGGAGGGAATTATGTATTCGTACCCAGGATCTCAGACATCCGAAACCTCTGGAATGGATGTGCAGCCAGCCCGCATTCTCGCTTGGACTCCATCAACGACGTAGTGACCTTCTCTGAATTTGAATCGTCTCTTCTTTTACATAGAAAAACTTCTTGACGCTCGGTGGACTCGACGCCTTGCTCTTCGAGAGGCAGTTTCATGTTCGTCTATCTTTCGGATGCTATTGCCGATGATTTGAAAGTTAGAAACCCATCCTCCAGAACCTTTACCTACCTAGGTACACAGCTACTCGTTGGTTGCAGGAAGTCTTACATACAACAGGAAGGACTCGGACTGGTACTCTCTCTCTCCATGTCGAAACAAGATCTGAGCATCTTCCGCAGTCCACAGATTCAACTCCCGTTTCCGCGTGGATCACAGACGCATTTCTTTTCATACCGCAGGCAGCCAGCCTATACCATGATGCCGCATGCGTATACGGTGTTGCTAAAGTGCAATCAATACAACACGAGGGTAGGTAGGTAGGTAAAGAGAAGCGATTCGTTCAGATGACCAACATTCATCATTCGTACTACGTGAAAACTCCCATCTGACTTCTGATTCCCATCAATTCCTTCCTTTCCCCCAGGGCGATTTCATGGCACGAGTGAGGCCCGAACCATGGCCAGCCCCCCCTCCTCCCTTTAATCCTCCTGGTTCTGGACGATGACCCCGCTGAGCTCTCCCAATTTCTTGATCGCATCCTCAGACAGCGCCCTGTGCGCCGGCAGAATCAGAAGATGTAGATCGACATGAATGTAAACAGCACACCGGTGGGTGGGTGGGTTCTTACGCCGTTGGCCGGTCGGATGGCGGAAGCATCCTGGTGCTGAGAATTTGGGCCCCGTCCGTGTCGTCTTTGACGATCCTATGGGGGGGAAAGGGGGGGAGGAAGTATCAGTCTTACGAAAAACCAGATGATATTGAATTATGATGATATGCGTCGTGGGTTGGAGTGGAAGACGCGAAAGAAAACTCGGGTGGGGTGGGGGCGTTTTTTTTGGGCGTAGTTTCCAAGATAGATGGATGGATGGTGGGAAGAAAAGGAAGGTACGCACTTGTGTACATCTTCTCGGGCTGCATTGTATGCATCGATACTCTCATATCGGATAATGACTTTCTGGCCATTGGAAAGGGTAGAAGTTAGTGCAAGTGAGGGGATGATTGGTATCGGAGTTACACATATCAAGAGATCTGTGGACGTCTCTTACCTTTCTGTCGGACATGGACATGATTCAGGCGGAAGGTGTGGCTTTGAATTCTCTGAGTTCTTGCAATCGCCACGAACTCAACATCTTGGGCATGATGTGGTAGCATTTATACAGAACGTGCCTGCTCACCACAGGCCTTTCTCACCGTCTCACTGGCTGGACGCACGCCATGATACGTCAGCGTACACACGCAGCTCCACTGGAAAACCCTGATTTGATAGATTCATTCAGATCGCCTGATAGAACTTTCCCACCCAGAGATTGTTTGTTGAAATTTGCTCCTCGGTGGGTTTTCAGTTGATCTTACTATGCCGGCCGCGACCACAAGACGTCGGTTCCAGAGATCCTACCATCTATTGTATGTATCAGCCAATTCCGGCGCAGAGCCTCGAGGAATATCCAGCCAAGCCATCTTTGGCCTGTCAGGACGTAAAGCGAGGCGGTTTCCATCGGTACTTGTTTGGGAATTATGCGGACAATCCTGGATGTTCTTCCTCGATCGATTGTCTCAATATTTGCAGCTACTAGTGGGTTATCCTCGTCAGTCGCGAAGGACTGGAAATAAATAATTAGGCTTTCTGCATGTTTTTGAAGAGTTGAGGCAAAAGCCAACATGAGAATGGTGATAGGCTCAGAAAGGGCAGGTGTACGGTGAGAAGGTGTGTATTGCTGCTGTGGTGGCCAAGGTTTAGCTTGAGTAGTGACTTAACAAGGACGTGATGGTCAAACGAGACAGGACTGCTGGTGGCTTTGGCCGAGAAGGGAGCAATGTCTGAAGATGGACTGGTATGCCATTTTGCGGCTGTGATACTCGGGGCAGTCGTTGACTTGACAATTGAGATTGCGAAGATCAGAAGCGATAGCGCTTCTCACCCCAGACTCGGGATTCGTACAGTGAGTGAGTGACGGCGGTGAAAGGTTTCCACGCAGCTATGTACACTCTCTTGGTAAGATAGCAGCTAGCTTTAAAAGTCCATAATGTCGAAACACTCGGCTGGAGAGCAAGTTACGGATATCTAGGAACCTGTCTCAATGGGCTGTCCCATCACTTAAACGTTTCCATGTATACTTCTTATGGAATTCTTTGAAATAAAAATAATAAGATAGTCGGAAGTCAATAATGGACAAACTATGGTTCAAGTAATTTCCTGTAGATAAAGAATTGCTGCTTTCTTCGTTGTATTGAACGTGGACTGCCACGATGGATGTGAACGTATCACCGACTTCGCCACTCTTATCAAGCAAGAGCCGTAAGTACAGATATATATACATATTTATGTACATACCAATATATGTACTCGCTTGAGTGATTGTCGCCACTCGGGTACCGATACCTCTTCCCCCTGCACGTGAGTCCAACGGCACTGCATGGGTAGAGCTGCCACCGATGCGCCGATCAAGTGATATTAACGAAATGGAAATGCATGCAGGAGCTGGAGGACCTCTTATGATTGAGGCGCCTCTGCCGGCCCGCGCCGGCCACGGCGACGTGCATTACATAATATCTCAATAAGCATAATGTATAATACCTGGGAGCCCCCACGGTGGCTTTCTTTGTAACCCCTCAAACTCGAGTCTGTACAAGGACACAGTCAACCTCTGCTCATTTTCTGGGCATCAACATGAATCTTTTGGATTACCTAATATCCACGCTGTCACGTGGCTAGCGTCTCCCCAAAACGCGCTTGACGCGAAGCCACCCGGATAGAAACATCGCGACAACTTCACTCGAGGTTCTGCAAGGCCCTGGAAATATGCCAATGGACTCATCTGGATATGCTCGCTTCTATCAGTCCTCATGACTCGGCATAATCTCGACACGCACATTACTTGGTTGTTATCGCACAGAGTCGCTCCGCCCTCCGGCGCCCACGCCCGAGTCTCAACCAATTCGACGACCGCAGGACTTGTGAACGCAAGCCCGGTAGAGAAGGAAACAGAAGAAGAGGAAGAAAACCCGAGGTTTCTGCCGAGTCCGACTCGACCCCAACGAATCCCACGGCCGGTCGATGTCGTTCAAGCATTTGCCCGACCGGCCCTTCCACCATCGATTGTTGCAAGAACATACCGGCAGGACCCCAGTCAAGCCTTAACGGACGAGTCAATGGGGGGGCTCAAATCGGCAAATAAATCAACGAGACCTGGTCTCATGAGCCAGCATCAGCTTGCTACTCCGGCATCTACCACATCATCTACCGCATCATCTGCGTCCCTTACCAGGAGCTATACAAACTTTTTGAAAGACAACAACGATCATGGTTAGTTTCATAAACGACCTGAACTATTGTATTTGGTTAAGACGGTCTAATGGTTTGCAGGCACTCCTTCCTCGAGACAGCCCCCGAAGAAGACGCTGCCGCCGAGTGTTCGAAGAGGGGCTTTCCAGACTCCACAAACCCCCAGACAAACTCCTCGCGTACAGACGGGACTAACGCTCGAGACGATTGAATCTGTAGATCTCACTGGTGAAGAATACTGCGAAATCCAAGCTCCCGGGTCCAGCAGCTCGGTAGAAGTATTTGGGGAGCCCCAACGACTATGGAAGGAGGACTCAGCTTCACGGCCTGAGCCGCGGCTCCAACCTTCGAAGAAACGGAAGAGCCTTGAAATGTCGCCTGGACGCTCAAAAAGGACGAACGCCCACGAGCAGCAATATACGAAGAAAGATAGGAACGACTACACGAGCGCAGATGGATTTGTGGATATTGACGATATAGTACCATCCCAGCAACATCAATCCTCTCTCGAATCCGTGAGGCCGAGCATCGAAGTGTCAATGGTCGCGCAAGAAATTGGACAGGAGGTCCGGTTGACAGAGACTATCAGCAGAACAGAAACTCGGACACGAGCGAGAATCAGCAGAGTCCCATCTGTCAGTGATGGTCCATCAAGACATGCTCCCGGAGGCTACGATTTCCTCTCTGCTTCCCAAAGACCCTCGCCTACCATGAGTCCGGGGCCTAAGGTCCAAGTTGCAGCTTCGCCATCGCGAAAGGTAAAATCTCCTTCAATTGCTGCGCCCCAGACGCCACAAAAGACACTCAAGCGCCCAGGGCAGACCGTCATTCAAGATTCTGAGGACGACGGTTGTGACTCAGATGTCGAGAGACAAGCTAGCTGCTCCCCGCGAGTGCCAGTTAAAGATAGCCCTCGAGCTTTCAGCCCACGAGTAAATCCGAGAATGGACAATATAACGATCGAACAGGTCGACTGTAGAATGAGAGATGAAAAAGACTCGAAGCCCAGAACTGGAAGTCCTTTGCGACCTATATCACGGAACGTGTCAGCGAAACCCGAAAATGTGCCATCGCAACTACAATGCAGCTCGCCAACGAAGTTGAAACTTGCGACTCAGACTATACAGCAGCCTTCAAGCCAGCAGACTCCGAGTGCCTCTTTGGGGGTGGATGACAGGAGACTAGCATTGATGTATCTTGCTCAGCCTTCGAGAATAGACCTGTACCACCAGCGTGTGCAGCTCCTGCTTGCTCAGAATGCTGTCGCTGTAATGGCATACATAGACGACGAAGAGACGGCTCCAGCTCATCTCAGGGATGAACGGACGGCTTTGTTAGATGTGCTCAAGTCATACTCCGCACTCAAAGAAATTGGGGTAAGATACAAAAATTTGATGGAGGAGAAGAAAAGCCTTGCTCGGCAGGTTTATCAGCTCCTGGAAGCTGGTTCCGACGCAAGTGAGGAAGAAGAACGACAATGTTTAGTTACAGGAGACATCAAAAGAATCGAGAAAAATGTGGCGGGTCTTTTGCACAAGTCAGGGGCGATCAAGGATGGATTTGGGACAGGATCAGAGGTCGAACAACAGGACCCATCGGTAATCTCAAAGAAGAAAGAGACTATTGATCCACTGCCATCTGGATCTAGCATTACTGGAAGTGCCCAAGTCATCATGCAGACTCAATTTCCCTCGGTACCGCCTAGTTCAGCAGCAAATTCCAATTCCCGTTCAGCGAAGGACTTTCCACCTCATTCTTCATCCAAATTTGGATTGGCAGGCCTCTCGACCACAGAAAAGGGATACGGCTCCCCATCTCCTCTACGGTACCAAAACAGGCCATCGACCTCAAACGCACCGCAGCCTGCGGCCGCTCGGACGAAATGGCCCTCGCCCGAGCGTGTGAAACAGCCGAACTTTTATTGCGAATCGACACCTTTGAACTACGAGGACTACGAGGACGCTGAGCTTGGTGACTTGCTCGCAGAAGAGCCGTTACAGCAGCATGTTTCGAGGGTCCAAGAAGAGGTGCCCGGTGAAGCTGAAGATGACTATGGAGATAGCGGCGATGATGACGACTTTGAGGAACTCGCCCAGGCCGTCGAGAAGCGACAATCTATCTCTTTCCCTACACCCGTTCCAACAACGCGTCTCGCTCTATCTGAGACTATTTTGAGCCTTCCAAGGCCTACGAAAAAAGGTCGAGCGGTCGAGGAGAAAACGATGTACTCGCATGTGGAGGATCAAAACAGCATGTTCCACCACCCCTGGTCCAAGGACGTCAAAACAGTACTGAGGGAACGTTTCAAACTGAAGGGATTTCGTCGCCATCAGATCGATGCTATCAACGCCACCTTGAGCGGGCAGGATGCTTTTGTTCTAATGCCTACTGGAGGTGGAAAATCTTTATGCTACCAACTACCAGCCGTTGTCAATTCAGGAAAGACACGAGGCGTGACTCTTGTTATCTCGCCACTTCTGAGTCTCATGAACGATCAAGTCCAGCATCTTCTGGTAAAGAAGATCCAGGCTGCTACTTTGAATAGTGATTCTCCTTCTGAAGTTAAAAGCGACATTTGGAGTGCCCTAAGGGAGGAAAACCCAGAGCAGTATATACAGTTACTCTACATTACGCCCGAGATGATCAACAAAAGTCCGCCGATGATAGCGGCACTGACACGCTTATACAAGAAAGGGAAGCTTGCCAGAATCGTCATCGATGAAGCACACTGTGTGAGCCAGTGGGGGCACGACTTTCGACCTGATTACGTGGCTCTTGGCCGGTTACGAAGTGATTTCCCGAGAGTCCCACTCATGGCACTGACTGCCACTGCTACCAGCAATGTGAAAGACGATGTCATGACAAATCTCGGCATGAAAGGATGCCCCGTATTTACCCAAAGCTTCAACAGGCCAAATTTGTATTATGAAGTGCGTCTGAAAAGGGGGAAAGGGGTTCTAGCCAAAATGGTCACAGAAATCGTGGAACTTGTCAGGGATACGTATAAAAACCAGACTGGCATCATCTATGCCTTGTCCCAAAAAGGTTGTGAAGATTTGGCTCAAAAACTGGCAAATGAGCATAATCTTAGAGCATACCACTACCATGCTGGTATGAATCGAGAGGATAAAGCTACTGTATTGCAGGATTGGCAGACTGGTAAGATACAAGTCGTCGTTGCTACAATTGCCTTCGGCATGGGCATTGACAAACCTGATGTACGGTTTGTTATCCATTCATCTGTACCGAAAAGCCTCGAGGGCTACTATCAGGAAACTGGAAGGGCCGGAAGAGATGGTAAAAGGTCCGGCTGCTATCTTTACTTCGGCTACCAGGACACCTCCACCCTGAAGAAGTTCATTGAAGACAGCGAAGGTAACGAGGATCAGAAGAACAGGCAGCGAAATATGCTCAAGAACATGGTTGGGTACTGTGAGAACCGTACGGACTGTCGCAGGTCACAAGTCCTACGCTACTTTGGCGAGAAGTTCTCTAGAGAGGACTGCCGACAATCTTGTGATAACTGCTGTTCCGACGCTGTTTTTGACGACGTCGACTATACGGAGTATGCAAAGGCCGCGCTGAAGATTGTCACGCATGTTCAACACCACTCTTTCACCATCCTTGCCTGCGTGGACATCTTACGAGGCGCTGCTGGCGCCAAATCAAAATTGACCAAGCAGGGAGGTCCAGGTGAACATGAGGAGTTTGGAATGGCTAACAAGATGGATCGTGGTGATGTTGAACGTCTCTTTTATCGCCTCGTCAATGAGCAGGCATTGGTAGAGAAGAGTGTCTGGAACAAGAGTGGGTTTCCAACAGACTATGTGCACGTAAGTCCTCAACACGCTGATGATGAATCTATACATACTCATTCTTTTCAAGCTGGGGCCAAATTGTGACGATTTTCTGAGAGGATCACGGAAGTTATATCTTCAAGTTCAAGTTGCTCGAGCCCCTCCAACAAAGACAAAGGCAAAGAGCAGTACAAGATATCCACCATCGACGATGCTAACTTCTCCGATTTCTCCTGCCTCGCGAAGGAATAAGTTGACCAGCAAGTATAGCAATCCCATCGAAGGTGGATATGCTGCGGATGACTTCGTCGACGACGACGACGAGTATTTTGAGGAAGAAGACGCTATTGAGTCAGTACAGGATTCAAGAAGATGGCGAGAGGAGGTCTCTGGGGGCCCGATCACAAACGATCTGCGCATGGCTGCCCTTCCTGATATTCATCGCGAATTGGTGCATGGCTTTGTACAGGAAGCCAAAAAGATAGAGGAGAAACTTCGAAATGCAGATGGCGGACGCAAACCCTATTTCACGGAATCCCAGTTGCGCGAAATGGCAATCAATTGGACAATCACCACAGATACCATGCGTAAAATACGTGGGATAGACGTCGAGAAAGTCAAAAAGTTCGGCGGGAAATTTATTCCCCTCATTCAAAGTACCTTTAAGCACTACAACGATATCATGAGTGGAGGTCATGATCAAGATCTAGATATTGACGAGAACCACGCCAATGTCATAGACCTTGTCACGGACGAAGAAGACGAAGAAGACGAAGAAGAAGAAGAAGAAGAAGAAGAAGAAGAAGACTCTGAACAAATGGATCCTGATATCGAAGCTGCCATCTTGCAGGCAGAACACCAGTCCAAATACTTTTCTGGGAGACCTACTGCGTCGAATCCAACTCGGGCCAAAAATGGTGGCAAATCTGCAGGCTCTAGGAGTCGTTCTGGAAGTAGCTTTCGAGGCAAGGGAAGAGGGAGAGGTACGAAAAGGAAGAACTACAGTGCACGAAGTGTAAGGACCAGCATCGGATCTACTTCTGGTCCAAGCACCTCGGGCGTGAGGAAAAGTAGTTATACAAGAAAGCCCCGGGCAGGCAAGCAGTCCAGCGGTCCGGACATCAGGAATTATGGAGGAAGAGGGGGCGGTGGTATTGGCATGATGCCAACATGAATGGATACATATGCTTGTGGGATTGCAACGGTGGATGACTTTGTCTTCTTTTTGGGTACGTTTGCATACTGGCTCTAGGAGTTGATGGGCATAGCGTTTGGCTGGGCTTTCAGAGCTTTCAGATCTTTGGGTTGAAGGTACAAGTTTGATGGTATGGACGGCCGCGGATATTGATTGATACCAGCGTTGCAGCGACTTCTTGGAACGACTTGAATGCTGTAGCATGTTGAATGACAGAATTAGCACGGAATCACCTGCTTTCACTTGCAAAGGTGGCATTTCTTAAGAGCGACTGACATCCGTTCGCCTCCTCCGACGCAACTTCTACTTCCACAGCTATCAGATAAAACATGCCTCGCCGAGAACTCCAGGTCGCTGGAGGCAAATAGTTGAGTCACGTGTCGTTGGCCACTCGGTTCTGTCTAGAGAACGAACCCAACGACATGTCCACCACTAACACGGAAGATACCCCAAGCCATCCTTCACCAAAACTCTCAATTCAAGATCCAAAAGGGCACATGTAGTAGTTTATTCTCAGGCGGTCGCTCCCTACAGAGCTTTTGAGGCAGACCAGTCCTTCAGGTAGCCGCCGCTCAGTACATCTCTCCCAAAGCTTGCCTGCTCAGAGGCCCTGCTCGGTCCGGACTCCCAAGGATCCGCGTCAAATCACCGGCCCTCTCCCCTACTACCGCTATCTCCCCTCTCCGGGCGCTTCAAGATCCATCCGATCGTAGGTCGCTCGCTGGCCTTCCCTGTGTAGCAGCAGCACGCCCGCCACGTGACGGGGGTGGACGGGGGTGCGAATCCAGTCGACGCGCACGGCTGTACACGTGAGAAACACGAACACGTTCAAGGGCGGCGGACTGAAAAGCTGTGCTGGTGGTTCGAGAGTGTCTGTTTGCCGATGGGGTAACCGGTATGTGCCACTCGGAGGAGACGTGAGCGGTGAGCGGTGAGCAGTGAGCAGAATGCCCCTTTTACTACCGGTACTGTATACCCTTTTTAGTCTCGACGGTTCCGTCAGGGTTGGGCCGTCCGTCGCAGAGCTACGTACTTACTGGGGCAGCAACAGAGCTCTCTCGTAGATCATAGACGTACGGTAGTGGAGTGGAGTGATGGCAGACTCACTTTTGCGCTCGTCTGGTATTCCTGCTGGTAATCTCGTCTGTCTTGCCCGGAGCTTAACTTTCGAATTTTTTAAGCCAGCTAGCTAGCTGTTCAAAGTAGGTAGCTGCGAGAGTGATTGTTTCAAAAAGTGTTTTTTTTTTTTTTTTTTTTTTTTCCAGTATAGTCTTCAAGCACCAGCTTTGCAATTTGAATAACCGGCTTAATAAATGAATTGTCTGCTTCCACTAAGCCTACACCGTTATGATATACTCCGTAATCTGCTAATTTGCTCGTTTTTCATACACCGGGTCTGCCTCAAGGCGTCGCCGAACCCCCCTCCCCCCCCCATGCCCTCACATCATCGAACTCGTCCATAACGATACGATAGACGAGAGAGAGAATAATACTACTAACTACAAACCAGTTAACCAGGCTCACAATCCAGCCAGCCAGACCAGAAAGCCAAGAAGGCCGGCCGTCTCGCTCCTCGCTCCGACGAGATGAAGAGTTGTTGACAACTGGATGGGATCACTAACGAGCTTACCCTCTCGACGTAAGAACGTCTAGGCACGGGTAACTGTGGTGTTTGAAGCTACCGAGCTATCTTCTTGATTGATTCATACGTACATACGTACACGTGTATATCCGATAATATCCGTCAGCCGATGGCTGAGTACTGACTTACTTGCCCTCAGCCCTGCCACTCCTGCCGCGTCGAGAGATGCCGGCCGGTACTGCTGCTGCAGGCGCGAAGGTTCAAGGTTCAAGTCCGAGATCTTAAGATCATCCGTCGGTTGGGAGAAAAACAAAAGTCTTCGGTGGAAGGATTTTCCTCGCGGTGGGTCTGTAAAGCTCTCGATCGGATAGATGCATTGGAGGGACGGGGAGAGATGAGCGCATCAGACTCAGAATCAATATTCCCATTCCGATAGCGATGCAGGGAATGAAATCTTGCGAATTCCTTCTATACAGTGTCTTCCGCGTGAAGTGTTTGTTTGAGAATCAGATGGAGCTTAAGGCTACAGCTCATCATGGCTCTTCTGAGCATCTTGCTCGGCCTGTTTCGGAGCCTCCTTATCTTCCTCCCACATCCTCTTCATGGGATTCCGCTGTCCTTCTGCATGTTCTTGAGGCTGGGCCTCTGCTTCATGAGAATCTTGCTCGGCCTGTTTCGGAGCCTCCTCCTCTTCCTCCCACATCCTCTTCATGGGATTCCGCTGTCCTTCTGGTTGCTCTTGAGGCGGAGCCTCTGTTTCATGAGCCTCCCCGGCCTCGTCAGGTTTTCTCTCGGGTACAGCGTCCTGATTTTGACTCTCGTCAATGATGCTCCCAACCTGCTCCGTCATGCTGTTCCCAGAGCTACCATCTGCCCTCTCCATCGGGGCACCCCTGCCACCACCACCGACGCGGATATTCTGGCCTTGAGAAGGTGCAGTCGGGCTCGGGCCTCTAGTCCCACTACTATGCACAGCTGTCGCTTGCATCATAGTGCTCAGCTCTGTACTAACACTAACACTCGTCCCTGCACTACCCCCGCCAATCACCCCAGCGGCGCCCAACAACCCCAGCGAGCTCCTAATGAAGATCTTCATGGGAAACCACACCAGCCACCACGTAGGCCCGTAGAGTAGCCTCCTCCACACCAGCCACCCAATCGTCACGAGCAGGATGTAGAACGCCGTCTCGAGATACCACGTATCACTCTTTTGACTTCTCAACAACGTGCCGAGCAAGTTCTTCGAGTTCGACAACAGCGTATCCATCGACGAGTAAGTCTCACCCAGCTCTTTCAGGGCGGTGGTCGATTCTTTCAAAGTCTCGTGTGCGAACTGAGAACGGCTCAGCTCCTGGGCCATCATCTCGTGCGTCCGTCGTAACGCAATCGTCACATCGCTGCTAGCATTAACCGTCTTCTCCTCCTTCGACAGCTCGATAGTCTGCTGATTCCGTCGTCTCTGTCCGGGTACCGGAGACGAAGCCGCAGAGTTGCGCGGCTCGAAAAAAGACTGAAGTAGGAGTTCCCGCTCAGCACGCTGGGCGGCTTCGAGGTTCCGTTTCGCTATAACTTGGGCTTTCCGAAAGGCTACTTGGCATCTTTGTAGAGACCAGTCTTAGCATCTTGAAGAAAGAATCGAAAGATTTAGAGATGGGGTTTGGGGGCTTACGCCTCAAGCTCCCTCACAGCCCTCACGACCGCCCCCCTCAACTCCGCCTTCTGTACATCCCTCTCGCTACCCTTCTTTCCCACATCAAGCTCCTCCACCTCCTCCCTCATGATCTCAAAATCCTCATCCTGCTCCCTGATCGTCTGGCTGATCTCCTGAGCCAGCTCCTGCAATGCATTGCCTTCTCCGTCGTCGCTGGATAGAGGCACCGAGCCAGGCTGAAAGTTAATAGTTGCCAGGCGCTCGATGAGACCTTTAAGTTGCGCGTTTGATTCTTGCAGTGTTTGCAGGCGTTCGGATATTATTGGGAACGACATCTTCGTAATTTTGTCGCCTCGCGACTTGAAGCAAAGGAGTGTGGTCTACAAATGCGGGAAAGCTGGCATATGAGGTGACCCGGAATTTAGTTTGGCCGAGGTGAGCTCCCATGTACTTTCTGATATGTGCGACAACCTCGCCATCCCCGACGTCCCACCCACCCTGAGTGTCCACCGCTGTACAGACTGTTATAGTGTGTTCAAATCTTCAAGTATTTTACGGTGCGATTTGCTAAATCGTCCCAGCTGCCCCGATTTCCACGATGATCACCAAATTCCTCACTGAGGTCACCACAAGTTTCAACCCGTTCTCCCCCAAAGCGAAAACGGCCCGCATATTCCTCTCCTTCCTCCCGCCAAATGCGCGGCAGTCGATGAAAGTCGACACGAAGCTGTTGCCGCGATCGTCGAGGGAGAAGAGCTTTGTTGCGCTGAAATTCAGTAAGGAACCTTGTGGCCTTATTCTTTCCAAGGATTCTTCCGATGTTTGAGAGGGACTATTCTGACGGGCATTTCAGAAGACGGAAAGGAGATGAAGCTGGATGCGGAGAAATTGGGGATCAAGGGTGTGGTGGAAGAGGCGGACAGACACTCGCGGATATTGTCGAGACAGGAGGAGTTGAATGGGAATTGAAGAGCCCTGCGGTTGCAGCTGTATATCATTGCATATGGGAGGCGTTGAGGGCATTGTACTAGATGTCAGACTCAAAAGAACTGAAGGGTGCTTGACCTGGAATGGTTGCAGGTGCCTGTCCAGACTTGGACATATCTAGCGGATCGGGAGAACCGCTCCTACGATAAATCACATCACAGAAGAAACTGGATCAAGAGCCGTGCAGAGGTTTGATTTCTAGGTATTCTTGGTGCTAGTATCTGGGAGCGCGTCTAAAGTCGAAGGCATTTCAACGAACCCTCTCTCACGATCCAAGCAACCATGCGTAGGCATTCAGGATCATGGTCCAGTGGATGCCGCAATTTTATCTAATTAGCAGCTCCAGAGATGAAGAACCACTTGTCAATGCTTGGGTCGATTGGGGCCGGGGCAAGGTTCTCGTGTTGGGCGGGGGGTGGGAGCTGGTCTGGAGAGACACGGCTGGGAGACTTGGCGACAGTGAGGTTGGTGCTGCAGTATTTTTAGCCAATAGTTATTAAATTTGGTAGAGGAAGCTTACGTGGAGATTTCACCAGGAGCAGTCTTTCCAGTGATGAGCTTCTCCCAAGCCTCAGCACACTCACGGACGATGTCGGTAGCGTACCTGTCGCAGATTAGCATCTGACCTTGACAGATCCATAGTTTAGCTTACTTCTTGTTCTTGCACTCTCCAGTGAAAGCAAATTGGTTCTCTGGCTTTCCGTCTGGGATCTTGTAGATACGGAACCACTCATTGGTAGCCCTCAGAAGACCTGGCAAGTGTCTCTCGACATCCTCAACATCATTGAGCTTGGGAGCCAATGGATCATTGACATCAATGACGATAACCTTCCAATCAGTCTCCTCCTCGTCGAGCAAAGCCATGACACCAAGAATCTTGACTTGCTTGACCTGCCCCGGGTATCCGACTAGCTCACCAATCTCGCAGACGTCCAATGGATCATTATCTCCCTTGGCCTTGGTCTCAGGGTGGATGACATTGGGGTCCTCCCAGGTCTGGATCGCGGTCAGTGGTTCTGGGTGCTACGGATGGCGGTTGGCTGTCGGCATACCTGGGGGAAGGCACCGTAGTTCCAGAGGTAGCCCTTGTGGGGGAAGCAGTTGCGGACGAAGCGGAGCTTGCCCTTCTTGGTGTCTTGCTCTACAGTCGGACGTATCAGTACAAAGAGTGCATCTTGCGAGAGTAGTAGATATTTCTTGGGCTTGGGTTCTGTCTGATTTGATGGCCATGGCCCCATTGAGAATGGGAGGCTCGAGCAGAGCAAGGAGGGGCGAGGGGGACTTGCTGATGGGATTCAAGAGGTCCGGCTTGGAGATCTATGCCATTGGTAATGTCAGTAGACGATTCTTAATTTGGTTGTAGTTGCGTTTGTGAAGATGGGAGGGCTCAGATCAGATTGTTGTGTTGACATGGCGATTGCGGGGTTCAAGAACACCAGAAGGTTCATTTCACCTGGGCACAAGGGCAAGAATATGGAATCGACGTACCTCCATCTTTGCGTTGGTCCATCTTGGGATCTCTACGACCATGTTCAGGATGGTCTGTTGCTCATTGGCATAGAGGGGGATATCGTGGAAGGGGGAGATGGGGACGCCATCCTTCTCAATGAAGATGCGGTGCTCCAAAGTGTTTGGAGCAGCGACTTTTCGAACGCTGTATTGAGACATATTTGCGGGTTGGCGGTGGGTGTAATTATTTTGGGAAGAAGAAGATGAAGAGGGAGAGGAAGAGGGAAAGGGAGGAGGGGGAGAGGAGAATGAGGATGAGGATGAGCTCGAGAGATGTTGAGCTATCTGTTTGGTGCGGGACGAAATTTTGTTGGTGGGGGTGGATGACGCCAGGGTGGGCAGCGAGGGGGTCGACTGTGACCGAGACGAGTGGATTTGCCTTTGACTTTGGATCTGGATCTGGCTGGGAAGGGACGGCCAGCTGGGCAGCTTGCTGCAGGTGCGGTAGGTGTATCCGCAAGTTGCAGCGCCGGCCCGGGACTTGCCTGCGCGGAGAGACACCCGGAAGAGGTGGCCACAGAGGAGGAGCATGCGTTCTGGAGGGATCCGAAACCGGTACTGGTACTGGTGTTGGTGCTGGGAGCAATACCGACAAGTAGTTGAATCGGTATTGAGCGGACGGGCTTGCACCGAGCAGCTCTCTCTCTCTCTCTCCTTTTCCCCCTGTCGTCAGTAAACACACACCTATGGATACACCCTTTGATCCGAGGAGAAGCGAGAGACCCTGGCTGCTGTCGATAAGCCCGAGCCGATGGCGCTAAACATTTCTACAAGAGATCCATCTCCCTGCCATGGTTCACCACATCATCTTCTCTTTGGCGCCCCAAACCAACAACGTCTTTTCGGACACATTTCCTTCTCCCACTGTGCAATGTCATGCAGCGAATCGCCTCCGCCATCATGACAAATCTCACGAAACGAGTACCCATCCCTCCCAAAGGAGTCGACTATAGAGGCAAAGTGGTTCTCGCACCCATGGTGAGAAGCGGCGAGTTACCCTCTCGTCTTCTCGCTCTTCACTATGGGGCGGATCTTGTCTGGGGTATGCTGTCCCCCTCCTCCCTTCTCTATTCCCAACTTCCCACTAACATCAGCTTCACAGGCCCAGAGACCGTCGACCGATCCATGATAGGCACCACCCGCAGAGTAAACGACTCTCTCTCCACAATTGACTTTACGCGCCTCCCCTCCCATGGCTCCAAGGACCCAAACAAGGACAAAAGAGAATCCCTCATCTTCCGCATCCACCCCGAGCGCGAAGGCTCCCGCCTCATCTTCCAAATCGGCACCTCCGACCCCGAGCGCGCCGTCGCCGCAGCCAGAATCGTCGCCGCAGACGTAGCGGGTATCGACGTCAACGCCGGCTGCCCGAAGCCGTTCAGTACAAGCGGCGGCATGGGCGCTGCGCTCCTCCAAACCCCGGATAAGCTATGTGCGATATTAGAGGCCCTGGTCAAAGAGATCGTGCCGGAGTTCGAGATTGGGATTAGTGTGAAGATCCGGCTGCTGGAGACGCCTGAGTTGACGGAGACGCTGGTGAGGAAGCTGTGCGCGACGGGCATCACGGGACTGACGGTTCACTGTCGGACGACGCCTATGCGGCCGCGGGAACGGGCTATTCGGGAGCAGCTGCGTATGATTGCGGATATTTGCAGAGAGAACGGGGTGGCGTGTCTCATGAATGGGGATGTGGAGAGCAGGGCGCAAGCCGAGCAGCTAGTTGAGGAGTTTGGGGTTGATGGGGCTATGATTGCTACAGCAGCCGAGGCGAATTCCAGTGTTTTCAGGAGCGAGGCTGATGGGGGAATCGCACCTTGGGAGGAGGTTGTCGAGAAGTACGTGAAGACATCACTCGAGGTGGAGAACCGATTCGGCAATACGAAGTACCTGCTCAACCACCTTATTCCGGGGAAGCAACCGGTCTACAGAGAGATGACGACCTGCAAGAGCTACCATCAGGTATCCAAGGTCCTAGGACTCGTACATTTGGAAGCTCGAGCGAAGGAGGTTGATGAGAAGATTGGCATCACCCCTGAGGTAGCTGAAGCTCCTGGGAGACGAGGAAAGAAGAACAAGAGCGCCATGGCAGCTGGTGGGAATCAGGGCAAGATCCGAAGCGTGGAGCCGAAGAAGGTCCTGTCTAAGAGAGGGAATCCCAAACGGCCACAACACAAGATGCCGGTAGCGTTAGATGTGTAGAGAATCTGGAAAAGGTTGTGCCGCGGAAGAGTGCAGTGAAGAACACGGGAGCGGTGCCCATCATCTGATAGGACAGCTTATTATACAGCTCGGGCATAGCATGGCGTTTGTGTACAGAACTACCGAAAAAGGTACGTTGGTTCTGAATGAATTAATTTCGCTCTACAGATTAAGCAATACGGGCTCGACGAAGACCTTCGCTGTACAACTGTGGAAAGTGTACTCTCTTGCTGACAAAGACATCCCAAACACTAATAATCGCTTTCCCGCTCAACTAACCTCCCGTATCAACATGTTCGATTCGTTCGCACGCCTCAACCACAACAGCCCGTCACGTTTTCCTCTCTCTGTGCACTGTTTCGGTCAGCCGAGTCCTGTAACTTCACCTGTGGGAAGGGAACAACATACCCTCCCAGACCAATGGTCTCCCAGGAAAAGACGAATGCGCCGAGCCAGGCCCCGATGAAGATACACATGATGATGTACCCGTTGTAGTACATGGCCAACAACATGACGAAGTAGGCCGCCGCAAAGGAACACATGCTGTTTCACCCATCGTCAGCACGCACATCGCCCACGTAGTCCTCTTCCCGTCCGTCACCGGCGAGATCTACAAGAGAGAGGGCCGGAGTAGAATCAACATACTGTAGAGTAGCCCTCACACTCTGCTGCAGAAGATTAGGTCTGAACGGCACTGGACCCAGCGACCGAACGTCCGGCGCACACGTGCCATCGGTGGCCTTGCTCTGCTCGTTCGACACGACCACCGCCTGCGTGCGTTGATGTTGGCGCAGGATGTATCGATCGTATTCTTTGCACAGGCGGCGCAGGAACTCGACGGACATGACGAGGAGGATAACGCCGATGCAGGAACCGGCAAACATGCCCTTGGAGGTGATGCGCCATGATGACGAGATGAAGCCTGTGGTTCGTGGTCAGTCGGGGGTGGGCTCAGGGTGGGCTTGGGAGGGGAGGAGAAGGGACGGAAAGTAGTCCTACAAGAGTCGATGACGTTCCAGTTCCATAACATCTGATGTCAAAGTTAGTGGATATTTCCATGCGTAGGTCCATTTGTAGGTGGGTGGCACAGAGAGAGAGAGAGAGAGAGAGCGAGATAAGAGAGAGAGGCTATGTTATAAACGTACGTTGGTAATGCAGCCCCCCATATCCATCCCGCTGTGATCCATCCCGGCCATACCGCCCATATCCATCGCTGCTGACGACGTTGCGGCGGCGGCGGACGAGACCGGTGTCGCCATGCTCGGGGGCATGGTCGTCGACGACATGTCCATATTCATATCCATCTCTGCGAAATTCTCTCTCTTTCCTTTCCTCTTCTTTTTCTTCTCTTCTCCTCCTCAGCTGGTACTCCTCACTTGGTGAGCAAGTCCGGACAAGATGCGTGCGCGTGTGTGCGTGGGTGGGTGCGTGGGTGGGTATGTATACCGCTCTACGCAGCGAACATGTACCTTTCGTCCCGAACGCAAAGAATTGAACAGTTCCCGACCGTCGAGAGCAGAGCAGAGCAGAGCAGAGCAGCGTACGGGATCAGAGCGTGGCCGTAGGAGGAAGGTTGTAATTCAAAACCGATCGTTAAGGCACCGCGAACGAATCTACCTCTGGAAACTTTTTTCTTCCTCTCCCTCCCCCGTTCCCCCGTTCCCTTTTTGTCTCTTCCCGCTTGCTGATTAACGAGGCCATGGCGCGAAAGTAAGTGCGTCGCCGGACCCTTGGCTCGAGCCAAGCTTGTTTGTTCACTTAATTGGTGTGGGAGAGGGAGATAGAGAGAGATAGCGGTACCGGTACCGTAGACAGAGAGAGAGAGGGCGAGCGAGAGAGAGCGAGCGAGCGAGAACAGAGAGCGAGAATGAGCATGTTTTTCGGACCCACTGTTGCCCGATCGAGGTTGGAGGTCGAGGGAGATCGTGGGAGGTGGGCTGGCTGGGCTGCGTAGGGGGCTTGGCGGGCCAGCCACACCTTTACCGTAGGTACTTACTGTAGAGTGGGTGGGTCTTCTGCGGCCCAGAGGAATATTCGCAAATCTTCTCTCCGTGCTCTTGGGTGCGATCTTGGGTGTCCGCAGTTGTACGCAGTTGTAAGCAGTTGTAGTTGTATATATAGTATAGTATAGTATTTGCAAATTTTTCATGCTCATGGCCGCTGGACCGGGCTGGCGGCCCTGGAACGCTTCTTCCGGGCTTCTTGGGGAATTGTGGTTCGTGGTCACTCGCTGGTGGGTAGAGGAGAGATATCAGTGGATGAGATGGGCGGTGCGGTGTGCTGCTGCTGCTGCTGCTGCTGCTTCCCTTCTAGTCCTTTCTTGCTTATGAGGCGGGTAGAGTCAGTCTGTAGTACCTACCGTACCTAATTCTATCGTTCGGATAGGTAGACGTTCGATATTTGATATCCATAGGTACCTCCTACTTTAACACGCTCGCCTACTGCCTAGGTACCTACTCGACTTTCGGAGGAACACGAGTAAGATTACAACTGGTAGTAAGTACCGGTAGAACGACCAAGTCTTGGCCAGCTGCCTACCTAGCTAGTAATTTCAAAGCCGAAAGTATATTTTCACAGGACTAAGGGTGCCGTACTTAGTACTCCTCCAGCAGAAATAGCGTCGGATTCTTCTGCTTGTCTGGAGCGATAAGTACCGTACGTATCAAATCATATCTGATCTTACGGAAATCAAGGGACACACACACACCTCGAGAAGAGACGGTAAGCCCCTTTGAAACCTGCTCGTCCCTATAGAGGAGAGCAAGTTTCCACGTCGCGCCGTCGGTACCCCTTAGAAATGGGAATGTCTCTCTCTCTCTCTCTCTCTCTCCACTGCTTCTGAAGTGAACGAATCATGTGGCCAACGTCAAGACTCCAGTACCGGTACCGGTCCCAGTGAGATCTTTGGTTCCCATTTATCACACCTGAACTTCACCTACTCGTGGTCATGCACGCATGCAGGCCCGTCCTTACATCCATCCGGAGGAGGTACTCGCTGAGCAGTTGTGAACTTGTGATCGCAGCATTCAGCACAGGCGCTCGTTCATGAAATAGGTACTGGTACTACTACCTACTCGTACCATACAGTACAATAGAGAGGAAAGGATGCTTATGCGTGGACCGACCGTAAGCGAGTGTGAGATTAACACGGCTGGCTCTACCGGTAGGTACCTACCTACTGTACCAAACGACAGGCCTCCCTCCCTCCTGCCTCCTGCCATTCTCGGAGGCAACAATCACCCCTCTTCACCCGTGCAGGGGGTTGATTCATCGCCTACCTGCTTACCTTACCTACTTGCTTCAGCCCCATCCTACGATCCATTGTCATCCATGCCATGAGGCTCACCAGCTCGCTCCAATTTCAAGCCCACCACCGAGGGCCACTGTATTGCCGCTGGTTTAGTAGCAGTCACCTCGCGGCGGCCGAGAATTCTCAAACCGCGGGGTTCCTTTTATTTTGCGCAAGAAGTGTGTGGATGGATGGTGTTGTAGGAGGGACGCCTCGTCTATTCGTTGATACCATACAGCGCTGCCTGCTTTGCTCTAAGTATAGGAACTGGAGTGGGTGAGTGAGTGGTGAGCGATCACGTGCGCTTACATGTAACCGAGGATGGCAGGAATTGGAAGTTGGTAATTCTGCGGAAGACTAGAGATTGTCGCAGTAAAATATGCAGAAGAGGTGGTTGTAGGGGGCGGGGCGGGATAGGTGAGAGCTTAACCGTGACCTAAAGAATGCATGCTTCACGAGGAGGTAAGAGCAGGACAGAAGCACATTTTGAACTGACGATAATGCTCATCTGAACAACCGATCGCGATACAGTACGATTCGAGATTCAAAAGTCATACAATCTGGACATTACCGAACTCCTCAAGAATACTGCCCGCCGTGGGTCAGATCACCAACATGATCAGCAGGTCCTTTTATCACCTCAACTCCTTGCGCCACCCACTCAAATCTTGTAACGCGAATCCATTTCGCTGAAAAATATCCCTTCAAGTCCCAGACAGGATATTCGATATCCGTAATGCGAGGTCAAGAACTATGAGATGCTCGTCAGAACCGTCGACAAGTCGCTTGTCGGCTTCGGAGAACACGAGAGTGATTTTGTTCTTCTGAATATCGGGCGTTGTCTCATTGTAGATGATTGCTTGGAAAAGCTGCGCATGTCAGTTGAAGAGCCCACTTGGAAGAATGGGTAGACATACCTGGGTGACAACCTGAGTAGCACTCCACCCATCTGCAACCATATCCGTGACCACCTTCGACACCGCTTCATAGACCAAGCCCTTACTCTTCGGCTGCATCGCAGTCACCAGTCTGCTGATCGTCGCATCCGGAATCACGCCAGCAATGTCCTCCACGCTCTTCACGGTAACCGCCTTTTTCTCCCTATCCACGTCCATGCTATCCTCATCTTTGTCCTCCTTATCATCCCTGAGAGCCACAGCACCGACTAATCTCGCCGCACTCTGCAGAAAGGTAATCGCCTTTCGCAAATCCCCCTCACTACATCTGATCAACGTCTCCGCTGCTCCGTCCTCCAGTGAAACACCCTCCTTCTCAGCAATCTCCTCGACCCTCCTCTTTGCGTTCCCCACATCCAGACTTTTAAACCGAAACTTAGAGCACCTGCTCGCCAACGGATCGATGATGCGCGTTACATAATTGCAGATCAAGCAGAATCGTGTAATTTTCGAATACGTCTCCATCGTTCTGCGCAGTGCACTCTGCGCATCCTGCGTCATACTATCGGCCTCGTCTAAGATGATGATCTTGTAGGGTGGGCAGGGATAGAGCGCGCGGTAGGCGGGAGAGGGATTCGAGAGCTGCATGCGTGCGAAGTCCTTGACTTTCTCGCGGACAATGGAGATTCCGCGCTCGTCGGATGCGTTGAGTTCCAGGACGCGAGATTTCATCAGTTCGGGTCCATAGAGCTCCTTTGCGAGGGCGAGAACGGTGGAGGTTTTCCCTGTTCCGGGGGGGCCGTAGAATAGCATATGCGGGAGCTGGGTCGTATGTTAGATGGAAGAGGGAGGAGGGGGAGGAGGGGGAGGAGGGGCGTACGTTGGAAGATTGAAGGGTGCGTTGGAGGACGGTGATTGTATGATCTTGGGCTGTCACGTCGTTAAGGTTCTTTGGGCGGCTGGATCACTGTCAGAGATACCAACAAGACTTGGGACTACATAGCCATTACTATTTCTCAACCCATGGCTGCAATCGAGTATTTTCCTTGGTAGGGGCTTTCGCAGACGCGCCATTGGTGGCAGCTGCCTCCTTGCGGGCTTTGAGATCGAAGAATCCTGCCATGCCTCGAATTGTGTCAATGGGTGGCACGCGAAGGGCAGTTGGGAGATGTTGATAATCAGTTGGGGCGAGATGGGGAGCTGTGGATTTTCCGGGAGACGCGAAGCGCGACAGACTCGGACAGAGATCAGATCCGCTACGGTTGCCTGTTCAACGCAGCACCACCCATCTTTTTTTTCTGTGTGGGCATACTTATGCACTCAATTTTCCACTGCCAGAAGGTCACTCCAAGAGGCACAGTAAATATCGCCAAAGGCACGTTACCTGCCTTTCGCTCCAGGCCTGCTTAACCTCAGTCTCAACTCCATAACTACACGTCTCAGCATCCTGCAACATCTCCGCGGTGACAAGTCTCGCTCAAGATCAAGATCAAGGGTCGCGTGTTTACGGTCCGACGTCATCACGCTTTTGAACGGCATTCATTACTTCATTCGTTGACTCCCTCTACTCCACATCTCCGCCTCAAAGACACGAACGAAACCCCTCTAGAACATCTTGAGAATCTCGACGTTCACCTCATCGTAGCCGCCAGAATACGCCTTGGAGTCCCAACAACCGCAAATATGTCCGACACCGAAAGCCTAGATTATCTCCAAACAGGCTTCGAGCCTTCGAGCCTCACCGTCCCCCGCCTGCGCTCTATTCTCGTCTCCCACGACGTCGCCTACCCCTCCGGCGCAAAGAAGCCGCAGCTCATCCAGATCTTCACTGATGAGGTGCTGCCGCAAGCCCGCAAGATTCTTTCCACGCGCGCTCGCGCCCGCAGAACCAGCAGAGGGATCACGGATGCCGATTCTCAGGACAGTACAATAGATGACGAGGACCTTATGCCGCCGCTACCGACACCGAGGGCGAGGAGCACGCGGAAGGCGAGCAGCAGGCACAAGAGCGACGAGAGTGAGAGCGATGCCCCAGTGTTGAGGAGTCCGGTGAAGAGGACGCCGCGGGCGAGTAGCAAGCATGCGAGAGCGAGCGAGTCGGAAACGGGCACTGATCTGGACCATGGAGTGTCGAAGAGTCTGAGAAAGACGCGGAGAAGTGAGGATGCTACGCCGGCTCCTGCACCGCTGCCGAAGACGAGACTAGATGGTGCAGATGACGGGTTGGGCATGGTGAGGAGGAGGGAGAGTGCGTTTACTTACGATAATCCATTTCAGAGTGGGAGTTCCCCCCCGTCAGGCTTGAACACTGGGGAGAAAAAGAGGAAGAGTTTGGGGGCTAGTGTGGGCAAGACACCGAGAAAGAGCACGTCTTCGACGACAAGACGAAGAACCGATGGGCCTCAGGCTGATGATGGGATACACCCGCCGACTTCAAAGACTTTCGAGATGCCCATTGGCATCATTAATCGACTGAAGGATGTGGATGATAATGGGGTGGAGGCGAGTGAAGAATTTACGCCCGAAGAACAGCTCGAGTTGATGCAGGATCGATCCATCAATGGATTGAGCGCTGTTGGTCCCCTTCGACCCAGCAAGCAGCCCCGCGGAGTGAGTAAGAAGGGACCTCTGTGGGTTTTGGCTCTGACGCTGTTTGGTGGATATGCGGCTTGGTACCGACAAGAGAAGGTCGCAGTGGGCTACTGCGGAGTTGGTAGAGAAGCAACACAAATCGTTCCCTCGGGGGTTGAAGTACCCGACTGGCTCAGAGTCCTCGCCGAACCAGATTGCGAGCCCTGCCCACAACACGCATACTGCTCGGGCAACTTCCAAACCCAATGTGAAGCCGATTTTGTCCTGAAGCCACACCCGCTTTCTCTGGGTGGCGTTGTCCCACTCGCGCCAACCTGCGAGCCAGATGGAGAGAAAGTCCGCAAAGTCAAGTCAGTTGCCGACAAAGCCATCGTGGAGCTGCGAGAACGACGCGCCAATTTTGAATGCGGCAGTCTCACGAACGAGGCCGGATTGCCGGAAACAACCGTCGAAATCGACGCCGAGCAGCTGAAGAGAGAAATGAGCAAGAAGCGTCGCAAGGGTATGAGCGAGGCTGAATTTGAAGAACTCTGGTCGGCTGCCATTGGTGAAATCGAAGGCCGCGATGAAGTTGTTAGCGTAGCTGATGGGTAAGCCCATCTTCCCTCCCGAACCCCCTTCTATCTATGTCTCAAGTCTCTCCAATCCTACTAAAATTAAAATTCATCTGACAAAACTCCAACTAACCAGGTTCCTGATTCCATCTACAGACCCCACCTCCTCCTCAGCAGCAGCTCGCTCGCCAGCCTCCCCATCGCCTGCGCCGTCCGACGATCCTTCCGACTCTCGCTGGAACGACATCGTCTCCAGATTGGATCTCTAGTCCTATTTATCGTCGGTTTCCTGTACACTCGCTCTTATTTCCGTTCGCGCTCCTTGATCAACGCGTCCATCCCCCACCTTGTCTCCCTTACGCTCGATCGTCTTGCAAATCAAGCATCCCTGCACTTACAAGATCCAGATGCGGTTCCCGAGAGTTGGGTCAGTATTGGGCAGTTGAGGGACGATGTGTTGAGGGACGAACATAGTATCCACAAACGGGAGGTCGTGTGGGGCCGGGTGCGAAAGGTGGTGGAGATGAACGCTAACGTGCGCGCCTCGCAACGCGAAGGCAGAAACGGTGTAATAAGCAGGGTATGGGAGTGGGTTGGTGCTGTGCCGACGTTGGAGAGCGGTGGGGGGGAGAGGAGAAGGAAGAGCGGACGGGTTAGTTGGGGGGTGACTGACGGCGGAGATGAGAGTCCGGTTGTTGGGAGTGGTGGAGGGGAAAAGGCAGTGCAGAGTAGATGGGAAGAGGGACGGCCGATCTATTGATCATCCCTCCTTCTCTCTCTCTGTTTGGCTCGTTCCGCGATTCAAACCCTTCATTCACGGAGACTTGGGGATGACCGAGACTTTTGGATTCTCTCCTTACATTTCTTTCTTTTGTTGGGGCTTGGCTTGCTTTGATATCAGGGGAACGCTTGGTTTTTTTGTACTTGCATAAATACTTGAAGCAGCGCATTCTCTCCCTTCCTAATTTGTTTCCTTTGTTATCACCTAGGGATGGCATGGCTCTGTGTTGCGTAGTCTAGGATGGATGGATGTACGTGTTCATTTGTTATTCTGTTTTCTTCTTCATTTTTCTCCATTTTTTCTTCATTTTTTCTTCATTTTTTCTTCATTTTTTCTTCATTTTTTCTTCTTTTTTTCTTCTTTTTTTTTTTTTTGGTTAGGGTACTGGCTAGATGGTGATTGAAGCGGTGTGGTGCCGGTCTGCTCTCCCTTCCTCACGAGCGGCATCAATCAGCTCCCCTCCAGCCCAAGTCACGAGCCGTCTAAACGCTTCTCATCTTCTCCATTCAATCCAAATGATATAATCTTTCTCTTCCCTAGGGATCACTCTCTCTCTCTCTCTCTCGCTCTCTTTCTCTTTTGCTCTCTCTTTTGCTCTCTCCTTGAAACTCTAGCTGGGAAGGGAAGTTGTACATAAGTAAAGAGATTGTGGGGATCGTATGGGTGTGATGGATAGGATAGCGATAGCGATATCTGATATTCTGATTTCTGATCTCGTTGTTTACTGCGCCCTTTTTTTTCTTTGCGAGAGGTGCGCAGATGGGAGGTTGGTTTTGGGAGTTTGGGGAGCTGTTTTATCGATGTGTGTGTATATATGTGTGTGTATGTGTATGCGTGTATGTATCTATGGCCTGCCTGACACGGGGTTCATGGTTTAACATTGGGTCGGAGTGTTTTATGTAACTATGATACCGTCGAATCGTCCGCCTAGAGAAAACGAAAAAGGAAAAAAAAAGGTCAAGTAAACCAAAACCAATCGTTCTCTCGGATTACTCTGTTCGTTCTACCAGATACTCTCGTCTGCCGGTACCTACCTACTCTGCGCCAGCGGTGAAGCCCCAAAACATGTTACTCCCACGTGGCTTTCCTTTACATCTATTTACTCTTATACTGGGGGAAAAAATAGATATATTTATATTAAAAAAAAACGGGAAGAAGAAAGGCGTTGTGCATATAGCCCCAGGTGATTACTCAGGCCGAGGGACCTGGCGCCGCAGAAACACGATCAGATCAGAGAGAGCTATGGGAATCCTTTCGGGGTGGTCGGTAAGGTAGGTAGGGGAGGCAGGCAGAATGGGCGGGGGCCCGAGCCGAGCCGAGCCGAGCCGAGCCGAGCCGTGCTGCCAGGGTGATTGAGGCGCTTTTCGCAAGCGAAAAAGAAGACGGCAGTTGGAAGGTTAGATCAGAGAGGCTCGCTGTGGGTTGGGATCGGGGGTTAGGGTTCTGAGAGACGTGATGGTGACGCATAGAGCTTTTGCGAGGAGAGGACGAAGATGACCGGCTGATGTTGAAAGAGGGTTGGAGGGAGGGGAGGGGAGGGGACTAAGAGGGGATGAGATGGGGAGCCAGAGACAAAACACACAGTTGGATGGATACTGGACCGATGCAGCAAGCGGATGATAGGGTGTCAATTGAGGGTGCAGATAATCTGCTTGAAATGCCTATGGGTGGTGACCCGATTGAGGACTCGCTGTTCGACTGGAATACACCATCCGAGGGCTTCGGTTTGGGCATGGGATTGGATCACACGATGCATCATGAGCAATGTCTCGGGATCCTCTTCTGCCAGCTCAAGTTGCGCCTCCCAAACCGTCTACACAGCAGTAAAGGCAACGTGGACCTGTCGATCAGGATTAGCATCGTTTCAAGACCAAGACGTAAGCCCGGCGGCACCCACCATCTCCGCGCTCTTCGCGCCGTCCTCCAGCAGGCCGATATTCTTCTGGAAGCCCTCCGTCTCTCGAAACTTCATGTGGGCCTCGACGTTATCCCACCCGATGAGCAGCACAACCGCCTTCCCCTTGTCACCCCCGTCCGCATGCTTGCCGACATCATCCTCGACGCTGGGCCCATAGACGCTGCCGTGATACCCCTCTGGCTTCCCGGCGGCGCCCATGAACTTCTCCACGTGCGAGAGGAAGACGTCGCTGGTGCCGAAGAAGGTCGCGAACTCGATCACCGGTGCCCGGCCCAGGATGCTGGGTGGGAAGGGGCTGAAGGCGACGTGGTGGAGGTGGACGCCCTCCATGATGCTGCCGAGGCGGTTCTTGAAAGGCGTGTACCCGGGCGTGGCCACGAACTTGAGATGGGCGTCTCGCGAGTCCCAGTCTTTTCATTTTTTTCCCCATCCCTCGGTCAGCAGCGGGCAGCCTCCTCGTTTTCTGATAGACGTAAAAACTGAAGAGGGTCACTTACCAATGAACAGCATCAATTGGTTTGGATCCTCCAGCGTACGTCCCCAGTGCATCCTCTGGTACCCATCCTGTTGTGAAACGGTTGTAAGAGTCTCTTTCCAGGCTTGAGCTGCGGTACCCGAGCCTTCGAGCTCAATACCCGGCTTGAGAGTAATGTAGGCGATCTCGGTGACTGGTACGGCAGCGGCCATTGCGAGTTTATCTTTCTTTGGCTGTGTATATAAATG